CGCCCTTGCCCAGAGGATCCTGCCCTTTATACTGATGGCCACGTTATTGTGATGGTGTTCGTTGACGATTTCCTGGCTATATACCATACATCCCAAACCGACCATGCTAACCGCATTTAATAATCTCTCGAGGAGAAGTTTTGAGATGAAGCATATTGGTGAACTTAGCCAATTCGTCGGTATTCGAATAACACGTCACCGGCCATCTCGAAAGACCTAGCTAAGCCAGGGTGCCTATATAGAGAAGATTACTAGCAAGTTCAATCTCCTAGCTAGGCAGCCGCCAGCGACCCCTTTACCATCTAACCTTTCTGCTATCCTCCAACCTACACCTGCCGAAGACCCTCCAAATCCTAGGTTAGTTAACCTATACCAGCAGAAGTGTGGCTCAACGCTCTATCCAGCAATTTAGACTAGGCCAGAAACCGCCTTTACCAACCAATTGCTTGCTCGCTCGCTTACACGCTGCACTGGCCGCCATCTCGAGGCCGTTAACCACCTAATCTCATATCTCTATGGGACGAAAGACCTGGCAATCTGTTTTGATGGACAGAAAGAGACAACTGCCTATACCGCCTGCTCAGACGCCAGTTTTGCTGATAATTCTGACCGGAAGAGCCCTGAGGGCTTTCTCTTTTGCTTATTTGGTAGCCCTATCGATTGGAAGGCTAGAAAACAGAAGACTATCACCACGTCAACCACTGAAGCTGAATTGCTGGCGCTAAGCCACGCGGCTAAGCAATCCTATTGGATGAGACGCCTATTTAAATTCATCCGATTCGACCCTGGCCATCAGAATGTGATGTATTGCGATAATAAGCAGACGATTAACCTTCTAACCAGAGACAGATCTATCTTTCAGACTAAGCTTCGCCATATGGATATCCATCATTTATGGATCCGCCAGGAAGTTCAGGCTAAACGGCTGCGTATCAAATAGTTGAATTCGTCCGACCTACCCGCTGACGGCCTAACCAAGCCACTTAGCCGCCAGAAACATGAGATCTTTGTGAGACAGATAGGTATGGATAACGGAAGTTCCAGTGTATCCGATCGGGTCCGAGAGGACTAGATCCACATAGAACCTTAGGATGACCAATCAAGATAGAAGTTCTTCTTCTTGCGAATAGGACCACAGATCGTTAAGGGTCCTCTGATGCATAAGATCTTCTCTGAGTATGAAAGAGTCAAACGAGATCAATAAGATAGATCAAAGAGAGTGTATTGAATCTGTGTGAATATTGAATCTCTCCGAATATTCAATCTGAACTGCTAAAACTAATGAGCGAAAGGGTGCTTAAGTACACGATTAAGGCAGTTTAAACAGTTGAATCTAGACCAAATCGTTGATCTAATCGATGATCCGATCATATATCGATGATCCGATCATATATCGATGATCTGATGAATCGATGGATTAGGAAGTTGTTGGATGTTAGTATCCGTGGCTAGATTGGCCGATTTCTCATGTAGAACTCTCTGTTGAAGAGATATGGTTTTTCCCCGGAGAAAGGATAGGAAAAACGATGGTCCGGGCCGGGCCGTTGGCCAGCGGGCCGCACGGTCAACCAACTTCATATAGCCACACACGCTCACATAGGCTGACAATGGAGTACTTACCACACGACCTTATATAGTTACTCTCATCTCCAGCTTATCAGACCTCCGATCTGAAGACCTGAGGGGGCGTGTCAGCCTATGTAGGTGTGTGGGTGTACATGCTTGTGTGTGCTTATATGTTGACCGGACCGGACCATTATTTTTCCCCGCAGAGAGACCCCTCTGTATACCCCTCTTTAACGGAGCTACTGACCATGGCCTAATTAGCTATCTGACCAAGGATCCTGACGTCCTTTCTGCACATTTCTATCCTGCATTGAGATCTATCAGATTATTAGATCTCTGCCCTATTTCCTTGCTGCCTAAACCACTGCAAATCGTGTATTTAAACGCTCGTTCACACCACTGTTTAGCCAGGAGTTCAATCGACTTTATTGTTCTCAAGACCTTCTTTCCCTTCCTAGACAGTAGGATCCTATGACCAAGAGGAAGCTACTGCCTAGTCCCCTTTCGTCCTATGTGGATCAGCCCCCGATACACTAGGATCTGTCACACTCGCATCATTTCATAACTAGGAGCGTAACCGATATACGAATCGGCCTACTAGGTACTTAGTTAGAGAGAAGCTTCCTCGACTAACCGGCTACGGAAGCCATCGACTTCTAGCTAGACACCGCTGCTAGCACGTGGCTAGCGGCTTATAGTCCACTATCGATCTCGTCCTCGTATCCTACTCACTACGCGAGTAGATTTTAGCGTGTGAGGTAGACCGAAGCGTACACGTAGATTCTAACCACCTTCCTTTACTCACCTTACTCGAAATTAACGTGCTAGAGGCCGCGGACCCTATTAAACGAAGGAACTAGAAGGCTATAGATATAGAGAAGTTCCTTACTGTAAGATTATGTGTGGGGCTATGTGAGCTTATTGATCGGTCAGCCACCCTGCGGCCCGGACCGGACCATCCTTTTTCCAGCGGAAAGATCCCTCCGCATCTACATCTTCAATAGAGAGTTTCCCCATGATAAATCGGCCAATCTAGGCCACGGATCCTGACATCCAGCAACTTCCTAATCTATCAATTCGTCAGATCATTGATCAATTCATCGAATCATCGATTATATCATTGATTTGATCAAAACGCTGCTGCCTAAACTGCGCAAATCGTGTACTTAAGCACCCTTTCACTCATTAGTTTAGCAGAACAGATCTCGTAGAGAACTTCCTACGCATTAGAGGACCAATAATCTCATTAAATTGGCTCTATTCGCTAGCGGAAACTCTATTTCTCCCTGGTAAAAATTGGGATCGATTATCCCCGTCAATAGGCCTTCTAGTAGACCTCGGACCCGCCCGCGGGCCGCCCTCTGAGGGCCGCCCACGGACCCGCACTTTTGCGGGCGGAGGGCGGGCTCTCCCTGCCCGCGGGCCGGGCAGGTCTCTAGCCTGCCCNCATTTATTCTGTTCCTTAATAGAATATTAAGAAATCGTCTTAGATTAAGTAACATTTCCCGCCTTACTATTACTCGTAGTATCAATTTTTTTTTCAAGATATACTGAACGATATAGCCGAGATTTTGTTGTTCATGGCACTTTACCACGGAAATATATATTTTCTTCAGCCATCAATGTCGGGTATCTTAACTATTTAAGCATATAAGATAAAAATCCCTATTTCTCGGTCGAATCTATTAAATCCGACATAAAATAACCGGCCTTAGCATACTTTGAAGTTGACAGATCCTAGTGTATCGGGGCTGATCCACATAGGACGAAAAGGGACTAGGCAGTAGCTTCCTCTTGGTCATAGGATCCTACTGTCTAGGAAGGGAAAGAAGGTCTTGAGAACAATAAAGTCGATTGAACTGCTGGCTAAATAGTGGTGTAAACGAGCGTTTAAATACACGATTTGCAGTGGTTTAGGCAGCAGGGAAATAGGGCAGAGATCTAATAATATGATAGATCTTAATGCAGGATAGAAATGTGCAGAAAGGACGTCGGGATCCTTAGTCAAATAGCCAATTAGGCCATGGTCGATATCTCTGTTGAAGAGATGCATATAGAGGGGCTTTCTGCAGGGGAAAACAATGGTCCGGCCCGGCAGGCTGCCGGGCCCTCAGGCAACACATAAGCACACACACATAAGCATATACCCCCACACACCCACATAGGCTGACAGAAGTATATCAATTTCTTAAACTAGGTTATCTCGTAAAAGTATAGCGAAATCCCGGTCGGAAATTGTCATTCTATGGATAGTGATTCCATTTTCTCTCTGAAAATCAGTATCCGAGGACAATTAAGGATATCCGCGGATATCTTGTGGATATCCACACAGATATCCTTAATTATCCTTAGATATCCACACTAGTGATTAGTAATAGCCAATCATCGCTATTAAAAGCTAGAGATATATCGAAAACGCGCCCGCGACTCGCGACTTAGTAGGCATACCCCTGATATTTTCAGCTGGTCATATATATATGTGTTTCTCTCTCTCTTCATCTATCAGCCTATCTCTAGGTAATTTGTATCAAGCACAATATATCTTACTCACAGGCATCTCAGTCCCACTACTCCTTCTATGCTGATTCAGATCTAGGTCTAAATCCTGATCTACTTCATTCAGATAATATCTCCGATCTTTTTAGCAGCCAAACTCCATTGACACCTGTTTCAAAGGACTCATCTCCGACTGCACCTCTCTCGCTTCCTCGTGTTAGTCCCCCTCTTCAGCAATACTAGGTCCTCTACTCCCCCGAGCCAAGTAGCGATATAGATGAATCCCGGAAGAGCTTTGTAAGGTGGTGGTTAACCACAGAGTTTGGATCGAAGCCTGATATACAAGACTCTATCCGTTAGGATAGGAAAAAGACGTCTAATGTCTAGGATAACTTCAATCAGGTTGCACATAAGAAGACCGGCAAGCCAAAGGTTATATGTACAACATGTCTCTGTACCCTTGTTCATCCAAGATATCGCCGTGCTGGGTCATCGCCAATTAATGCACATATTAAGGCAGGCTCATGTGCTCGGAAGCCTACCCAGAGGATTAATCAGCTTCTTAAACAGATGGTATTTTATTTATCTATAATCCAGATTCTTAATATTTCTCTTACTAATATTTATCTACTATCTAAAAGCCAAGTCTCCCACAAAGTCTACCCTTCTCCCAGGAGCGTTTAGCAAAAGCGATATTAGACTTTATCTCTGCCGCTCACCTACCTTTCCGCATCATTAAGCATACCCAATTCAAGAGCCTAGTGGAGGTTATTCAGCAAGCCCCAAGCAAGGTCAATATCCCCTCTACGCGAAGTATACGGCGTTATCTTTACTCTGCAGTCAAGAGTAACCAGAAGGAGGTTCTTGGAAGGCTTCCAGATAGGAGTCGCCTTTCAATAGCGCTCGATTGCTAGACATCACCATTCCAGCAAGCATTTATGGCTATTACAGGTTACTTCCTCGACCAGGATTTGAATTACTGTGAAGTTCTTCTTGGATTTGAGCATCTTTACGGATCACATACTAGTGAGAATCTAAGTAAAACTGTGATTCAGCTTCTGGCCAATCATGGGATCACCGACCGCGTATTATCTATGACCACAGATAATGCAACTAATAATAACTCCTTAATGCTGAATGTCCAAGAGACTATCCAGTCACAAAGTCGATCGGATACCTTAATCTTCCGAGTCCCATGTATTGCGCATGTGATCCAATTAAGCTTAAATGAGCTTCTTAGGAAGCTGAAAGTGACACCACATAATAAAGAGATTGAGCTTGAGTGGTCTGATGAACGAACCCACTCGTTTCAGACTAAACGATCTAGCTCATCTAAACAAATTACGGATACATTGAAGAAGGTAAGTTCCTATTATTCCAGATACTTTTAAGTCAATTCTAATTAGAAAGTTTAAGATCCGAGGTCTAGCAGTCTTTATCAATACAAGCCCACAACGCCGGGAGGCATTTATGGCTCTGCAAACCAAGGAGTCTCCTTTAATCCCTATTCAGGATATCCAAACGCGATGGAACTCAAGCTTTATGATGCTCAATCGGGCCAAAAGGCTACAGCCATTCTACGATCAGTATTGTACAGATCATCAATATCTCCACTTCAAACTTGATCACGAAGAGTTGCGGCAGATTGAATATCTTCTTCTTCTTACAAAGCCTTTCTTTGACTTCACCAACATGTTATCAAAGACCAGAGATATTACTACACATAATATCTATAGTATTTATAACAAGCTTTTCTCTCATCTTAATGAAGCTAAGAGTAAGTTGAAGAATAAAGGAGTTATCTAGAAGAAGCGTATGCTCCAGGCTCTTCAGACTGCAAAAAGGAAGCTCTCAAAGTATTATACTGCTACTAATCATGAATCATACGGCGATGTTTATGCACTAGCAACGATTCTTTTCCCATCAAAGAAACTTCGATATTTTACATCAACAGACTGGCAAGGTGAAATTGACTACGTGAAACACTATCATGGAGTCCTTAAGCGAGAGTTTCATCAATACAAAGAGATACTTCGCCGTGATTCAGATACTGTGGTCTTACAAGATGCCACTAGAGAGGCCCTAGATGACGATGATTATGATCTCGATGCTGCTTATGCTTCTCAAAATCAGCCACAGGAAGAGCTCTCAAAGTCTGAAGACGACGAGATTGCGAGGTATCTTTCCCGGGGAATTGAGAGACAGAAGCCCCGAGCATTCTGGAAAGAGCATTAGCATGAGTTCCCTATTCTTGCAAGGATGGCACGGGATATTCTCTCGATCCCAGCTAGTGGCGCAGGCGTTGAGCGATTATTCAATTGCGCTCGTGATATCTGCCACTATCGTCGTGGTCAATTAAAACCAAGTACGATCCGAGAACTGATGCTTCATCAGTTCGCCACCAACTTTGAGGTTGNTTCCTAGACAGTAGGATCCTATGACCAAGAGGAAGCTACTGCCTAGTCCCCTTTCGTCCTATGTGGATCAGCCCCCGATACACTAGGATCTGTCACACTCGCATCATTTCATAACTAGGAGCGTAACCGATATACGAATCGGCCTACTAGGTACTTAGTTAGAGAGAAGCTTCCTCGACTAACCGGCTACGGAAGCCATCGACTTCTAGCTAGACACCGCTGCTAGCACGTGGCTAGCGGCTTATAGTCCACTATCGATCTCGTCCTCGTATCCTACTCACTACGCGAGTAGATTTTAGCGTGTGAGGTAGACCGAAGCGTACACGTAGATTCTAACCACCTTCCTTTACTCACCTTACTCGAAATTAACGTGCTAGAGGCCGCGGACCCTATTAAACGAAGGAACTAGAAGGCTATAGATATAGAGAAGTTCCTTACTGTAAGATTATGTGTGGGGCTATGTGAGCTTATTGATCGGTCAGCCACCCTGCGGCCCGGACCGGACCATCCTTTTTCCAGCGGAAAGATCCCTCCGCATCTACATCTTCAATAGAGAGTTTCCCCATGATAAATCGGCCAATCTAGGCCACGGATCCTGACATCCAGCAACTTCCTAATCTATCAATTCGTCAGATCATTGATCAATTCATCGAATCATCGATTATATCATTGATTTGATCAAAACGCTGCTGCCTAAACTGCGCAAATCGTGTACTTAAGCACCCTTTCACTCATTAGTTTAGCAGAACAGATCTCGTAGAGAACTTCCTACGCATTAGAGGACCAATAATCTCATTAAATTGGCTCTATTCGCTAGCGGAAACTCTATTTCTCCCTGGTAAAAATTGGGATCGATTATCCCCGTCAATAGGCCTTCTAGTAGACCTCGGACCCGCCCGCGGGCCGCCCTCTGAGGGCCGCCCACGGACCCGCACTTTTGCGGGCGGAGGGCGGGCTCTCCCTGCCCGCGGGCCGGGCAGGTCTCTAGCCTGCCCTCAGCGGGCGGCCCTCGAGATATTTCGAGGGCCGACAAACATAACAAACACAGAAATCTCTCTGGTTGCATAAATTATGCTGCTTTTGATTGTAACTCTTAGGTATTTCATATACAGCTAGCCCCTTTAGCTATTCAGCCTGAGGTCTTGGGATTCTGGAATGTATCTAGAATAATCAAAAGCTTCATTTTAACGCATATTATTTGACACAATTTCTAAGGCTAATTACTGCAAAATCAACTCTTATATCCTTCTAAAAACCTTGAGCGCTTTCGAACCCTTCCTGAATGTCGAAGTTGTGTACTTGGTAAGTCTGGCTCGCCCTCTTCTTTATGCTCTCTATTTTCTAGCCCTGTTTTTGAGAGTTTTTGTTGTGACTAAGCTATAGTAGTCACAGTCTGTAGGTTTTCAACAATAAATTCTGTATTATCAACCTCCTCGTCGTCACTGATTGGCTCTAGGTGCAGAGTGTTTGAATCTTTCTCCTCTAGGTTAGCTTGTACCTCTTTATGTAAGAGATATTCGTTGATTAGAGCTTGTTGGCTCTCTTCAATCTCAAACTTTGATGTACACATAAACATCATTAGATCCCGAATCGTTGACGGCTTAAGCGAGCCTCTCCGGTAATGACAGACATCTCGGGCAGAGTTAAAGAGGCGCTCTACGCCTGCTCCTGTAGCAGGAATCGAGAGCACATCGCGTGCAAGATTGGTAAGAGCTGGAAATTGGTGCTGATGATCTTTCCAGAATATGCAGACAGGAGTTCGTATAATACCTAGAATACTAGTTAGTAAAGACCCTACTAGTAAGATATAAGTGACTAACCGCTGTCAAGATACTCTTTAAGCTCATCAAATTCAGTAGATACCGAGGGCTGGGATCCTTCGACTCCACACTCTATCTTAAGCTCTGAGATTGCGACTATTGGTGATTGGGCTTTGGAATTCGATTGTGTGTTAGCATAGTGTTGTCTGTAAGATTGAAAGTAATCTTCGAGACTAGCTCGGTATATTGCCCGCTAGTTATTATCCGGATTATCCTAGTCCATTGTTTCAAAGAATTAAAGCTTTTGCTGCGGCGAGAGTATAGTGCCAATTACATAGAGATTGCCATCAATTATATCCGTTATGCCATAATAAGTTGAAAGCTTCCCCCTTGCGGCCTTAAGAGAAGAAAGCATAAGCTGTTTCTAAGCCACCTTCTTCCGCCGTAATATACTAATTGAAGCTTTAAGGTGATTAAAGAGCTTATTGTAGATGCTGAAGACTAGATGAATACTAACATCTTTAGTCTTTAAAAGAAGAGTGGTGAATTTAAAGAATGGCTGAGTTATCTAGAGAAGATACTCGATTTACCGCCATTCCTCTTGACTTAATGCAAAGTGTTCCTAGTCATACTATGCACAAAAGTCATCGAATGTTGATTGAAGCCGCTTAGCACGCCGGAGCATCAAAAACGTTGAATTCCAGCGAGTTCGAACATCCTGGATAGGAATAAGCTTTGGTTCTTCCTTCTAAAGGTTATAAAATGACTCGCGTCGTTGCGGGCTTGCGTTGATATAGATAGCTAGGTTTCTAATCTTTATAATAATGAAATAGTTAGTAAAATTATAAAGATCAGATAGTAGGTATATACCTTGTTTAGCGTGTCAACAATATCTCTTCTTTGTTGCTTTGCACGAAGAGAACGGAACCGTTCGTCGGACTAATCCATCTCCACAATTTCGTTCTTTAGAATTACCTTTAACTTTCCAAGAAGATCATTCAAACTAAGCTGGATCATATAGGTAATGTAAGGGACTCGGACGATAGTAGAACCATTGTTCAGCTCAAGTGACTGGAGTGATTCTTGTATACTTAACATTAACGTATTGTTATTTAATGCATTATCGGTTGTCACTGCGAGTACTCGATCTATGATTCTATGCTTTCGGAGAAGCTTTAAAACCACATCACTTAGGTTCACACTAGAATAAGAACCAGATAAAGGTTCGAATCCAAGAAGAACCTCTTGATATTGCTAGTGTTGGTCAATGAAATAGCCTGTAACGGCCATAAAAGCCTGTCGAAAAGGAGATGTCTAGCAATTAAGTGCAAGTGAGAGCTTTGCATTTGGAGGAAGCTTTTGGAGGATAGATTGTTGCTGCTCTTGGACGTATCCTTGTAGCCGAGATCGTATGGTTTTTGCTAAAGGGATATGAGGTTATGTAGGGGCAAGCCGGGCGAAGTTAATAACGTCACGGAACTCTGGATGTTCGATGAATTGGAAAGGAAGACGTGATAAAGTGATTAATTATAAAAGCTTCTGCTCCCACACTTCTTGTGTAAAGACTTTAGATGAACTTGGAGTATTCTGTGCCTTTTAGAAAAGAGATTACTTAGTAAGTTATGGAATTAAGTATCGTCGGGACTAGTACATACTACATTTGCGAGTAATCCCTTAATATTAGCCTTCTGGCTAGTTGATTTCCGGCAGGTTAGACCAGCTAAGTGCCGATTAAGAGCAGTCGTTCCATATCGCCCGGTCGCTGGGTGATTAAGGACTTTCTGACAGTGGCGACACTTTACCCCTGGTTTGCTAGTTTTTACATCGGCGACCTAATTAAATTGGTCCCAGCATGCCGATTTACGGTGGCCACCCCAGTTAAGTCTCTTTCTTTTTCCAAAATCAGTCTCTAGCCACCAATTCACAAAGTCATCCTTCGACATTTCGGAGTATAGGATATATGCTAGTGATCGACTAGGGCTAACACGCTAAAGCGAAGAAGGAATTACGGACGGGATAATTAGAGTGAGAAAACCAGAGTTTGATGCGGATTTAAGTGCGTGCTAGCTTAAAGAAAGATTAGGCGTTAGGAATTGATCATTCGAAAAAGAGAGAAGAGCGTCAACTGGATCACTATCATAGATAGATGAAGAATAGAGATCTGAGAATTGGGATGCTTGGGACATTGTTAATTAGAGAATCATAAGAAAGGTATAATCAGAAAAGGGTAAAGTGACTCGTTTCTCTAGAACTTACATATCAAGAAAGGTTACAAGCTTAGATGACTAGAATTATTTACTTACTTCCCGACATAACATTACTATCATTCAGCACATAAGCTATTGACCCACTTTGCTTAGTTAGTCTCTCTATAATTGGTTAGTAGTGGAGGGCTAATCGAGGGCGGCCCTCAACTAGCCCTCAATATATGCGGGCGGCCCTCGAGCGGCCCTTAACTAGCCCTCAATATATGCAGGCGGCCCTCGAGCGGCCCTCAACTAGCCCTTAATATATGCGGGCGGCCCGCGTGTAGCCCTCGAGCGGCCCTCGAATCGCTAATCTACCCTTGAATTTTCGCTGACTTGTATGCCCCCATGTCTCGTAGTGTTTGACTAAGATCTCACGTTAGCCTTCCTTTGAACGTATAGTACGGCCTTACCTAATTAGCAGCCAACGACCCCGTCGCCCGACGACGAGATGTCATTAGCTCTTTTAAGGTAACCTTGTAAGAGCTTCACGACTGCCGCCTACCCTTTCTATGATAATCCTCTTCTAGGCTGTAAACCTCCTACCCTCTCGAATTAAAATAGCTTGTACGGCTTTAAATCAAAAATTAGAAATGGAAGGTATTTCAGAGCTTTTATATTCTCTGATTCCGTCTGAAGGGATAAAGAAATGAGATTTTCTTAAGGACTACTAACGCCGTCAGAAATATCAACACTGTTCCATAGTTTGAATATATATTTCTATGACTCTATACATCCCATCTTTTCAACATCTTAAAACACCGCTATCATAACGTAATTCTATATTTTCAGGATAGAAAATCATATTACTAACTATTCTATTTTTAATTCTTAAGTCATTACATGAAGTTTATACTCAAAATGTGTAGAATTTCAAAAGGCTATAGGATGAGAACCAAAACATGTATATAAGACGGTATTCTATGTTGATTAGTTAGCAGCTTTATGAACGCCAAAACTGGAATTTTATGCAAATGAGGGCCGATGAGGGCCGCCCGCGAGCCGCCCTCTGAGGGCGGAGGGTCGGGCGAGGGCCGGGCGGAGGGCGGGATATGCCCGCCCTCTAAATGTTTTTGCCGAGGTCTACCTTCTAGGATAGTTCCGGTATGTTAAGATCGAGCTAGAACCACTAAACAGCGACGAAACTAATAAGATAGGCGTAGGGGGTGAAGACGATAGGTAGGAGGAACGCTAAAACCACGGTAAGAGGTCTTAGAAAACTATAACTAATATTAACGAACGTTATTAATCGAGACCGAAGTAGGAGAGATACTGAGGATAGAGATATAGGGGAAGTAGCAGGCTAATATAAGGGCAAATTAAAGGATATATTGTAGGATTAAGGGCTACGAGGGCGTTTTAGTACTATTCTTAGGTTGATTTTCTATGGCAATACGCCGTTTTCCTATGTAACTACTGTTTTATGCGTGCGGGCTGGCGTTCGGATCACACTTGCTTCCGCCGGAGGAAGCGCCTGCATAGCCATTACGCCACTAGTTAGGCTGTAACAGGTTAATGGAGTGTTGATTGATTGATTGATTAGTCAGAATCGCACGAGGATTGATGAAATGCACCAGTGAGTACTTCTTCTTGTCAAAAACGGACGCACGCGTTTCTGCACACCTGTCAGCCTTCTGGCAGACCATCTCCAACTGGTGGATATTGGCCTGTTCGGAGTGACCGGTGGCCATGATGGCCGCATCGTCCATCCAGCCGTTGGCAAAGACCTCTGGCCGGCCGCCCGGTAGGTCGCCCGTTGGATCGCCCACCAAAACGCCCGTCAGATCGCCCGCCAGCGAAGTGCATCCTTCGATGAGATCTGCATTGTAGAGTAGATATAGGATGGGTGAGATTGGTGAGCCCTGTGGATGCCGGTCGGTGTGGGTATGCGCTGTGAGAGACCTTCTGGCATGCGAATCCTAGTGGACCTGCCGGTCAGAAAGGCCCTCACCCATGGGACCAATTGGCCAAACCGGCGCTTCTTCAGATCGTGCAGTAGCCTGTCATGGGACACATTGTCGTATGCCCCAGAAACATCGAGAAGCAGCAGCGAAACCACCGGTTGGCCGTTACCCCAGGCAGTTTTGATGCGATCAAGTAGGATTTGAATGGCATGATTAGTGGAAATCCCCTTCCGCCCACCAAGATGGCGGGCCGGCAGCAGACCTTCCGTCTCAACTGCATATGAGATTCGCCTGGCAACCACGGCCTCTGGGAACTTAGCGAGGATGTTGATGAGGGCGACCGGGCGGTAGGACTTGGCGACCTGATAGTCACGATCGCCTGCCTTGCATAAGACCACAGTGAGATTTTTGAAAGTGTGTAGGATTGTAGCCAATGCGAATACATGCGTCAAAGATGGCAGTGAGAGTTTGCAGGACCACTGGCAATTTGATGAGCTTGCGCCAAAGGCTGTTGGGTAAGGTATCCTCGCCGGGTGCCTTGCTGGCGCCCGCCGAAAGAACGGCATCTTCCACTTCATGGAGGGCGAGAGGGTGCATGTGAATCTGATTAGGTAGGTAGTCGTCGTCATTGGTGATATCAGAGAGGTCGGCAGGCGGAGGTATAGGAAAGAACGCCCGTCGGAACGCCTGCGCCTTCTCATCGACCGTTTCTGCCAGGCCGCCCTCTGCCGTGACGAGCGAGGGCGTGATACCACGCTCGTACGAACCCTGCCGGTTGCGCGCCCAGTTGGCCAGTTGCCACATACCCCGGGGGCCCTCCTCAATGGACTGTTGAACTATTTGCCGGTGGCCAGTTGATAGCTTCTTCTTGACGATGCGTGCTTTCTGATTGCGCTCCAGTGTGTAGAGCTGCCAATGCAGAGGATCCTGGCTGCGGTTGAATAACCTGCGGAGCTTTCGGCAGCGTTTGACCGCATCCTTACATTCTTGGTCAAACAGTGGATTCGAGAAGGTTGATGGCTTGGCCCAGGGCGTTGATAGATCGACCGCCTGGTTGACCACGCGCAGAAGGGTCTGGGTAGCTATTTCAATGGCGATCTCGCTGTTGATGGCAGTTGGTGGTGGTAGATGGGTTGTCACATGATTCAGAAGGATCTTGTCATCGGTCGCCTGCCAGTTTCGGCGTTCTGGTGGCGCCGGTTGGGGCGTTTCGATGTCAACGGTCGTTTTGACAGGAAAGTGGTTGCTTTGGTGATCGAGGTCGTGGATGGTCCGGCAGGCGATCAGGCGATCGAAGAGCGAAGGGCTCATGAAGGTCAGATCCAGCACCGACCGCTGGTCCTGGCATTCCAGGTCTTCTTGCCTACCTCGGTGGCAAGATCTAGTTGCATCTCTTCCATTAGATTAGCCAGTTCCCTACCTTTCTCATCCTCTTTGGGCCGAATCGTATTGCCATCGGCATCGCATGGCAGCGTGCCATCGCCCCTCCAGCTCGCAAGGTGTGCGTTGAAATCGCCAAGGACCAGGTGGTCGCCAAAAGGGCGTTTGGTAATCTCACCAGGAATCAGCCTGACGGTTTCGTTATCGCGTTGTTGGTCGTTATAAATGGTGTGTATGAACTGATCGGTCCATGCTCCACGATCGCCTCTGTTTCAATTCCTCCGTAACTTGAGGATCTGTACAAACAGGCCTTCTGGGGCACTTCCGCACGTCAAAATCGAGCCAGAGCCACCGCAAGAGGGCTACGAAAACCAAGAGCCAGGATGATTTGGCAACGACACAGGTGGTGAAGACGCTTGGTATTAGGAACGCTAAACCCACGGCCGACCGAGAGGTCGTGGAAGACTATACCCAACACCAAAGAACGCCACCAATCGAGACCGAAGCAGGAGGATATGGATGCCGGAGAGAGGAGAGATGGAGATGCAGAGGAAGCAGCAGGCTAAGGTGAGGGCGAATTGAGAGATACACCGAGGGCGTTTTGGTACTGTTTTCAGGCTGTACTATATGGCAATACGCCGTTTTCCTATGTATCTACCCCTTCTTGCACATGGGCTGGCGTTCGGATCACTCTTGCTTCCGCTGAAGGAAGCGCCTGCACAGCCATTACGCACTATGCTGCACTAGGCTAATAGAGTGTTGATTGACTGATTGTCCTTTAGTCCAAAGACACAGTACTTCTCGAAACTGGCGCGACCACCTACATTCCTTTGAGTGATTTTCCAGCCCCACTCCCAATACACACTAGTCTATATTGAGAGCCTTTCCAGAGTACCCCTGTAAGTTGACGTGTATTGCTTTTACAGTAGATTACATATTACTGTCAATTAACCTAATCAATCTATGTATAAAATACATCTATTGGGGCCATGAGCGATTTAGTCACATTGGTCTTCGGGGGCCTAGTTCCATCGATGACTTTGAAACATGGAAGTCATTTGAGCTGTAATTAGCTGAAATCCACGTCATCTCAATGTCAACGACGTGTATGACGCCAAGATAAGCCACAATCTCAACTCACCCCATCGTCTCACAAGTTTGCTGAGATACGACCATGGTACTATAACCATGGAGACATGAAAATGATGTCAAAAAAACCACGACGCCTGGCTGTCCAGTAAGACAAAATAGATATATAAACCTCCTTCACGCGGTTGAAATGCGAATCCAATCAATCAAAAAAAATTAAGTAATTACATTCGCAAAATCAATTCGCGTTGAAATCCTTGGTGGACATACACAATGTCTACCTCGATCACCACAGACGTCAGCAACTATGGGGCCCAGGGGTATGGCGACCTAAGCCATAGGATGAAAGCCTTGACCTGGCAAGGAAAGAATTCGGTCAAAGTTGGTCAGTCATTCTGTCTATCATAACCTTCATTTCAATCCCTCGAAAGAATCAGCTTCTTTTGCTCATGAACTGTGTTATAGTGGAAACGGCTTGCCCAACGATCATTGATGAAGGCGATGTCATACTTAAGGTGACGGGCAGCACCATCTGTGGGAGTGACTTACACCTACTCCACGGTATGTCGTGACTTCTTCGTAGTTAATTCATTGTCGCTGGATTGCTCATACGGTATCTGTTATCGATGTATAGAGGCCATCCCAGATCTCCAGAAAGGTGATATCCTCGGCCACGAGTTCTGCGGTATTGTCGCAAGCGTGGGGCCGGCAGTTAAGAAGGTTAAAGTGGGCGAGCGCGCTGTGGCATCCTTTCAAATTGCCTGCGGGCAGTGTTATTATTGTCAGAAAAAGTTATCCTCAATGTGTGAGCGCACGAATTTGAGCGAGGAAGCGTATAAGCTATATGGGCGTCGAACAGCTGGTATGTTTCCTCCTAATGTTTATTCTGGTGTTAATGAGGCTATTATACTAATGCCCCTCCTAGGAATGTTTGGATACTCCCACTTCACAGGGGGCTTTGCTGGGGGACAAGCGGAATATGTTCGCGTCCCTTACGGTGACGTGAATCTCCTTCAACTACCTGACGACGTTCCCGATGAGAAAGGTCTCTATCTTTCCGATGTTCTAGCAACATCTTGGAACGCTGTTGTTGACACTGGGGTTGAGGAGGGTGACACTGTGGCAATTTGGGGAGCTGGCCCAGTTGGGCAAATGGCCGCTGAGTTTAGCTTCATTAATGGTGCTAATAGGGTTATCCTTATTGACGGTGGCCATGGAAAATGGCGACTAGACTTTGTCAAGAAGATTCTTCCTAAGCTCGAGATAATCGAGTATACGAATCTTCCAAAGGGCGAGTCTGTTACCTCAGCCCTGAAGAAAATGTGCGACGGCCGTGGGCCTGATGTGGCGATTGAGTGCGCCGCTGGTGAGTATACGAAAGGATGGGCTCATTACTTTGAGAGACTGCTCGGCATGGAAACGGACACGCCAGAGCTTGTCAACGAGATGATTACCTCTGTCCGGGGATTCGGCCGCTGTGGGATCACGGGCGTATACGCCGGTTATGTATGTGGCACTTCTACATTGGTAAAACAATGCCCCTAACGTGGTAACGCAGTGTAATCACTTCAACATCGGTTCCTTAATGGAGACTGGGATCCGTCTTATTGGGAATGGACAAGCCCCCGTGCAAAAATACTGGAAAGACCTGTTGAAGTATATTCAGCAGGAGAAGATTCATCCTCTGCATATGGTCACCCACCGGTTCAAGCTTGAGGACATGGAGACGGTCTATGATCTATTTAATAAGCGGGACCCGGGTATGCAGAAGGTTTTTATCCAGACCAAGTTTTCTGCCCCCCCAGCACCGGGGACACCTGCGTTGACAGAACTATGAGCTTCACTACGTTGGATAAAAGTTGAACTAACAAGTTTGGATTATTCATATGCGTATCATAATTTTTCCATTTTAAATTGGGCACTCAAAAAAGAACTCGTGAAAAATATATCTATTGCAAATATATTGCAGTGGAAAATGGAGGCAACTTGAGTTTGGTACATCACTAGGTACCGCCAGGAATGGGAAGATGTGTTCCTTGAGTGGGATCGTCTTAGCGGGGTGCAACAAAGTGGGGCTGCTTTGGAAAGACCCGATCGATTTGTCGCTTGGAGGGGGGAGCGAGCTTTGCCCAGCACAATTTATTGCGGAAAATAATTGGGTTACGTCATGCGGTCCATTTTGGGGCTTTCATGAGAATGGGCGTAAGACAATCGATTGATTATTTTGGTTATCATCGCATTCACTCGCGGCAGGAAGCCATCTGAATTTCTTGTATTTTTGGCTCGCTGTCTTTTTTGTATATCTATTTTCTATAGAAAATATCTTTGCTGTCAATCAATCAATCAATCAATTAATCAAACTCTATTAATCTGATGCAGCCTAACTAGTGGCGTAATGGCTATGCAGGCGCTTCCTCCGGCGGAAGTAAGACGGATCCGAACGCCATACCCGCGCAGGAAACAGTAGATACATAGGAAAACGGCGTATTGCCATATAAAATCAACCCAAAAACAGTACCAAAACGCCCTCGTAGCCCTCAGTCCCACGATATATCCTTCAATTTGCCCTCACATTAGCCTGCTGCTTCCTCTGCATCTCCATCTTTGCCTTCCTTCCTCGGTATCCCTATCCTCCTCCTCCGGTCTTAATTGGCGGTCTTTAGTGTTAGATGTAGTTTTCTAGGACCTCTCGGCTGGCTTTAGGTGCTAGTGTTCCTCCTACCCATCGTCTTTACCCCCTGCGCCTACTAGTGGATCTGGCTCGTTTTCGTCGCCTGTTGGTTCTGGTTCGATCTCGACGTGGCGGAACTGCCCTAGAAGGCCTACTTGTAATATAAATTCGGTCACGTAGCGGGTGGCGTGCGAGTGCGATACAATTACACCGTAATCCGTCGAATCCCTAAGATCAGTGGCCCTCATCTTGTCAAGGAAGGTCTTCCATAAATCAGTGTATAACGGGCACTGTATCAGGATATGTCCCGGTGTTTGAGACCCTTCAATGCAGTAACACTGATCTGAGTCCACCGCCTTGATTTGAAACAAGAAATGACTCAGTGCGATGCGTATATCAGAACTGAGGTGTATGGCTTCGAGAGAGATTCGAATAGCCGAGCACCTTCTTGTCTGGAGCCTTCACTAATCGCTGGTTCGGCTTATCAGTTCGCTCTTTTACCACTCTAATGCACATCTCTCTTTGGTTCGCCGCCGCACACGGCGATTTGCGGTAGCTGCTAGAAGAACTCGACCGGCGGACCCCTCAGGTGGGGTTGATCCGCCCCGTTCCCCACACCGCCCGTTGCCGCCAAATCTTTCTCAACGTCGGCGGTCTCGGCCAGACATGTATGTGCGGGGATCCAAAGGTTCTCGACCAGAATTATCAGATCGTTGAATCGATACCCGCCACCAGCCTGGGCGCCTAATTTTGATCCGTGACTCATGATTGGTGTACTGTAACTCCACTGATTCTTTATCAATTCTGAAAGTTTAAACACCTGGAAAGAGTTGAAGTGCATCCAATCAATCTTGTTCGACTCAAAATCTATGATGCCTCCATTCCTTCGCCAGCGAAAACCATCCATTCTTTCACCGACTGCAGGTATGGAAGAATCAACAACATCCGATATACCCCCGCTCAAAAGCAGACGTCTCACTCTTTTGTCATACCATGAGATACCGGAATGGTACCAAAACAATGAATTTATTTATTATGGCTATCAAAACAGTGTCAATCTCTACCCTTGCCTGTTTTGTCAGTTTGTTATATCTGCATAATGAAACTGTCAAATCCATTCTCACCTGATCCCAGCGATTCTGTTACTTCTGACTGAAGGCCAGATTTATCGATATCTTCATACCAGATACCTGGAGGCAAAAGTTAGCAATTACCGTCTTTTTGCCTTATTTCTTCTGACAGCGGTCATTTGCCTGGTAATATCAGCTACATACCATGCTTTGACGAACCATCCCAAAAGCTTTTCGAGTTTATGGTTACGGCTTGATTTTGTCGACATCATTGTCTTCATGCTTGCTGATTTTGTGTCTTGGATCGACATGGCTTTCTACTGCGAGTCCACTTTGAGATAGGTATACTGGTCTATGGTGTGTCAAAGAGACCATTATTTGGTACAGTATGTCCCGTTCCAGGTGCGAGCACCTGGAACTCTTCGATTGATTTTCCAAACCCCATGCCAAGCCCATTAGTCTTTATCAGGAATAGACCCGGAATATTAATGTTACTGTATCAAATTATCACTGTAATTTACGCTGATACGTACGGTCTATAATTGTATTAGAAAGAGAAACCCAAGGAATTAGGATCTGTAATTTTTCCGCTCTAATGCAAACAAGTCAGACTCAAGAGCCTAAAAGGGCCTCGAGAATCTAGGTGCGACTTTTCTTTGCCACCCCCATGTCCAAGTGACACGGTACGGTACGGCTGTCTCACGACTATGCTGAACCACTTTCACCCATGGTGTGCTCATGAAACAATGGTTCGAATGATGCCACCATGATCTATAGATGATTCTTTGAATAAGAACATGTATATCATGTGAGGAAACGCAGTCCTTGGGTTACCAGATCTTGGTAAAGTGTAAAGTGGTCAATGGTAATTAAAACTCACAATGATAACTTCCATCCTATGACGAGACATTGATCCATTGTTTGACTTATGACTTCACAATGATCTACATTTGAGTCATATGCCCTATGCAGATAATAATATAAGTAGGGAGTGTTGCTGGGATCAAATTCGCAACACCTCTTAGCTAATGTATTAAGTGCTGAATGATACTCTAGGTATTCGTTCTGGTCTATCTTAATATTCATCTCAGCATGTCTGTCGGACAAAGACAGCCCGAGCCGCTTCGTCGCATTATAACGACTCATGATCCTACAAGCGGCCAAGCTATCTTTAGTGAAGCGGTTAGGGAGCAGGTATCATTTACTGGGTTCCCGGTTCCCCCAGGCAAGCCTACAACGTCAGACTATGCTCTGGCCTTCAATACCAATACATTTCCTGTGCAAGGGCTTTCCCCTCCAACTTCTGCAACCCCAGAGTCGAAGGCCAATCTTGACATTAAGCACTATCACTCCCAGCTCTCGGATCCATCGCCTTTGAATCCGCCAAACGGCACCTCCTGCACAATTATTGAGGTACCTCCTGGTTCAGCGGTTCCGATGCACCGAACAGCGACCCTTGACTTTGGTGTTGTAATTGACGGCACCACAGAATTAGTCCTTGATTCTGGCCAGAAAAAAATACTGAAAAAGGGTGATGTATTTGTTCAGCGAGGTACGGCTCATGCTTGGCGGAATATGACTGAAAAGAAAGATAATTCTGGTATTTTACGTGTCTTTTTTGTGTTTCAACCCATCGAACAGGTGCAACTAGAAGGCGGAAAGGTCGTTGGTCAGGACTTGAACCTGTCTCTGCATGAGGCTTGAATTATGCGTAGGGGTATATCGCTCGAACGGCGGCGGCTTGAGTAAAAAACCCTGGATTGAGCTAGGTCTTGTTAATTATTCATTTTCTGATCGTAAAAGTTCTTGTGGTTATGTGTATACTGCTAAATTCATACTTCCAATATGGCCAGCAACGCATTTCTTTTCTCTTGATACCTAGTGCAGTGGGTCGATCGCATATTGGTATGCTTGGTAAAACAGGCAGATCAAGAGGGAGAACCATGGGGCCCTAGTTCAACGAATAAACGATCAAAACAAACGAAACAGTGTACTCGGTCCTGAAGCTGAGATATGTAGATGGTAGGTAGAAGTAGATACAGCGCTGGCGCTCTCATATACGAATGTCTAGTCTGTCAGGTCGAAAAAGAATCAAGTACATTGGGGGGTATTCGCTGCACCCTGAATAGTTTAGAAAGTGGAATCTTATTTTAAGCTTCTCTGTTCAGCACATAAGCTATAAAAAGAATTGTGGGGGAATTCTCAGTACTACGAACAAAGATTTCCTGGCAATTCTTGTCTTGGGTTTGGTTTTAAGATAAACAGAATAGCGAAGGTATGTGGCACGCTCCTGGATTCCAGGTGATCAATAGTATGAAGGCTCCGTGGCCGGCAAGGTCAATAGTGAACTTACAATGTCCTGGAATGGATGTGTTCAACCACACGTGAGGAAGCCGACAGCCGGGGTAAGTATAGGGTTCGTAGTAAAGAATATCGTCCTCAGCACCGCGCCCGGAAAAACTATATTTCTCCGACTCATCTGCGGTGTGGATAACATCATCAGAATAGCACTGACCCATTTCAATACAAAGAGCGTGAAACTCGTGAGAAGCCGAGGTGATGGCTTTACGGAAGGCCTTGTGTCGGACTTCTCCCTTCTTGGTATCGCTTGAGAGTTTCTCCCATACCGCCTTGCGATCCGACAGGGTCTTTGTCAGAGTACCCTGTGCCTCCCATACATTGGAGTGATCCCGGAATGCTTGGTTGGCGCGGGTAATGATAGCCTTTCCTACTGGCTGACGCTCAGTGCTGTAGGTGTCGAGAACTGACTTATCCGCAAGGCCAAAGTGAACGTATGCAGCCTTCCACGCTAGGTTGAAAGCATCTTGGATGCAAGTGTTTGATTCGAGAACATTCATGGACGGATGTCGATCAAGTGCATCTCCAAGGCAGAAACTGCAGAGGAATATCGCGCATTGGCTGGGTGATGCAAAAAAGGAGAAAGGGGGCAGTGCAAAAGAAAACATACATGTTACCGACACTCTACTTCTCAGCAATGATCTCGTTAATGAACCACTTGGATACGTTGAGAATCTCGGCGGGTGTATCATCTCCGATAAAATCGCGAACACGACTCAAATACTCATCATTAGAGTGTTGAATTTTGATGTCACAATCCCGATTGGGAAAGAGAATGAACATTCACTCATTTCATGGCTTGACTATATGCACAATTCCCTGCCACCCAAACTCTGGATGCTCGTGATCTGGTTGCATGACCCCGTGAAGATTACCTTGCCGGTTCTTGACGAGCTGAAATAGAAAAGTAGGGTGTATTGTTACAAACCTTGGGCCTTGGGTCATTTTCCCAGGAGTGAATGCGAGCACATTCCTCACCAGCCATACTGTGACACCACCTAGTATGCACCATATGGCTGCTTCCCTTCAACGCGACCTATTCCATTTCCTTATAAGGCCAATATCTCAGAGACATTCTGGCGGTCAATGAGTGTTAGGTCTGTGTCTTTGTTCTAATGTGAGGGCTAGACACATACCCTACGCCGCCATGTTGGTAATATATGCCCGCGGGGTGTTGACAGTCCCAGGTGCCGTGCTGATCATCAGTCCTTTCAGACCGGTTTATAGAAGCTGTGAGCTCTGTTCGTCGCGGCTCATCGAATGAAAACGGGATGTACCGTGTGAAGTGAGGAAGCACGCGAGCGTTGCACCCGCCGGTCAGAAATTCGGTCTCGACATCCTGTGTGGTCGAACCTGCAGTAATTCCGGTGCCCATTGGTTCTGTTGGTCAGAAAGCCATTCTGAAGCATCGAAGTGGGAATTTTCCAGAAGCGATGATCTGGTCATGACGTGGTTGCTTGCTTTTTTGTAGTAAATTTTGGTTGGGAAGCAAGGGAGGAGAAGTGAAGCGAAGATGGGACAATTCGAGAACCAGCACTGAGCGAAGGGCTAATTCCTCAAGATGTTACGGAAAGGGGTTTGGAAAAAGCATTCTTTGCTGGATAAAATCGTCGTTGGCTCGCCTCACCTGATTTTATTGTTTTATTGTGCGATCCGTCTGTTGAACTCCCATCACGAAAGACTTTAATGGCCCATTCAGCGATGCATTCAAGTACCCACATAGCATCATGGGAATAGTCCGAGTGAAATTTATTGTCGCCGAGCCTTTGGTATGAAGGGGGATTCTGAGGATGCTCCGCGCTTGATCAACTGACCGAAGTCACGCCGACGAGCCATACCCGGCGTGGTGGTTATGCTTCTGCTCTCACTACCCGAAGCCATGCAACTCCGCAATTTTTCTGGGCCCACAACGTAAATGTGGAGAAGGAATTGCGAAAATATTCGACCGAAGTTGTCTTCGGGCTGAAAAACTTTGGGGCATCGGCGGATTGTCGGACCTCACGTCGATCGGATCCTTACAAATCCACATTGGAACTTATGACTGTAGTCAACCTAATTTCTTCAATCTCAGAAGTGTCGTGACACGACAAGTCGACGCTCGAAGCAGGTAATTATACATGAAGATGGCGAATGCATTGTTTCCGGTTGAGAAAAAGATGATCCTCCTCCCGGGGTAGCTGTGATCTCACCGGAATTAGACCTGTGAATTCATGTCGCTGAGCTTTATACGTGGCCACGAGGAGCTGTACCTAAGAGGTACACCCGTTGAAGATGTGGTGGGTTGGATGATTAAACTACAATATGGGTAGTTACTAGGATAGCCGACAGACTTATAGACAAGAAGCTGCCGCTGTATGTAACGTTAACACTTGGAGCGCAGTTTAGTAAGCCATTAGGTGCACCAATAGAAATCGCAGTGAATCTGAATTACTATGAAGCCCCTAGCTGGCAATTTGACTAAGTAAGTAGATGGGCAGTTTTACTTGACTAATGACGGAGCAGCAGGATTGGGGGATACCCGGAAACGGAGATACTATAGATCCATTAGGGCTAGGCAAGTAAAATTGCCCTTCAAATTGCCAGCTAGGAGCTTCGTAGTTGTCAAAGGTTAGGCCAATTGGACCATAAGCTAGGCTAAGATTGGAAGAAGAAATTCTACCGGAACCAACAGAAAAAGAGTTGATTGATTAAAGAAAGAAAACTCTGTGTACAAAAATCGAAGAAGGTCCGGGTTGAGCCATCCTTGTGTGGTGTAACCGAGTATTCGGAGTACGGTACCGAAGTCGAGGTGTTACCACTTTTACATACAAATACGCAGTCACTTTTGATATTCACGTGACAAATCCGAAGTCACTGAAATGCAAGTATCCCCTTTTCAACGACAGTAGTAATTCAGACTGATTGCGATTTCCAATTGATGAACCCATGGCTTAGTAAAACTTCGTTCCGTCAACTAATCCTGATGGATCTATAGTATCTCCGTTTTCCGAGTATCCCTCAATTCTGCTGCTCCGTCACGTTAAGAGAGGCGTGGTAGCTAAAAAGGGTATAGACTACCCGCAGCGACGGCCGTAACATCCCCCATTAAAATTAATCCAGCTAACCTCTACCCTCAAGGGTTCACCCCTTCTATATAGAAATCCTATGATCGAATTGAACAAGGAGATATTTTGAGTAGATCGAATTGAATAGCTTAAAAATCGCAATTAAGAGACCTCAAGATTTTACCTGCTTAGGGACCGGGAGGGGGAGGCGCGCAGTGTCGTGGAACCTTTTTTAAGCGGAACACCACCCCGATGACGGGCCCGAACATATTCAGTGACCGGTGGGCACCGCGTAACACTGGCTTAGTGTCGGAATATAACCAATGGATGAATCGTTCACGTCCTGAGTTAAGACTAACACTTTCTTGCAAAATCACAATAATCAATGTATTCTCACTGTGGACACCATGAGTGAGTGGCGACTGAGTATTCATGCCATAGAGAATTAACAGAGACACCCTTAGATCCAATAAGAAACGGCTCATTCTAAATTCGTCAGGAAACATCCGGAAAAAAATGGCCACCAGTACAATGCAAAGCATCAGCTATGAAATGTCTGTTTTCTCCAAGGGTTGTCCGCTATCATCAAGAAGTTCGCTGTCTTCATCGATACCCTTCCACTTAGTGATGCCATCATGGATGTCTCTCAAGCGATTCTCGTAGAATATATGACACCTACATATGAAATCAGTTAAGATAGAAAAAAACAGAGGATTAGGGCTTACGATGGTAAGAAAGTAGCAATACGCTCGCGCTGCTCGTCTGGCGAGTCAGAGAAATCGATAAGCTGCGGGAACAGCAGGCACATATTACGCCCTTCATCCATGATCGGAGTCCGGCATATTGCGCATGAGACTTTCGTGGGGGTTTGATATTTAGTGTTTCTCTCTTTGGCGGCATAGAATGAGAGCCCGCTTGTTCCATTATCGAACCGCACATCTTCCTTTGGGAAGATGGCAGCCCATTGGAAAGGAGCACCGTGCATGACCTGGCATCCGCGACAGTGACAAAATTTTGCGTTTAAAGGTTTTTCTCGTCTGAGCCTATATGAGATCTTGCCACACTGACAATGGGCTCGCCATTTTGTCTCTCCAAACTCGGACAGAGGCAGACTTGCATAAGGAGGTCGGTTGCTGGGATCTTCGTCTTGGAAGGTATACTCGGGCGGATTTTCGAGGGAGGGTGAGTCCATCGAGGTACTGGCAGAAAATCCCATCGCGGAATTCATGGGGCCGAACCAAACTCTTTTTGGAAGTAAACATCCACCAACAGTTAGGTGTATCGATAATTAAAATTGTAGCCTCGGTTGTTAAAAGCAAAAAACCATCGCCCCTTGACTTTTTGATGGTATGAACAGTAACTGGCAATTAGAATGAAAGAGTACAGCGCTCCTCATTGCAGCATCACTGAGCCTTATATAATCGAGACGAAAAACTCCTATTCCAAGGAATTGAATATTTTAAGTTGTCCTGTATCAAGGTTGGTGGAGATATCCATCACCATGGCTGCCATGACGTATTGACAGACGAATAAAATTTTACCTGTTTTTCCAAAGTACCCTCCTTGAAATTATTCAATAAATCCTGATTCTTCAGGGTTTCACCTTCCTGTTTAGAAATTCTACAACTTGATTTGACAGAACGTTAGTTCGGACATTTTCATAATTAATTAAGCTAATAGCCCCAATCGAACTATGTCCATATTAGCCTTCTCTGGATGGCCCGGGTGAGAATAGGGTAGTTTCTCTGGGCGACAGCTATGCTTGTTGTTTCTTCCAGCACTACTCGACCATCTATTTTTGCTTCTTGCAGACGCTGCACTTCTTTGCCTTCCCTGAACCGACATATTACTTAGGACTGGCGTCACCTGGTTCAGCATCCTTCGCGCACACCCTTAGAGAGAACACATTCAATAGCATACGTTGTTGCATATGTCGTTGAGCTCCTGTAGCGCTTTTTCAGTAGACCAGAGAGTCTTTTCTTCAGTAGCCTTCATCTGGGCAAGGGTTCAGTAACCGCCAAGGCCCTCCTGAATTAAGCAATTTGAGATACCCCTTTGGGATCTCAACCAATGCTTCTCTGATACTGGGCGTTTCGAGCCCCTCCGAAACTAGAGCCAGCAATGAGCACGATCATCGTCCATGTCAATTGCGGACCCTGCTGTACTGTGGATGTCGGGTTTTCAAAAATGTCTCTATTCATCTCGCTGAGGCGCATGCTGGCCATTTATCCCCACGGCTGATAGCAATACTGCCATCGGCGTTTAACCCTGACAAGTAACCCTCCAGTTAAGCCAAAATTTTAGAGAAGCAAGATATCAGTAAAGCGGAGATTTTTGGAGCTTAATTGTGACGGTAGATGATGGATCTATTCAGTTTGCTAATTTGCTATGAATGACTGAACTAGGCTCGTCGATTTCCTCGAAGTTGATTAACTCATTCTGATTGAGTTGAAAGCTTTTGAGCATCCATCGTTTGATCAACGAAAATCAGATCTTACTAAGGGTCAATCTCCAATTGAAAACGAATAAAATCTTTTCCCCTTACTTGTGGTGTCGTGTGTAGAGAGGAGCTAGAAAAAAAATCTGTAATACTCAATCAACGGAACCAAAAGCTGAGACCAGATCGACAACATGTTAAGAGTTAAGGAAAATCGATTCGAAAACGTCGTGATGTGTTACAGAATCCGTTATCAATGCGGCTGACTGACTAACTGTGAATCGGACGTCTGCATTAGAGCCTTGGCTAAGCATAGGTATAACAAGAAAGCAGCCAACTTTGTCATAATAATGCATCATGCTTACGTCTATCCGATGTGAGGGCCACTTAAGTCTCAAAGTGACCCATACCTAACTTTTGACTCCAGTGTTATGCTATCTGGAGGCTCTTGCATTCCTAAGGCACGGTCTCTCCCCGAATCTGTCTGTGAAAGCAGATCTGTCACTTAACTAGAAACCTGTCCCCATAGCCTGCCACACGACATCATAATCAGTACGAATGCTAAAGACTGTTTGGAGCATGTAAGCCGTTCGTAGGCTTCAATGCCTCGATGCGAAGAAAACAACCGAAAGCATAAGCCTCGATGCGAAAGCCTCGATGCTTCGATTATGAGATTCCTCTCTAATCACTGGATTCTACTATAGAACAGACGGAAGGAAGGTCTTGAGATGAATGAAAATGAATTCAGCTCCCTAGATTAACAGTGGCAAAAGGAGCGTTTTAAATAACAGAGTCATAGAGTGGTTCAGGCAGTTGGACTTCTTCAAGGAAAGAGGGCAAGATCCATTTGCAAACCAGCAGTATACAGCCAAAAAAAGAATAAGGAGAGATCTCTGTTGGAGGGGGGTCTGGCAAAGGTTTTCCAGCGGGGAAAAAGATGGTCCGGCCACGGGCCGAACAGCAACCTAAGCACCGCACACCACGCATAGGCACACACTGACGTACGTGAACACTCACACAGTTAACTATACACACATATAGGCTGACAAATCCAGGTCTAGGTGTGCCCAAATTGATCCACCAAGGCCATTCTTCAAGAGCATGCTTGGATGACCTTGGCTGATACCCCCAATACGGATGATTGAAGGCCATTAGCATTGCTTAATCGGCTCAGCTGGAACACTATCAGCAACAGTATTTGGTTATAGAGAGCTCGGAGAATGTGGAATGACTTACGGCAGCCATTGGGCTTAAACTGCTTCTTGGCCCACCCCTTTGGAGTATGGTACCAATCCCTTTTGAAAGTGGTCAGCGCAGATTCGTGCTTTTTCAAGTCCATGCCGAACTTACTGGTGTTTGCAGAGACCTTCAAAATGATCGCCAGGCTGAGCTTTGCCGATATGACGGCTGAACCTAGTTGGGCGCTTGTAGTAGTCGAATGACTTGGTGATCTTGCAGCGGTCCCCGCCAGAGCCATTGTTGCTAGAGCTACCAGCGGCGGCCGAAGCGGCGGCGGCGGCGACTTCCTTTCCGCCTTTACCAGCGGAAGCCGCGGCGGCGGCAGCAGCGGCAGCGGCATTTCCTTCGCTACCAGCTGCAGAAGCGGCAGCAGCTGCTGCTGCTGCAACAGCCTGTCCACTACCACCAGCAGTGGCAACTGAAACTGCAACGGAGACAGTGACAACTTCACCTCCACTACCACCAGCAGACGCGGCGGCGGCGGCAGCGGCGGCAGCAGCAGCTCCTCCATTACCTCCAGCGGAAGCAGCGGCAGCAGCAGCGGCGGCGACAGCTCCTCCATTACCTCCAGTGGAGGCTACAGCGGCAGCAGCGGCGGCGGCAGCGACATTCGGTCCACTACCACCAGCGCTGGCTGCAGCAGCGGCAGCAGCGGCGGCGGCACCTCCTTCCTTACTTCCACCGGCGGCGGCGGCGGCGGCGGCGGCGGCGGCAGCAGCATCTTTTCCAGTACCACCAGCAGCGGCGGCGGCGGCAGCAGCAGCGGCAGCACTGCCTGGAACCCCTGGAATTTTAGGTGGTGGATTCTTCTCCATTCTCTCTTCCAGAGAGAGGTCGGTATCCGGGGATGCAACCGGAGCTGCGACTGCCAAGTGCGTAGCAACTTGGAGCAGCACAGTGAGGGAATAGAGCAAAGACTTCATATCGAAAGATTCAGGTGATTGTCAGATGGTTCAACACAATCTTTGTTTTTCCAATTTCAAACTCACACAGATAGGTTATCCGCGTAGCTTTTATATTGACCAGTGGCGACATGTCTTAGAATCTATGTTGCTGATATCAACTGCAAGGTTCCATCGACCGATGCCTGGAACCCAAGAGGATCTTGGGACAAGTACCCCGCGTTTCTCATTGAGTTTTTTCTTGGTTCCGGACCCGGAATTCACTACAGATGTCTCATGAACTTGGAGAAGGCTCCTCTTTGGTACTGAGCTATGGGTGAAGGTTCCAACTACAATACTTGTTCCAACAGATGCCGGTTTCTACAATCATCGTGCAATTCACGGTATACCACAAGAACTCACTTCTGGGGCCTAGGCTGATGATTGACAAGTGTCTATTAATAGCAATCTGAAGCTCAAACCTACAAAACACGTCAAGTCGTTGACGAACACCTCGTATCTACTTCCAAAAATTTCCACAATTGGCTTTCCGCTATGAAGATCAGTTCCATGGGCCGCAGAGCCTGAGGCTTTGATGGTAGGCTTGAACCAAATCTATACCATCTACTCATGAGGATCCGGGGAATGCTAATACGTTCGCGTGCATTAGGAAAATGGAGACAGGACTGAGACACTCCGACCTTGGCCCTTGCGCTCACGCATAGGATACGCCAAGCCCAACATATGCCCGTTTGTTTAATTTGGGGCAATTATCTTGGACGTCAGTCTAAATCACGGAAACTCAATCAAGTGGAACTAGGTGAGTGCCGCCACCGCGCTGCTGATGGTAAGTTGATCAAGAACAGGGTTCCAATCCTAGTCTGTTGAAGTGATAATTCGCCATTCAATGTATCCAGTTTGAGAGCCTTCAAACAGTCATAAGCTAGCATACTAACTACTGAGTAGTCTAGAGCCCCTTTGAAAATTGAAGAGGGTTGCCAAATTAGTACTTCATCAGTGTGGCCGGGACTTGAACGGCAGGAAAGTCTATGGATCGACTGAGCAGTTAGAGACGTGCGATATAAAGCGGCTCATTGGCGGAGTCCATGTTGGCAATCCGTTGATCGGTCTGAATCAGACCACACTTTGCCAAGCCTGCTTGGTTGAAGAAATGGGGGATTGGTGAACTCTGGGTGGACTTCCTCCGATCATCTTGGTGCTTGGCAAGTCTTGGCATTGACAAAGTCGCCTCAACCTGCCATAAGCTTTCTGCACCCCACCTGTCTAATTATAGAGCCTCTTTTTTCGGAGAAATCTAAATATTGATTCGTACGGATTCGTGCGGGGGGGAAGCTTGGAACCATGGGCTGTGTTAGATCTGGGCCTTGGTTCGATATTACAGCAGTTCTGTTTAGCAGTCATGGCCGGCCAAAAGTAAGAGCACAGCCCCCCGACCCCGGAATTCCTCCCGCAAGAGCCCAAGATCCAGACTCTCCCTACCCTGACGTCGTGAGGTCAGCTCCAAATTTCTGACCAATTGCGAGACCCTCGCCCCTCGCCAACTCTCACCCGAGTGACCGTCGCTGATCCTCCTAGACCCTTGTTTTCAGAAAATATCCACGCCGTTCCTAGATTGGACGGGTAGATTTCTGACTTCACCCTGTTCAGAGAAGCATCAAGTGTTTTTCTTTTTTTTTTTTTAAAAAAACTTGGTCCCCTTTAATCACTAGCCGGTGACCGTCGCGAGGGCCGTGCTTAGCCAAGACCCTCTTTGCGGGTAAGGCAAGTAGACCCTTAAGCACCCTTAAGCCTCATCACCAGGGTGTTGGGTGACCGATCCGCGGGCGACCTCGACCCAGCCCATCCGCTTCAAGGGCTACATAATCATCGCCTCGACTATTTGCTGGACCTTACTTGCGCTGTTTGATGAGTGTCATTCGTATTTGGTTGAATGGCAAGAATAACGAGGAGTTTTGTGACTACCTTTCCACGACGCGATTGGCATTTTGAGGCCTCAAGATTTGTGGTCGCTTAGAATGCTATCCGCAAGATCCCTTTCCAATCACTCGTAGACCATATTCAGAAGGCGTCATGTCTATCGACCTGCGACTTGGAGCTGATCCCATTGGCCTCGTAAAAGCCGCACTGTGATTTGCCGAAAGTTCCCGGGAACGAGAGAAGAGTTTATTTCGCGGGTGGAGTCAGCGCCCCGTGCGGGATTGAAGACTTGCTTTTGCTTGCAGCATCGGCGGGAATCCTATTTGTCATGTCGCACAGAATGATCGGCAAGAGTTGTAGGGCCTTGAGATCAATGACACGTTGAATTGGTCTCGTCGAATGAAGAAGCAGGTGAGAGCCAGTCAATTCTACGAGATGTCATCTAGTCGGTTGCAGGAGATGCATTTGCAGCAGCTAGCAGAATAAAACTGCATCTCATACTCAACATGATTCTACAGCTTGAAAGGTACCCACTGTGGCTTCTGCTTCTTAGCAAACGCCTCTAGGCCAATACGTGGATTATCCCAAGAACGAAGAGCGTCCGAGTACTTTTCCAAAGTTGAGCATATTGCGCCAAGGACATTGCAATTTCTCACAGGCCTCCCGTAATTCCGCGCACGAAATGATGATAGCATCTGGGGACATGCTTGCAAAAGACTTGGCTAGCTCCAAAGCCTCCGGGAAAGTGCTCTCGGGAGTGGCAGCTGATCGATGCATCGGGTTGCCTATGCATTGAGTCTGCTGCCGGTTATCCTCTTCATTGCCTCGAGGTCTTGGGTGATGTTTCATTCCTCTTGTTACGGATGATGCTGGTTGTTTCCAGGGCCAGCTCTTTGCATGGACTATATAGACCCCTTTCCTGTTTTTCTTCCTTGCTGTTCGGTACAAGGTAACTCTAGGAATTCCTTAAAAGTAACATGGCGGTGGGAATCGGTGGCTATGTTCTGGACACGAGCGCCGCGCAGGCCGAAAGATTGGGGAATCTTTCCACGCCCTGTGTAAGGCCTTGTTCCCATTTGTAGTAAAGAAGATCAATATGTCCCTCGTTATGGCACTACTTCAAGTGATATTGGAGCGTACTACAAGATAGTGAAACGAATAAATTTATAACAGTATTGGCACCTTTCCTGGGGGTGCGTGGAAAATACATAGCCTGAGACTTCCAACGTTGATTTACAAGGAAAGATTCATTCACGAAATGAAGCAAGTTTCAGCTCCCCTCACGGTCGTTCCAGCCACTTCTCCGTGGCCTTGGGGTTACCGGAGTGTCCAAGGAACCCGCTCTCGTTCTCTAGCTGAAACGTGAGCTTCCCGCCGACTGTCAGCGGTGCCTCGACGATCAAGTAGGTGGTTGGGTCACGAAAGAGTTACGCTGTGCCGGGGTCAAGGGCAGCCTTGAAGTACTTTTTGCGCAGGAAGAGCCGCATCAAGCGGCCTTCGTGGCCCACGGCCGTTGCAAAAAACGGACTATGTGCTCTATCATGAATGCCGAGCACACCTTCGCTCACGCCGAAGAACTCGTAAATACAGTCGATGTCAAAACTTTCCTAGAAGGCGTCTGTGTATTCAGGTATATTCTATTACTATACATGACTTTGAAATTATACACTCTATCTAGAGGACTAGGCGGCGGCCCGACAAAATCTGGCTGTTGGTTAGCTTCAGTAGGAATAGAGGTAAAAAGAGAAGAGGAGAGGTTAAGGGTAACAATATATAGCGTGCAGTCTCGCTAACATAGATGAAGAGGGCTGTCTACGGCTGGGGAATTTCCCTCCCAAATGTTAAGACACTGAACTCCCTCGCTAAGCAGAGAGTAATACCATCATATATTGCGACCATGCTGGTCACATAGCCTGTCCCGTGATACTTACGCACGTAAAAACCCAGTGTAAGCCCCCGATGGCACAAAAGGAAGGAGGTGGAGTGATGGTAATTTACCAAAGGGATGCAATGCACCATCGCCGCCTGCTTATATTCAGACCGGATTCTATTAACTGTGTTAGGCTAAAGATTACAAAATGCACTCGTTGCCAGTGGGACGTTTCTCTACCTTCGGACGTTCGATTTAGCTGACATGTCCCGCTTGCCCAAAAGGCGAGTGATCAAGCCATTTACAGGACGTAAAATGGGCAGGCCTCTACAAGACGATTTGACAACATGATCCAATTTACACAGCTTGCATTCGGCGTGTCTTCAGTAGAAATGAGGGAGATGTAAAGTCCACACGTCCGCAAAAAGTAGATTTTATATCATCATCCTTTCTTTTTCCACTGGAACAAAGTGACAAATTCAACCGAACCGACATAAGAAGTACCTCCTGTCCAGCCGCTATAATCCATTATTTTTCAAAAAGCCAAGCATGACGCCGTATGCCGCAGTTGAATTGTGATGGAGATTCAATGCGTGTCCTGCATTGGGGTGGATATACCTAGCAAGGGGACTTGCCTTGGGGAAGACAGCTGTAGAAGGAGAGTCCGCCGCGTCCAGAACACCATAACAATTACCACCGCAAAATGACAGATCTTGTGCGCCATTTATAATCTGAAAAACACACAGTCAGTTTTTGATCCACAGCTTGTCTTACGGTGGTAACCATTGAGGTGTTGTTGCAGGCGATCACGTACCAGAACAGGACTAGCAAACTCTGGAGCCGCAAGAGAAGTGACACCAAATGAAAGTAGTTCGGCAATCGTAAATGGTGCCTTGTTAAGCTCGGCTTTGTGGAGAACAGACCCATCAAAGTTGGGGTAGCTGAAAGCCGCACACTGGTTATCAAACTCGTTACCCCAGGTCAGATAGCCAGAGTCATACTCGTGAAAGCTAAGGGGTTTGTTGAGTCGTGCTACTTCGAATCCATAACACAATTGGAAATAGCTTGACCAGGAAAAGTCGTGACCGAATCCGGTGAGGATAATACCATCGGACAGAGTTGGGTACGTTGCTGCGAGGCTGTTCGTGATTAATGAGCCAAAGCTGTGGCCGATATGAACGAGTTTCTTGGGAGTCAATATTTTTGACGAGAGCTTCCCGTCTTGCAAAAGCTCTGAGACCTTTGCTAGAATTGCGACCTGGGTTGCGGCTTGTACGTCAAGGTAAGGGTCTGCAAGCTCAGATTGTCCGACACCTAGCCTATCGTAGGATAAGGTAGAGTACCCAGCCGCAGTGGCAGATGCAATGTAACTGTATCCTTCAAAGTCCCAGTAGCTACTTTCAATATTAGTACGTGTCTTTGATAGTCAGGTAATAACTCACGATTTATCGAACCCAAGGCCATGAGTCAAGACTTGCATGATGCCGTTTCGCGATGCGCGCCGATCAGGCTCGCAGTAACGGAAATTTATTTTGTAAGCTCGGTTTATTTTTAATTCACCAGCTACAAGATTTTGAACATTTGCCGTGCGAGCCACGGAGTTCACAAGCATAGATGTGGACTCGGAATTATCATGGAAAGGAGGAATAGTAAAGTTTGTGATCGGTGTAGAGACTTGAATTGGGAGGATGAAGTCGAAGCACAGCGGCCTGGCAGCTAAGGCTGGTGGCAGCAAGATGGCGACTGTGATCAGCCAGAGAGAAAGCATGATTTAAAGCCGCTTTTGTCCTTTCCGTTTTGTTTTTCTTGTTTGAGATGACAGCAGTGCAGCACTGATAGTGGGTGCCTTTATATAGCTGTGGTTGAAACTGATAATGTGAAGGTAAGGCTTGGGTAAGCATTGATTAAGCGGACTTGTGCCTGCTTAGCGTAGGTGCTTCATTTATTACCAGCTTTGGCATTGCCCAGCCGCCCTGGCCGCCACGCCTGTAAAGACATTGTGGACAGGGTGAGGCTTAGTCATGATTACTCCTGACGAGACAAGTCAGACATACCTGCCACACTACGGAAAAGCAAAAAGGGATACAACATCATTAGCAATTTGAAGGCACGGGAAATTGTGTGAATTCTGCGTTTTCAAAGTACGGGGAAAATAACACTGCTCGCTAGATGGAACTCAAATTAGCTAAAGAGTGCGCTGAAGCGAACTTTGGTGAGAGTAAGCTCACGTGCACGTGCGCGTTCCGCGGTGTGGACACGGATCTCTCTGGATTACTCCGTGCAGGATATTGAATCACCTAACGCATACGCGCGAGATTACGACGGATGCACATAATACTATAGATGGTTAGCTCAGCACGATGTGGACAGGTGGAAGAAAGGAGGGTATCATTCAAGTTCTTGAATAGCCAGACCTATCTCCTCATCCCTGCAAAGTTGCCGTTTCGCACCGTCAAATTGAACCGATCCCCTGCAGTCGAGATCTAAAAGACGAAAATTGGCAGCTTTAGGAATACGGAGCATCCACTCGGCTTAGGTAATTAGCCGCTAGCTGAGCTATGTAGATTCTCTTACCGAGATCTGTCTTTCTTCTCCAGTCTCATTCCTAATGGAATATCCGTTAGCAAAAAAAGGAAGGAAATCGCCAACGCGCTACAAGATCAGCATAAACAGACTTGTTCTCGTTCGTTTGATAGTAATCCACAAAAGTTTCATCGAATTCTTCTTACCATCTCTAAATTTTAATTCTCTCGTCATGTTAAAGCATACAGCCCTGTGCCCATCTCTACGCTTGAAGCGGGAGGATCAAGTAGCATAGGCCAAGAAGAGTAGGACATCGCTCACGTGTAACGAATGTCGAAAGAGGCGAACTAAGGTAGGTTTTATGAATATCTAGCATGCCAGAATGAGTGACTTTCCTAGTGCTTGGATTCGTGTCCTTGTATGAAATGCGTGGCGAAAGCTTGTCAGTGTATCGACCGAAGAGGGGAATTCCATAATTCCATACCGTAAAACCTAAGTAATCCCGGGTTTGTCTTCAACAAGTAGTGGCTGCACTACGTTCTCTTTGCTAATCGGGTTTCACTTTTCATCTCAGAGATACAAAGCTTCCAAATAATTCAGAAGGCAGTGGTTCATGTCATGAGAGCGGCGAGAGAAAATATGATTAAGGTGGTTTAACGTTTTAATTTTGGATTTGAACGTATATTATATCTTTTCCTGGTCGACACCGTTTATGAGAGGGGCGTTGAGATTCTCGTACGTGATGGCTCTGTCTGAAGGGCCGACGTCTATAGACCCGCAGAGACAGTCACCAAAGATCCTGTCCCGATCCTCCATGCGTGGTCTCCGTATGAGAAAAGTGGCACTGGTAAGTATGCTTCCTTCGCGAAACGTGTGGAATTCCAAAGTGCATTCCAAATGCTGAAATGCGCATATTGAAATATTTGCTCTGGATATTGTGCCTGGTAGAGTTAGGGCTTCGCTTTCCCACACATCTGGATATGAGTGCTTCGAAATTCTGGACCAGCCGAATGGCCATGCGGGGAATATGCAATTGTCAACATCAACCCTAAGAGTTCATTTGATTCTGAGGATGATCTAGTGTAAAGTTGAATCTTACCAAATTGGTGACCTTGTGCCATTTTGCTGCACTTTCAGGGCTAGGTCTAGCTTGGTGCAACACTAGTAACGATAATTAAAACGTCCACTAATCCTGGGAAAAAAAAAGGTAGCATTCAAGTAAGGCTGGCCGCAATAGGATTAATGTCATTGAATACCTAGCGAAGCTACCGTAGTGTAATGGAAAGATTGCATTAGTCGGAAAGCCCTGGGTGGCTATAGATCAGTAATTTATTACGGCAGGGCGGCCTCCCTATCCAACCTGTGTTGCCCTTCTTGGGGGCACAAGTAATCTTTACAGGGAGAGTCTGTGTCGAGATGGTGTTCCATATACTGCATTCTGGGGGCTCCTAGGAGGATCCTTTTTACGGTATCATTCAGCCCCAATCGCGTGGCTCCCTTTAAATGAAGAAGCATTTTATGTAATGAGATTTTAAGGCCTACACAAGACGGAAGATGCAGTGGCTATGCTTGAAAAATACCCGCTGCAGAATGGCTTTTAGGGAGACGACAAGAGAGCCGACTTGAGCAGAATCCAGCACGCACGCCGCGCCGGAGAGCGTAGTGCGGAGTTAATGTGCGCCCCGGCAGAAGCTGCAGAGAACCAGGAGTGCCTTTTCCCGTTGCGCTCCAGATCGCAGAGAATGGGAACCAAAGACACCAACTTTACACCCGCGGCTTGCCTCCGCAACTGGGAATCATCCCGAGTGAGGGAAGTAGGGATGCACTGACAGACGTCGGTTACGATACCGGCCACCATGGTCGGCTTCTTGCCAGTGACCTTGATGGCCGCACAGAACGCAGGGTTGTCTCACGCATCTACCTCACCATGGCGTTGAATCAGAGGGGCCTAGAGGTTGATCCCATAGCCCACTCTCTACCAGAGATTACGTTCTCCGCACCTCATGCTCAACCACCGCATGGCTATCCTTCCTCGACCCGACTCCCATTCCCTGCTCCTCGCCACCCAGTATCCCCTGCCCATCACTCTGCTGTCCAGCCCGTCCATCATCATTGTAAGTCTTCCCCTCCGGCCCAACCTTGACCTCCGAATCCAAGAGGTCCCTAACTATGTCTCTCAACACCACCGAACTGGGAACCATCCCTTCTTTGTTGTCCCCTCTCCACGACCCAGACGCCTCATACAATCCGTGAAGCAGCACTAGGACTTCCTCCGCAACCCACTGCTCGGTCTTGTACCTCCCCTTCCCCTCTCGCCCACGCACCCGCGCCACGACGTAATCCACGTTCGACCCAACGAGGATGATCGCCCCGCACACCGCGACCGCCAGTGCCAGTCCCAGCACGGAGAAATTCTCGTACCCGGCCGCGTTATGCACGAGCTGGTTCGCGCACTGGGCGCGGCCGTAGCTGTTCAAGGGGGCGGTGACGTTCCACCCCACGGAGGAGGCGTCGAGCAACGAGCTGGCTGGAAAGTTGCGGGGGGCCGTGGCCCATTCGACGGCCCAGGCTTGTTCTTTGGCCAGGGAGGTGGCGAACCAGGTGCTGACTTCGGTTTGCCATTGGGTGGGTGGGATGTAGAATTGGATGTTTCCGTGAGCGATTGCGGATGCTGTTATTTGCTTGTTAGTGAGACGTGATGGCGTGGGAACGGGATGAGACAGAGAGGAAGGCTATTAATTACGGTTCAAAGTCTGGAAGGTGGGCTGGCGTGGATTGAACTTACCATTCAAAGCCGCAGCCCCGCGCCCATTCACATTCGAATACATACTTCGGTCGTTATTACCAGACAAAAATCGCCCAATTGTCGCGATCTGGGCCCCGTTAAACCCGAGATACTTGGTCGGGTCGGTGTTGAAGCTCGCAAAGGCCGTACTCAGGATCCCGCCGAGCTGGGTGCACTGGGTCGTCTCGTTGCCAGATCGGTTCGGGTTACAGATTTGATACTGGTCAGTGCAGACGAGCAGGTTTGCAAGATAGCTCTTCGTCCACATCGAAGTAGTGAAGTTGGTACTGTCCAAGCTATAGGTCGCGGGCTCGAGGGCGGTCATCCACGGGTCATAACTCGGTTCCAGATAGCCCATGTCATTTTGGTTGAGCATCATCATCGTGATATCCGCATCGGTGGTGTTGATGACGGGGTCGGGGACCCAGGCCTGGGTGGCGTTGAGAAGGCCCGTCGGGTCGGCTTTTGCGAAAGCGGCGCTATATGTGTGGATTTAGTTATGGAGCCTCTTGTTGCGTTCACAGCAAGGATGGTTCAATCTCAGAAGGGCGGAATGTCTGACCGTCTTCTTACCTTAGCGTATAACCTACTCCGTCGAGGCTCGGGATCGGGGTGAAGGAGAAAGTGTAGTTGAGGTACTCCGACCCCTCGGCGTACTGCCCGCCCGCGTTGATATAGACGATCAATCCATCTTCCGAGGAATTCCGAGCGGTTGCCAACCCGGCACCGTGCTTGATCGGGGCACATGTGGTGACCCGGCGATACTTGATTCGATCGACCAATTGGGCATTGATGCCAAAGTCCGCGTGTGAGTCAAGGAAGCCGGTGTCCATCTGCAGGGCGGCGTGGCTGTTATAGGTACACAGATCGGGCGCATAGGGGCAAGAGGCATTCGGATTGATACTGAACGGGAGGTTGGGTCGGACGTAGCTGTTGCAGTCGAGCTCGCTTGCATTCTCGCGGTAGCACCGTCGGACGTAGGTCGCGGCGTCGTAGGTATCCTGGAGACTTTTGCTGTTGGCCACGCTCACATCGGTGGCGTTATACTCGTATCCGCCGCATCCTGGACCCCAAATGAGAGTCGATTGACCGGCCGCCTTGGTGATGTAGCTCGTAAACAAACTCGACACTCCGAATAGACTGAGAACAAGGATTGGAAGTATCGCCAAGGGGACAGTCCGTCTCAGTGCCTGCGGCTTGGATAGTGTACGCTCGTCTGCAAAGGGAAGCTTCAACAGAGCCCAAGCCGCAGAGGCAGCACCTTTATTGCGTAAGATGGCCTGGCTCAGGTAGTGTAAGGCATCTCGTTGCTGGCCCGGATCCGTCGTTCTCAGTTGATGAAGGGCAAAGCTCAGAATGCTCCAGAAGAAACCACCCGTGACGCTGACGAGAATGGCGAGAAACGCGCTCAAAACTCCAGAATTCGTCTGGGACAAGGTCAGAGTGAGTCCTTGGATCGAACCCTCGGACCAGTTGGTCCAGACTCCGGTGTAGGTATGCACTCCGGCAGACATGATGAGGATGACGAGGATGATATTCTTCTATGGCAGTAATGTTTACGCCGGGACAAATTATTCACGGGATGAACTCTGAACTCAATCGCTCCGAATATTCGAGCTGATTTTAAGGATATCATGACCCCAGGTGTCGCACCGCAGGCTGACTGCAAGGCACCGTGTCGAGCAGGGTGGCCTGCCACGGCTGACTTGTCGGACGACTGATCACCAATCGTTCCTTGAGACATCTTGTTTTCTTTCACTCAGCTGAGAAACCTCTCCTTCATTTCATGCACGGCGGATGATTCACCAAAAATTGCATTTGTCGATGCACGTTTGAAGGAGTCGGTGGACCCTAAATTCCAGGGTCCAGTTTCGCATCGGGACAAAATACCCGACCCCGCCCACGACCTCCAAGGAGCCAATCAGGGTTCGAGTGATCCTGTCAGCATCTGTGGAAATCAAAGCCCCAAGAATCCACAATCGAAACTTAATCGGGCAGGGTCCTTCCACTCCTTATTCGGGATCCACGTGAGCGGCCCGGGGCGCGTCCTTCAAAGCCATCAAAGCGCAGTCCGTAAATTCGAAACGAGAGACTGCGATGAGTCTCGTTTGATTCAGTGGAAGGGGGATCTCAAGGCGTGGAAGCTTTGCACCGCGGTTTGGGACTAGGGCCACGGTCGCTTATGCATTCCTTGTGAGGCGCCGGAATACGAATGGTGGCGTTACCAAGCGAGGCCTTAGCCTACACTCCGTGTCATGATTGACCGATTTTGAGACCCCTAAAATATTTGGGCTTCAGCGGGGGATCGGGTTGATGGCCTTCTCCGTTATCATCTCAGGAGGTCATTTGATGTTTTGACCTGTGTTGTCATGGACTTTGGAAGGATCGGACAACTGACACGTGGTTGTGGGGATCCCTGGCTTTGAGGTTCATCGAGTGCTTGGATAGCCTCAACCTGAATGTCTTGCCCCGGGCGAGGATTTTAGAATCTGAAGAGCTTGGATGGCGGCGCGATTATCGGTGAATATACCGGTGCACCTCTGTGGAGGAGCGTTTGACTGGCTGGGAGGCCATTAGAACGGGTGGCTGTTTTGGGGCTCTTTTCGGTGGGCGCTATTCGCACGAAGCGTGGGTTTTCATGAATCGAAAAGAGACATCGCACTTTTCCAGCCGGCCAGTCATGAGCCGGCGGGTTTCTCCCAGGGTCACTGGGCTTGATTGAGTGTTGATTCGCCTCATGCATTCCCGGGAGGCTTCCTCCAGCGACTGAAGAATTAGCCGATGAGGCAGCCTTTGAAAAAGTATATATAACTGGGCCCCGTCCAACGCTCAAGACTGACCAGAGCGTTGAACCAGCGTGGCACAATATAACAACTCTCCCACGATGGCTCCTCCGGTGTATGCTACCGTATCAACAAACAACTTGGGACCACCGCAAAGGATCACCGGGAAATATGCGAACATTTTCCTGGGATTCCTAATTTTAACTCTTCCTCTCGCGGCTCTCGTTGCTGCTCTTCTCGTGCTCATCTATCACTACCGAGTGGAGCAGATCACGCCTAGCGGGTTCTCGATCGGGTCTGGGACCCCGCAAGATGACCACGGAGCGTTATATGTCGACATCAACCCGACAATACTCATGAAAGTTGCATCGCTGTCGAGTACCATCGCTGGATTTTTGACAACCGTTGCTGCTGGATTAGCCGCGTACCCTCTAGCGTCGGCGGTGCTCGTCAAGACTAGAGCCGAGAACCCGGACGCGCTTTTGTCGCCCTTCCACTATTATCTGGCGCTGGATCTGATCGAAAATGCCGGGTATTTTACCGTCTGGCGGTGGCTCAAGTTTCGATTCAGCAAGAGTCAGAAGCAGACTAATCCTCCTCCGCAGTTGATCAGTATGGGGAGAATAGCCTGCGTGACCCTGATGTTTGGGTAGGAGAAATTCCCCTGTCCCCTCTAAAGCGGCCAAACGGTACTAAGAGTGGCGTTCAAATAGAGCCCTGATCTTTGTAGGAGATACCTGGTTACACTTCACCACGGATCCCACGGAATTCACTCAATTTGGCTCCCTTCGCAGCGACGCGGCCGCATACAGCATGATTCTCAACTCCAATTGCACCAGCCAGGATAATACCTACAACGAGCAGAACGATCGCCCCTGCTCCTTCTCTCCCAGTATCAGAGGCGGCTACTTCTTGAACCCTATCACTACACTCGAGGTCTTTAACAACATCTCCACAACCAGAAGCGTGAATGTCGTCTCCGTCGCCGACGCTACCCACGCCTTCCTCGGGATCCCCAACAATGGTCGAGATCAAGGACACGACTTCACCGCCACCACTTTCTCAGTCTCTACGCAATGTCAGTCTGCAACGGCAGCCTGCGATGTCAGCCGTGACAACATCACTTCGGGAGCTGGCTCTGTGTTCCACTGTGCCAAGTATACTGCTTGGTGGGGATTAGTGAACGGCCCCCGCACGGACTTTTCCAAGCATTATTTCACCGATGCCAGCGGTACCCAAAACGCTTCGTCGTTGGAAGACACGATCAGTAACCCGTTCTACGTGGGTTTTGGAGGATTCACAGACCCATCCTCCGCGGCTGCCCTCGAGCTCATCCAGCGTAATGACCCGGGGGTCATCGCACAGGAGTTTGGCGGCGTCGGCTATCTTTTCTTCTGCAACACCACAGTGTACGATGTCAGTTACACGGCCGTCAACGGCTCCGTCACGGCTTTCACCGCGACTCCCAGCAACAGCTCCGTGAGCACAGCACTCATGGCTGCAGAGTCCAACCTGGACTCTGGGGATCTTCAACTCCGCGATGCCGCCGATCTGGGTGCTCTCCTGGCCAATGATACACAGGACATGGCCAACACGTTTGCGCTCGCGTACAGTCGGGTCTTGATGTCCACCGTTTCGGGGGCGCTCCAGACCTCTCCGATTCTGAACGGGCGGCAGCGCATCACGAAGATCGTCGCGCGGGTTCCCGTCACGCCGCTCTACTTTCTTGTGGCTTCCGTGGCGCTCATGATCGGGCTAGGCGTCTACCTAACCATAACGGCCTTGGTGACTACCCGTATCAAAGATATTGAAGAAGTCCGAGCGAGATTAAGCATGAAGCAACTCGTTGCGGACCGCATGGAGCCCGATGCGGCCCGGATCCCCATCAAGAGTATAGATGATATTTTTACAGTTGGGGCACCAGCGGGGCTTACCAAGAGGATTGGTATTGGAAAGAGAAATTCTTCAGTTGGCGGGTGGGAGTTCAAGGTGTGGGATCCATTGAAATGATGGCGCTGAAGGTAATGAATGAATCTAGCTTCAGCCCTTCACACCAATGTTATCAAGGTTTGAATAGATCTGCATTATTTATAGTCTAATCGGAGCCGTAGTCACCATCTTACCTTACTCGGTCTAGCCCGAATAGTAAATTACATTTGGGGCTTCAACTTGAAACCGACTCTGGTTCGGGTGAGCTACAGGTGACCTAAGTTAAAGGACCAAATCATAAGGAAACTTAAGTCGGTCAGATTATCGATGGAACTTGGTTCGGTTGGGACCTTGATGGACTTGTACGAAACAGAGAGGCCTTGAAGCGGCGTGATAGAGGCGCCTTGTCGAATTTAGTGGGCGATGAAATCACATTAAGATTCAAGGCAAGGATTCAATGCACCAATGAGGTTCAAAAAGTAGCGAAGAAGAGAAGAAGTCAGTCATATCTCTTCCACCATCCAGTTGGAAGCTTGGTGATGGACATTACTCTTTCTTAACGTCGGGTCCGCCTTTGCCTCTGGAAGAAGCCCACCGCTGCGCTTGAGCAGCTCATGGAAGCCAGTCGGACGGCGAACATCGAGACAACGGACTGGCAGACCCCGCACCCCGAAGATAGCCCTCGCTTTGGGTGAATTTGCTCGTCGTACCTTGTGCATGATCAGGTCGGATCTTCTCCCTACGAGTCCCCATTCAATGAGGTTATTTTCTCCAGCTAGCCATGAACTGTTTGATTGCTGCCCATTCCTTTCGCTTGAAGAATCATGCTCGATCAGAGGTTCACATCTTATCCTGATACCGGGGAGTTTGGACAATTGACGATGTTACGGAAAGTCAATGATGACTATGTGATAATAGCCGAGATTAATTGGGGAAGGTGAGTGGCGGATTCCATGCAAATGAACTTAAGAAAATGAACACTATGTATCTGGATCTAATACTCCATGTAGCACGTATTACAGCTTATATACATAACCAATAATATTTCATATAACATCTCCAGCAGTGCTGCTGTGTCTATACATGGGTACCTTGATCAAGTCTCGATCACCTGCGAGTATGTGTTTCCTTTTTCCTCTTAAATTCCAGCCATTAAACTTTGACAATAGAGATCCCTCTTGATTTGATATGTGGTGCGTAAGATCTGTTAGAAACCAAGAGAAATAAACCACTTAGTTGCAACAATGACTACGAATCGCAATGATTCTGAAGTTCTAAGAGGAATTTAGCAGGCAACTAACAAAGGTGATATATATGACTGACCTTAGCGGATAGTTAACGATACAACATTCCCTTTCCACAGGTAGCCACCAATCCTGCTGCTCAATAAGATCCCATAACTAACTACTGAACATGTATTAGTCACGCGATTCATTAGTACCAGCTTATGAAGGGTTACTGCCCTGGCGGTAGGGGCGCTACTTCGAGAAAAGTCATCTCCAGAAACAGAACTAGAGAGGCCGTATACAAGTACATACTGTTGTTCTATGCAATTATTCTTTTAATTTTCTAAGCAAACAACTGTTGTAGAGGGAAATTCTTGATTTTACCCAAGTCAGAGCCACAAAAAGTGGCAAAGAATACCAAGTAGATAGCCAAATCAAACTCACAGTAGAGCTTCTAGGCGATGGATTCGCTGATGAGAAGAGTCTCGTAAGCAAGCAAGATCCAGCTGGGTTGATGTCATTGCTTCTGTTTTTCGAAGCGTACCAGACAGGCGGGTCGACTAGTCATGCTTGATGCAGGTGTGCGTTATGACCTTTTCGCTTCACTTTCAGCCAAGCCTGCTTATACATAGGGTTGAGACTGCTTCTATACCCACTCTGCGTCTGCAAGCCACCGCGCTAGGCTAAGATAGCCGATTTAGTGGAGCTCAAGAGATGCTAGCCTTCTTTTTGTGGGATGGATCGCTTTCCGATGGGGCCCACTGAACTTCGCTTACGTCTATAGAGGGTGAGCAGCAGCTGAATCTGTGGTGAAACACAGATTCTCATAAGTATATTCTCTTCCCCCTCTTCTTCCTCCAGTTCACCAGAACACTGCGACTGTATATCTCGCTCGAAATCACTCCCAAAATCCCATCCAAAATGAGCTTCAAGCCTGATCAAGTCCATCTTATTGCGATCGAAAACAACCGCGATCTCGTCGCCACACTCAAGGACGAGGAACTTGGACTTCGAATCGACCGGGTCAATCTCAATAAATGCTTAGGATATCATGACCGTAAGTGGCACTCTATACCTTTTTCTCATTTCACGGCAACTTAAGCTAATGTGCATCTTTACGGCTTTGGTAGGTGCTTTAAAATGGGATAGCAGGGGCTTCTCTGAATATTGCCAGATTCTTGATTTCCGTTGGGATGGTGAGGTGCCGACTATACATGCTGTGATGCGGAGAAGGCAAGATGATCTCGACGAAAACAAGAACCCTCGGGACGGAGACCCATATGATATGATATCCTCAACTTGGCCGAGCGGATTTCAATTAAGAACGGCAGATTCGAGGTTCGATCAGACCAGTCGAAATTTACCTTCGATATGGATGCCACCGAGATTAGCCTCAAAGACAAACACATTCTCTGTGCCGTACTCAAGGATGACGATGGTAGGGAGCAATATTCACTCTCGACCTGGACGAATACGTCGGAAACGACAACGGTAAATTACATTCTATACATTTCCCAAATCCAAGACACCAGGAACCGGTGGAGGTGTTTTTTTTGACTCTTTTTCAGGGCGACTCATATGGGGCGGCAAGAACTTCTCCAAATCTACCGCAATGGCCGAACTTGAAGGTGGTGGGACGGGACCATCTTGTTTGCCGCACAGTATTATCAGTACCGGCATCGGCTCGAACGGTATACGCAGACCGACTCGCTCAGATTGGCTGAGCGGATTATTAACAACAATGGCCAATTGGAGTTTCGATAAGACCTCGGTATATACTATGGATACTGAACATCGTTCCGATTTTTATTATCTATCTGCTTGCCGCTATAGATGTTTTCTACCTCTTTCACAATTTCTAAAGGTCATATCATTCCGTTCCCTTCTATTCTATCTTCGTCGCCGGTAGCTCCTTTTCTCTAGTGTACAATCAGCCACCGTGTGGATAGATAGTGAGCGCGGATTCAAAACAGCAGATAAAATATACATTGACGCTGCAAAGATCTGTGCCCCACCCCCCCCCCCCTTGTTTACGAGCCCGAGGATTTTCCCATCAGATGGTTCATCTTAAAGCAAAAATCAGTCTCTTCTCTAGCCATAAACTTTCAGTAAGACTTGATTTCGCATTGATAGACTCGCTGGCTCAACATATGTAATGCAGCTGTATCCGACACAGAAAGAGTTGCAAAACGAACCGCCGTCTTATCTGCAGAGCATGTGTAAAACCGAGATTGGACTAAATGATATATTTGTCGGAGCAGCAGGATTGGTGGATACCCGGAGAAAGGAGATACTATAGATCCGCCGATATTAGTCATGTATTTAGCCCATTCAAATTGCCAGCTAGGGGCATGGAAGCAATTCAGACTCATTGTGATTTCTATTGGTGCACCTATATGGATTACTCAGCTCTGTTCCAACAATATTACGTCTCCCCGCTGCATCTGAGACCATGCATCGGATGTTGCGCTCACGCACTCTCCTCGCGTCGCGAAAGTTCCGCCCCATAGTTGGGCTTTTCGACTTGATGAAACAGCCTTGGCGAAGACACTCCTCCCAAATCCAAGATAAGAACATGGTCTGCGCCACGCCGATCTTCCTTGGCTGGTCTTGGCTCCAACCAGCTGTCGATCTGCCATGAGACCCATATGCCCGGGGCCACGGGCTTGGCAGATCCGGCGACCGGCGACCCTTTACCCCGTACCCTAGCTATCAGCAATCACCACAGGACACCTCACCAGGGGTGAGCAACCACGGATAGTTGCTTCTAGCTTCCTAGTTCACGAAAGCCAATATAGCAATGGCATACACTCGCGCAGAACAACGAGAAAAGTTTTTCATCTACTGGTCTAGTGCGAGCAGACTGAGGGAGCTATCCCTTCGTTTCACGAGTGACGCAACGCGATAATTGCTGACCACCACATGGGTGCGAACACTGCATATGTCCGATCAGGTGGGAGAATCTAGGCCGGAACGACTGGCTTGGCGCTTCCCAGCTTCCCTCTCCGCCGGCGGGCTGGTGGCAACGTTTGCGCCTTCGCTCACCCCTGTGCCTCTTAAAAGGCTGCCAAAAGCAACAATAATAATGCCAAGAAAGACCGGTGGAAGGCCCGGATTTATCAGGAGGGAGATATTACGCACTTAATCCTTGCTGGTGTGAGCATCATTCACCCCACGCGCAGGCATCCACCGTGATGGTAACTCAAAATTCAGCACCCAGCTCAGCTATAAACTAAGCCGGGGTTCGTCTCATAGCTGATATCCGGTCAGCCACTTTTTTGTCTAGCAGACTCTGTCATTCGATTATCCAATATGCGCTCGCTCGGGGAACGCCCATCGTCTTCACAAACGCCGCGTGGTTCTGGAAGCAACCCGAGGAGATCCTTAGATACACTCTCCGAAACGACTCACGGCCAGCATGCGGAACATGCGACGCAGACAACGCCTTGCTCTGCTGACGCCATTCCTCGGGCCATGGACATGCCGTTCGTTGGTAGACCGATATCTGCTACTGAATCCAAAGTCTGCCCACCGCAAATATCACGATATTTCTTCGTCGAATTAGATCGCAAGCACACAGACATTATCTTGATTGTGTGCAGCTTCGTCGGCGGCTTGGTTGACGGTCTATCCTTCAATGCATGGGGGAGCTTCTCTAGTATGCAGACTGGTAAGTATTCCATCTGTATTGCAGCCGAGCGAGTCAGTCCGTACCCACTAACAAATGCAAACAGGAAACACCGTTTTCATTGCCCTAGGCGTCTCTGGTCAACCTGAGTACCCAGCATACCTCTGGGCAAAGTCTCTCATCGCATTGACAATTTTCCTGCTCGGAAACATCTTCTTTATCCACCTCTCACGGGCCCTTATACCACTCCGACGCTCAACGCTCGTCCTCTCCTTTGGCATCCAAACAGCCGCCCTTGTCATTGCTGCCTCCGTAGTGCAGGCCGGCCTCGTCAGCCCCAGACCTGAAGACCCACGTGCCCCTATCCAGTGGATCCAGATTGTGCCCATCAGCCTGCTAGCATTCCAGGCCGCCGGTCAGATTTGCGCCTCTCGCCTACTAGCCTTCGAGGAGATTCCCACCGTCGTACTTACCACACTTCTCTGTGACTTGCTCGTTGATACAAAGCTATATGTTAGACCGTGGTCTGCAAATCCTAAACGCAATAGGAGAATCGCTGCATTTCTAGCACTGTTTCTGGGTGCTATGACGGCGGGCGGTCTCTCGCGAACAACATCTATTGCTAGTAGTCTTTGGTTGGCCGTGGGTTTGAAAGGTTCTATCACGTTTTCGTGGTTGGTGTGGAGGAAAAACTGTCACACATTGAGGCCGAAACAGGTCTTGGACGAGAACCCGGTCTAAGTTCAATCTAGGCAGGAGTTTTTCTTTTGAGAACTATCGTGACATATCTAGCGTACCTTGAGGGGGATTACAGGGGCGCCAACTTGGCCTAGAGCCGAACTACAACAAGAATATGTGTAAAGCAGAAAGAGATACTATAAATGGTTATGCTACGATTTAAAAGACATTGCTAGGTGCACAATCTGGTTCAACGAAGGGTTAAAGCGAGATGATTCTCATGACTTGTTAAATGTAACTCTTTGTGATCTCGAGCTAGAAACGACCAAGAGTTAAGCACACAGCAAACTCCACCTGATCCTACGCCGCGTATATTTTCGGCTCATTAGATTTCAACCAGAGAGTGGAAGCACCCGGTGTTCTTAGTATGAGCATGAGACCGAGGTGCGCGTTTTTTCGCACCTCGTCGAGCAACTGTCGCGTTGTGTGGAGGGATTGAAGTAAGGCTATTCGCGTACGTTGCAACGGCAAAGGCTGTCGCCCTAGAGTTGATCAGAAATGCTTCGTGGTTCAGGTTGGTGACGTTGTCTCCCGCAGCGTGGTAATTGGCATCATATGCTACTTTTGCTTGGCCGCCGAACAATTTGGCCTCTTCGTCGGTCTTGATGCCTTCAGCACCGGTGAAAAGGCCACCTGCGGGAATACCACGAGAGATAAACCCATCATAGTCTGAACGACCATCAAAAGCAGTCGCAATGTATGGCAGATGCTTGGAAGTAAAGTAATCCTCAAAGAGAGCTTCAATCTGAGCAGAACCAGCCGGGCCAGTTTGGTTGAACGCACTCCCGTCTCCATCATAAATCATGAGCGCGTAATTTGGCGAGGCGATCATATCGAAATTGAGGTAAAGTCTGATCTTTGCTAGCTCATCAGCTTTGAGGTTGGATGTGTAAAATTCACTACCCAGCAAGCCGAACTCTTCACCCGTCCAGAAGCAGAACCTGACCGCATTTTTGACGGAAAACCGAGTCAACGCTCGTGCTACCGCGAGATTGCTGATGATCCCAGAGCCATCATCATTGATGCCTGGTCCAGCTTCGACCGAATCGGTGTGACCTCCTAGTGCCACGACGTTGTTGTGGTCACCACCTTTTGTCTCCGCAATAACATTGAATGTCGTGCGATTCTCGATCTGGCTATCGATCGTAAGAGAGACGGTTACAGCGCCGTCGGATGATGCATCGAGGAGGGCTTTGCCATCCGTGTCAGATATTCCCGCTATGGCAACAAATGATCCATGATCAGGAGTCACTCCGCCCAGCGTTCCACTGAGAGATCCCGGAACGTTATTATAGACAAGTGCGGCGGCTGCATTGGATCCGGCGGCAAGCACCGACTTTTCCGCGAACGCACACTCTCCACGCTTTATAAGGGCAATCTTGCCAGCCAAGTCGCTTGGGTAGTCGGCTGCGCTGCATCCGAGGTTTGAGACTACTGCCAGCTCCGCGGTAATATCAACACTGGGGCTGTATGTCATCGCAGCCACTTCGATAGAGTCCCCGTTGAATGTCAGAGAGGACTCTGCCTTGGTCCATGTATGGACCTGTGCTTGCTTCTCCACGTGATAATAACCGGTCTTCTTCAACTCATGATAGAGAAAGTCCACTGTATCATTATGTGCCGCACTGCCGAAAACACGGTTACGCTCGGGATACGAATAAGCAATATCTTCAAGCCGTTGGGTTCCCTTGAGCAGGTCTTCAAGTCGGATTCTGGAAGCAAGTTCATCCTGATAATTCAGTTAGTATACATTTTAATCTTAATAGAATCATGCCGTGCATACATACAGGTGAAACAGGTGGCTTCCCTTTGCCAGCCAAGGCCCCGGACAGGTGGTATAATAAGATCAGCCACTTCATTGTCGAGTAGTTTTCTGTGAGATAGTTGAGCAATTGAACTCGCCGGATTAGTGCCCTTATATATTTCCAAAGGTCGTGTTTCTCGGTCGATGCAAAGCGCGTAATAATCCATCACAATGAGGTGTGATTTCAACATGCACGTGTTGGTAAACATGCCAAGACGTGGGCTGTTCCTTGGCGAAGTGGGAAGCAATTCCATAGGACCGGCTATCATTCAAGGGGCAGATCTGCAGGCGGATTCCCGACGGCATTTGGCGACGAGAGCGCGCTGAGGTTACAGTGCCAAGTGCGCTCCATCGAAGGTGCTTGGCGTTGGAGAAAGGCGTCGAAGGCGGGAACATTATTCAGATAGACCACAATGGTGCGCAGATAAGAGGATTCAACTTCCTCGTCCCTTGGCGGTACTGAAAAGGCAGGTGCCATTCTCTACCCCGCACAAGACTGAGAAAATCCAAATACGAGAGCACGCGAGACCTTGATTCAGGTGTACAATGGACTGTGCAAAGGCCCGGAAAGTGTCTTATTTTGAGCACACATGCAAGGCCGCCGGTGGCAGGGGCATAGCGGCAAGCGCACATTTTCCAAGGAAGAAACAATTATATACCTGGAGTGGCAATCTCCGCTTGCCTGCTTCGATACTCAATGATCTCAAATTTACCTATATTTTCTCTTTTGGAAAGCCTGTCACGCGTGTTCAACAGGGAAATTTTAGAGTATGCTCCAGAATGCTAAGGAATACACGTTACCATTTGGCAGCGCCCCTCAGTCACAGCGATGCTGAGACCACCCGGGGAATATGACTGCGGAGAATTGAATCGAAACTTGAAAGACAGACATCATTGAATGAAAAACAAGAACAAGGGTCAAGTTGTCCGAGGACCGTATAAAAAGACCACTCCCAAGCTTGACAAGTATGAATGTCGGGAACTAGGACATTCCACCCACATCGCTGCAGCAAATCGACTCTGTACTTGGAATATGAAAAAGTTGGTGCATTTTGTCAGTATGCTAAGTTAGGATTAGTCCCTCTTGTCATAAAATAATGAGATAGCTTGAAGCACTTGCTAGATGGCGGTATGAAAAGAGAAAGAAAGTACGAAACATGCTGTAAACATCGTAGGAGCCTCGATTGCTGATGCCGATGCAATGTGAGTAACTTTTGCCATCATTTTTACCCCCAGTCCATCCGGGACCTATCAGGCCCTCACGCTATCAGTGGCGCTGTATCATAGTATCTATGTATTATATGCACTCTATCTGATTCCTTGCATGGTGGGATCGGAGATTCTGCGAGTCCCTCGCTAGTCCTGAAGTTGTCTCGAGGATCGGAAGACTTAGGCGACCGTATAGTATAGACTACAGAGTATTATGGGGCCAAATCCACCGTCTGGTCATCCCGTTCGTCATCAAAACTGTCTCTAAAACAAAGATATAAGATCCGCAAATACCAGAAGATGACTACCGTATTATTTGTTCCTGGGGCTTGGCTCGCTAGGGCATTTTACGAGCCATTCCTCCAAGGTCTCGTGTTTGCCGGCTACGACGTTCGCTATGCGAGTTACCCCTCGTTGGACCCCGCAGACCCGTGTACAACCGATTGTCACGCCGACGCCAAGGCGATCGCTGCCGTCCTCCATCCGCTCTTTGAACTAGAGGGAAAAGATGTTCTGCTCTTCCTACACTCGTATGCTGGCATGCCTGGAGCTGCAGCGGCTACAGGGCTGGCCAAGTCACAGCGTGCACGGGAGGGCAAAGTCGGCGGTGTCATCGAATTACTATTTCTGGGAGCCTTCGTCGTGCCCGAAGGCCTCAGCTGTGCCGGTCGCCAGGGTGGAGGTTTACCCCCCTGGATCCTATTGGATCAAGAGAACTCTTTGCATCAATTTGGTACGAAGAGAAATAAGCCGATTGACACGGACACGTTGCAGCCTGCGGCAAATCTCAATATCGCGGACGACCCAATTGATAACTTCGCTGCCGATGTCGATTTTGCCCTGGCTCGATCCTTGATCGCCTATCTCAAACCACATGCAACATTATCGTTTACATCGCCCCAGCCGCATCCAGCATGGGCAGACGAGGCCTTCCGTGGGCTCTTGGCGTTCATTATCACCACGCGAGATCGTGCCGTGCCAAAGGAGGCCCAATTCGGGATGATAGCTGCCACCAAGCAGCCGTGGATCGTCAAAGAAATCCCATCTAGTCATTGCGGGCTATTCCTGAATCGTATCCAAGAGACGGTTGCGTTGACCCGAGAAGTGATTGAAAGATTCTTGTAAAGGTGTCTCGGGACTTTGAGCATGCAATAAAAACGTGCTTGATTTTCAATTGTCGTTTTGCAGCGCGGCAACCGATGCCACGACCTTGTAACCTTCATTGGACTGTCAACATTTGGTACCCAATTCTCAACACCTTTTGAGTAGTACCTCTGTCACGTCATTACAACTTCTGCACACAATAAAGACCAAATTATTGGACCAGGCGTGGACTTGATGTAAATGCTAGCCCCAATATCTCCGATCTATCTCTTTTGGGCCATCAAAGGTCTGGTAGATGCTAAGGGCAAATAAACTCCGTACCAGCAACTCATGCCAAGATGAATATGTACTTAGTTGCGATCAGAAGATTAGAAGAATCGGAGGTTCTGACCTACGCATACTAGTCACAGCATTTAAGCAGGCCCCATTTCTAGCGGCATTTCAGGATTGCTATGGAATATCTGGTCATCAAAATCGCATAAATCCGGTACCCAGGCACAGAAATCGATAATTTAGCACTGCCGGACAACCCATCGAGAGATGCACATATAGATATAGACCTGTACTATTAGGCCCCCAAATATTCTTCAGACTCATAGAAATACCTACTATGATAGGTCTAATACCAGGGTACCTAAGGACCTCATATTAGCCATAGAGATTGAAGGAGGGAGTTGGAAATTTTGCATTTAGTGTGGTGTTTTGGGGTGGCCCGTCAACTGGCTCCACCAGTTTTCTTCTGTATCGGGGAAATGCTCATAGACATCTATTTAGTTTACTGCCATTGAAGTTATCCGTGTTTTCAGTTCAAACTTAATAATTTATTTTGTGCCCGATTTGCGGCTGTGACATGGTTAAAATGGTCGCCGCGCCTCATAAAATTGAATCACGAAAGGGCACTCAAGGCTTGATAGCCAACGGACTTTGACGAGACAGGGAAGGTTCAGCCAATTGGTACGTGTCACAGAGCTGAAATAGAGCCCCCTGTCAACGGCCATATCCCTTCATGCCAACTCTTTTCCAATGACGGAAGTTGGGAATCGCTTTCATTGGATTTGTCCTGGTATATTCTCCGAGTGTGTCAGGATAGAGCTTCAAGATGGCATCCATTCAGGTGGTAGCGAACAAAATGAGCCTGAACGGTAACCATGCCGAGAGTCGCAAAATTGACACCATGTTGTTATTCTAGACTTAGGCCAACAAAGAAGATCCGATTGACTCTGGTTGGAACTTGAATGCTGACACTTGATGACTAGAATATTTAGTAAGTTGAACAACAACTTTGTCGATATATTGATTCTTGGATCTAATCTATGGCTCCACTACGTCCAACCTGATATCCCACTGGAGAGAGGGCATTCTTAGTGCGCACAAACAGTCGGTTGCCATGAGTTGCTGCCTGAACATATACGGAATGCAGCAGTGATGCAATGTAAAGTGCCCTGGGGTAAGATCCGCGCTGGACTTGGAGCAATACTAGATCATCATAAGACATTTAGGACCAAATAATCGACCACATGCCTCGCCTAGTTACGAAGTATCTGTCGTGATCATATGCCACAGGGAACATCGCTCTAGACATACACTAATAATTCGATCCGGTCATCAGGGCAGGTGAAACAGTACGACCGGTGATGATCTCAAGGCGTTCGGAGAATATTCAAAGGTATGTGACGAATCTTCTTGCTCTGAAAGGATCTTTTAGGCTCACAGTCACAGGTATAAAAAGATGGCCTCGAGCACTTGTAGAAAAGACAGCTTGAGGAACTATTCCATCATCTAACTGTAGGTTGAACATCAGACTCTGTCTTCTCTACTTTACACGAGGCGTCTATCTATTAACATTTTTAATTAGTTGATCAAGATTTTCAATTCTTCCCGGGTATGCATCTCAACTTTTTAGCCATTTTGGTTAGTCTTGCAGGGGCAACTCTTGCTGTTCCCGCACCTGGTCCCGGGCCCGGTAAGTGAGAACCTAAATCATGAACGCCATGAGCTTTGAATGGCTCATCCGGTTGTGCAGGCCCAGAAATGATGAGACGGGCCGACACTCAGAACAATAACCAGAATAATGAGAATTGGGGACCCGGCTGGGGTGGCGGCTGGGGCGGTGGTTGGGGGCATCCCGGGTGGGGAGGTGGGTGGCGAGGGTGGTGAATTGATGGCATCAAATATGCCTAATTACTCTCGCTCAACGGGGATTGGAGGTACCCTATCATATTGAATGGAATTGGAAAGGGTCACACGGATATTGTCGGTCTCTACTTAATTGACGCCACGGTAGTTTACGAAATTCTGCAGATGAGCAATACAATCGTTGAATATCTTTTTAAAAACTCGGCTTATTCGCCACAGAGCATTTGCTGAATTGCTTAGAATGCGCACGGCATTTCAACTCATAGAGCCATAGCCCTTAAGACAGTTCTATTTTACCGAGATACTTCCATGGCTTACTGGGCTCGGGAGGACCAATCGATGGCGATATCAGCTAATACAACCACGAGGGACTAATGTGAGTTCTTCGATCGTGACCACTATTTTAACAATATGTTCTTGAGTACTTGAATTTGTAGACGACACAGCTGGTCCGTCAATCGCTAGAAGCCTGGTATCGACCTCTCTTGGCAGGCACAGCCTGGGCCTCGGCTTGGCCAATCTTTGCTCAATGAATGTTACCCTGCGCTAATGTTGGACTTTTCTCATTCATTTCTCATGATGGTGGTGAAACCAGAAAGCATATTCGTCAAGCCTCATAGCTGGCTTTGGCTTCGGAGTGCCTGTCTCTGCCCTTCTCAATGCTCCATCTAGTATCGTCAACATCTTCTTCACACTTTTTGACGGCGTCGGTTTTCACAAGTCCTCCAATCGATGGGCTTGGGTAGTCATCTGCAGTATCCCTGGAATCACTGGTGGCGGACGAATGACCTTCTTTCCAAAGAGCAACCGAGCCGTCGTTCTAGGCGGGATTTACTTGGTCAGTGCAATTGCGGCACCGATACCGGTGATCTACCACCAGGGAGGGCTGACAGATAAAGAAAACAAAAGCTTCTGATATGTATATTGAGACGCCAAGAATTGTGTCAATCATTATTTCCGCAGAATAGGCGCCTAGTTTACATGAAATGAATATACCAGCCATACAGACAATGCTCTTACAAGAGGATCCCATCAATGAATGACAGGTGGCACAAAGGTCGACAAGGAATAAGGGCCTACATAAGACCCTCCGACTCCCTTGACTCGCTTCACGGCACAAATCTAAAATGTCTCGGACACTCAGCCCACTTATTCTTGGCGAAGCGCGAAAATCAGTCTCTTCAAAAACAGTATCCTCTTCTCCCTGGGACTTTCCACGGACCTGAACCTCATAATGACTACGGCATTTTCGCTCAGCTGGCTCATTTTCTCGAATATGCTGGCTGTATGGATGCAACCGAGCGAGATAAGGAACGAGATAAGGAACCCTTATCTTCGGTCCCAGCCCAACCTACCCACCCACCCGACGCGCTTTCTTTGGCGTCTACATATGCTTGTCGACCGAATCATGTTTTTGTAAGTCCTCCTACTATTATCTTCAATTTATTAGAGATAAAGAAATAAGAGTAACATCATAGTTAGAACCGGTATTTGTGCCGCATCTCTCCCGCTGATGTACTACGTATTTTGCTACCACTGTCAGGGAATTGAGAAACCAATATGTCGGGCGCGGAATAGCGATCTAACCATTATTCTGGGTGGCACTTTTCTTTCTCTGTATTTAGTAAAACTTATTCTGCAGTGTCTTAAGCTCCGCCGCCCTCGGCGAGCGGATTGATGATGCTAAAGCAAAGGATATAGTCTCGACTCATTATTTTGGACATATCCCTAAAAATGCTTTTAGTTTTAATACTGACGGTACCTTTGTTGTGGGCGATCAGAGCCGGTGTATTATGAATGGGGTGCGTACCCGTCACCATCTATTTTCGATCCACCAAATTGACTCTAGACTATATGTCTGACAACTGTGGGATATCGATGGGGAAACATATCGGTCCTTGCAACTCAAGCGGCTGTAGCAGTCTTGACTATCTCACTCTTTGCTTAATATGTAAGAATAGACGCAAAAATCGTCTTCACAACGCCAGTGGAATTACGGACTAAATCAGCCACGAGGCAGCTTGGGAAGGGCTGACAGATACAGAACACATAAGCTTCTGATGTGTATATTGAGACTCCAGAAAATTATCTCAATCATTATGAACACAGAATAGGCGCCTATTTACATGGATATGGCAGCTATACAGACAATTATCGTATAAGGGAACCCCATCAATGAATGACAGGTGTCACAAAGGTCGACAAGGAACAAGGACCTCCATCTTAAAACCCTCCGACTCCCCTAACTCGCTTCACAGCGCCAATCACCCCACGTGCCCAGCTGAATCTTCCAGGATCAATACCAATAGATCCTGGTGGGATTTCGCCCGTTGAAGGGTCATGCCAGCACCCATCTTCAACGCTAGCAGCACCGTACTTTGCTGTGTTTTGGTTACGGTGAATGAGTCGAAGCCATTCCCTGCAAATCAAGGATGAGTCAATCAGAACGTTGATTTCCTGGCTGTGAAAGAAAGACTGCGTATCAAGGTTTCCATTTCCTACGAAAAGAGAAAATATGGTCAATAAGGTCCCGGCAGAGATTGATTCTTGGGGCATACCTTGTATAGCAATCTGCTCGTCGACAATCATCAACTTGATGTGACAGCTTCGCTTCTTGAATGAGTTATGTATTGGCTTCGTTTGGTCTTTGCCAACATAGTAGAATATTTGAAGGCCCGCTTTTTCCTTTTCGGAGTCAAGAGACTTGTATAACCTATTCGCAATCATTTCGTTTGTGCCATTTTGGAAAGGTAATAGCTCTCCTGCATCATTGTAGCCCAGGCACAAATAGCAGGTTACAATGACACCGCGGCGTACAGCATTCAAAAGCGGCTCGAGCAGCGGCTCTGCATTCATATTGGGCGTTTGAATGAAGATAGATTGTTCGGCATTGTTGATTGCCGAAAGCCAGGCCCCATTCTGAGGGGTGTTGACGCTGTTGTGGTTGGGGGCTGGAGCCAGACTTAGTCAATCGAGCTGAACGCAAACATGTCTCGCACGCGAGACAAGAAAAATTTCTTCCACTCACCTCCGTATGGTTCTCGGTTTACCAGGGCCATTGGGACTGGGTCATGAGGGGGTAGCAACGTGTACGGAGACATTCTGACTTCCTGATCACTATCTGGCGCATCCCCGGTTGTCTCAGGCTGGATCGTGGTATCTGCGCATGGGTGAGCAACATTCTAAATGACCTTTTAGGTAAAATAGGAGTGCCACCTACTCAAATGGCGAGTGACAGCTTGTGTCAGGGATTCCTCTCCCTTGGAATACACACCGCTATTGACTCTCTGTGCTTCCTGTGCCATACTCATATCATAGTGCGACAACGTCGTGGTATGTTCCGGAAGGACATGGGTCGTTTCTCCCGGGGCCAGATCGGGGCTTCTATCCTCATTACAAGGAATTGCAGCATCTTTAGCGGGAGAATTTAGAAGCGGCAGAGGCGGGTCAAGGGGCTTTCCCCATGACAGGAGCGCCGCGTCATAGAAGGAATCCACTATAGGCCCTTCAATGTGTGAGAGCATTTCCAGATTATCGTTATCTTGGATGTTACTGCTCTGTAATAGAGCTATGCGTCGATCAATGACGGTAAACTTTGCATGGAATGTGCCAAAGATCGGTCGGTGGTAATTGATCACTTGGAGATCGACGTTGGGGATTTCATCCGCGGCAGGTAGTCGAACTTTTCCGACCGAATATTCCTCTTCCGGGACTGTTAGCCGATTTTCCCACGCCTGTGTCGGTGTTAGCGTATTATCTGAGTAGCGATGGCTGGATAACGAACCTGTCGCGGGTTCCCCCTATCATAAATCATCTTCATGACAACTTTCTCACCACGCTGTCCGGCTCTGTTGGACAATTCTCGGATAGCATTGGTAATCAGGGTCGATGCATCCGAGTGAACCCAAAAGTTCGTACCCAGGAATACCTCGTGTTTGGCTCGAGCTATACAGTTTGCAAGATGTCGACAAAGATCTGGCAAGGGTGCGACTATGGTCAATGGGACAACTCCTGTACTTCCCATCAAGGGAGGCGAAAGCACCCCCGAGGATGGACCTTTATCCAACGAGCTAATTGCGCCATGGTAAACCTATTGATATCTGATTAGTCTGTATTTTCTCCGAGTCAAGCCTTGAAATTTGAGAGTGGTCGATGTATCTTTACCTTCAGGAACAGTTCACTTGGTGCTGACGCTCCCCAGTTTCCGCAAGATGATGCTTTTTGCAGCTTTTCCTTCTCCAGGGCGGAAGAAACCTCATCTGACGAGGAGTCTACCCCGTCCATGGACGATTTGGGGTGTAAAGAGTGATCGTGGGTCTCATAGAGCTCTTTGAAAATTTTCCCGGGGCATTGTGATGGATCTTTTGCTAGCTCCGATGTTACAGTTCCAGCCTGGTTGCACCTGCTGTAGATCCTGTCTGTGACCATGATGTGGTGAAGACAGCAAAGCGAAGTTTTGAGGCAACTTGAATAATTTCAGTAAAATGGGCAATTATCTCCTGGGTAGAGATCTCAGGGACGGTATAAGTTGAATTGGTCTCCCATTGCTTTGACAGCCACATGTCAGAACGAGGGCTAGTGACGTATAGGGCTACTAACGCGGAGCTAAAGTGGGGTTTTTCATAAAATTGTGACTTAAGAAGGATGAATATCTTACTCGTTTGGTTAAATTACCAACCTGTTTGGTTAGTGAGCGAACGTGGATGCCTAATTTGGCCATGTGGTTCGGTTCCGGTGCCGCGGGGCTCGACGTCATCAACCCGAATCTAAATAAAGACCGGCGCCCATCAAGGCATCATGTCAGGGCGCTGGAGCCACGAACTGGCTCTTGAACCTTTGCATTTTTGGAGCATTGTCACGCAAACTTCAATGCCCCATTTGACCGGTAGATATCTCCAACAATAGGGGGCTTGATCATTATTATCCACGGAAAAAGCTGACGCTCACGCCATGGTAAGGAATGACTAAAGAAACAACGTACTTTTGTAAGCGAGCATCCTCTAGTTATTACCAGTAATTACGCAATGGGTCCGAGGCCAGTTCATTTATGGTGATTAGTGGGTGATAATCTATTCTCAGATTTCAAAACAAGGCTGAACAGGGCTGAGATATGACGTAGACCAGCGGGGCCGAAAGCTTAGCAAGGCTTGTTCGGCTCAGGAACTCTTCTGGAAAGTTTGCGTGGTCGTGAGGAATGGTTATTTGCCGCATAGAGGAGATTGGAACATTCCTGGAACTGATCCCAAGCCACTTTGTTTCAAGCCAGCTCAAATTTCGAGGAGTAATAGCAGCTACTGCTCAAATCTCAACCATCGGTCCCGCCTATCACGAGGAAGAGTTGGCTCTACTACGTCCTAGGCTGGTACTGTCGATGCATGGTCACGGAGCTCTGGTCATGTCAGTTCCCATGTGGAACGGGGCCGCTATGTAGACGGAGCTGAGCGACCACGATAGCAACAATCTCCTCCTACTTAGACTCGTTATATTCATTTAGTAATGACCACTTAGGTTTTTTTTTTCAAATATCAGTGCGGTATTCATGTTTCCTATCATCAGCAACATGGCTCGACGGCCTGTTCTTCCAGCGGAGATACCACTTTCCACGGTGTTCCATCCGTCACATATGACCTTGGAAAGAACGTAGCCGGCCTGGTCTCCCTCGAGGTTGGATCCGTCTCTTCTCCCTCGGCCTTACTGGGTGCGAGAATGTTCCGAGTCCAGACTGTATATTAGTAGTAAAGTCAGCGATGCCATCGCCGACGCAGGCCTTGATCCACCACTGTGACAGTGTCCATCCAGTCACTTCATGTCCAGTTCCTGGCTGCTCCCGAGCAGGAACTTCGATTCGCACTCCTTACAGACCGATGCGTGATGGAATAATTACACAATCACGAATGGTACCAACACCAGCACCACCAGCGATGGTGCCAAACGCGATCGGCTGGTTTGGCCGGTTGACATGTCCATCGCCATGCAGATTATTGCCGTCAGCACCGGAGACCGATACAGCGTTCGAATGACCCTCGAATCGATATTTGCCCGACAGCAGTTCAATGGGCGTCTTCCATATGTAGGCAAGCCTTTCTACGATATTGTGGGCTACACCTACTACCTGCATAGTCTAATGGGCATGTTGTTTCTGTATCGCTTCTTCGGGGATCAAAAATGGCTGGCCGAGCACTGGAATCAGTACGTACGAGGTGTCGAGTGGGCTCTGTCCAGTGTAGACAACACGGCCCTGGCCAACGTCACTCTCAGTGCGGACGGGCTACGATCTGGGATGGCAGGGCATATACGTTGACCGTCCATCCTCTTCCGACCATTTACCATCGCGTGAATCACTAGCAGAAGAACATCCAGACCAATGCCATCCTCTATTTCGTGCTTCAAGATGCGCAGACTCCGGCCCAGGAGCTCAATCAGACCTCCGCAACGGCCAAATGGAACTAGATTGCCGCCCGCATCAAGACCGTAGCCAACCAGCTTTTTTTGCGACAAAGATTCCGAGTTATACCGCGATGGTTGGACCACCACCCTCCGCCCACATGCCAATTGCTGGGCGATCAAAGCCAACTGGATCTTATCCACATACCAACGCCTTGCCCTCCCGACGGTTCTTCAATGCCACTGGGGTCCCTACGTGGATGATCCTTACAGTATGTACCATACGGCAACGATGTACGCATTTCCCATGCCCACGGGTGGTCGACCGGGCCAACCTCGGCCCTCAGCACGTATGCGGCCGGCATTCAGCTGACGGGGCGCGCGGGAGCGGAATGGCGCATTGCACCTCAACCAGACCATTTGACCAGTATCGATGCGGGTCTTTCACCCTCAAAGGGACCATTCGCAGTGTGATTTCAGCGGAAGAATAGAAAATATAAGACATTGTCTGTCCGGGTTCCATCATCCACATGGGGGACTCTGGTATCGAGAAAGGGAGCGCGTGTCTCCCTGGTCAATGGCATCGCCCGTGGTTTATCTGGGGGAAGTTGGATACTAGAGACACCGAGTCAGCAGTAAATGTCATGCAGTTTCAAATTTTCAAAATGGATGACCCATCCGGAAGATTCGTGGTGATGTCTCGGAGCAGGCGTGTGTCATTATGTCGAACACGTTCGAAACGAGGATCGGGATTAAGCAGATATCCGTCTTGAGTAATTTGAGTCTAAGGAAGAGAGAGAAGAACGGAGATGAAAGGATGAAAAAGTGAAAGGAAGAAAAGGCCAGCGACAGGAACCCGATCAGCTCACATGACCTTCACCAGCCTCATCGGGAACCGAATGGGGAAAGCGCATCGTTCGGTCCGGGCAGATCTTCTGTGGGATGGTCAGTGAAGATATTATAGCCTTGGACATTCACAGAGTACACCATCATCCACATCCACATCCACCGTTCCGAGTCATCCTCCCTCGTAACGGTGTAGTTATAGGATCATATCTCACGAACCTATAGATGGCTGTATGACAGCCTCACTCGCGCTTTGTCTAGGCATCTAGTCCATCCTAGGCAGCTCTCTCTCTCTCTCTCTCTCTCTCTCTCTCTCTCTCTCTCCGTTGAGTCATCTTCTCTCGACGAGTCGGTGTAACCATCAACAAACACGGCAGAGCCGCAGTGGATGGACGAATAAGACGCCATTATCTTTAGCTTTTCGTGGAGAGTCCCACAGTCAGCTCGGGCTAGTTGAGTTTCCCCTCTCTCGTTCTCTCTCTCTTTTCACTTGATCATTACCAGCCCCCAAAGAAAAGCCCGTGAAAAAGGACCAGGCGGAGGGCCAACGCATCGCCTCACTTGCGTGGGATATTCTGATTGGCACCTGGCGAGGGGGGGAGGTCCTGGCCACTACTGCAGCCCGCCTGCAGGCTGCAGCTTCTCGTGGGAAGTTCCACCTGAGAATTGATTTTGGCGGATTTCCTTTTTGGCATCGTGGACTGTCGGTGGGCGAGTTGGACGAGTTGGACGAGTTGGACGAGCAGGACAAGCTGGACGGACGCTGGCCACACATCCCAGTCGGTTTGGCGTCGACGAGAATTTCTTTAAAGTCGTTCCTCCCCCCCCAAGTCTCACCCACCGCGTCTTTCTTTCTGACTCTTGTTTCTCTGTTTCTCTTTCCTCTTTGTTTTTCTCTCTTTCTTTCTCTCTCTCGCCCTCTTGATTTCTCTAACACCATCTGCAATCCTATTTAATCGCGTCCTCTTCCACCCTGTTCCTCGCCTTCGAATGCACCTTATTTTTGGCATCTCTTCGAATTCTACATTTTTAGCTCCCCCTTCTGAGCTTCTCGTTCTCCACTTCCCCACTTGAAGCTTTCCCCCTTCCCGCCAAAATGGCCGAACCATCCACCGACGGGGGCGAGACCAAGCACGAGGTGGACCCCCCCGACAACGTCAACGGCGCCCAAGCTCCCGAGGTCTCCGTCAAAGATGCCGCAACGACCACTGCCCCCACGGAGAATCCCCCCAAAGTAGCCGCCGTGTGCAAGAAACACTCGGATCCCACGCACGACGGGCAGAAGAGGAAAAAGAAGAAGAAGAACAAGAAGAAGAAGCACGGGGCGGCCGATACCTCATCCACAGAGTCGAGCTCCTCCTCTTCCTCCTCTTCTTCTTCATCCTCGTCAGAGGCGACGACGGCCTCGGATTCGGACGATGCCGACTCCGACTCGGTCGCCAGTGAGTCGGACACGGTCCATCGTAAGCGGCAGCGTCTCCGCGCCAAGGCACGCGCTCGGCGGGCCCAGCGTGAAAAGAAGAAAAAGAAGAAGACCAAGACCAAGACAAGATCCCGTAAGCAGGCTCGGTCGGACTCCGAGACGGAGTCCAGCAGCGAGTCCGATTCGGAATCCGATGACTCGGGCGAAGAGGCAGAGCCTACGGTGGACGAGAAGGCGCTGCGAAAGCTGGTCGCTCGCTTGAAGCTGCAGAAACGAGCCAAGCGTCTACGCGATCAAACCAACGACGGGTTGGGTGGTCTCGACCCGCTGGGGGAGAATCGACGGGACAAGCGATCACGGAAGAAGAAGCCAGCTTCCAAAGTAGCTTTCAAACGGGTTGATCAACGTGAGTGTTCCAGTTTGACTTTAGAGAATTGGCCCAGCCTTGTGCTAACCATGCGTATCAGTCTGGGATAGCACCATTCACAATTACAAGCTCACCGAAACGGTCGACGACCCCGATGCCGACGGATGGGACCAGTACATCTTCACCGTGCGCCGCAAGTTCAACTGGGAAAACAAGTACCTGGAGACCGTGGTTGACATCAAGAGCAAGCATCTCCGGGATGCTCTCGGTAAGGTCATGGATGGGGTCAAGGGCGTCAGCCTGGTGCAGGAGCCTGCCGTGGTGGACCCCAACATGCTGTTCCTGTACCTCGAGGAGACTCGTCAGTACATGAAAGACCTCAAGCGACAAGCTCGGAGTGAGAAGAAGAAGAAGGCGCGGAAAATTGCTGCGGCCAAGGCCGCTCATCTAAGAGTCCTGATTAAATACCTGGACACGGACTACGCCGACATCAAGAAGACTCTCTATCCACTGCTAGAGGCCAACACCATCACCTTTGATCTACTGTGGGCATTATTCAAGCCCAACACCATCGCCTACACGCCCACGTATGGAAACTCGGACGAGCCTCGGGCCTTCAAGATTGAATACGCAATGAAAGAGTCCTCCTTCATGCGAGGTCAATGGTACAGCGTGGAAGGCCGGTACCTCGAGTACGACGGAAAGGACTTTGGATTCGGCACCATGTCGGCCGATGTGGATGCCTTCAAGGGAGCCCGCAAGATCACCAGTCTAGCCTGCTATCCGCTGCAATACCACCGCGATGCCGAAGCTCTTCGAGCGCGACTGGTCGAACGAGGCAAGCGATTCGTTTCCTTGCGTGGCATGAACTACCGCTTCCACAAGGGGATGGCCTTTTACAAGAAGAAGCGCTCCTTTGTCATCAAGGTCAACATCAATGGACGAGTCATGATCGATCCAGCGATTCACCGGCGCATCAACCCCAATTACCCGATCAGCACGGTCCGGCCCAAAGATCCGGATCTGCTCGATGCGTCCGAGGCCGGCTTCAGCGATGCCGAAGAAGACGGTAGCGATGGCTGCTGCTGTGGCGGATCGGACTCGGACTCGGATCGAGGCTGTTCATCCGATACCCCCCGAACCGTCTACAAGGTGATCGAAGACGAAGACGGGACCCCGCGGGTCGTCGAGGTCGAAGTCGACGAGAATGGCAACGAGATCCACAAGGAAAAGATGGACCGAATCGAGGGAGACGCTGCGGGCAACAAGGAGCGGGAATTCACCGAAGAGGAACTTCTGGTCGCCAGTCCCGTCGTGCTCGGCTTCGCATTCAGCGAGAAGCTCTGGCTGGAATTCACCATCTCGGGGATCAGCGATATCGAATGGGATGCCGACGCCTTTGACTCGCTCGTCCTTCCCAGTAACCAAAAGTCCATCGTCAAAGCCCTGGTCGAGTCGCACACCTTCCACGCCGCCGAGAACATCGACGACGTCATCCAGGGCAAGGGCAAGGGTCTCGTCGCCGTTTTACACGGGCCCCCGGGGACGGGCAAGACCCTCACAGCCGAAGGAATCGCCGAACTACTCCGGCGACCACTTTACATGGTCAGCGCGGGCGAACTAGGCACGGACTCGCGCACGCTCGAAGCGGAACTCAACAAAATCCTCGACATCGCACACTCCTGGGGCGCAGTCCTCCTCCTGGACGAAGCGGACATATTCCTCGAGAAGCGCACGATCCACGACATCCACCGCAACGCCCTGGTCAGCATTTTCCTCCGTCTGTTGGAGTATTTCCAGGGTATCCTCTTCCTCACCACGAACCGGGTTGAAACCTTTGACGATGCCTTCCAATCACGCATCCACGTCGCATTGCGTTACGGCGATCTCAACGCGAAAGCGAAACGGAGTATCTGGAAGATGTTCCTAGAACGAGTGCGTGCTATCGAGGGTGTCAAGACTGCCACTTTCTCGGAGAGTGATTACGATCTACTGTCTCGGCATACATTGAACGGTCGTCAGGTAAACTCCCCCACCCCCTTCCAAGCCACCCCGTCAACATCATCATGATTACAGTGCTGACCCATCGTCATTCTAGATCAAAAACTCCGTCCGCACGGCACAAGCCCTCGCCGTCAACGAACGCTCCCCACTTTCAATGGACCACATCAAGCGCGTCCTCGAAGTCGCCGAAACGTTCGACCAAGATCTTCGCGGGGGAACCGGTTATCTAGACGCAATGCGTAGTTACACCTAGCGTGGGCATACACCTAGTGTGGAATCATGAGACATGAACATGAGGCACGAGTTCACGAGTTCACGAGCAATATCCAATTAGCCCAACAACAATCCCCCCCCCCCCCCTCTCTTTGCTTTCCCCGTTTATGTGTGTCCTCCTCTCATCTCCATTGCTATTATGGTCAATTTGATTTTCTCCATTGCTTTTTCTTTTTCTTTTTCCTACTTTCCTGACTTGAATTGTGGAGTTCGGTACATTGCAGGGTGAGACGGAGAAACACGGGGCGAGACTGGAATTGACATGAAAAATTATGGCTGGACATGAGAAATGAACGGGATTGGGGGACAGGTCCCCAAGTCGCTGGAAACACCATGCATTCTGGAGACATTTGAGATTGTTTGCGGGTTTTCCATTTGTGGTTTCTCTCGGTCATGTTTTGCTTTTCTTAGGTCTGCTGAGATGGTGGGCTTGGCTTTTTTTAAATCGCATCTAAATCGATTGACTTAGCTATCCGAAACTTTCAGTACTCTAGTACGAGTCACCCGTCATTTATAAGATCTTCTATTACCAAGTATTACGGGGAATCCTACTAAGATGAATCCTACTAAGATAAAATTCACGGCAGGTTTAGACTGATATTGATTATGACTGGCAATATCGATCTAAAAAAGTACAGTTTCCGTGGTTCCCGCGGGTCCGAACCGGGACAAGAAACCGAGAACAAAAGATAGTTATACAAGGGGAGGAGTTATTTAAGGGTTGGCCTTGACAAAGTCAACACCCTTCTGGATGTTCTTCTTCAGGTCAACCAGGCAGGCATCGAGGAGCTTCTGCTCGTACTCGTTGACCTCACCGACAGGGTGGATGGTCTCGACACCGTTGGGGCCGAGCTCGACCTTGGAGGCGAAGAAGTCGATGCCCTGGTCCTTGAACAGGGGAGAGTCGACAAAGGTGGGCTCAATGACACCCTTCTCGCCCTGGGCGGCGCGGAGGAGGGACTCGGCGAAGCGAGCACCGGCCATGGCCATGGAGAGGGTGGCAGAGCCAGCACCGTCCTTGGCCTTGACGACCTCATCACCACCGAACTGGATGCGGTTGACGAGAGCGTCGCGGGTCTCGCCAGAGATGGAGGCGTGGTTGGACTGCGACAGCAGGGGGACGATGGTCACACCGGAGTGGCCACCGACGACGGGGACCTTCTCGCCAGCGGGGTCGGTCTTCTGGACCTGGGAGATGAAGCGGGAGGCACGGACGACGTCCAGGGTGGTCACACCGAACAGGCGCTTGGGGTCGTAGACACCCTTGGACTTGTAGACCTCGGAGACGATGGGGACGGTGGAGTTGACCTAGAGAGAAGGATTTGTTAACGAAACCCCAATTTTAAAAAAAATCAAAAAAATTGATTGCGGATCCAAATTGTAGGGGGAAAAGAAAAACATACGGGGTTGGCAATGACCAGGACGTGAGCCTTGGGGGCAGCCTCGGCAGCGGCCTTGGCGAGGTCGCGGACGATGGAAGCGTTGGTGTTGAACAGGTCATCACGGGTCATGCCGGGCTTGCGGGGGACACCAGCGGGGATGAGAATGATCTCAGAGTCCTTGAGGCAGTCGCGGAGACCAGCAGCATCGGGGCTGTAGCCAGTGACGGTGCTGTTGGTGTTGATGTGGCTCAGATCGGCAGCGACACCTGCGAAAACAAATGGAAAATGTGCCACCGGTCAGCGGTCCAATTCGGAAGTGCGATGTCGCGGAATCGCAATTGAAACTGTTTGGGGAGAGAAAATCATACCGGGTCCACCACGGATATCGTAGAGAGCGAGCTCGGAAACACGGGGGTTGAGCTTCAGCAGGAGAGAGAGAGGCTGGCCAATGCCACCGGCAGCACCGAGGACGGCGACCTTGGAGGCCTATGATGGGGACGAAGGTGAGGTTAGCGCTAGCACGCAATGTGGTCGGAAGAATCAGGAAGGGTGCGATGCAGTCCAGGATTGGGGCTGGGGGGGGTGAAGAGGAGGAATTGGTAAATACCTGGCTGGCGGAGGCCGAGAAGGCACGCTTCTGGAAGAGGTTGAAGGACTGACGAGCGGCAAACATGATGGGCTGTCTGGGGGAGGAGGTGGTGGATGGGGAGGGAAGAAGAGGAAGAGGAAGAGAGAGCGAAGGACGTGGAAAAGCGGACGGAAACGGGGCTCCACTTTTTCCAGGTTTGGGGAGGGATGCCGACCTCCCGGTGCTCGGCCCATCCAGCGAGCTCGACAGTACACCGAGTGCTGGACTCCTGCTGTCAGTATCCTGGCAATGCCGAGTGGTTCTCTTGCACGTGCTTGGGGGAAAAAAAATAGTATCGTGGTTGATGGTAGATTTTACGTCTTACCTCCGACTTTTCTGAGGATCCTACACGAGGTGCAGCTGTTGTACCGAGGGTCCAAAGGGTCCAATCGTATGGAATTACTCCAAATAGAAACTCGAACCCACGAGAACGAGAAACCACCATCCCGGGTTATAACAACAAGAAAAAGGTGATAGAAGCAAAGACGCCATCGCTGATGAAAACTCGACCAATCCCAATCCCAATCCAGAAAAGAAAAAAAGAAATTACACAGAACGAAGAAACCCATTCCGCGGTCATCGCAAGAAATGCAACACGGCCCAGCAGAACAGGAAGAAAATCACCACTCCACCCCAGAAAATCCACTTATCCTGACGAGCCCGCCGTTCCACCATACGAATCGTATCTCCACTCACCCCCAACGTATTCGCCACGCTATATAGTCGGCGCTGGGTACCCTTCAACACCTCCCGTTGTTGACCGAGGTCCGCCAACACGGCGCGACCCCGATCGAGGAAATCGTCGAGCTGGTTGTGCGTGTTGGCAAAGAAGGACTGTTCCCGCAGGGCGTGCGTTTCACGAGTATAATTGGTAGGTCCCGCGCCGAAGCTGAGACCGGAGGAAGAAGGTGCAAAGGCCGAGGACGCGGGGAGAGAGGACTGGGCATATGGGTTCTCCGGGGTGGCGGCGTGGTGGGGACGGCGACCGAGTAGTTCATTGCGGTTGCTAACCGATTGCTACAGCGAGAGTGTCAGTCAAAGTCCAGTCACGGTCCATGCGCGGGTATTGGTGGTCATAGACGCATACCGCTTCCTCTCGCTCTTTGCGCAGACGTTCGAATTGAGCCCGGTAGTCGGCCAATTCAGTGCGGAAGTTCTTGACTCGCTCGAACGCTTTCTCTTGCTTCTCCGGGATCAACTCCTTTTTAGATAGGGCCGAGTAGTCATCGATAGTACGGGCGAGCGAGGAGAGTGACGCGGCAATCTGGCCTGTGTCAGAAAAGACGCACCGATTAGTATGGCACTTGGATGCGCATTCACGGACGGGGACCCCGGGTTCAACACACCTTGGAGAGCGGGGGACGAGGTAGCCGGGGACTGGGAAAATTGATCCAGATCTCGGCGAACAGCAGAGGACTGCTTCAGCGCAGAATTGAAGAGGGAGTTCTATTCCCATCAGCAAGTGTTCGGGAGAGTCATGCATCGAAACGGGTACACACCATGTTGTCGCTAAGGCGGCGAGCGCCACGTTCAATGTCGGAGATTCACAGCGGGGGAGAGATGGCTCGAGATAGTCGAGTAGTTTCCAGGGTACTATAGATGGGCGATCAGAAATTCCAAAAAAAAAAAAAAATGATCAACCTCAAAGAAGGTCAAGCAAGTATGGGCTCTTCGTAGAATCCGGGATCAACCAGGTCTTTGAAGGCCAGCTTGGTGTTTAGGTCGCTCACCGCCTTTGGCGCAGCTTCGAGCTACCGTACGTCACCGACAGGTACACACTGGCAACAGCCTCGACAAAGGGGGTCTTTTTATTAAAGAGAAAACTATTGATGTTAATCATCTCAAGCAATCCATTCTCTACCGGGTCTCTACAATTTGGCACAGGTTGATTCAACACGGGATTGTTGGGCTACTAACGCAGCCTGTCCAGCCTAGACTCCATTTCTCACCCGAAAAATAACAAGACAGCCAGGGATGCAGAATTTCAAGCCTCACAAAGAGCTGGGATGGTATCTGAAACAAGGAAAAGCAAACACAACAAGTCAAGCAAGGAAATCGACGATAACCTGTCGCAACCCGCAACTCCCGCCTATTTGGGAGGGTACTTGTTCTGGAGGAACCATCTATACGAGGAGAACGCGAATTAGCAATGACATCCTTCCCTCGCCATGCTCCTTCGTTCTACCATGCTCAATAACTTACTTGCTCACAAAGTAGTCCACCACACCAAAGGCACCGACAGCACCGGTCCACAGTCCGACAACCTCCCATGACAACTTGCCCTCCACGTGCTTGCGATAAGCACCAAAGCCCAAGCCCGCACCGACCAGAGTAGCCACCACGGCGTTGGTGATGAAAACGGGGTTATCCGAGTTAGCAGGCAAGCCACTGCTCTTCGCCTTGCGGGGCTTGGCCTTCTTGGCAGACTCCTCGCGCGCACGCTGAGCCTCTTCCTCTTGGGCTTCGCGCTCGAGGCGTTCCGCCTGGGTGGTGGTCTTGACCTCCTGGTTAAGGAAGTCGGGGTCAACGGCTTGGACGTGGGGCGAGTCGACGTCGATCAGGGAGGCCGTGCTCTCGGATTCATCCTTGTAAATGCCGCCGAGGGTGGGAGCGCGACTGATTCAGGGTAGATTTAGTACATGGGCATGGATGGGTTGAATGACATCAGCTAGTATAACTTACGCCTATGGATATTGGTCAGCAGGTAGTTCACGCAGTATTCAGGAGAGTCGCATGGTACTTACTTCCTCTGGGGATTGCTTGGGGCCCTTGGCAGCAGCGTCGGCGTAAGACATGGTGTGAGTGTAGAAGAGAGAATAAACAGAGGTAGTTCTGGAGTCGGGCGGTCGGTGAGCGTAGTTTTTTTCAAAGACGGAGATCAGAGATAATTCTTACCAAGAGGGGCAAGTATGTTCAGGGGAGGGGGGAGGAATGAGGATTTTAAGTGGTGGCAGAAGGTGGCAGGTGAACCTTGGAAGCTTCGGGGTGACATCACGTCATTGATTCTGGATGTTGGGTGGAGCCATACCCTGTTGCTGGCATCGGACCACGTACTCCGTGGTCTATTGATTGATAAATGTATATCTAAATAATTGATGTTCGTCGGAAGCTAAAGAGAGATACTTTTAAATACACTTTCTCCAAAGCTAGGTCAAATCTTCAGGATCAACTCCTGTCCTTCAATCGTTGTTGTGCAGTGAACACGTGAAATGGCTGACTGCCCACTCCCCAGCCACTGACGTGGATGCTTGCGGCCAAGCCCGGGGCTCAACTTGGCGATATCGTCAAAACAGATCCATATACTCTTCAAAATAACAGTAGTACTAGTAACTAGAACCAAATCTGTCAATCTTATTTTGAAAATCTTCCGCCTCAAAATTAGACTACACTCAGTCTCATGCGGATAGCTGAAGCTGTAACCCATACCTGGAATCGAACATCTGTCTGGAGTTGTGAATTGGGAAATACCACCAGATCAGTCAACCTCGATTGAGGCTCCATTTCGAATCGCCAAATATGATTCAAAAGGGTTGGATCAGATAATCTATTATCGTACAAGTGGGGACCTATAACGTAGAAGCTTGAACAATTAGCAGCTCATTGCTTATTTTAAGGTACAGGTAGGTGTGGATCCATCCTCGAAATATATCGTCGCCCTTTGCCACCACATTGATGCCCTTTTTTTGTATTCAGGTCTCTTTGGGATGTCCCGAAAGGCACAATGGAAGACCATACCCAGCGCACTGCCATGATCAATCATTTTAAAGTAGTTCTAGCATATCACCCTCGGGCCGATTAAAGGCTACGTAGCCGGTTACTCTCTATTCGGTGGCTAACAACCTATCCGGGTTTCATTCGACACAGACGGGCCTGCAGCAAAAGCAAACATACGCATTTACCAAATCTATAGCTCACCAGAACAAAATGCCAGTTTCGAGGTGAATTTCCATGAGCTTAATCCTGATTTCTAGCCCTCAGAGAGACGGGTCACTACGGTTGCAAGATCCGCCCGATTATTGTTAAGCGGATCGCGGATCTCGAGAACAAAAAAAGATCCACAAAAGTTTTGTTCTAACCAAGAGCGGACATATGAAAATGGGATTGAAGTTGCTAAAACCAAACACAAAAAAGGACCTATGGTGGTCTAAAGAGAAACCATTTTAATACAGATTACATTGTATGGAAAAAGGTTGGTACGAGACGCAGTCTCGCCGGGCTTCTCGCTGCTTGTTCTTACAGCAGAAGCTCGAGCGGGTTCTCGACAACCTTCTTCAGCTCCTTGATCCACTCACCACCGACGGCACCGTCAACGACCTTGTGGTCGAAGCTACCGGTGACGATGATCTGATCATCCCACTCGGTGACGGTGCCCTCCTCGGTCTCGACGGGGACAGCAACCTTGCGGGTGGTGCCGACAGCCAGAATACCGGCCTGAGGGGGGTTGATGACGGCAGTGAAGCGCTCAACGGCGGGGTTCATGCCCATGTTGGAGATGGTGAAGGTACCACCCTGGTACTCCTCGGGCTTGAGCTTGTTCTCACGAGCACGCTTGCCAAGGTCCTTGATCTGGTTGGAGATGCTGGACAGACCCAGACCCTGGACGTTCTTGACGACGGGGGTGATCAGACCGGAGGGGGTAGCCACGGCAACGCTGATATCAGCGGTGCTGTGCTGGCGGATGACGGCCTGGCCGTTCTCCTCGCGCCAGCTGGAGTTGACCTGGGGAACCTTCAGGAGAGCGACGGCGCAAGCCTTGACAAGGAAGTCGTTGACGGAGAGCTTGTACTTGCCCTCAGCGGAGGCGTTCAGGGCCTGGCGCAGCTTGAGGAGCTTGGTCACGGACAGGGTGGTGGACACGAAGTAGTGGGGGTTGTCAGCCATGGACTGCTTGAGGCGGTTGGCAATGGTCTTGCGCATGGAGGTGATGGGGATGTCCTCAAAGGCGGGACCGGCAGCAGCGGCACCACCGGTAGGCTGGTACTTCTCAACATCCTCCTTGGTAATCACACCACCACGGCCAGTGCCCTTGAGAGCCTTGACGGGGACACCCTTCTCGAGAGCGAGAGCCTTGGCAGCAGGGCTGATCGAGGGCTCACGGTCCAAGCTGGGCTGGAGCTTGTCGCCAGAGGTCTCGGGCTCCTGCGCGGCGGGCTCCGGAGCCGGGGTCGGGGCCGAAGGCTCGGCGCTCTTGGGCTCCTCCTTCTGCTCAGCGGCCGGGGCGGCCTTGTCACCGCCAGCATCAGCCAGGGTGAAGGACTCGAAGGGAGTGACATCGGCACCCTCCTCAACAAGGACGGCAATGGGCTGCAAGGCGAGGGGAAAAAAAGCGGTTAGTGTTTGTTTTGCTTGGACAAAGTTGTCAGGGGAGAGAGAGCACTCAAGCTCCTCCGCGGAGAAATTCGGGAAAATTCTTACAGAGCCAACAGGGACATCCTTCTCACCGGAGTCCTTCAGGACCTTCGCGAGAACACCCTCCTCCTGGAACTCAAAGTCCATCTGCGCCTTATCGGTCTCAATCTCCACAAGGACATCTCCGGGCTGCAGGCCGTCGCCGGCCTTCTTCTGCCATGCGCCAATGTTTCCCGCGGTCATCGTCGGGGACAAAGCAGGCATGCTGATGATGGTGTGGGGAGGGAAAGCTGTAATGTATTGCGATTGTTAGAGCAAGTCGAATGGCCGTGTTGGATGGGATCAGTTGGAATTCATACACTTGGACGCATAGAAGCGGGAAAGAGCGGACAGGGCGGGCAATTGGTTTCTGCACGAAGCAAGCTCATCAGTTATCAATCCATCACCAGAGTAGAGACCGAGAGGAGCGCATACTGGATGATCTCCTGGAACTTGTAGGAGACCTGAGGGCGCCGCATGGAGGCGGCGCCTCGAGACATGAACATGGCACTCGGAGTGCGCATCCGGACAGCGGCAGCGACCATGTTGGGCTCGAATTGCCGGGGTATATGAATAACAAAAAGGTCCCTCGACACAAATATCACAGAAACAGAGAAGTTCCGGCGCGGGAAAACGGTGAAAAGCCGGGGATGAGGGAGTTGGGGGGAGAAAGATGGCCTCTAAAGGTCAGGAACTTTTCTGTTGAGCTTCTAAGGTTCCCGGTGAGCGGCCTCTTCCGAGTCACGTGAGGACCAACAGGCTGGTCTCCCACGCTTCCACGGGCAGCTTGCTGACTCAGCCCATGCCAGTCCCGATTGGGAGAAGACACGCATCCCCATATGAAACAATAATCATACCGGCGAGCATCCTCGCAGGGTCCAAACGCTGCGCACCACCTCTATTTCTTTTCCGTCGCATGCTTCAGGTTTGATCCGATAGCTCCGCCCGGAGTCTCTCTGACCATGGCGGACGTCGACCCCGGCCTAGAGCCAAACCACCCCGCGGCCGACCTGCCCGAATCCGAGCAGGCCTCCGTGAATACAACTATGGAAGAAGCTCAAGAAGCTCCGCCAAAGTTGGCTTCTGATAAGCCGTCTAATTTCTCCGAGAAGGCAGAATGGCAAGAAGTGACGGAGCAACAGGAGCAGGAGATACAACAAGAACGACAGGAAGAAGACAATAAACAAAACGAAGCCGAGGAGCCGCAACAGGCAGCGAGCGAGCAAGATGCCGATGATGAAATGAAGCCCGAAGTTCCGCCGAAGGATACAACGGAGGAGAGCACCAATGGCCTTGAGGATGAACAGCAGCAGCAGGCTGATGTCGCGCCTCCCGAAATTCACGAACCCGAGCCAGCCGACGACAATGCGCCGCCAGATGCTCGAATGCGCTCTGACTCGCGGTCAACCACGGCTACTTTTGCGACGCATCGATCTACGGTTGTCAGCTCGACAGTTTTCATCGTGACTGCCCTCGACACCATTGGCGCCTCCCGCGAAGCCCGCCGAAGTAAGGAGCTTGAGGAGTCGGTTCAAGTAGCCTTGGCGAATGTCAAACAGTCGGATGGACAACCTATCGACCCCGAGCTTATCTTCCGTCCTCTACACTTGGCAAGCAAGACTCTCAGTATTCCGCTCCAGGTGACTGCCCTCGATTGCATTGGCAAACTCATCACATACTCTTACTTTGCCTTCCCCTCCGCCGAATCCGAAAGCGAGGCTACCCCGGAGAAGTCGCCCCTGATCGAACGAGCCATTGACGCGATTTGTGACTGTTTTGAAAATGAGGCGACTCCCAACGAGATTCAGCAACAGATCATCAAGTCTTTGCTGGCTGCCGTGCTGAATGATAAGATTGTGGTGCATGGAGCTGGTCTCCTGAAAGCAGTTCGCCAGATCTATAATATCTTCATCTACTCCAAGTCGAGCCAGAACCAGCAAATCGCTCAAGGCTCGCTGACTCAGATGGTTAGCACGGTATTCGATAGAGTTCGAGTCCGCTTGGATCTGAAAGAGCTTCGGAATCGCGAGGTTGATAAAGTCACCGGTACCAATCTTGATGCGTTGGCAAGTGACCAAGGTCAGATCTCAGAGGTTGCTTCTGTATCTGCGGTCGACCAAGGGGATCAAACGGATCCGTCAGACCAGCCAGTCACCAAAGAACCCAACTCGGAGAAACTCACTCTGCAGAGCTTCGAGTCGCCTAAGGAGGTGACCACTGTCAATGACAATGCACCCACTACTGTCACCCGTGCCAAGTTATCTCGATCTACCACGGCCCGATCGATGTCGGGCATCCCTGAGGAGAGAGAAGATGACAACTCGACCGAGGATGATGTGGATGAAGTCTACGTCAAGGACGCTTTCTTGGTCTTTCGCGCATTGTGTAAGCTGAGCCACAAGATTCTTGGCCATGACCAGCAACAAGATATCAAGTCACAAAACATGCGGTCGAAGGTGCTCTCACTGCATCTCATCCACTATCTTATCAACAACCACATTACCACCTTCACCTCGCCGCTTGCCGCAATCAAGAACAGCTCATCCAGCACCGAGGCCATGACACTCCTCCAGGCTGTGCGGCCCCACCTTTGCCTAAGTCTCAGCCGGAATGGTTCCAGCTCCGTTCCCCATGTCTTCAAGGTCTGCTGTGAGATTTTCTGGTTGATGCTCAAGGACATGCGGGTGATGTTGAAGAAGGAGCTGGAGGTGTTCCTTAAGGAGATCTACCTAGCTATTCTCGAGAAGCGCGCTGCCCCTTCTTTCCAGAAGCAATACTTTATGGAAGTTTTGGAACGACTGGGAGGCGATCCTCGTGCTTTGGTGGAGATCTATCTCAACTATGATTGTGACCGGACGGCGTTGGAGAACATCTTTCAAAATATCGTCGAGCAGCTCTCGCGGTACTCGAGCCTGCCGGTCACTACAACGGCTTCCCAACAACAATACTTCCAGGACCATCATACCAAGATGACTAGCACTGGGGCTGAGTGGCGCCAGCGTGGAACTCTGCCTCCATCTCTCACCACCGCCAATATCACACCACCTCCCCAACCTGCCGCGCCTAGCATTCCTTCAGATTATATCTTGAAGCATCAAGCTGTAGAAAGCCTCGTCGAGATGCTACGTTCTTTGGACAACTGGGGCTCTCAACGTCTGGACGATCAAGTTGCTGCCGCGGCCGCCGCTCAGTCACTTGGACCAGTCAAGTCGATGGACAACTCCCGCGAATCACTGGATACTAACGTGCTGATTTCGCCACGCCCAGAGATCAGCGATGCAGGCACTGGTCGATCTACTCCCGTGCCTGAAGATGACCCCAACGAGATTGAAAAGGTCAAACAGCGCAAGATCGCTATGATGAACGCCATTCAACAGTTCAATTTCAAGCCCAAGCGTGGTATCAAGCTTTTGCTTTCGGAAGGCTTCATTCGTTCGGATTCTCCCGAGGACATTGCCAGCTTCTTACTTCGCAATGATCGTCTTGACAAGGCTATGCTCGGCGAGTACTTGGGTGAAGGCGAACCCGAAAACATCGCCATCATGCATCAGTTTGTCGACCAGATGGATTTCACCAAACGACGTTTCGTTGATGCTCTTCGGTCTTTCCTGCAAACCTTCCGGTTGCCTGGCGAGGCGCAAAAGATTGATCGGTTCATGCTCAAGTTTGCAGAACGGTACACAACTCAGAATCCCAATGCCTTCGCCAACGCAGACACGGCGTATGTCTTGTCGTACTCCGTCATCATGCTCAACACCGATCAGCACAGCTCTAAAATGAAGGGCCCACGAATGACCAAGGAGGACTTTATCAAGAACAATCGCGGTATTAACGACAACCAGGACCTACCGACCGAGTATCTCATTTCGATTTATGAGGAGATCGCCAACAATGAGATTGTTCTCGACACCGAGCGAGAACACGCGGCCAATTTGGGTATCCAGACCTCTGCTCCTACCGGGCTAGCAACTCGAGCTGGACAGGTATTTGCTACCGTCGGTCGAGACATCCAAGGCGAGAAGTATGCGCAGGCGTCCGAGGAAATGGCCAACAAGACCGAGCAGTTATATCGCTCCCTCATCCGAGCCCAGCGCAAAACAGCCGTCCGTGACGCTCTTTCTCGTTTCATCCCCGCCACTTCGGTTCGACACGTTGGATCAATGTTCAACGTTACCTGGATGTCGTTCTTGTCAGGATTGTCAGCCCCAATGCAAGATACCCAGAACCTTGAGACCATCCGACTTTGCATGGAGGGTCTTAAGCTGGCCATTCGCATCAGCTGCGAGTTTGATCTGGAAACCCCTCGCGTCGCGTTTGTTACTGCCTTGGCAAAATTCACCAACCTTGCAAATGTTCGCGAAATGATGCCGAAGAACGTGGAAGCCTTGAAGGCACTGCTTGACGTTGCTTTCACGGAGGGCAACCGTCTGCGTGGCTCGTGGCGAGAGATTCTAACCTGCGTTAGCCAGCTTGATCGATTGCAGCTGTTGAGTGATGGCGTGGACGAAGGGTCTCTGCCCGATGTCTCACGGGCGCCCACGGCATCCTCAGATACTGCTTCTCGCAAGTCCATGCAGTCCACCAGAAGACCTCGGCCACGGTCGGTTGGGGGACCCTCGGCCTTCCGCATGGAGATCGCCATGGAAAGCCGGTCCGCCGATATGGTCCGCGGTGTTGATCGCATCTTCACCAACACCGCAAATCTGTCTCACGAAGCCATTATTGACTTTGTGCGGGCATTGAGCGAGGTTAGCTGGCAAGAAATACAGTCCTCTGGACACAGCGACTCTCCTCGCACGTACAGTCTGCAGAAGCTGGTTGAAATCAGTTACTACAACATGACTCGTGTCAGGATTGAATGGTCCAAGATTTGGGAGGTTCTAGGCCAGCATTTCAATCAGGTTGGCTGCCACTCTAACACAACCGTGGTGTTCTTCGCGCTGGATTCCCTGCGACAGCTGTCAATGCGCTTCATGGAGATTGGCGAATTGCCCGGTTTCAAATTCCAAAAGGATTTCCTCAAGCCTTTTGAGCATGTCATGGCTAACAGTACTACTGCTGCCGTCAAGGACATGATTCTTCGCTGTCTCATCCAGATGATTCAGGCGCGTGGTGACAACATCCGGTCCGGATGGAAGACCATGTTTGGTGTATTCACTGTTGCAGCTCGCGAACCTTATGGTAAGCTCTTTTCTTTCGTCCCCCTCCCTTTCCAATCTTGCCGACCTAACCATGTCTCTTCCTCATTCAACCACTCCCCTCAATCTCAATGGCGCACCCGCTAACAATAATACGCAGAGGGAATTGTGAACATGGCCTTTGATCATGTCACCCAAGTCTACAACACTCGCTTCGGGGTTGTGATCACCCAGGGTGCCTTCGCTGACCTGATCGTTTGTTTGACCGAGTTTTCCAAGAATTCCAAATTTCAAAAGAAGTCACTACAAGCGATCGAGACGCTCAAGTCCACGGTTACAAAGATGCTGCGCACTCCAGAGTGCCCACTCTCCCACCGCGGCGACACCGCTGCTCCACACTTCCAAGAAGAAGGCACTAACCTTGCCAAGCAACTCACTCGCCAGTCGCAAGAAGAGCAGTTCTGGTATCCCATTCTTATTGCCTTCCAGGATGTGTTGATGACCGGTGATGATCTCGAGGTCCGGTCTCGCGCACTGACCTACCTCTTTGATACACTTATTCGACATGGAGGCGACTTCCCCCGTGATTTCTGGGATGTTCTCTGGCGACAGCTGCTTTGCCCAATCTTCGTGGTCCTACAGTCCAAGTCTGAAATGTCCAAGGTTCCTAATCATGAGGATCTTTCCGTCTGGCTGTCCACAACGATGATCCAAGCTTTGCGCAACATGATTACTCTCTTCACTCACTATTTCGAGTCATTAGAGTATATGCTGAGCCGGTTCTTGGAGTTGCTGACCTTGTGTATCTGTCAAGAGAATGATACCATTGCTCGCATTGGTAGCAACTGTCTACAGCAGTTGATCCTGCAGAATGTTTCCAAGTTCCGAGAGGAACATTGGACTCAGATCGTGGGTGCATTCATCGAGCTCTTCAGCAAGACAACTGCTTATGAGCTCTTCACGGCGGCGGCATCCGTGTCGAAATTGAGCGAGACCCCTGTCATCGCCACCACCAACGGTGATGTCGCCCAGTCCGATGCCACATCTGGCGAGCTTTCTGACTCGCTTCAGCCGAACGGATCTCAAAGCACTGCCTCCCTTCAGGATGAAAGCGATCCGCCCGCCCAGAGTGAGGCCCGTGCCGAGCTGGAAGACTACCGGCCGCCGACGGACTCACAACAGCAACCCGCAGCCGTCACTGCGGCGCGTCGTCGCTTTTTCAATCGGATCATCACCAACTGCGTTTTGCAGTTGCTCATGATCGAGACGGTGCACGAGCTCTTCTCCAACGACAATGTCTATGCTCAGATTCCCAGCCACGAGCTCTTGCGGTTGATGGCCCTGCTGAAGAAGAGTTATCAATTTGCCAAGAAGTTCAACGAGGACAAGGATCTTCGCATGCAGCTCTGGCGTCAAGGGTTCATGAAGCAGCCACCCAACTTGTTGAAGCAAGAGAGTGGTAGTGCTGCCACCTACGTGCATATACTCTTCCGAATGTATCATGACGAGCGCGAGGAGAGACAGAGCAGTCGCGCCGAGACCGAGGCAGCTCTTATTCCGTACGTTTTATCATCCCTAAGCTCCTTCCGTCTTCAAACAAGAAGTCTTTTGCTAACCCGTTCGTGCTCTTCTAGACTCTGTGCCGATATTATTCGCAGCTTTGTCCGCCTCGACGAAGAGAGCCAGCACCGCAACATTGTGGCCTGGCGTCCGGTGGTGGTGGATGTGATTGATGGGTATAATAACTTCCCCCAGGACGGGTTCGATAAGCACATCGAGACCTTCTACCCACTTGGTGTAGAGCTTCTGAGCCGCGATCTCAATCCGGAGATTCGCGTCGCGTTGCAGGCACTTCTCCGTCGGATCGGCGAAGTCCGGCTGGGCGTTGCTCCGTCCAACCCGTTGGACGCTCCGATCAGCCCGCGGAGCTCCGTCTCTCAGAAGGGTTCACGTCGAGACAGCCAGGCCACTCATTGATGGGCCTTTGTATTCCTTATTGTTTTCATGTTGGGATATCCTCGCCTGGCTTTGTGATTTACAGCGTGATCCAGGCGTTTCTACTTTTCTCTCTTTTGTCTCTCTTTCTATTACTCTCTTCCCCCCTATTCTCCTGTTTCCCCCCCCCCCCCCCCAAGCATTTTCGTTTCCAAAATCCTAGAGATGGCATCCCCGTGTACTGATAAGACGTAAAGATTTTATTCGTGTCAAATTCCCTCTAAAGATTTTTCATCCGTACTTCTAGAAGGGGAGGAATGTCTCCTGCCTGGTAATGGGAGAGCAAGCCATCCATATCCTGCTCGGTCATTCCCACCAAGTCCTCCAAGCTCCAGGATTCACAGACCCCAGACATCCTGGCATGAGTTAGCATACATTCGCCTCGTGGGAAATGGGCTGCCTCTCAAACTCACCACTTCATCCGCTTGGGTCCTTCGTTCGGATTGGGCGCCACCTCACGCAGTTTCTTCCGTAGCTTGCCCACATTTTGAATAGCTGCGCCCATATTACTCGGTAGAGCTGCGGCAATCCTCTTGCGCACCAAATTGGCCATCTTTGGACCATTGCCATTGGTACTGACCATGATCTGCAGCGGACCATCCCGGTGTATGCTGCCAAAGTAGAAATCACACTCGGGAGGGACATCTGCAATATTCGCTGCGATGCGACGTTCTTTGCATAGCTTCCACACTTGGGTCGAAGCCTCCGGGTCATCGATGGCGCATAGCACCATGTCGGCCGTGTCCAAGTCGCTAGGCTCGAAGTTGCGATCAATATGTGTGACCTGTTTCTGAGCAATGCGATAGGCGACTTCCTTGTTCAGCCCGGAAGCGGGACAGACGACGGTGACGCGCGCATCGGCATTAAGTGCGAGTAGAATACGCCCAGCAGCAACCTGTTGAAGAATTAGTATCAATCTGGCTCTAAGCTTAGGAGCCGATATATATTCCGAGGTGCATAGCTAATAGAAAGCTTACCTCTCCGCCTCCAACCACCAATACATGCTTGTTCTTGACCTGCCAAGCCACAATCAACGAGCCTCCCCCTTGAATCTCGGGAAACTCTGACATTTTGCCCTTTTTCCTCCTTCGCACGGAACAGAGAGGGAGTATGATTCCCAGCTCCTGAGATCTCCGTGACGATAAGACAAGCGTGGGGTATTACGGCAGTCCACACCGCCCACACCCGCAGTTCCGTACCCGCCGAGCTATTTTTTTTTTCCTTAGCGGCTTTCTGTCTTTTCTTTTTCTTCTTCTCCCTCCTCCCCCGTCTTCTCCTTCTTCTTCTCAATTTTCCCAAATACCCAAGATCAGCCATGCGGGGTGTGCAGATCTTCTCGGGGAATTCCCATCCCGCCCTTACAGAGACCATCTGTGAGCGGTTGGGTACCTCGCCTGCGCCGGCAGATCTCGGGAAATTCGCCAATGGCGAGACCAGTGTGAACATCGGCGTCTCGGTCCGCAACCAAGATGTCTACATTGTTCAGAGTGGCAGCAGCAAGATCAATGACAGCGTGATGGAGCTGCTAATTATGATCTCGGCTTGCAAGGGTGGTTCGGCCAAGTCGATTACTGGTACGTCGTCGCTGTTTCCTCGCCTTCGGAGCTGAACAAGAAAAAATCAATCCGAGAGACGGACATGAGACTGACGTATTGCTTCTTTCTTCTAGCGGTCATGCCGTATGCTGCCTGCTCTGTTTGAATACTGAAATAAGTGAACACTGGATGCTGACCCCTGATGAGATACTTCCCCTATTCCCGTCAATCCAAGAAGAAGAGCCATCGTGGTGCCATCACGGCCCGCATGCTCGCCAACCTGCTCTCCATCGCCGGTGTGGACCATGTGATTACCATGGACCTGCACGTACGTTGCTGCCCTTGACGTTGCAATTGACCTTCTCCGATGTTGATTGGGTTTCAATAGGCATCCCAGATGCAAGGCTTTTTTGGCAAGCCCGTCGATAACCTCTTCGCCGAACCGTTCATTGCCCGCTGGATTCGGATGAATGTATCGGGCTGGAGGGATGCAGTGGTGGTGAGCAAGAACGCCGGCGGTACCAAGCGAGTCACCTCGCTGGCCGATACCCTCAAACTCAACTTTGGTATTGTGACCACCGACCGGCGGCGCCCGAAGGTTCCCGTGAACACAATGTCTGATAGCACGGTCTTCTTCGATGGCGTTGACGATGAGGTACGAGCTTCGAAGGAGTCCCAGCCCTTTGAGCTTCGCCTTCACCGTTCTCTTGCAACTCCCCCCATCCCTGAAGAACTGGAAAACATCGATTCACCCCAAGAACTGCTGCGTCCCGAGACTCCCCCGGCGGCTCGCCGGCCGTCGGAGCTCGAGGTTGAGTACACCGACGTTCGGGTTCGAGACGTGGTCACCGGCCGTCTGGTGCAGGGCCAGCTAGTCGATGATGACTACCACCCGGAGTCCGAGTCACACTCTGGTGGAACCACTCCCGGAGCTGGTGGAAGCGCCAGTGGCCACGGCGAAAACACCGAGGTCGTGCCGGAGACCATGTTTAACTCTATGATCTCTAGCGTCTCCTCATTGCCCCCAGACCATGCCCTGGGCGGCTCCTTCGATGCTGTCGAGTCGGATGACGAGGCCAGCGTGGTTGGTTACGACCACGAGCGAACCATTACGCTGGTTGGCGAAGTCCGCGATCGACCAGTGTTCCTCGTAGATGACATGATTGACAAGAGTGGATCGTGGATTGCCGCCGCGGAGACGGTCGTCAAGCGTGGTGGTGCTGCCAAGGTCTATTGCATTGCCACCCACGGTCTGTTCGGATCCGATTCGCTCGATCAGATGGAGGCTTGCCCTTCGATTGACCACATCGTCGTGACGAACACGTTCCCGATTGAGCCGTCGATGCTCAAACGGTCCAAGAAGCTGATCGTTATCGACATCTCGACTCTTCTGGCTGAGAGCATTCGGCGGCATCACTACGGTGAAAGGTGCGTTTTTTCTTCTCTTTTGTCTTTTCTCTCGCCCTTCATGGCGTCAATCCCAATACCAACGGATCACTGACTTTTATCCCAAACAGCGTCTCGGCCCTCTTCCACCTTAATGACTAAATGATGGCCCTTAGGGGCGGATGGCTGTGACGAACTTTGACTTGACATCTTTCTAGGGCGGCGTTGATGACTGATTTGCAGACTCCGAGATCTCTGCATTCTTGCGATCCTATGGCATGATACCTACTTTTTTTTTTTCTTCATCTCCCAAATAAACACAAAAACCATTCGAAGAAGTCTGTCTTGCCCAGACCGATCTGTAACCCTCACATGCATCCTCACATTCTTGATGAGATCATGTGTATCCTTCTTTTCTTGATTTTATTTTATTTTTCACTCTCTTTCTCTTTCTCCCTTCTTCAATCACCCCAGCGATGCAGTCCACTCTGGGTACTGCAGGAGCATCTCGTCATCCACGAGGTGTTCTTAACGGAGCGTTGGCAGAGCAAACACCGGGTCTGATCCGGACGGTTTCTTTTCTTCTTTTCTTTGAAAGGAAGAGAAAAGGCAAGAAAGATCAGACCCGACGAGGACTGAAGGCTCCAGTTTCTTTGAGAGGATTTCCAATTGGAGATCTTCTCGATGCCTTTTCTGGCGGTGAGACTGGTGCAAGAGAACCCCTCGAACATCTTTACATCTTTATGATCTGTAGACTGGCAAACAAGTTTTCTCAACCGTCGATTTATCAATGAAATCCCGTTTTTTTCCCGTCTATGACGACCTGCTCAGTGGCACTTACCTCGTTCTCCAAGCTTGATACTTTCCCGCCTTGCATCTTGCTTGATACCGTGACTCCACAAACTATCCACGTCTATAGGATCTATAGGATCTATAGGATCAATAGGCCTCCGATATCTTCCCACTCGCCATCGGATGCGGCTCCCCGCGTCGTCTTTCGCCCCAAACCGTCCGATCTACCGCGCCGATTGCTCAAGATTGAAACACGAAGCCGAGTCCCGTGAAGAAAAATTGAGTAGCGGTCTGCGTGTGCCGAGAAAAGCAAAACAAGCCGCCCCTTTCCGGGCTCATCGGTGGCGCACCGATGGACTTGAATACATACGATTGCATTACTTTACGATTGAAAGCTGGGAGTCGAGAAGCAATCGACCTGTCCAGGTCATGAGCCATCTTTCCCTCTTTGAGCAGTCGGTGATGTTCGTCGGTTTCACGGCGAATCTAGAACTCCCGACTCAACATCCTGGTTCGTCCAATGGGCTGGCCTGGTTTCAAATGTAATTGCACCTGCTCATCGACCTCCGCCGTGCCTGACAGGCGCCCAGCCGGGATGGCGCCCGATGAAAAGAAAGCACCTTGGGAGCCAATTCATTGTCCTCGTCCGGTTTTCGTCGACAGGACTGCCAAGTTCTACCAACCAGTGGTTGTCGTACTTTGTGCGACCAAGCAGGTTCCACTACGACTCGGCTGACTGGGATACATGATTGTGCGGATTCTCCTCCACTCCGTGCATCTCGACGTGCTGCCCAGACTGGTGGGATTGATCGGTCGTATGTTTGTCACCAATGTGGGTATGCCCTTCTCGTACCCTCCGTACTCTTTTTCTCCACTATTAGAAAGTGTCTTATCCACAAGCTACCGTACCCTCGCTAGTAGCGACGTACAGGAGCGAGGCGACCACATAGTTACAAGGTTACATAGGTCCAAACGTCACCGTACTTCGTGTGTCTAAATGACAAAGATACTCGGATGCGCATGGACATCCGAGTGAGGCTCCAGCTCCCAGCTCCCAGCTCCAGCTCCAGCGCTCCGGTAAGCCCCCGACCATGCAGCTCGTCTAATCAAAGTGCGTCAACTAAGTACGTCTCGCTTGGAGGCGACGCAAAGTACGAGGTGGGGTCCACGGGGTCGCATGTGTAACCGAGGATTAGGGGGGAAAGGCGTCAGCGTCGCGAGTTGTAGTACATACAGTGTCTTTGTTGAATTTGATCTGTTGAACTGGTAGGGAAAGGGGGGAGAGAACGAACGGCCCCAATACTATCGAGTCGGTCCAGACCGCGCAAAAGAATAGGACCATCATTATCCAATTCAGATCGACTCCGGCACATCCAAGTTGAAAGCTCCGTTCCGAAGCTGGATTTAAGATTGCAGTAGTCCCTATAGTCCCACCTCTATTCGGCGCAATGGCCCCGACTCAACTAATGCCGGGGGCGTGCTTCCGGGCGATCGTCATGTTCCCAGGGAGAAGGGGATTCGTCAACCGGTGCGTTTGATCATGAGTGTCCCTCTTTTCTGACTTTTTTTTTTATTGCCTTTTTGACTTTTTAACTTGATGATAATTATTATTATGATGCAAACCCAGCACCAGGGAGATGATCCAAACAAGGGTCCTCGTTACATCAAAAGAAAAAAACAAAAAGAAAAGTATGTACTCCATATACCGTATAGAGGGGTTGCCAACCGGGAAAAAAAAAATAAAAACCACCAAACCAACTATGAAACGGTCGAAAGTACGCCGTGCACTGTGAGTAATCAACCAAACAAAAGGCCAGCATGAGAAGAATGAAGCAGTCACAAAAGTTCCTGAGACAATGCCATGTGGAGAAAGACCACTAACAATAGGCCGTGGTCCAAGCGTTTGGAGGCCTCTATTTTCCGTGTCGCTAAGCCTCCTGGTGGATTGGATTGTGATGTATCAACCTTAAAACGATCCGGGACTAGAGAATGGGTGTCCCTAGTACTAGTACTGTAGTACTAGAACTGTATATCCTTGTGAATCCTATTTTTTCTGTCATCATTTCTCAGCCCGCCCCCCCCTTCAGCATCTATCCACTCAAACCCAGGTTCTCCAAAGCCTCCAAATCCCAAAAAAGTCAAATTGAAACCGCCAACATCGAACCCAGACGGCTCTTCCTCCAGTGATGATCGGACCCGAGGGCCAAATTGCTGGGATGCGCACGACCGCGATCGGCCATGATCGGCTCTGCGAGGGCCTTGACCAGAATCAGCATCCCGTGCAGTCCGCACTAGGACCACTGGCGGAAGAGTCGGTGGAGACGGGCACGCAACTAACTATCCGGACTTGACCATTGTCGCTTCCAGGTCCCACGCAACTAAGAAAACTAAGAGGTTCGGGGCCCAGCTGGTCGGGTTAAGTCGCGTCTATGATTTGACGACCTACTGGTGACTAGCGTTAGTGCTTCCATCCTGTCAAGCTGCTCTCTTTTTTACCTTTGCCATGGTTTGGTTCGAGTCCCAATTCTTCTTTACCCCCCCCCCCCTTTTTCGTATAGATCCACTCGGGAGGGATGGGCTATTTTGGCAACGCGAGTCGATCCATGCATGCCAAATCAAATCAATTCCAATGACAATTCTCAATTTCGATTTTGATTTCTCCCCTTGGTCTCTCCCATCTGCTGCACCCTGCCTATTCGGTAGTTTGGTCCCGTAGTCCCTGCCCTGGCCCTTGGTATTCCCCACCTGCTTGCCAATCTTGGGCTTAGGGTACTCCGTACTCGCTCCCTCGCGGTCCTATGCCGACCTCGAAGCTGTCTAGTCGGCGCGTTACCTTCTCTCCAATCACCTCCCGTACTTTTAATGTCCATCAATTTCATTATTTTCATAGAACCACACTTAAAAAGCCCCCGACTTTTGTTGCGCCGCCAGATCAATGCCTACCAATTGCAATCCCGCGATGTCCATCGATCGCGATCTGAATCCTGGCCGGAAAGACGACAGGGATCTGCCGACCTTCAATGGCGTCTCCGTCTAATTTTCTATGCGCCAATGCAAGATTGAATTCGCGGTAGATCCAGCATCGCTCTCTTCCGTGGGTTTCTCTATTTTCTATAACAACTCGGCTCTGTACCTTTCCCCGTCTTCCACTCCCCCAACAAGGAAAATAAGAAAAAGGAATATATTGCCTCCCCCCACCCTCCTCCCTCCACAATAATCATTTTTATACAGCCCTGGACCTTTTACCTTGTCCGGATTGACCCTGCCGATTATCAAAATCAAAAAAAAACCCCAGATCCCACTCGGGTACGTGCGTCATCGACGGCATTGTGCAGAGCGATTCAAGTCGGAGACTGCGAATGGCTTGATCGAGCATCTGGATCTCATTGACCCATGTCCGAGAGCAAATGGATACAGAGCGAGCACTTTCTTCGAAGCTATATATAATGGACCCGGGGTCCAGCAGTTTGGAAGCAACTCATCTTCTTCATCAATCTTCAACTCGCCTTGCTCGCACCTTCTTCCACTCCCGTTCGTCCGCTATCCTCTTGAGCTTCAATTCCTCCATCTCACGTTCCACACTTTCTCCCTTGAATCAAATCGGGGATCATCCATCGTCTTTCTACTTCCCCTTCCTCCCCAATCCCAATCTCGATCCGTGGAACCATTTTCCGGTGATCGACGCCAGCTTCCATTCCCTCGGGCCCTGGATCATTCACCTAGTCTGGTTAGTGACGAACCCTCGGGTCTCCAACCGCGAGGTTATACGCCGAGCTAACCGCAGCCAGCAGTGAATCACGTACAGATAGACGCACACTTTTTTTTGGATCTCACTTCCCAAGAAAAAGAGACATAATCAGTCACAATGGCCAACCAGTGCTCCGGTCATAAATTCGCCATTGTCCAGGCCACCAATGGCAATATCCTGACGTGGCGTTGCTCCGATTGCAACTCGGGCCCCTTTGTGGCTATCTGGCGATGCAAGATCTGTGGCCACTGTCGCTGCAACAGCTGCCACAACGCCAAGTCATAATGTGTGAGTCGGGTTTTTCCCTTCGGCGCGTGTCAGCTTGTCAAATGAACGTCCTTCCCCCGTCGGAATCACCGGTGCTGGTGAGATACTGCTATATAGAACCAGGGATTATTGACCGAGATCACACTCTTGACGACTGATTCGCTGACTTGATGCCTCGGTTTCTAGTTCCGACATCTCACAACTCGCCCTCGAGTCTCTCGCATGCATTCGAGCAAGGGCACCCCTGGGAGCCCCCCCCCCTCGATGCAACTATCACTATCTTCAAACTTGCAATTATCAGAGCGCGCATGTATCATGACCACGCAGATTCAGCCCGCGTTTTCCCCCATTTTCTCTCCATGGCTGCGTTATTGGCGACATTACGGGCTCTGCATTTTGAATTCGGTTTTTGTCTCCTCTCAAAAGATTGTTTTTGGTTTTGCCTCTTTTACAAAAGTTTCCATGTCTGGGATTGTTGCATCCGGACGGAGTTTTTTTTTCCTTTTCTTGTCGGTTTTCTTTCCCGTTCGGCAGGTTTAGATGTTGGCTAGGTTCTTGATACTTGGACTTTTCTTGTGGTCTTGCATTTTCCCACGGAGAGAATTGGGTTTGGATCAAGCATCATCGGCGTCGAGACAATTACTGTACACCTCCTTTTTGGGCTGCGAGCATTTTCAAGCATTGGCAGATTTGGAATTGAAAAACCTTATTTTATACCTATCTCGCTTAACTCACGAACTATAGAATCGGATACGCCCAGTAAACGACACGAGTCAGATCTTCCCACTCAGACCGAATTCCAAGCTGGGCGAGGAAATAGAAAAAGCTAGATTGCAACAATGATCGAATCGAGGGCGCGTGAAAACAATAGGCGGGCGATTAAAAGCAAGAGCCCCACCATGATAATCTTGCTAGAAACTCGGATCGAGATGCAGTGCAGCGCCTACGCAATGCGTACATATGTACGGCGTACGGCGTACCCAGTTCTTTTTTTTTTTTTTTTTTTTTTGCTCTCGGCACGGGAATTGCGATAACCAAGTTCAAGAGCCGAGTAGTCTGTTTTTGGGGGGGGGGGGGGGGGGGTGGCTCGTCCTTACATTGCGAGAAAAGAGTTTAAACTGCAGGGTCTGCCCTGGTCGTCCCCATTCGCCCTTGTACGACGGGAATGCATCTTTACACCTCCGGCAATGAACCGGATTTACAAATTCCATTGGCACATTCCAATGAACAGAATAAAAAAATATATTAGATATCAGGTCCACCCGGGTGAATTTGCCAGAACTTTCTACACGCAGCGAAAAGCCTTGATTGGGTGATCGTGAGGTAGCTTTGTTAGAATCCTCGACCCAGGGATGACATCAACCGAGGACATCAACTCAACCACCGCGCCTAAAAAGATGGTGCTTGGACTGATTTCTTCCCAATACGGCGTTACGGGAAAGACTTTCCATTTTAGTACGACGTGGCTGGCTCTAGCTGACAGTCACGAATCCAGAAGCCAAAAGTGACCCGTCATGTCCGGGGGCCGTACGGAACATGATTGTTCGGCCAAAATAGTTCGTCCCCGAGGGCGCTGCCGCCAAGTGACCGAACTAAGTAGTAAGACTAGAAAGACTAGCGCTGGAAACTTAATGGGGGGGTAATGGGGAGAGGGGAGAAAAGGGACAAATTGCAATAAGAAATTCCAGGGACTTGGATCCGCCAACTCTATTGTGTGAGTCTCCACTTCCGAGAGTGGACAGGATCCCAGGAGAAAGGGAAAGGGGGGGCAGGAAAAAAAAGCACCACGCAAGGACCATTTGGTGGTACGAGATGGTGAGTGGCAGGTGGAGTGTATAGTGGGGTCCGGACCAAAGTAGAAATCAATTAGGTTTAGGGTTTGCCGATAGTGTGAGTGTACAGTACTTAATAGCTAGCTTAGGAAGTGGCTAGATTACTTTTTTTGGATATCATCGATATGCATTGAGGGTGAGGGAAAACTATGCATTTTTATGTGCAGAGGGAAAATCGAAACGATGAGATAGCGCCTGCGGATCGAAATAGAACAGCCTATGGACAATGCGATTGTATGTGCACGATCCATCATAGCAGGAGAAAGAAGTATGAGCGGTGAGAAGAGAAAGAGGTACGGTGCGGGTAATCCCTCTCGATTGGCGGGGGGACGTGTGCTGTCGAATATCCACAAAGTCTCCAGAATGCTTTGGTGCAAAATGGGCTGAAAACGGGTCAATGTCTACGTGTAGATGCTCTAGTCGAAAGAAATTAGCACGATCGCCCCAATGATCAGAAGGTGCCTCTTTTCCATGGGGGTTCAGCTCCACCATCACACGACAAGACTTACCTCGGTGATTTGGTTCACGGCCAGACCAGGCTCGGCCATCTCCGCGTCGCGTAAGAACTCGAGCGGTAGCCACACCAGGTGTCCCTTGATCCGATCCAGCTTCTCACGCACTTCCTTCGCCGGCAAATAAGGATCGAACAGATGACCCTCCTTGTGCGACCCACGCGGACGGAAATTGTCATAATCCTCAAAGGTCTTGATATTGTCGTCTGGATCGGCCCGGAACAACATCCGATACGTCTCGGTGTTAACGCTCGCCTGATCTGTCCAGGTGTTCCAGACCGCATCGCTAAGCGGATCAGTCACGAAGTTGTTGTGTGTGTCTTCCAGGATCTCGTTGAGACAGACATCGGGCGGTTGAGCGTTCGGGTGGCGTGCGGCGTCGTAGTCTTGCGCCGGTAAGAGGCCCAAGTGTTCGCGCCAGAGCTGGCGACGGAGAGTGGCGGCGTGGCGGCCTGCTCGATACGGTTGGCCGTCCATTTCGCTGTCGATAAAGTCTTGATCTTCCATGACGATGGCGAGCTCGCTATCATGGGAGCCAAGCTGAGACTGCAGGGTGATAAAAAATAGTAAGTACGAGCGAGTCAGGGTGAGATCGAACGGATTGATCTCAAATTCTCTCGAAAAGAATCCAACCACTTACCCGATCGTTGATATTGGCACTTCCACAGATGGCGATTCGATCATCGACAATGCACACCTTGCCGTGCACATACAGCTCCTCCTGGACGATATTGTCTTTCTCGGCTTCCGGGTCACCCTCCCACGTCTCGTCCGACATCTTACCGCCGTTCAACATGGTAGTGTGAGCCACCGAGTCTTTACCGGCATCGCCCTGTTGTGCCTTCCGTTTCTCGACTTGCTCCTCGAACTTTTCCAGGTTCTTCAGATTCTTCTGTTTTTGCTCGTCATCGGCTTCATAGCTCTTCTCGTTCTTGTCGCCTTCTGTACCGACGGAAGGGTGCACACTTTCCCCCATGATTGACTCGGCGATACCACGCTGGATATCTTGGTAGGTGACACCGGCCTCTTTCTCGAGTTCTTCAAGGGCGGGGGTCTTGTTGATTCGGTCATAGGCGCGGAGTGCGAACACAAAGATATGTTCTGAAATGGTCAGTTATTCGAAGGGAGATAAATGCAAGGGAAAACGATCATTTCATGACTTACGCTTGGGATCCACGCCTGCCTTCTCAATCTGGCCCATAATCGAATGCTCGCCACGACAGATGGACTTGTACTGGTAGTCCATGATAGCACGCGTGCCGGTTGCAGCAGAGTCCCGCAGGTCGCCTGCAAAGCCCGGAATGGCGGGAAGGACGATGATGACACGGAATTTGCGGCCCTCTTTGCCTGCTCGAACGCAAGCATCAACAATCGCGCGACCGATGGTATTGAAGATGGGACGCTGCTGGTCGCCCGTGGCAGTGACTGATGAAGATGTTCGTTAGCCCAACGTGGCTCGAGATAGAGAGACCAGGGGGAGACGTACTGAAGAACTGGTTCTCTATGTAAACAAAGTGCTCTGCATTGCGAATGATCTCACAGTAGGCATTCTGAATACTGTGCTCATTCAGAATCCCACTGCTCCAATCGTCACTGCTGCGCACAATCTGGGCACGAACGGACCCTTGCTGTCCATGCGGCTTGGTCGACAACGGCGACAGTGGATGCTGAATGTACTCGCCACAGGGGTATTTCGGTCGTTGGACGGCAACCAAATCCTCATCATCACCGAGTCTGCCTTCCATCATCAGCCAATCTACATTATCGGCACGCTTGTACTTGTCCCGCTTGACAAAGTTCCAGCGCAACACAAAGTGCTCTGCAATGTCGTAGACGCAATCACCGACCAAGCCCATGGCTACGTCGTGCCACGGCATACGCCCAAAGTCAACCTTGCTCAATTCATTGCTCTGCCAGTCTTGGACGCTTTGGAAATCCATGATACGGTTGTTGTTGAAGTCTTGCCCGGGGAAGATGTCGTCCCGCAAGCCAGCCGGATGCACATCGGCCAGTGGGTGCTGGTTGGCATCCCACCGGCCAAAGCAAAGATCAATGCCGCCGATGAATGCCAGGGCATAGTCAATCACGATAAACTTCTCGTGGTGTGCCTATTTCAAAATAGTTTAGTTTGTAAAAATTCTCTCACCACGAGTCAGCGTAAAGGACACACCCAGTAGAGAGTCATATCAGCGGCATTTTCAAAGACATTGTGGTCTGGATGACGCAGAACCCGAATATTACCATGACCCGGTGAGCCCTCGGGGCAAAGGTTTTGCAACGCATGCTTGGTATGCGCAGAATTGCAGGTCAACGCCTGGTTCACCTCCTTGTAGACAATGACATAAATCTTAACACCAGCTTCCGCGCGACGCTTCAAGATATGATCCAATCTCCATTCCTGATGTTGGGCGGGCGGGCGACGGAGGAACAACTCCGGTGACAACCACCAATCGGCAATGTAGATGGTCTCAGTGGCCTTGTCCAAAGCCTCGGAGACAGCCCACAGATAGTCCATGGCATCGACATACCATTTGACGCGATTCCCCTCGCGAACGGGGGCGAAGGACTGGAAGCGATGGGATTCGGCAATTGCCGAGCGCTTCCGGTCCGTCGCCTGTTCATGTTCTTCGTCATGGCGGTGGTTTGGGTTGACGATGTTGAAGAATTTGCCCACTTTGTGCTTCAGGTGTGTTGCCGACGCTTTTGCATCGTGGAGATGAGAGTCTACAGCCAATTGTTAGTCCGTGCGTAGGGGGGGGCGGCGGTTGGGAGAGACGGTCAAAAAGTAGGTGACGCGCAGGAGGGGAACCGACCTCGGAATTTCTCCTCTAAATGATCGACTTCATGTTCAAACTTTTCCTTGAGTTTCTGCATAGCTGTGGATTATTTCGCGATGGGGGAATGGAGAAGGACAGAATCAAAAAGAGGGGAAATCAAATTGTCTAGTCGGGGTAACCATAACGAGCGTATTATTTTTTTCCCTCGGCGGTGACATCACGCGGCAGCAGCCCTACTGCCCTACGGAACGCGGTTTTGGATACTGGAGGCGCAACGGTTGGGAAACTGCACATTGGCTCATATTATTAGTGCTGCGACGTGACCGATACTTGGCGCCGATCTAAAGTCACCACTGATGTCAGGATATCTTGTTGGAGACGACCGTGTCCGTGGTACAATCCCGACCCAGTCCCACCGTGAGCCGCCTTGATAAGTAATCAATTCGTGATCACCCTGGCTGATGATTTATCTTCGTATTGTAGGTGTCAGAGAAAATTGTAAGGTACGATAACATCTCCACTCGTTCTCTGGCCCCGAATGAGGCCACTCTGCAAATGGCGTGTTCTCAGTTCTTGGCAAATGAGGGGTATTCTCGCACTGTAGGAACGGTACCATCGTGGAACGCGCCAGTATCCGAACGTGGTGCGGCTGACAAGTGGGGCTGGGGAATCGGCTCTCACTGTAAAGACAAAGACATTCTTCTCTTTAATTTCAATTAGAATTTATCAAATGATTCAAGTTCAACATATAGTACATAACCGGGCCTTGCTTCCTTGTCAACTCAAACCCACCCACTACCTACCCTACCAGCGCAGGCGAAACCTCTCCATACCTTGCGCACCAAGTGTACCCTGACTGGTAATTGTTTATTCCAGAAGAGGGAAGCAACCACGCTATCCATACGGATGTCCAACTATTCCCCCATTGGCAATTATTCTAGACCTTGACCAGATTGGAGACCACCGTGTGGAGAATTGATACCAGAAGCAGCTGCGTCTCGTTGGGAATACATCCAAGTCGAATGTCATTGCGTAGAGGAAATGAATGGATGAAACGTGATCAGCTTTTAATATGATGCCTGACTCTCGTCCTTATGAAACAGTGACTGCCCGGATGAGATTGAAAAGGGAGTGTCTCTGGATGTACTGGTGCTGATTCAAGTTCTACAGTATAGTACAGCTTCTACTAAACTCTCCGACAAGATTGGCTGGTTAGTCTCCACTGAAACTCTATTCCTCCGTCTTGGCTTCCATTTGCGGACTAGCGTCATCTTCCTCATACAGCAATTCTCCCATCTTCACTTGCAAGTCTCCTATCTAATTTGTAAGCTAGCAGATATTCAGTCCATCTCAAGTGCTTTTATAATCAGGATACACTGGCTTCTATCATTATATCTCTTCTATTCCATCAAACCTATCACGATGGCCTCACAATTAAACTTGGAGTGCCCCTCATCCCATGACATATACTTCAACCTCAAGGGAGAAGCCTTCTCACAACCTATATTTGCATCGGTGCTCCTTCGGAAATCCACAGACACGGACCTTATAGGCGCAAATCAAGTACGGGTCTCTCTTGTTCGGGTGTTGTCAGGCAAAACAAGTCCAAACCCAGTCAACCGCGGCGAGCCTTTCTTAAAGCAATTTTGTCGCCTGCTGTCGTCAAAGACATCATCCACCCTGTCTGAAACGGCACAGTCATGCCAGGTTATAGAAGAGCTGATGCTATGTGTCCCGACTCTTGCCACCGAAAGCCAGGTTGGCTATTCTCCACCCGATGGCAACGTCTACAAAATCCCTTTCCACATGCCCATCAAACCCAACATCCCCGCAAGTGCCGCCACAGACTTGGGTAAAATATCATATTTCCTTGCCGCTTCCGTTGTCACGACAAATGGAAATGTCCTTGGAACAAGCAAAGAGATGAGGATTATTCGGCAGCTGATTCCCGACTGCAATACCGATATTCAGCATACACGCAAGTACCCGAATGCGGCCGTTGTGTCTCAGATCAGCCTCACACAGCAAGTTGACGCGACAGACAACTCGAAGGTCTCTCTTCACACAAAGGTTTCCCTCAGAACACCACGTTCTCCCATCAATCGCTCAACAGAGTTCAAATGTGTGGCAATACGGGGAATCCGTTGGCGTGTGGAAGAGATAACCAAGCTCTTTATCCCATCAGAAGGTCCACTTCAACCCGAGAATAATAACTGCCCGGCGAATCAACCGACTGAAAACCAATCCACTGCCCGTGAACTATGCAATGGATTCCAGAAGGGATACTGGGGTACTTTACAAAATCCCATCGTCAAGGAACGTCACCCATCAGAGTCCAACCCTGACTCTCCCATCGAGATTAAATTCGATATCCGTATTCCCAAAGATGTGACACTGACACCGGAAGTCTGTCTATCCAACTATACCGCCGAACCTATACCAGCACACTCTCTTCCACCATCACTTCAACGACGACTTTCTCCCACAACGCCAGAGAGCGTAATGCTCACCGTTGAGCATCGTCTCCGATTCAATCTCTTAACCAGTGAGGACACATTCGACGTTGACAATCGCAACTTGGTTGATCGCAAACCATTAAGAACCGTCTTGGATGTGTCATTCCCTCTGTACCTCTACAAAGTAGCTCGTGGTCGCATTGAAGAGTCTGTCCGCGAGGGGAATCCGCCGTCTTATGGCGAAGTCCCGCTTTCACCTCCAGATTACCAACATTTTGCATAAGCACATCTTTGCGAACATTTGAGATTGAGTTTTTCGCATAAGACTTACTGAAACCTGTCAATTTCAATAAATTGGCATACAATAATTATCACTTGCCATCGATCAGATTGCAACGCCTGGCGGGTTAGCTTGGCGTAAGGATTCGTAGACATGAATATCTATGGACAGGTTGTTTGAATTCCAGAGAAGGCCTGGGTCAGACAGGACAGTTAGCGCCAGCGCCCTCAACCAATTTGCTTACATTTCCCCATCATTACTAGCATATCGTATACTATGAAAGAGCGGTGTTGACCTTGCCAGCGAGTATAGTCACCATTCCGTCGACATGCAGCTATCTACACAGCAAGGGGCACTCCCAGCCTCCACGCCGAAGGTAGGGATAACCTTCACGGCCCCGACGGGATAACTATGGGTCTTTCACGTGAGCTTGCAAGGACAAGGTATGGCGACCTTACTTCAGGCCGTGTAGCTAATTTTGGTGGCGTAGGGGTGAGTTTGTGAGCAACCTTGAGTGCGACGAGGGTGTACCGTGTTTGAGGATCTAGACTCGGAAATACCTTTGCCCAAGTACCGCCAGGTTGGAGAGATCCTGCATCGGTCGCGAGGGGGTGAATATTATTTTGTGTTGCTGTGTTAGCCTAGTGTTTGGAAATACGAGATTTGAGATTTGAGGTGTAGACTTTATGGGATTGATAGGTATATCTCCATGGGCTTGGTGCTCTGCCCCCAGCCCAGGTGGAACATCGTTCCATGCTCCGGGCCGCAAGATATATATCGCGCCTTGAAGCGAGGCCAAAGTGCGATGTGTAATTAGAAGCTACATGGAAAAGCTTATACCGAAAGTCCTAGTGATATTGTAAATTCTTTTCGTTTAACACAAGCTGAAAAGAATTCCCTTTTCAAGTTTGTTAATTAATTAACCTGCTTTCTTATTTACTCCAGGTCGATGACGTAGCCTGAGTACAACAACCTTCAATAAGACCAACCTGGAAAAACATCAGACAAAAGACTACTATAGAAACAGCGCAGGATGTTTATTTTCCGTGAATATTATAACAATCAATTCATGGTTCTGCCTACTATTCAATGCGAGGCACGTTCCATTAGTTCAAGCATAATCTTCGATCGCAAACATCCACCGAGGCATCTACTATAAACATATCACTAGTCGCAATGTAAGGCAAAATGTAGCAAGCCCTCTACTCTATGTTGGGTTGCAGGAATCTATTTCATATCTTTGCGAGGTTTAATTACCCTCGCTGCATACTTTCCCTCGTTATTTGCTGACTGCATTTGATGTGATTTTTCCCCTCGCGGGTTCTTTGTTTGTTTGTCCGGAATGCTTACCTCACCACACGTGACTCGCCCAAACAACGTTGTCTGAGGAACGGCCACTTCTGTTTATCCTCTTCGACCTCGAATCTTGCACCACGCGGCCGACTGTCTCCGTAGCCCTGCGGACTTGGGACGACTTTCTTGGGATCTTGTGGCTCTTCTGTTGCTTGAAAATTGGTACATCTTGTTCCTGGTTTCGTTGCTGGACTCGAATGGTCGTCGTCGTCTCGTGGCGCCCAATTTCACAGGAAAAAACACGACCCGTGCGAGACCTGATCATCTCCCTGGTGACGGGTCCTCCTCCACTTTTCTCAGACTGACCAACGATCCCAATTTAGGATGCCTCCAGAACTAGGTGAGAGCGATGCCTGGCCCGTCACACGTCCATATATTCTCAAGCTGGCCCGCTAATCATGCTCGATCCGTAGTGCGGGTGCCGTCGCAAGGAAGCATCGTCTCGCAGACGACACAGCAGATGAATCCTCATAGCCGTCCAGGGACGGCTGACCCTATGCGCGCCCGGTCCGAAACCCTTTCTCGAGCTGCTCGTCGACCTCGCTCGAGAGGATCGACTGCTAGTATCCATTCGAGCACAACACAACAAACACAGGACCAGCACCTTGATGGATTCCCTCAATTCATGCCCTCCCAAGTCGGAGGAGGCCAACATGTCTTTGGTAGCAACCCGGAGGACATGTTGATGCGATTTGGTCATCAGCTGTCTCACCAACCCAATGGCGCGTCGCTGGAGCAAAGCGTGCGGGATACACACCCGATGGCCTCCCGACCGGACGATTTCCCTGCCCACGCCATGCATGCACACACACTCTCGCACCATGGGTTGCCAACAGAAATGCCCCACAACGCAATCTCTGCCGTAGCAGTTCCCCAGTATCAGGCCATATATGACAGTGGGATTGAGAACCACCTCCCCGACCACACCATGGATGACCAAGAAGCGTCAGAAGCCGGCGGGAAGAAGAAGAGGGGATCTAGCTCCACCCTTGCGAATGATAACGAGTTGCGGAAATTGCTTCGCCAATACGAGGGCTTCAGTTTGAAGCAGATGGCTGCCGAGGTTATGAAGCACGAAGGTGGCGGAGGCAAGGCCGAGAAGGTGAAACAAGTATTCGCCATGATCTGGTATGATATCATCATATCCTCTGCTGGGCTCAGCAAATCGTCCATTTTATGGTGTTTGGTCTAATCTTGTTGTGACTCTGCAGGTTACGGGAGAACTGCCGGAAGAGCAATGGCTCGGTACGACGAGATCGCGTGTATTGCTGCTATGCAGAGAAGTGTGGAACGGAGCGAGTTTCGGTCTTGAATCCAGCATCCTTTGGCAAACTTGTCCGCATCATCTTCCCCAATGTTCAAACACGCCGCCTTGGTGTTCGAGGCGAGTCCAAGTATCACTATGTGGATTTGTCGGTCATTGAGGAAAAGCAACAAAGGCCCGTCCCACTCAACCCACAAGTCGCTCCGAATCCCCACCAAATTCCGGCTGGTGTTCCCGAGAGACCTGCTAGTGGCATGCGCTCAAGGAGGTACGATGACATTTCTTCCGTCTTGGTTGATAGCTGTGACACCCGCTCCAGCATTAGTATTGTCCAGCCTACAGCAGATACTGCCGTCTTCCCATCACCCACAACCTCTTTCGCACCCCGATTCCCGACCAATCCTCCCGCAACTGGTTGCAACTGCCAGGGCCAACCCCCTTCTGGCCCCGATGCCGTCATTACCACCGAGAATGTTTCCCAGCAAGCCGGAAAGATAATTCATCAAATGCTTCAATTCCCAACCGACGAAGTTCCGGGTATTGACAATGAAACTCTCGTCCTCCCTGATATTCGCGGATACCTCCCAGTCAACACAGACCCCAAGGTTGCCGAAGCCCTTGCTGCTCTCTACCGATCGCACTGTATATCGGTGATTGATAGTTTCCGGTTCTGCAAAGAACGAAACCTCCTCAAATACTTCTCCGCTTTCCACGGTACCTTGACTGTGCCGGTCCAAAAACTTCTCACACATCCAAACCTCGCCCCTTGGATCAAGGAATGCGACTGGTTGATGTATCAAAAGATGATCGCCTTCGTGGCCCCTCTTACGACCCAGGTGGTCCCTAAACTTGTCTTGGATGCATTCCGATCAATTTCTCTGCGTCTCTGCAGCCACATTGCAGAGACCTTCAAGACTCAGCCATCGCACGTCTCTATTGCGCGACTCATTCCTGCGCACATCTTTTGCAATCTTCTCAAGCATATGCTTGATGTGAACCAGGCTGCCAACGCCGCTGCTGCTTGGCTATGTCATCCCGATAATCGGAACCAGATGTGGTTCGACTTCAAATCTCTTGTTGACCCCCAGGAGATGATTCTCAAGGCCAACATTCCTACTTGCGCCGAAAAGGCCACGGAGCAGATTTTGAAACACGATGTTCGTGCACTCCTGACACCACTCCACGAGTCCGATGCTTCAACTGGCCTTTCCTTTTTCTCAACACCGGATGGCCCCGAGGCCATTGAGGCTCATCAATTCCCCGTAGAAACTTCTACTGGCGATGATTACAATTTCCCTGATAAATGGATATCATTCATCCTCAACCTCCCTCTGGCGTTCTCCAACCACCGCACACAGTGTATAATTGAGAAGGTGAACGCCCTTTGGGACTCTATACTTCACCGTCTCACCTTGGGTGGAGCTGCAAGCTTCAGTGCTTGGTGGATGACGAAGCTGTTTTTCCACGAGATGATGGTTTGGCAAGCGGAGAAAGGGGGGTTCATGAGGAACACACCCGGCTCCTTGCAGAGCATGGCCTTTGGCCCAGAGCAGGTCTCTGTTGGAAGTTTTCAGCTGAAGCAACACGCTGTTCCCGAACCCCCCACCTTTGAGAGTGCGCGTGGTGCTCATTCCAAAGCGAACCCGAGTGCCTCCCCGGACCTGCGCGGGACACGAGATCAGACCGTCGATGAAGAACCCGAAACCAAGCACATCCCGACTGCCAAAGAGCTGGCTCTTGCAGATGTGGGGTTTCAAGCCCCAAACAACGATGACAGTGCGATCGATTTGGAAGACGACCCTATGTTGATAGCAGTGGGTAAATATGGAGATATGATGGCTTCAGACCCGGCCGATGCTGAGGGTGATGTGATAGTCATCTAGTCTTCCTTTTTTTGAATATTTCTTGGCAACAATGTTCATTGCGGTCTGCAGTTTGAAGTTGTGATATCCCCCCGGGTTTGGTACAAGCCCCTATGCTGTTTTTGTTGAAGGATTCCCTATGTCCCATGGATTGACGGCGTTTGGAAGGAATTTCTTTTGTACTTTTTCATTTGTTTTGCACGAAGAGATGAGACATGAGCATGAGACTCATAGGTGAGTCTCCCATACGAGACCTCGGGCGATGCCTGAGCCTCTTTCTTTCCCCATTTTTGATTGTCAATCGATACAGCATTTAATCGGCGTGGCGAAAACCTTTTGCGCGGACTTGGTTATTGGTTCTTCCTCCTGTTACTCTTGTCTTCTACTTGCTCATCGGGCCTCGTCATTCAGGCTTCTTGTACATACGCGCATCTCATGTACCGAGTCTTTTCTCGATTCTGGCATTCTCCTTGACGAGGTGTTGTTACCTAATGGAGACAATCAACATTGGATCTTTTCATCTGAACGCATTCTAGCAGTATCGCGTACTCCGAGTCCATGTCAGACAAATCGGGTAGTCCCTTCTTGATCCCATGCTAATTTGGGATAGCGTGTGACTTGATGGGGATGGTTTTGTCTCTAGACGGATATACATGGTTCAAGGCACATGACATGGGGGTATCTAATGATTCTTCATCCCTTGGGCACCTTTCGTGATGCCACCAGGTTCCCCTGATTATTATGGAATACAAAAGAATCGCTGTTCCATACTGATTGCTTCTTCCTTTCCCTAATTCTTACTAGTCTGTTCTCACCGTTCTTCTCATGCCTAACTCGGCATAAATGACACCTTTAATTAATCCAAATAATCCAGATGAGATCCAGTTTCCGACCGAGAAGGTATAAGCTGCCCTCTGCCCTGTCATTGATGTGAGCAGATTTATCAACGCGACAGGTTCCGTAGTGATGGAGGGATGAGGAAGGCGAGTGACTGTTTCAAGCGGCTCAAGGATTTTGACACGTTGTATATCGAAGGATCAAAAAGCAACGTCGCTATGAACGCTTGGCTGCCACAAGCCAGTTATCCCTGTGGTAACTTTTCTGGCACCTCTAGCCTCAAATTTCGAGGGACTAAAGGATCGATAGGCCACACTTTCATGGTTTGTATTCACACTGAAAATCAAAATCAAGGGGATTCTTACCCTTTTGTTCTACTGGAGATGTCTGTTCTCCATGAGTCCCCCTCAGGACACCTGCGTTGTTGTTTAACAGATGCGCCGCCCCAGCCAAACTCCCCACCTGACAATGTCTTCAACCCAGGCTGGGTCCCCTTTGACAACTTCAAAAAACGGCGTGTCTTCTAAACACGTAATATGGTCTTCGATATCTCTAGAAGGAACAGCCACAATGACAGAATTCCACTGATCAGAACAATGATGATCGGCGGCAGAACTTGAACGCCGTGTCTCTGCGCAATAGCACCCACTGCAAAGGGCAAGATTGCCGCTCCAGTCCCGCCAATTGCTGAAGCGAAGCCGATAGCACTTACATGTAACGCCCGTGGGAGAATTCTGGTGGCGACTATAACCGTAGCAGGAAAGAAAGGGCCCAAGAAAAACCCTAGCACTGCGACAGCCACTGCTGAAGCAGAGAAGTATGGCACAAGCCAGAGGATGAACCCGCAAGCAATTGAAAGCAAAGAGTACACCTGTGCGATCAATGGTCAGTAAGAAGCCTCCTAACGCGAGTGGAGGATATCAAATAAAAGTAATCTCCCAAGGGAATGATAGGATACAGTGTAAGAACACAAGAGCCACAAAGGGGAACTCACGACGATGGCAAGCTCTTCCTTTAGCAACGGGGTGAAGAAGCCGAGAACGATCCTGCCACAGCTAATTCCCAGCCAAAACCCTGTAGCAACCATACCACTCGCAAATGCTTCACCGTGTCTTACTTGAATCATGTAGGTAACGATCCATCCACCCAATGCAACTTCGACTCCCATGTAACCAACAAGGAAAAAGGCACAGATCCAAGTGATACGTGAATATGGAGGTTGGGCAATGGCTCGACTCATATTCCCATCTGATTGCTCTTCGGTCTGATTGTCTGCTCGGAAGGAAGCTGCATCTAAATCTCTGAATGCCCCTAGGCAAATGACGAGTTCGATCATTGCGCAGGCAGTCTACAAATTAGCTCCCATCCATTTCTCATCCGGAGTAGAAAACATACCATGATATAGTAGAAGTAATACCATGGGAGGTTAGCCTTGGTCACAAGTGAGGTCGCTATAAGTGGACTGAGGACTGCCCCAAAGCCATACAGCCCATGCATGATTCCAAGAAGTTGGTTTGCGTTAGCCATGTTGACGACCCAGGCATTGTACCCCGAATCTGCAAGACCATTTGCAAAACCTTGAAGAGCGAAGACTGCGACTAGGATAGGGTATGGAGGATGTAAAGATGTGAAGAAATGGCCGATGAGATGATTACTGGCAGAGATCCAGGCAGCGCCACGACGGCCTAGTCGATTGTGGACTTTGTCGTTTAAGACTGCAGCAAGTATATAGCCACAGACAGGGGAAAGGAACAGAAATGAGACGACTGTATAGGAGACACTGTAATATGACTCGAGCTGCGAATGTTATGAGAGTGTCCATAATGACAATTGTTGAGTCCAGCGCTTACATATAGTAAAAGAGGCTTTTAACATGTTAGCAATGCCAATTTCAGAACCGATTTACCAAGTCCTTACTCCATATGCGGTATCATTTGCGCCCATTATCAAAAAACTCCAAAACACGGCCGAAACCTTTGGCACGTTAGCGCGAGGCTGATTCCACCGCTCCGACTCGGGTGACGCGGGGTCGGTGTGATCCGTCACATCTCCCAAGGACGTTTGCTGTGTTCTATCTGGAATCAAAGGGCTATTGACCGTGGACATAATGCTAGTCCTGTGGGGCCCAATGAGCCTGAAGGTAGAATTCTCTTTGTACTTTGATAAGAGGCTGGTGAGTTGTAAGACAGGTCAAGAAGTGGTGTCGTTCTCGTGGAGGTTGGAGTGGAATTACCCGAAAATTTTCCGAGACCGAGAATGCCAAGCGGGGACATGTACTCCCCACCGCACGAAGTAAACTTATTCTCTTTGTGGTGACTAGTGTAGTGTTGAAAAGATGTCAGAGCAAGCTGATACAGTGTGGACTAGTATGTATACTGACGAATGAGATCAAGCGGAACCAGTATCTGATGATATCGATTGTAATCAATCAGAAGAGGCCTCAGGAGATGGCTGGAATTGTCCTTGAGCATCTCCGGGATTGGAGGTTATGACAGCCAGCTCGTCGGAAGTCCAAGGTCCCGACAAAATATAAGGAATTGTAGATCAATTGTCGAGAAAATGGGCGGTAGCTTACAGCTAGGATAGGACGAGTAAAGAGTAGTGATTTTGGGCTGATTTGGACCTGCGAAGGTATTGATACTGCAAAAAGGAAAGTAGATTTATATTCGGTGTTTCTAGTCTTGTCCCGGGGGTCATGATATACCTCTAGGGTAAACGTGCACTGGCCGGTGGCTGAATTCCAGATCCTGACAGTGTCATCCCTAGATGCTGATGCGAGTCGGCTTTCGTATAACCAGACAATCGACGTGACCGGGCCACGATATCACTTAAGGGTTAACGTACACTGGCTGCTGGCTTGATAAGTGATTCAGATAAGAGGCTCGGTTTGGTTTCCTGACAAGTCATTGAGCGAGGCCATCGAGCAGGCACAACTACTCTCTTCCTTGCCATTAATGTGAGCAGCTAGAACAACACGACAGATCCCGTGGTGAAGGAGGAACAATGAAGGCGAGAGACTGTTTCAAAGCGGTCCAAGGATTTTGATATGTTGTGATCAATCCACGAGGCAATATAGCCAGTCGAGTAATTTTACCCATGCTAATAAACTTCAGCCACATATGACACTAACCACGGCTCTATTGGAACGAGCTAGGTCTTGGGTTGGGTATTTGTGGGCGGGTTTTAGCGAGGTATAGCTGTCGGAACGAGAAACAGCCCGTATGACTAAGAATGTTGCCCATGATGCACTTCTGGCCTAGCGGTATTATACTCATCTGTGTTCGAAAATAATCAAAACTTCATTCCAGTCATCTTCGGATGACTCAAGAGACCCGTCGAGGGGATCTATGAACACTCAATCAGTGGAGCAAAGTCAAACGACTATGGAAGGAGCATTTCATCCTATAAGCTCCTGCCAAATGTACATCTCAGCTGAACTCAGCACTTCTGAGGACCGCCTTCAAATTCGGAGTCATTGCCCGAATCTGGATATAGCTCCACAGTTGGCCCCCGCTTACACTTCCGCTAGCGTGCGGGCTGATAGACCCATACCCCATCGGGCGCAGTTTTGCATTCTGAAGTAGAGGCGCGGCTCTGAATTTTCATGGACTTGATTATAAGGCGCGATCCCTAATCCGAACTATAAGTAAGGCGTAAATGAATGTTGCTAGACTAATCTAAAATTGCATTAAACCGCTGAAAAGATGTCCGCCAAACAGCCTTTGGGATCATCTTTCTCCGAGAGGCGCTTTCTCCACGATATCAGTAATGCCAGCACGGCCTTGGGTGTCCCGTACTCGGAAAACCAAACAAAAAGAGTTCTGAGCGTTTTTGGTGAAAGCTTTCGTCGGGGCTGTGTCCTGTGGCGTACCACTGACCAGCCAAATGGAGAACTGAACTATCGCGTGTACGAGCGCCGGAGCATCGACATGGTTGCTCTTGCGACGAACGCCGGGTTAATTTCGAAACATGACATCTTACTATCTCTTGTCCAATCCTGGTCGAGCCTCTACGAAGAGCAGAGCCAGCAACTTGCTGACTTCGACGCGTCCCGGGGACTTGTGAAATTCTGGGTGTTTCTTGGTGCAATGCGGCCGTTGGTGGAGGTCTTAGGTGTTGCAGAGTTGCCAGCATGTATTACGGAGCACCGGGATATGTTTGAGAATATGAAACTCAAACATGTGAGGCATGTTGCGGTAGATTTGGAGAAAAGATCTATCAACCTCTATTTTCGGACCACCCAGCAATTTACACGAGAAGATGTGGATAAACATATCTCTTTGGCTGGAGCAAGTCCTATATCCGATACCCTTTTTGGGGAAATAAGGCAGCAATTTCCGAGATCTGGAGGGACTTTTGCTGTTACGATTGATTTTTTGACGGGAACGATATCGCGTGTTGCATTCTATGCATTAAGATTATCGCCAGAGAATATGCCATGTATCAATGAGCGGATACGTCATTTCTTTCAGGTTTGCCCGTCGTACGACGTGCAGGAAATGATGGCTTTGGCGTGGTCTTTTGGGAAGGGAAGCCAAACTTATGTCAAGGCGGAGCATAGCCATTCTGGGGAGTTGGTAGAATTGTTGAAGGAATGGAACACTCCAATGACCGATGGTCGGTGATTTAACGCTGTCGACATGTTGGGCGTTGGGCGGAAGGATAGAATATAAGGAAGCCACAGTATATGTCGGCAAACGTTATACTGCCTCGCAATATAAGATAACCTTTTAGTGGAGGCATGCCCTCCCTTCTTTTAAAAAGCTCAATTCACCAGGCTTGGCTAGCCCCAGGCGTAGCAGAGAGCAGCAGAAGCTTTTATTCGGAACATTAAGATGAGAAGAAAGTCTCAACAGCATCGAACAGGTCTAAAACCCCAACGGAGGAAGTAAGGATCACGTTGTATTTCAGCCCTGTTCAATGCAGCTGAGGCTTTGATGACTATTTTGCCTTCGCTCTGCGACGCAATAACCATTACGTAGTGAAGTGGACAGCTATAAATGTGCCCCATGCGCTTCCGTTCAGTGATCACTTCAGTTGGATGTCTTCAATACTATACAATTGCTGGGATATGCTGAAGCACCTCCTGAAACCTACTCCCTCATCTCACTACATTATCGATAGAATTTCGTATTGCATCTCATATTTGAGATAGAAAATTTAAATCAGGTTGAACTAGACATCGCTGAGTTATCTTATAGATGCACCGGAAGAAGACGATGAGAGAAGTGTTCATATAGAGATCGTAATGGCAAAAGACCACGAGCTTAGTTTAGCTCATAATGAATTTTAAAGCGCACAAACACGTAATGACGTTTTTGATTATGGAGCATTTCTTAGTCTCAAAGTCTTGTAAGAAGAACATTGAGGCTCCAGCAAAGAGACCCAAAATAGCACTTGCGGATTTCACGGAGTCTACTAATGTACTATGCCGCTCTACTTGCTTGATTTATTATTACCACATTATGCCTCTAGACTGATTAGGAGTATTAATGACCTTTTAACTTTCTATCAAGTGTCTGCCTTGTCCAGAAAATCCACCAATATAATGAAGCGCAATACCTAGCAACCACTCTAGACTGATGACCGGGCCAATCAAGAATCCTTTGGTTTTTGAGCAACAACTGTGCCGAATGTTGTGCCTGGCTTGAGTCCATCAGCGAATAATCCCTCTAGGTCACTTAGCCAGCGAGATGACAATTGCTTAGCAGCATCCTCGCTAGCCGCTCTGCCTGTACGGAGGAAAATTCGAGGCATAATAGTGTTGAAAGACGTAAGTAACCAGTATCGGAACCTCGTCTCTAAATCGGGGCGGTCAACTATCGTAGGACGATATCTTGCGATTTTGATCAGGCCCGCTTCTTTACACTCTGTGTAGACCGCTTCGGATGCACACAAACTCAACCCATTGGCCGTTGCAAAGTTGTAGTAGGGTTGTAACAACTCTTTGAACTTCGGATACTCAGCCCCATTGCCTTCAAGTAAGGAGAGTATATCGAACTCGACCCATTGAAGATAGCCTCCAGGTTCTGGGAGTATCAGTCAATGAGGAATCTTGCATAAGTGACCGATGAACAAGGAAAGAAAAAAACACCAAGAAGGTAAATAGATGCCATCAAACAATTGTGAGGGTAGCAAAGGAGACTCTTACTCAAGAGGGCCATAAGATTTGCAAGGACTGTCCCAAAGTCCGACTCCTTGATAGCCCCGACAAGCATTCGTACATGAACTAAGTCATAGCGATTCCGATCCTGTAGCAGAGGCGGTTTCGTAATATCTTGAACTGCGAAATCAATATCCTCTGAGGTAGAGGGAAATTGTGCTTCTGATATATCAAGACCGCGGTAGTACCGTGGAAAAGCTGCTGGCATGTATCTCATCAACTCAATAATCTCCTTGAGCCAAATTCTGTGCACTAAAGGTCAGTTACACTGATTTAGATCACCAGATATGTCATCGATCGGTCCGTAATCAAATGTCTGCTACTTACCCCGTTCCAGTGCCGACGTCTGCAAAAGCGAATAGCTCGGTCCGCGGTATTGATTTGACAATAGGGCCTTTGCTGACTTCGGTTATAAAATGGTGCTGTTCATCCAGTCTGTAGAAGGTAAGCTAGCTGTTTTACCGATCAAGTGCGTAAGCAAGTACCGGTGCGACTCGTCCTCATCTCTGGGAAGAGGGTAAATTTCTCTTGCCTCACTCATTATAGATGTGAGGACGAACAGCTTACAATTCCCAGTCTGCAAGTACAGCTTTGAGGGAAATTGTTTAGATTTATGCATAATCTCGGCGGCTGATAATACAGGTAACCATGGAAGAAGCTAAATACGCGAGCTGAAATTTGGGTAACGCTGTTTCCATTTTCGATGAATAACATATCATTAAAAGACGTACTTTAAGTTAGGGAACCTGAATGATTGAGTGTTATCGAGAAGCTACCATCGAATTCTTTGTACTTGCTGGAGTTTACTAGATAACAATACTGGGCAAATCATTATATGGGGGGTAATTGATACAGGCACTAAACTTTTTACTGGCGGCACCACAAACTATGTAATAAAGGTGGTCGAGGGTATTAAATAATGTGTGGTGCCGCTAAGGTTAGTTAGAAAACGTGTGTTGTTTGTAACAATCCCTTCCGCTGGGAAAGCAGCGGTGTCTGTTTTGATATTGATTCATACGTAAGCAGGTTCAGCCGCATGCCCAACACTTACTTAAAGCGGATTAGGTGCGAAGTGTAGAAATTGATAGGGTCAAACTCCAAGGTTTGGCAGCCCCTGAATGAATTAACCCTTAAGGGGAAGCAGGATCGAGGGCTCCACAATGCGGAGGCTAGCGGTCAGACTTATGCACTCCACCATGTAGTTCCAATTACAGGCATGATAGAAACCCCGGCTGTACTCCGTACTTTATTGTCCATCTCCATGCGTCGAAAACTTGGCCTGTCACTGGCGGGTTGATTAATGATTAAGGGCCTTTTCTGGTTAAGAAATACAATTTAGCTCTCGCGGTGAGGCCCGAGCCGCTTGGTACCGAGACGAAGATGCATCACTCAACCATATTCATAATTACCCCTCCATGTCCAAATTGAGCAGGGATATTGGTAAATATACCTATATAGCTCATGAATACTTTTTATAATGTTAATAATATCCATAGATAGTTGATTAAATTCAGCAGCTGCTCAACTAATCTACTCAAAATTACTACTGCCCAAAGTCCACCGAGGTTAGTGACTTAAAGAGAAGATCGAAGACTTTCAGGTCACTGATATTAATAGGAGCGACGAGACCCCTCCTCGCAACTGGTCTCTTTGGCGCTTGCAGCCTCAATTGCCTCTCGTTCAATAATCCACCGGTCTTAACCGATACACCGATATTAAAGCCGAATTCAACAAATTCACAATTATCATTCATAAGCTAGCTTTATACTGCAATACGCCATTTCTCTCTGTATCTACTATGTCCTTCACGTCAGCCGCCGTTCAGATCAATTTTTTCTCCGCCGGAGAAAGTGCTTAGACAGCTATCATGCTATTAGTTAGGGTGCATCGGAAGACTAGAGCATTGATTAATTGATTGATTTGACCAGGACCCGCTAATGACTCGCCCATTACCTTAGCCCAGAGGTATTTTATAAGGAGTGGTACTCTATACTTTCCCAATTGGGCCCTCGGGCATGAGGAATCCCTGACTAAAAGCGAACCGTAGACTAACGCAGAACTAAACTCTGGAGGGGCAGTTTGCAACCCTCTAAGCCGCTGGTTACCAATAAAGTCATCTCTGACATGCAGAGAGGAGACAACTGATCTTCTGATTCTTATTCTGCCTAGTGAGGTAAATATCTCAGTATCTTCTACTTTGGAGTCTGAAGGGAAGCGGGAACCACTAGAACCTTGCGTTTTGTGTAATAGGATGCGTAGAGGTTTACAATAGGACACTTGTGGTGTTATGCCTTGAGCCTTTTATAATATAATAACTCACTAGTTGGGGGAATGTATTTTGTAGTCTTTCAATAGTGCTGACGGGCTTATGAGGACAAGAACGTATTTGAGGCAAGGCCGGTACTACCTTAGAGCGGGGGAAAGGGCAAGGTGAGAAATTAGTGAGAATCAGATTTCTAAGTGGGAGTCGAAAGAAATCTCATTCGACTGATGCTGCTTTTGCGGTCAATGTTTAAATAGGCTCACACTTCTCCCCAAGCTCTTTCATCACAGTCCTACTTCTTCCTGTTGTTTCCTGATCATAATCTTCCAAGCTCTCAGCCAAAATGAGGTTCACTTTGATTCTTAGTGCTGTTGCTGCTTTTGCTAGCTACGGAGCAGCAGCTGGCTTTAATGGTCAGCTGGACGTTAGTGAACCTTTTGAGCTAGGCGAAGAGGTATACCAGAATATTTATCTTACTGATAATACTACTGGGGCTGCATTCGCAGGTGCTCTAGTCGATGGCTTCAACAACGAATGTATCAGCACAGGATGTAGCGTTCTGTAAGTATTTTGTCACAAATTCCTAATTGTATAAGTCTAACAATCTCTAGGTTTGCCGCTTTCAAGCCCGTCGGTAACAGCGCAACCTTCCTCGCCGACCTATGGCTTTCCGAGAACACATGTTACAACATCGAGTTTGATGGTCAATGGTATTCTGGTCAGGAGTACTGCTGTGGCTCGCTACCATGCGACCTTAAGGCCTAGGTATTTACTTGTGAGGCTTGACTCGTTGCCGGAATCATGAAATGCTCAACCTGCTTGAATTTGTCTAGCGCTGTGGAGGAACTGCTGAAGGGTCTTGGTGCCTCTTCAAAGAATTTGATGGGCCGATCTCCGCTCCGATATTTTCGAGTTCTTTACTTTGGTCTGCTTCCTGCTTTTGCGTTTGATCTCTGTACACAGTTTGAGGAATTTGGCTTGTTTCTATGAAACGTCGTGGGGAAAGAGCATGCAAATGCACACATTGGAAAATTTCGCGGAGATACTGCATCCGTGGAACACTTCAAAAAGGCTGATATCATCGAGAGCATTCGGCCTGCTGGCGACGATCTTTTTCGACGCGATGAATCGCGCAAGACCATCGATATGCCTAGCATAAGCTGGGATCCAGGTGATATTTGTGATATAAATTGTTCTCTACCACTCAACTCCAATTGATTTCCGGCTTTTCCCCAGGCTGCCATTTTCGTTGATAGTTGAGCTTTCAGTGAACAAAATTGTGTCTTTTCTGTCCGTCTCAATTGAGCCACCCTCTGTCACCAGCTAGGTAGAAATTCGCGTGAAGGTTATGTTGTGACGGTCCTGCAACGCAGGGGTATGGAGGCATTGACGGGATATCATGACAAGCTTGGGTCAGACTACTGAAAGAGCCTGCTTATAGTCCGACGAGTATGTGCATCTAGAAAGATCATAGCGAGCTACCACGATGTTCTCAAATTTGGAGGTGTCTGCGGTAGTTTTGAAAATCGGTAACTGTTACGTCCGCGCTTTTCTATGTCTGATAATTGATTTCTCTAGTGCACATCGAAAATGAATCCATTTACATAAAGCTCAATGAAAACTGAGCATAGAGCCTAATCGGATCAAAGCTGAACACGATCTTAGAGATCCTCGAAGCACATCTGGTAGGTACTAGAACCGGAGCTCGACGGGTGTAAGAACTCGCACCCGAGCTACAATCTATCGATCACATCACGAATAAGCCTAATATGGACTGCCAAGCTTCACAACTTCGAGGATCGCTTTTGCAAATTCCTCGGGCTTTCCCAGTGGAATATTTTCACCGTAACCTTTCACACGGTGATGTACTCTCGGCCCTACGAAATATTGTAGCTGGAGAGCGTCCATTCGTAGCCGGAAGCACGACAGCTTGATCAGAATCTAGAATGACAGATGGTTCAGTAAGAAGGGGTTGCGTGTCCATCTTATTCGCGAGCTCTGCGTAGCTGGAATCCCCTAGGACGTATAGCAGATAATTACGATGGGAGTTGGTCGCAATATCTTGGTCTCAACGACACGGCAGAAAGGTTCATGGCACGACAAGACTAGTTCTAATGAGGAACGCCCCCCCCTTCAATACAGAATGCGAAATTCGAGATCTACAAAATCTCAGTTGAGTCCTTGTGTATGCATAAGCTTATATCTCAGAAAAGAACTTGGAAAAGACCGTAACAATGGTGATAGTAGGAAAGGGAGTAGATTAATGACTTAGTCTATGGTAGAAATAGATAGATAGAGGTTGCGTATACAGTCGCTAACAATGTTAGCGAGAAGCATTAGTGTGAAAAAGTAAGAACTCGGCAGGTATCTTGTGAAGTTCGAATGTAGCATATTGTATTTGACGGACTTTCCTCATTATGTTGTCAGAAAGATGGAACTGAACTCCAATAGGCTAGTGCCGTCGGTCTATTCCGTGGAACGTCGCCTCAGTTTCCACGTGAGCAATAGACTTCACAGCAAGATCAAATATTTGACCAGATAGTCCAACACCCATTCTTAAACATCCTAACTTGATGACTGGCGACTGTTTGTTCAGTATCTGCATTTGGTTCAACTTTTCACACGGCAACATTTTGATTCCAATCCCTCCGACACGGTCCTTCCTACTTGACAGCCTATACGAAGCAGCTTGCAATGGCTAGCGAATGGGACTTTAGAAGAAACGGTGCTTGCATTCGAAACATTGCCTCGTGGGATGTAACCAGCCCCAAAAATCAGCCATACCTCTTACAAGTGTCATGGCCTCTTGAATGGCCATCCTTGGAGGAAAAAGACAGTATGGGCAGCAAAGCAAACGTTCTGTAAGCGAGGACATGTACACAATTAGATTCCAACACAATCACCCACTAACGATAAATCCCAGGTACCTTGTAGATGGAAACGCAATGTTCCTTTCCGCAACGGAAATCGTGCGCCGCAGACGACTACGCAAGCCCGAGGAACTCGCAACAATCATCATCGGAATCTCATACCCATTGACAAACTCAGTATACAGCTCCCGCCGCAACTTTGACTTGACGCCCCCTTGCCAATCATACAATTTACCCAATGGCGCACAAAAAAATACTCTACCACAGGAATACGGTGGTGCAGACATCTTTCTCGATTTCATCACAAACACTATCCATAGTTACGTCTTCTCAACCCTATTTCCATGGGTATCAATACAACGAACGGGATTGTTCGGACACTCCTACGGAGCCCTTTTCGCCCTTCATACTCTCTATACCGCGACTGTCAGTTTTGATGCTTACCTCGCCGCAAGCCCGTCGATATGGTGGAATGACAATTTCATTTTACAAGAGGAAAGCCAGTTCTACAACAGTACAACGCCATCTCATCGACCAGCTATATGGATGTCATACGGAGGTTTGGAAGAGGCATCTCAGAGTGAGATAGACCAGTCTGACGAGCAGCTCGACGGACGAGCGAGGCTCAGAAAAGAGCGTCGTATGGGGAGGAACTGCGAAGAGATGGCACACCGGTTGAAAGAGAGTGGTAAGGTGGGAGGGGTTAGAATGAGACGGTATGGGGACGAGGATCATATAAGTGTCGTTGCTGGGGCACTTGGTGGGGGGATCTCGTTCTTTCTTGATGGGAATGAGGCTGGGAGATTGTAGCAGCTGTGCTTTGTCGAGAGAGAATGAGATCCATGAGAAGGCAATTATGGTAGTTTCTCTTCAGTCTTATTGGGACTGAGAAACAACGTAGATTGTATCCAATTCTGGATGAGGCTCAATGGACCAAAGCTCCATCAGATAGGTTCTCCGTCCGTAACCCGTGTCTCGAGGGCCAGGTGGCCGAATGACGGGAAAAGGAATATTCTTACAGCTTTCGTAACGGGACGCTCTCATGTGAGTGGTATAAAATACGGAATCAAAAATTCTGTCTGTAGGACGCCTCTGAAAGAAAAAAGAACTAGGATACAAATGCAACCGGTTAGCCTTAAACGGCAATTTCTTTAGGCCATTGACCAATAGTAAACTGCGAGTTACACATATTAGTCAACTCCCAGCTCTCCGCGCCCAAAACCGCCGGGGTATTGTCATCCTCTACATCACCAGCAGCACCAGCCACGAACAACGCCGCCATGAAATGGTCATCAGTAGCATGAGCATCTCGGAAGCGAGGATGCTTCATCAGACGAGTCATAGCCCGACGCAGCTGCACACCGGACGTCTTGGTAATCACATCCTCAAAAGCCTGTCGGAACTCCAGGGCCCAATCCTCGGGCGGAGTCTCCATGGCAAAGTTATCGCGGAATCGCAACATGGGAGCCCATCGGTTACGGTAGAGGTTGTGCACGGCACCGCCCGTGCCAATGAAGAGGTAGTTCTCCTTCCGCAAGGGGCGCAAGGTCGCACCCATCTTCATATGGAAGTGAGGATCGTAGCGGGCATTGGCGGAGATCAAAGTGGTGGGCGGGCAGCCACTGGGAAACATGCGGATGAGGATGAGGTAGACGTCGTGAATCCATTCGAAATTGGGGTTACCGCCAACGTTGAAGCCTTCCTTGGCGAGCATCTTGATACACCGGTCGGTAGTCTCGAGGTCGGGGTTCAGCTCGTAGTTGACGTACTTTTCGGGTCTGACGTAGGCCACGGGACTCTTGCCGGGTTTAGGGTCCGTGGCGAGTTCGATTCGATCGCCCAGGCAATCCCAGTGCGCGCCCTAATCGTTGATGTTAGAGAAAAAAAGACGGGAGAAATGGTATCCCTTTGATGACAGAATATACCCACCATAATGACAACACCCTTAATGTTTCGGGCAAGAGCTTCGTCGCCACACTTCTTCCAGTAGTCGGCGCTCTCGGATTCTTCGCCCAGCATCATGGTCGAGCCATGGGAGAAGAAATGTACTGGCGTGAGACCTGCAAATTTGATCAGCAATAACTCCAATTTAGTTTCTCATCCCCTTGTTCTGGCCGTTCGGGAACCGCATTCGCCGTTCCTCACGCTGATAGGAGCTAAAGAGGAGGCGGCACGGGCATGGGGAAGGTGCAGGCATCAGGGCTTCTTACCCATGTTGTATGCTGTTGCAGTTGTGATCAACGTTTACGGGGAGCGTCGGGGGAAAATGAAAATCAAAAGAGCTGACAATCGGTTCTCCATTCGAGATCAATATATTGCTCCCCCACTGGGGATTTGGGGAACGAGCATGTCGAGCCACCGGGTTGCGGACATCGGGTATGTTCCCCCACATGCCGACCGCAAGACATCGCGGGCTCGGATCGACGAGTTCACCATTTGCCAGAGCTTGATCGTCCGGACTCCAGGGACCTCTGTGCGCCCGGTGACACTGGGTCCAACGGGTTGCGTAAGACTCGAAGGCCCTCCCGCGTTTGAAAAGGACGCGAATTCTCACGAGGATGGCGTTGGGGGGAGGCATGACCTACGACCGCCATCCGCCATCCGCCACTCGGGGCTCTCTAGCGAATCATCGAACGGCCAATGAGGGCTGGACTGTTGGTTAAATCTGGGGAACTTTGTGGAGTGGAGCTCGGCGATCCACGGCGGCCAATGATCGTGGATTCTCCGGGAGACACGCCCCGCTTATTTGGTACCCGGTGAGAATATGAAGGCTGTAGGGGGGTGACCGTCATGGAATGAAGTCGAGGGGAATCTTGCGAGAATTTGCTGGTGGATGGTTGAGAAAAGAAGCGGGGGAAACAGTGTGGAATGGCCGGGAGGAGTTGCCGCGACCGAAAGAAGGGCAACGGCGAGAGATCGACCACGGGTTTACCGCCCAACTAAAGTCACCTCACGAGTTCCAAAAGACAGCCACGAATCAGCCAGCTCGGCCAAAGCTGCGAACTGACTTTTCTCTCCACGGGGCATTCGGTCCCTACCCCGGATTTGTGCTTTCCCCTCCTTCCCCCTCTCCTTCTCCTCCTCCTCCTCCTCCTCCTCCGTCTGATCTTGAAGCTTGCTCCGTCTACATCCCCGATCATCACCCGTTCTCTTCCCCCTTCCCTTTCCTCGATGCTCCTCTTCCACCATGTTCGATGATTCGCCGCCCGCCGTGGACTCATCAAACGCGTCTCAATCCCTCATCAAATCCAAGGACGGAGGCTATTTTCAATGCGGCTTCTGTAAACGTCACTATAACCGAGCCGACCATCTCATTCGTCATGTCCGATCTCATACCCGCGAAAAGCCCTACGTCTGCGATGTCTGCGACAAGGGGTTTGCGCGACCGTCAGTTGCCTCACACTTCTCTCGAGTTCCAATTCTGCCGTGGTCTCCTCACTGACACCGTGTCCCGCCCAGTGACTTATTAAAGCGCCACGCCACGGGCCATACCCATGACCGTGATCGGAAGCGCAAGCGAAGCTCTTCCGTGGCAAAGCAGAGTCGTGTCTCTCAGGCTTGTAAGGCCTGTGCCTCGTCCAAACTCAAGTGCGACGAGGAAAAGCCGTGTCGGCGGTGTCGAGAGCGGAATCTGCACTGCGACTGGCAGGATCTAGTGCAAGACTGGTCTCCGGAATCTCAGCAGCAGAGCTCAACCGAGCTTACAAACCCGATTATGCCCGACCAAGCATTGGATCTCACGGCATCGGTGGCATTCTCGCCCATGCCAACCCCGATGGATGAATTCCCCGCGGGTGGGAGGAGTGGCGGCATGCACAGGACTCCTCATGGACCTGCTCCTTCTGCTCCCGTTCCTGCTCCGGAAGCGCCGGGACTTTCCCCAGTCGTACCCCCAACGGCTGAACAAATTCCAACCGAATACGGAGGTAACTTTGATCAATATGTCACCCATTTTTGGACAAAGATCGGCTGACCAAAAGCCTCCAGTATCACCCACCGACCAAGAGAGTGGCATTTTCAGCGTCGACGGCACTTTTTTCCCGAATTTCATTCCCGACTCGCTGATCTCTTCGTTAAGCCGATATAACGACCCCTTTGAACCGGCCAATCTAATTCCCGAATTCACACACTATGGAGCCTTGGAAATTCCAGCTTTGGATTTTAATCTGACCGACGGTGATTTCGGCTTGATAGATATGTACAATTCCCGCCACTTTCTGCCGGGGACTCACGAGCCAGAGCCGCAAGATCACTTTGATGCGGATAGTGGCATTGGTATCGGTGCCGCGGCCTATAATCGGTCATCTTTGTCTCAATGGAAGCCTGCTCGGAATGACCGCGCATTCGACGACCACGAAAACCTCTCCGTTCCACCCACGATCGACAGTCCCGAGGCGACCGCGCCCGACCGGCAGATTCTCTGTGAACGTCTGTCTTCGAGCAGCCGTGACCTCATTTTCGGACTGGTGCTGGAGATCAGTCGAGAAGGGAATTTGAGTCGAATCATGAAGTCCTTCCCCAGCACCGAACTGCTGGACGGATTGATTCAGCAATACTTTGAGTTTCAATCGCACAGTGTCGACTCTTTCATTCACGGACCGACCTTCCGACTCAATAGCGAGCATGCTAGTACGCTCGCTGCTCTCGCCTCTGCATCCGCCGTTCGCTCCCCTATCCCGACCATCAGAAAGCTTGGTTATGCCCTGGTTGAGATTGTTCGACTCTATATGCCTATCAAGGTGCGTCTCTCTCATCATCCACTTCTATATGTTTGTCTCGGGTACTAGTGGAAGAGGCGATCTAACCGGTCCTGCAGTATGAGAACGATAATAGCACCACTCGTGATTTACGGACTTCCCAAACTTATGCGTTGAATATTGAGGTTGGAATCTGGAGTGGAAATCGACGAAAGACGGAAATTGCCGAGAGCTTCTCGCAGCCGTTGGTGACCATGCTCCGTCGAGCTCTTCGATTCCGCCGTTCCGTCTATACAAACATCGTTCCCAACATGGACGACTCGGAAGAGGTATTAGAGCGCAAGTGGCACGACTGGATCGAACAGGAATCGTTCAAAAGGTGAGACCGACTTTTTAGGGCCCTGTTCTGTCAAGCAGAATCTTATCATTTCTTACAGACTCGTCTACCATATCTTCCTTCACGACTCTCGGAGCTCAGTGACCCTCAATGTCAACCCTTTAATCTCCTACGCCGACTTGGAGCTTCCACTACCGGCCGCCCGTCCCCTGTGGGAAGCCAAGACTGCCAACGAATGGAAGGATCTCTTTTGTGTTCTCTCCCCCGCCACGCGCGAGCGAGTACCCTCCTTGGCTGATCTCCTTCGCGACATGTCCCAGCTTTCGAGTTTCCAAGATCGCATTGATTCGCAACTGTCTGCCTTGGTTCTTCTCCACGGTCTATCAGCTTTGATCAATGAGTATCACCGGTTGAAGTTCATTTCATCAAGCAATTCGAAGCATTGGCATGCCTTGGTGACAAACTCTCGTCAACAAGAGCTCGATCAAGCACTTCAGCATTTCAGAATGGTCTGCTCGGAGCTCAGAGTGCGGTGTCAGCCCGAGATTGTACTGGTCTGTGAGGTGGTCTCCATGCTCCTCCACATGTCTCTGGAAGAACTGCAGCTGTTTGCGGGCAAAGAGGACAAACAAGAAGCGCGCCGAGTCTATCAATCCGCTCTTGAATGGATCAAGAGTGCCGACTCTCGCCGAGCTGTGTGGCACGCCGGCCAAACGATCCGTGCCGCCCGGCAAATGGCCCCTGGCTCGTTGACAGGGTTCTTGGCTATCGGGGTGTATTATGCCGGGCTAGCCCTCTGGTCCTACGCCGTAGTCTCCAAGGCCAATATTACCCGGCTGACAGGCAGCCCGGCCTCCTCCATTGCTAGCCAGGGACCCACCGTTTTACTGGACGCGGAAGAAATGCCCGAAGTCACGAAATTCTTCACGTTAAGCTGTGGCGTTCCTGCAATTCAGGGGCCGAACGGACCAATTACACTGGCAGATACAAGTACTACCATGCAGACCGTGCAGCGAGTGCTTCGACCCGACCCGTCAGAGCGTACGCCACCTTTGGTCCAGAGTTTAGCACAATTAATTGGGGATCTGGGGCAATGCGTACCCATGGGTGGAGCGTGATCGCAATGAGCGATTTTCCAGTTCCTGGTTGTTTTTGTCTTGCATGTACGATTTAGAGATTCTGAAATGATACCCACGCGATGTATGATGACTACAAATCTACCTTTGCTACTTTGCCTCTTCTCATACGAGTATATTGATTCTCTGCGGGTAACTTCTTCTAGCGTGAAACAGATGAAATCATTCCCCTTTAACAGCCACCCGTCGCACTCCCACCAACACACACGGCCCCCGTACAGTTGAACCCGTGAGTGTCCTCGACATTCCCGCACAGGTATTCATCAGCCAGTGTCCCATTAGCACTAACGACCAGATCAACACCCGTGATGGAGATATTCTCGCAAGGCTTCACGACAGAACACTGCAAGCTAGCCACATCTTCGCTAGTCGTAGTCCCAATCAGATTGCGGAACGACAAATCGCGAAGCTGGAACTTGGAGGAGGTGCAGTTTCCCGCCGTCCCCGAGAACGTCGTACATTGCGAGATGGCGATAGCCGGTCCCCTCAATGCGGTAGCCTTGAGATCTTCAAAGATCATATCAGATGCAACTATCAACAACCGGTCAGCACACTCCCTGATGACCCATCTCACGGGGTATCACTTCAAACATACCTCCAAGCCCCCCAGCCCCACCGTTTGGCGGATAATTGACCTGTTCCCCGGTCCAAGTCTTGAAATAAACCGCATGCAGCGTCTTACTATACGTGATATTCCTCACCCTTACCCTTTGAACAGTCTCGTAGGCATCCTTATACTGACCAATACTCCCAATTGCAATTCCAAGGCCCCGATGGAAGAGAGAGTCCTCGATCAGGATATCCGTTGAATTGGCCTTGATGCTGATATTGTCGTCGCCGTTGTCGACTTCCCAGTTGCGGAACGTGATGTGGGAGCTGTAGATTGTATCCGCACCGTCGGTGTTGCGGGAGGAGGCGTGGACACTGGTGCTGTTCACGTAGATATTGTCGAAGAGGGTGTTCTGGGTGTGGATGATGGACAGTGTCCTAAGAGGGGAGGGGGGTATTAGTGTCATTCGGTATCTCCAAGTTGCTGGTGTAGAAAAGTGTTGACTGACCACATCTGACTCTGAACGAATCGAATCCCCGTAAACTCCGAGTTACTCGTCCCCGTCACCGTCAACGCATGGGGTCGGCCCGGGTAGTTGGATACGGATCCACAGGCATTGTACCACGTCTGCCCGTTGCCATCGAAAGTACCGTATCCATGACCATCAAAGCGGATATTCTTGCCGCCGAATACCCACGCCGTGGATTGATTCTGGTATCCAACTGGCAGGGAATGATTGAGCCAGTACGAGACATTCGTGCTCCACTAGAAAACAATTCAGTCCTCGTGTCAAGGGTTCACAGTTTAAAATGGGGCATGATACCAAGAGCGTTCCACGAAAATCAATCTCACAATCCTTCAGTCCGGTAGTGTTCAGCACACTGTTGATATGGTAGGTCATATTCTGGAAAAGAATCTTCCCTCCATGTCCACATTGATCAAACGCTTTGAGTACGGCAGGAGCATCATCAATAGAGGAGTTTCCTGCTGCAGGTACAACACACACTTTTGAGGGATTTCATTCCTCGATTGTGGGAGGGGATAAGCCCAGCACCACCGAGGAGAACAGCGTGGCAATTGCTAGCAAGTTCATCGCAGCTATATGAGTTTTCCTTGACAGACCATCATTGTATACAATATTCACTCCATTTATATACCATCATTGTATATTCTGAATTGAAAAGTAGGCGAACTCAATTTGTGGAAAAATTCACGTTATGGCCTGCATAGGATACAGTCGCTTCAAAATGCGGGGAAGAGAGCTCGGGGTAGATGATAGCGAGTTAGCATCAAGACTTATGAGATGATTTAGTTGGTGGAATGTTGAATACTGAGATATATGCACTGGCATTGACTCGGCCATTACTAGAGCGACTTGGCATCTTTTTCTATGATGGTTTAGAGGTCGAAGGTGGGATTAAATGACCCGAAATGCCCAGAAGCAAGGAAATGCATGGAGGTTGCAAGTACCCCTGAGTTGAGATAAACTTACTGCCATATACAAAAGAGTTGAATTTTGTTCAATCCGTTCCAACTCATTCATGTACATACCCAGTCAGTGGCATCTTTCGGACTGTTGGCCAACCTGACTGGAAACTGCTCATGAAGATCGTGCATTCTCCAACCGCTAAACGGATCTTGCCGTGTTCCAAAAGTTACATGAGTAACTTGAGAACCCACGATTTGTCCTTTTCAATGATGATGATTGTTTCTTGTAATAGTAGGTTCGATCCTGGCATACTGCCTGGCTCATCGACATCTTTCGGCCAAATTTCTAGCCCAATATCATTCCAAGTCACAAAAATACATCCGCCCATTTTTCGCCGGATTCTGGGGCCATAATAAATATACTAGGATGTGTCTACAAGGTCCATTGCTTTCATAATCATAGTCAGCCCTGTGATTCGGGTGCAGGCAAAGCCAAATTTCCCCACATTCCGAGACGCGTCAAGCTCTCCACGCGCATCCGAAGAGTGCGGGGCCCCTTTTGTCTGTCAACTATATCGGCATCGGTGCCGATGCCGATCCCAAACCATGAAGCAGTAGCAGTCACGATGAGTGCGCTGTATAGCCTGGAGGTCCTTAAAGAGCAGGTAAAAGTCTCTGCTTGTACAAAATCCAAAAAAAGACAACTCGAAAATCCTCCTGAACACTCTCCTCCCTGCCAATCTATCTGTTCGCCATGGTCCTCAAGCTGAAACAACCCAATCGCTCGAGTGCGGGCCCCGCGTCGAAAGTCGACACCTCTGCTATCGTGCGCGGTGTGATTGACGATATCCGTGCCAACGGCGACAAGGCCGTGCGAACCTACTCGGAGAAATTCGACAAATGGAGCCCCGAAAGCTTCAGATTGTCGCCCGAGGACATTCAGCAAATCATCTCGACCGTTCCCCAGCAGATCATCGATGATATCAAGCAGGTACAAGAGAATGTGCGCACTTTTGCTTTGGCGCAGCGGGCGTCTTTGAAGGACTTTGAGCTGGAGATTCGTCCCGGAGTTCATCTCGGACAGAAGAATATTCCTATCAACTCGGTGGGGGCGTGAGTTCTATCAAGATTCATATAATTTCATCCAACATCAAGGCATACTGACTGCATACAGGTACATTCCCGGTGGTCGCTACCCTCTCCTCGCGTCCAGCCACATGACTATCCTGACGGCCAAATGCGCCGGTGTCCCTCACGTCACCGCATGCACACCCCCGATCGCCGGCAAGATCCCTGCCAACACCGTGGCCGCGATGCACTTTGCCGGCGCCGACGCGATCTACATCCTGGGCGGTGTCCAAGCCGTGGCCGCGATGGCCATCGGCACGGAGACGATCAAGAAGGTCGACTTCATCGCGGGGCCGGGTAACGCGTTCGTCGCCGAGGCGAAGCGTCAACTCTTCGGCGAGGAAATCGGAATCGATCTCCCCGCGGGTCCAACGGAGGTCCTCATCGTCGCCGACGAGCACGCCGACCCGTTCACCGTAGCAACCGATCTCCTCTCCCAGGCCGAGCACGGCCCGGACTCCCCCGCCGTCCTCATCACCAACTCCCAAAGCGTGGGCGAAAAGACCATCGCCGAGGTGGACCGGTTATTGAAGATCCTCCCTACTGCGGACATTGCAGGCGTTTCATGGGATCGGCTCGGCGAGGTCAACGTCGTGGAGAACCTCGACGAAGCGTACAAACTGGCCGACACGTACGCGTCCGAACACGTGCAGATCCTGACGCAGCAGCCCCGCGAGGCCTTGGAGAAAATGTCCAACTACGGCGCCCTGTTTCTGGGCGAGAAGACCTGTGTTTCGTACGGTGACAAGTGCATTGGCACGAACCACGTCCTTCCTACTCGTGGTGCGGCCCGGTATACTGGTGGTCTGTGGGTGGGCAAGTACCTGAAGACGGTGACTTATCAGGAGGTTACTTCGGAGCAGGAGAGTGGTGAGCTTGGTCGTCTTTGTGGACGGTCTGCTCGCGCGGAGAACTTTGAGGGTCATGCTCGTTCTGGTGATGCTCGAGCTCATCGGTACTTGGGTGATAAGTTTGAGTGGATTTAGGCAGGGACACCGTGAGTGATTATTGAAAGTTTGACCTCGAAATGTCTGAAATTACATGATTTGAACATCTTACTGTACTTTGAATGATTCCTCTTATCCGAGTTCTAATACGAGTTCGAAGCCGAGTATGACTGTTGTTCTCTGTATACTACATTGCAACGAGTTAAAGTGCTCCGTGACATCACTGCAGTATGTGCGAGTGTATTATTACAGAGTTGACAATACAAAACACGAGGTCTGTTAAATCCGTTTCGACTTCAGTGGATCCGCCTTTTGACATACTGGACTCTCATTGGCCCTTACCCTCTGATCTTCTTTTAGGGGTTTTCGCCTGTCAGCAACTTGCATTAGCGCCATCGATCGACTCAACATGCCACTGACGCGAGCGTCCAACCCCTCAAACCAAGACCAAAGCTTAGCAATCAAGAACCGGAGATACCATATGAATGATAAAGACCTTCTATACCTGGTGTTCGATTTGATCTAGATATACCTGAATATAAGCTTCTCACCACGCCGTGCCCGCCACGCATTTGTGCTATTCATAATCTCAGGACACCCCCGAACAATCCACTGCCATTTCTTCAAAAACGCCTCCGTCAACTCCCAGTTCCGAATATCCCACGGCTCCCCCCAGACCAGTAACCCCGGCGCCGCAGTAGAAGAGTGTGCCCAGAAGCCCATGATATCATGGCAAAGTGCGTCATCATCCCAATCATCACCCGCTTGAATCATATTATCCCGCATTTTGGGCAGAGGGAAAAAGTCCAGCCATGGATGATGTGGCCTAGTTCTCTGGAGTTTGGTGGGTCGGAGGCTGAGGGGCATATCACTGTAGTCCGGTGCCTTTGACGCCTCTGCTGCGGTGGGGATATTAAATGGGGAAATGGCGTCGTCGTCCATGTTATCCGGATCCCAGCCCATGATTTTCAGGTTGTGTCCGAAGGCGCGGAAGACGTTGACTTTTGTCAGTAGCAAGAGATGCTCGGAGGTTGGGGAGCCCGTCATGTAACTTTGGAACGCGGATTCGGCAAATTGGGTCAGAAGGAGTCGTGCAGATGCGGGTTTGAGACAGCGACTGTCGCGCTGTGATGAGGCTGATGGTGAGGTACTGCTTTCTTTGGGTACGATCGCGGTTGAGGAGGAGGATGGAGATGAGGATGAAGAAACGACACTTTTAGGATGGACATCTCTGTTGTTTCGCATGCGTTGGCGCTGGCGTAGTCCTGGATATTGTTAGTATTCCTCGAAACCGAATCACAAACTAGCTGAAGTGTGCAAAGAACCTACGGTGAGCCCTCTGGTTTATCCGATTCTGTCTTCGTCGGCGCTCGGCCGGATCCGTGAGACCAGCCCAGTCATCGCGCGATGTTTCGTGGCTGTCCGGCGCCGGGAGCACCTGCGTCGTCTCTGGTTGTGGGGAAGTGGCCATTGTCGTGGTCAGCGCTAAGGGTTGGTGTTGGTGTCAGCAGTTCTAACGATCTGGAGGAGGAACGGGGCAGAGGCGAAGGGCTTTAATTTATGGCGGCCGCTGAGGCTTGAGTCTGGTGGGTCCTGACCAATGAAATGTGTGCACTTGGGGGAGTGGGTCCGGAGTTAAGCCGCGAGGCTTGCGTATTGTCATGACGGAGTACTGTACGGTGAAGCCATGGGTTTGGATTGTTCCAGGAGTTGACAGAGTACTGTAAATATTTGCCAAGGGTAATCGAGAACTGTCGGTCACATAGACATCCCTAGAGTTGTCGCTCTGTGACGCCATATCCAGTCACTTGAGGGTCATGCTACACTCTTCGCTACTGTGGCGGACATCATTTCCAAAGTTATGGTAACACTTGGGACAAATACGTATTTAATCTACCAACGGGGTAACCCAAAGGCTATGTACATGACTCTCCTGGAGATCTTTCTCTCATCACAACGTAAATGGGTATATCAAAGGGAAAGAGACAATTGACGTGGGCTATATGTTAAGAGTCCAAGGGGTCGCCCACCTCCCAAGCTGGCACTGTACATAGCGTTAGGAGATGGGGATGGCCAAGACTGAAGTAAAGCTATCACTTAGCAGGTTTTCGCGCGAAGACAACGGTCACCGGAAGGTAGGCATGTGTCCGGTAATCCCGAAGACATGCCCGCATCTGCGCAAGAAAGATCTGGGCCTTTGCGTAGGGCCACTCTAACGTCGAGGTCAAAAGCCGAAGCATGAATCCTTCAATTCCTCCATTGAGTCGAAATTGATTCCATCGTCCCAGGTCACGTAGCTTGGGATCCTCGCTCCACCTACTGCGAGCGTTAGGCTTGCTTGTTTTCACAGAATCGAACTTCGGAAAAGTTCGAACATACCCATTCATCGGCCATTTATAAGAATTCTCTATCACATTTTCAAATCCGGCCTTTTTCAACCGGTCCGCACTTTCTTCCCAGATGGAGAAACTCTTACCGAATCGTTCTCCGGCTTTCATAACGGTCTTCCCCCAGGTTCGGTAGAAATGATCGGGGGGCATCGTGGCATCGTCGACTACGGGGCTGACTGAATGTTCGACAACCTCGATATAGCCCCCGGGCTTCAATGCGCGGTAGCACTGCCGGAAGAATTCATCCCAATCAGGAATAGAGCCAAATAGCTCGCGGATATGAATAAAATCAAATCGTTCCGGTGCATAAGTCCACGGCATCGTCATATCATCGATCTCAAATGTACAATTCGGGGGCACGAATGACGGCTGTATTGGTGAAAGGTCCACACCCGTTACTCGGGCGCAAGGGTATTCGTCCGCCATATCACTAGATTTGACAGTCAGCTCTCTAACCCTCCCCCCAAAAATATCAGACAGCAGATATTCTCAATCGACACACATGGACCATATCCCAGTTCCAGTCCCCACATCCAGGATTTCCTAGGTCCCGTTTAGAATGCTGCATGCGGGGGAATTCAGGAACCAAACCTACCTGTGGCTGGCTGAGCGGGGCAAGATGCAGCTTTCCGTCCAGAGTCACCGTGTACATATGATGCGCAAGATCTTGCTGTTCATTTGCAACCTCGTCATTCGGTCCCTATACATATTGTCCGGATTATCAGTCCATCGGTTCGCCTATAGAAATGATCCGGGAGAACCCTGGGTCAGGTGGAGGGCATCCCTCCGCCTCCCCCGCACCTACCCAATAAGCACCATCCCGAAAAGCATGGTACCGCCGACCAAACTCGTATCGATACTCGGTGATATACGTGGCCAGGGTTTTCGTATCATCCCGCAGCAATGTATCTTCCTCGTATGCTGAGTCGTTCTCGTTCAAGTCGTCATCCGGTTGGGGGAGGTATGAGGGTGAATTAGCAGGTAAGGCTGCGCGAGTCAGGGTCGGGCTGTCAACCCAGGGACGGGAGCCGGAATGAAGCTGGGTCACATCACTGTCTTCCCCGTAATCCGAGGACATATTCAAGGCCAGGGACCGTGGGTTACAGAGGGAGGGCGCATCCTCTTTCTGTGGCCTCGAGGAGAGTCTAAGATCATCGCTTACGCCTAGTCGAATGTTGGGGGTCTGACAGAAGGCACGTGACGTGACGTGGATCTGCAGTGAAGTATGAAGAGCATAGTTGGACGCTAATTTGAGAAGTAGGAAAACTTCATATTTGATTCAATAGATTCTATACGGCTCACAATCATATTGACTAGTATTCAATTGTTATACGGTTCATCTAAGTTCTGCATATGCAAAGTCCGCGGGTGTCATACAACGCTGTCGGTCACCAAATGCATAAAGCCCGAGCATCATGCCTTTAAACTCATCTTGTGTTAGCACCTGATAGACTTTCCGAGAATTGTATGCCAATCATACCTGTGAACGGTGCGCCTACCGGTGGTGCCTTGGTCGCGACGTGATTGGCCACGCTTCCAATCCAAATAGTCTCCGAGCTAAATGGGTCGCGATACCCAAATCGGTACTCGTCACCACATTCAATAACGAGAATCACATCGCCGGTTAGATCCAAGCTTCTTTGAATCATGTCGTCCTCCGAGGGCCGGAACTGAATGACTCGATGATCACCTCTTCTTCGAATTCCAAGGCTGCTATGGGTGAAATAGTTCCACCACACGACCGTGCCAGCCTCGGTGTGCTCCGTGGTTGGTTGAAACGATAGCTGCGTCTCCCAGATACAAAATCGATGAGTCTGCTTTCGCAGGAACATGGTCGGGCTGGCGGGTACCGAAAGGGTGCAAGGCCCACCATACAGGCGAAGATGATTGGGGCGTTCGGTAAGAGAATAGTCGACAGTAAAGGGGGTATCTAACAGGCATCACACATTAGCGGTTATCTATTCATATTCTGAGATTTCGTACTGTGTGCATACTTTTCCTATACCAGCCCAACTGAAGCTGTGGACTTGAAAATTCATCCTTCCAGGAGACCGGAATTTCGTGCTGGTAGAGCCCCGGTCCATGAGACTGGAGTGAAATTTTTTTGCCGCCATTGATGACGGGCCAGTCATTGTCCCACTCCACATGGACAAGGAAACTCTCTCTCCCTGCAGCATCAATTAGTATACCATTTAATGGAGCGAGTATCGACAAATCTTACCAAAAACGGACTCCTCCCACTGATCTCCTCTTCGCATCGGCCGAACCGCCAAAAGAACCGCCCACCACTCCCCATCCGCATCTTCAACTAGATCTAGATGACCAGTATTCTGCACTTCATCGTCCACTCCATTACGCCAGAGGGGATTGCTGGGTGCAAGCTCCCATGGTCCCAGGGGACCAACTTCACTGCGACTAACCCACTCGCAATGCCCACTCTCAGTACCACCCTCGGCCGTGAAAAGGTAATAGTAACGACCGCGCTTGTAGATATGCGACCCCTCCGCGACTCCAGATGATGACTCGCGGATCAGTTTTGGTTCTGATGTGGAGTGTCCCGTGTCGAGATCGACCGTGCAGATATGAATGGCAAAGTCCTTGAGTTTTGCGCCCGGTGTGGGCTCGAGCTTGCGATAGGTTGATGATAGGTATACAGTTCCATCATCGTCCCAGAACAGCTGAGAAGCTCTATTAGCTGTCTTGCATTCACACTTAATCCAATTGCAGGTCTATGGGCCCACTTACATCCTGATCGAATCCCACTTGATCAAAATAAACCGGATCAGACCAGGTGCTATCATCCCAAATATTCGTCGTCTTAACGTAGAATCCCTGCGGCCAGACTCGATCATCCTGCTGAGGCCGATATCGTTGAAAGCTAGCAGCCGTGATGTAAAACACACCCCGATGGTAGCGGATAGTAGTGGCCCACACGCCTCCACCCGGCTCGGGCGTGTGAATCTGAAGCTGACTCGGTCTTGTTAACGCATGGCCAATGAGCTTCCACTGAATCAAGTCCCGACTGTGGTAAATTGGAGCGCCGGGGAAGTATTCAAAGCTTGAGGTGACCAAGAAGAAATCCTTGTCAACTCGAACGATTGAGGGATCTGGGTTGAAACCCGGGATGATCGGGTTCGTGAAGCTCATGATGATCGATGGCAAGGTTCCTGTAGTTTATTTCGTGTCTAGCATGGGTTTATAAGTGCGGAGTTGCGATTTGTGATTTGAGATAGTACGCAATGATTGGTGGAGAAATTAGCTTCCCATATTAGAAGGCAGCGACTTTCCCCGGGGAGCCTAATTGCGGCTCTGAATAGACCGTTTTAGCCGGGAAGGGAATCGGATAGTGCTTGTTGCGAACCACGCGTCAAAATAAAGTGTGCAGTGCCAACGCGCACATATTAGCGACAGACCGGACTTATCCTGGTCACTGACGCCATACCAGCCTCTACTTCGAAGTGGATTACCATATACCCCAAAAATTGCACGCATGCCCTTTAAGCATTTGAGGCGATCCCTCTTGGATGTCGCTCCGACTCATCCACTAGACAATGAATGCCATCGGCAAGATCTATAGCGACCATTACCTTATCTGTTGAAGGAATTATCCCCGCCGGCTCTATTCGAACGTTCAAAAGGCGGCCTATAAATGATTTATTCTTTTATTTTAACACCAGAGTCGGCCAGACTCCAGTCACTGACAATGTTATCCAGGTCCTGAGTGCTTTTTCAAGCCGACTAGTGACCTCAAAAATAAAAAGGACGAGGCAAATTTTGGGCTAAGATAGACCAAGTCGTTGTTTGAACACGGTATAGGGAGGTGCACGCGCGGCGCTCCCCTTTGTAATGTCCGATCTCTTCAGAATATGTAACTTCCAAGTATGTCGTCCCCCCTTTGAAGCAGAGTATATACACGAGACTGCCCAAAGACTAGAAGAATGCGCCTTGTGCGAACGGCAGGCGTCGAACAACCTGCATGCCCTTTCACTCTAAGGTCGACTCAGAATGAGTGGGAAGCACTTATGAGTCAATGACCTTAGTACTAGACTATTCTGTAGAAGAAATATATGACCAAGCTATTGCTGCTTTTTGTCAAAATCACGAGGCTTCTGACGGCATAGCTACTCCAGTCAGCAAGTTGGAGATACGAGTGAAACCCCGCGCTGTGCCCCACACTCGTCCTGCATGCAACATGGCCCTTTGGACGGAGCTCTGGACCACACTCAGCCGACGATTATGCACACACAAGTTGATCCAAATCTGTCATGATTGTGGATATCTCCATAAAATTGTTCAAGTGGAGACCAGCCAGACTTGCCTAAAGAAGTATGTCATCCCACCAACACTCCCCGAAGATTCTCCGGGTTCCCGCATTTGGAGATGCGGGTAAACCTCCGATTCCAAGCTGCACTCCACATGGCGATTTGGCACTGCTCACTGGATATAGGTGGAACTGTTCACGGACCTATTGACTCGGGCCCTGTTACCAGCAAATGTGCTACAAGGATTAGAAATATTCGGGTCACGTTTCCGGTGGGAACGGCTTTCTTCAAATTCGCGGGGATTTTCTTCTTTTCTCCTGCCTCATCGACCAATTCACGGCATACCTTGCGCATTACGATCGCAAAGCTATAAGAGCGACCGTCATGGCATCCACGTCCACGTCCACGTGCGTAGTGCAGCAACAGCCGCACGATGCTTCAAATCACATTATGCTCGAGGCGATGCCACAGCGTCAACATTCGACAAACGACTCAGCATCGAACGAATCCCTCGATGGATTCTCCGCGCTGGAAAAGTGGAATCACCCCCGCATCAACGTTTATCGCTCTTTCGCCACGTTCTGGAGCTTTCTAGTCATGGGCAGCAACGATGCAGCATACGGTGTGAGCATTCCAATCCTGCAATCTCACCTGCAAGAGATGTTACTGACAAACGTAGGCTCTAATTCCATACGTGAGAGCCCTGACCAGCCACTGCCATTCGATACCATACTCATACCACCCCACAGCTCGAGACTTACTATGACCTCAGCTATACGGTTATATCCCTAATCTTCCTCTCGCCGCTAGTCGGGTACACACTAGCAGCATTTCTCAACCACCGAATTCACACCTCGCTCGGGCAGCGCGGGGTCGCGTTGCTCGGGCCCGGGTGCCATCTCATCGCCTACGTCGTGAACTGCCTACACCCACCATACCCAGTCCTCGTGGTCTCGTTCATCTTTGCAGGATTCGGCAATGGACTCGAAGATGCGGCGTGGAATGCTTGGATTGGAAATATGGCCAATGCAAATGAGTTGCTGGGTCTGTTGCACGGTGTATACGGTCTCGGTGCCGTTTTGGCTCCACTGATTGCGACTTCGATGATTGCCCGAGCTGAAATGCCGTGGTTTCATTTCTATTACGTCATGGTAAGTAAAAATAACCATTGCTCTGCAGTCGTTGCTATCGTCTAACGCCGTACTAATAATTATCAGGTCGGATGTGCCGTCGTCGAGCTCGTGACCTGCAGCGCATGCTTCTGGAAAGCCACGGGCGCCGTCTTCCGTGCCGCCAATTCGAATTCGATAGAAGAAAACAAGAAGGGAGGGCTCCGAGATGCCCTGTTCAAGCGGCCATCCGCTCGTGTGACGTGGTTATGCTCGCTCTTCCTGCTGGGTTATGTCGGATGTGAAGTCGCGTTGGGCGGGTGGATCGTTACCTTCATGATGCGCGTTCGACATGGAGGAGCATTCGCCAGCGGTATGACAGCCACTGGCTTCTGGCTGGGTATTACGGTCGGTCGTATTATTTTGGGCTTCGTCACGCCCCGGGTGGGCGAGAAATTGGCGATCGCGGTACGTTTCCCGATAGGAAAGAACTTCATACGGTCTCATAGAGGACGAACCTAGCATGAGCTACTACTGACACGCGAATAGGGATACATTCTACTGTCAATGGCATGCGCACTTGTCTTATGGCTCGTTCCTCATTTCTACGCATCTGCGGTCGCCGTCTCGCTACAGGGCTTCTTCCTGGGTCCTCTATTCCCGGGTGCCGTCGTGATGGTCACTAAGCTTCTGCCTCGACATCTGCACGTCAGTTCTATCGGGTTCTGCGCAGCATTTGGCGGTTCCGGAGCCGCCATTCTCCCCTTCGCCGTGGGTGCATTGGCACAAGCAAAAGGTGTTCAAGTGTTGCAACCGTTTATCATTGCCTTGTCGGGTGCCATCTTCCTGGCCTGGCTGGGACTACCACGCGTGTCCAAGGTGCAGCGTAGTGAGTAGATCCGGCTAAGAACCCGGAGGACGTAATGTTTAACGGACGATAATGACGACACGGTCGCGATTGAGTGGGCAGGGCAGGCTCGTGGCTCTTTTTCCTGTGTCACAAGCTCCCACGAGCCCACGAGTGATTGGGACAGGTTATGCATTTGACATGTGAACATGTGAAAATGCAGCGTGCCGGGCCCGATCTTCTCTTATCTGATCCGAGTACTTTAGTCTCCCGAGCCGCCCTGCTCCGATGCAGCGTTTTCATTTTCTTTCTGTTCATGTCGTTTTGCATTCACGTGTCACATAAAAAACTTTTAAGGACCAAGGCTCTTGGTCAGAGGGCCATAGTATATAAGAATGGAACGACGCCTTCTGGCCGTCTGATCGTTTTCCGCCACCACGGGGTATTCCCAGACACGGCTACGTTTCCGACCGTCGGGAAACTCCACAAATCGATCGAGGAATCGGGATGGCCACAGAGCTATGGAGAAAGCGGCAACTGGTCAACGTGGAACGTCAATGAGTTGTTAATTATCATGGCAGGATAAACCGAGGTCAATGGAGCCGTCAGTAGAAGGGAGGGGCTACCTACACTGAACGTCCGAATGCCCATCCGAGCCAACTATTTTTGTATGACGCGAGCCATCGGGACCCGCCTATAGTCGTTGATCCCCACGCTAGACCGACTTGAGACAGTAGGGCCGGGTTGAGCTGAGACCGGGGAGCCCCTAGCCGAAAGGCTGTCCGAAGTTACGGTTGACCCCGGTCATCTCAGGTCAGATTAGGTCAGTCTGCAGCTAACATATAGGCATGTCAGACTCGGCAATGCGGCAGTCAGCTGGCGGTATAAGCCAATGGATTAGATGAGCCAAATGAATGGCAACGGGTATGGGATCAGGCATATTGAGGATAATTCGGTGTTCTTCGGCCAGCCGCAGCTTACCTAATCTGGACGAGCCTCGGTACTTTCCTCATTCGGCCACTTCGCTGGCCCTCGGCCTGGTCCAGCTACTTGGGGCCCCGGAGAATTCAAGCGTCGCTTCCATTCTTATAATCACCATCCCCACGTTCCCCTACATTTCCCTTCCCCATCTTTTCCATTCTCTACATCCCCTCCTCTTTCTCCACACCACATTACACAATGCCATCTCCACCTCCAGACTGGGTCAAGGCCCTCAAGCCCGGTGGCCCGCAGGGTTCCGAATTGCTCGCCCAGGAGCGCGCTCAATCCAATGTCGACGTCGAGAAGCTCTCCGAGTTGCTGCACACCAAGGAGGGTCTGGAGCGTCAAGACAAGTTGCTCAAGATGCTCCAGCCGGAGAAGGTCTTTGACAAGTCGCAGAATCACTCTCTCGGTCGTGTCGAGCGGCTGAAGCGGGCGCTGGCCAAGGCTAAGCGCCTCCAGCAGTTGGCTGAGCAGAACCAGTGGTCGATGGAAGACCTGCACGCTGCCAATGAGTTGATCGGAGAGCCTACTCCCTATGGTCTGCACGCTAGCATGTTCCTGGTACGTATTGCCTGATTATACCTTGGTCAATTAGCAGTGCCCCCCCAAAAAACAATTGCTGACGCGCCCCTCCCGCTTTAGGTCACCCTCCGCGAACAAGGCAACGCCGAACAGCACAAGCACTTCCTGGAGCGCGCCGAGAAGTACCAGATCATCGGTTGCTACGCTCAGACCGAGCTGGGTCACGGATCCAACGTTCGCGGCCTCGAGACCACCGCTACCTGGAACCCCGATGACAAGACCTTCACCATCAACTCCCCCACACTCACTGCCTCCAAGTGGTGGATTGGCTCTCTCGGCCGCACTGCCAACCACGCCGTGGTCATGGCTCAACTCTTCATCGGTGGAAAGAACTACGGCCCCCACCCATTCGTGGTGCAGGTTCGCGACATGGAGACCCACCAGCCCATGGAGAACGTATATGTCGGTGATATTGGTCCGAAGTTCGGTTACAAGTAAGTAGTCCATTTTCGTACGATGGGCATATTCATTTCTCTGCGAAACATTTGGGCTGACCATGTGAACTCCTCCAGCACCATGGACAACGGTTACCTGCTGTTCAACAAGGTCAAGATCCCCCACATCAACATGCTTGCCCGCTTCTCCCGTGTCGATAAGGAGACCAACAAATACGTCCGTCCTACTATGCCCACTCTCGTCTACGGTACCATGACCTGGGTGCGCTCCAACATTGTCCTCCAGTCCGGTGGTGTGTTGGCTCGTGGTGTCACTATCGCCACTCGTTATTGTGCCGTCCGAAGGCAGTTCCAGGACCGTGATGCCGACCCTAACGCCGGGGAGACTCAGGTGCTCAACTATAAGATGGTGCAGGTCCGCCTACTGCCCCTTCTTGCCTCCATGTATGCCCTTCACTTCACTGGTCGCGGTATGATGCGCTTGTACCAGGAGAACCAGAAGCGCATGCAGGGGGCTGCTTCTCCCAGCCAGGACTCTCGTAGCCCCGGCCCCGAGGAGCTTCGTGCTGGTGCTGATCTGCTGGCAGATCTGCACGCCACCTCCTGCGGTCTCAAGGCTTTGGCCAGTACCACTGCCGGTGAGGGTCTCGAGGTCTGCCGTCGCACCTGCGGTGGTCACGGTTACGGCAGCTACAGCGGCATTGGACCGTTCTACGCTGACTACCTGCCCACTCTGACCTGGGAGGGTGACAACTACATGCTCACCCAGCAGGTCGCCCGCTATCTGCTCAAGTCCGCCCGTGCCGTGCTCTCCGGCAAGGCTGCCGACAACGACACCGCTCGCATTCTCCGCAACTACCTTGACCGCCGTGACAAGGGTGCCTCCTTCGATATCCTCGAGGAGGACAACGATATCGTGGATGCCTTTGCCTGGCGTACCGCCCACCTCACCTTCGAGGCCTTGAAGCACCGTGATGCCGAGAAGCGATCATGGAACAGCCTGCTGGTCGACTTCTGGCGCCTGTCCACCGCCCACTCCCAGTACATGGTGGTGAAGAACTTCTACGAGGCCGTCTCCTCTCCCGAACTCTCCCAGTCCCTAGACCAGGACACCAAGACTCTCATGCACCAGCTCTTCCGCCTCTACGCCCTGCACACCCTCGAGCGCGAGGCCGCCGAGTTCTTCTCTTCTGGTGCTGTGACCGTCCGCCAGATCGGCCTGACCCGCACCACTGCCGTCATGAAGCTCCTCGACGATATCCGCCCGCACGCCGTGCGCCTGGTCGATGCCTGGGCCATTCCCGACTGGCAACTGGACAGCAGTCTGGGCCGTTACGACGGTGAAGTCTACCCCGATATCTTCCGTCGTGCTAGCGAGGAGAACCCCGTCAACGATCTGGTGTTCGATCCTTACCCGTGGAACGAGGCTCTGCTTAAGAACGAGTCTCCCAAGAGCAAGCTCTAGATTCCCCCGCATTTTCCGTGTTTATTTTGCATTCTGATGTATAATCTTTTGTGGCCACTTTTTTTTTTTTTTTCCTTCCGTGCGTTTTGGATTTGGAGGGATAGAATTTACTAGAGACTAGAATAGATCTCATATATTGAACGAAGACGATTCAAATAAAGCTCTTTTGATCCCTTGGTGATGACTGGCCAATGTGTAGAAGGGAAGACCATGCTAGACTCAGTGCGGTGTTTTACATGGTCGCCAAATAGCCACGATTCACCCGTCCGAAGAGTTGAGTACTACTTATAACTAAATATACCTTCCGTTGTCGGACCAATCACGTCTGCAAGAGAATCCTAGGTATCCAGCGACCCGGCTCATAGGATCTTGTTGCGAATAATACTTCCCAAATTAGATCATTGTCGACCTGAGAGTAGCGGAGCTTGACATTGGTAACTCGTTTTGTCTTGATTTGGATAACGAAGATCATAGTGTTTAGGTATTTGAACCCACTCCACTTCTCGACCTGATCGGACTCGCCCGTGGCAAGGGATTCATCACCTTTGATCTCGTAGTTCGCCAAGACAATACCGTCTGCAGGAGCTGTGTCCCCAGGCTCCAGGCACACAATATCGCCAACAGTGAGATCACTGATGCGCATCTGGATCGTCTTCCCCGAGCGGATAGCTCTAACCTCGCGGTCTTGTTTCTAGAAGACAATGTTACTCGAATCTACATCGGGGTACGATGGGAACACGTACGCGCTTATTCAACTCCCCAAACTGCTTCTGTTTCTGCCAGTCGTTCCCTGCTGTTACAGTAACCACAATCACTTTAGCAACACAGACTGCCACCCCCTCGACCCAGTCCACTTTCGACTGCCCGGATGCTGCTTCATATATACCCAGGGACTACGACACAATCGCGGCAATGGTAAGCAAGATGATTATCTTATCGTTGTACGCGTCCTAAAGAAGTCCAAAAAACGTCTTCTTCAGTCAAGTTTAATTATAGTCCGATAGCTTCCACCTTAATAGTAGGTCTAGTGTTTATTATCCGGGTCATTCATAGCTGATGATTTAGGGCAGTCCAAGGCGAAGCTCTGCAAAAGGAAGCAAAAAAGTAGAGATTAGAGTCAGGAAGCAATATTACAAATGTAGTTCACCACAGGAACTACAAGTGGTCAGTTTAGCTCAGATGTGAACAAGACGTCCAATACGTACCGTGGTACACAGGCGGAGACTAAGCCCCTATCAACTCTCGTGAGTACGGACCTTCCCGTCGCCGTTGACACTTTGCACCTTCTACATTAACCTCGACCATCATGGCTCCTGCCGACGAAAACTGCTATTTTGAGATCACCTCCCGCTGGGAGGAGATCCTGGAGTGGTGTAAGTTACTTTGCTTCCTTTAAATCCTCCCTGTCTCAGCGACGTGAAGCCCAACTACATTCTTGGATTATATACCCTATAACTCACGAAATGTCAAACCCAGGCCCAATGGCCCCTCCAACCTCACCTGCCTCCACTTCTGCCTCCGGAGCTTTGGCCTACCAGACTCGATCATGCCCAAGTACGCCCTTACCACGATCAAGAGAACCATCGACAAGCAGACAGTTGGCTGTCACTCCGTCTACAGCGGCTCAATCCGGACGGTTCTCGGAAACAACCAAGACCCAGGTGAAAGCCATATATGGCAATGCCAAGAGATGCTGGGTTTGTGGGGGGAACATGGCCGACTGTGCGCATGTTTTGCCAAAGAAGACGACCAGGTATGCCATTTCCACGCAGTGTTCGTTCAATCACGCTAATCTGCTTGTATAGACGGACCGCTGGGATAAGGCCCGCCTTATCCCAGCTGGGGCTAATTTCAAGTCAAAGGAGAATGCCATATTCCTCTGCAAGTCTTGTCACTGCCAGTTCGATAATACATACAGCCCAGGAATTGTTTTCTTCCCTGCCGACCTTGAGTTCTTCATTGAACAGGAGAAGGCTGATCAAGCATGCCGGAAGGAAGCGGCCCGGAATGGCGCGTATGTCCGCCGAAGTCCACCCACAGGTGCTGCATACAAGGCTCACCAGGTCGGACAAGGCCGAGCGGACCCAAGCTCAATTGGCGGTTTATATCGTATTGCCATTATGGACACGTTTCATGTCTCCGACCTTCCAAAATCCGTGCGCCGCGATGTCCTTGAATGCCGTTCCCAGTTAAAGCCATGGCACGGGGAGCCAATATATACAATCCGCCGCGCATTCATCATCCTGGGGACACTTCAAGTCAAATTACTCGACCCGGAGATCAAGAGACAGCTCCGAGAGTTACAGGACCTCTATACAAGCGACGATTTAGAAGACGATGATGATGATTCTCTCCTGCGAAGCGTTAATCGCCTTGATAGGGGCACCAAACGCCCACATCCAGGGCCCGAGGATGAGAATAATACCGGCGGTAGTATCCATGGAAACCTGGAGAATGACGGTGTGTGCCCTGATGATGCGCGGACAAGTCCAAACGATGGATCTGGTTGCTTGGGTGAATCGGACAAAAGACTCAAGCGCGGCTGTCGCTCCGTGGACGAGACAGCTTTGACCGGTCGTGACCACCTGCTTCTCGCCCCGCATCGTACGTTAGCTCGGAGATGGCGATTGGGACCTGATTTGACAACGGAGGATGCAATTCGCATCCGCTCACACATTTCCTTTTTGACTGCATGAGTTCCTTTGTCTGGCACGGGTGATTTTGATCAATCTTGAATCGAGTCCCATCAGACCGGCCAATAGCTTTCATTACTAGGCGTTATAATTACCCAATACCCATAAAACGATGGTAATATTGAAAGACCATTGACCGTTCCTTGATTCACCTACTTTAAGTTTGAGAAGCGTGCTGAAAGGGAACTCGTAGAATTCAGAAAATGTAGCTGTAGTGGGTAACTCTCGTGAGAGTTACCCACGTTGGGGTAGGTTGGAACCCGGTAACTCGCACGAGAGTTGTGCAATTTCCTCATCGACCCGTAGAAGCCGAGCCATGAGATCTTCACGGGTCTGGCGTAACTCCTGAAGCCTTCGCTCCACAATGCTCTGCCTCAAAGGGACGTATTGTGTGGGTGCTTGATGACGGAAACTGCATCGACGTCCCTGTCCAGCCCAATGACAATTCGCACAGTCCAAAAGCCGGCCTGGCACAATAACGCACGAGGCAAATAACCCCTGGCCCCGCTGACAATGGTTGCAAGCTTGCTCAGGTACCACCTGGGCACCAGTTGCTTGTGCTAAGAGTGCTTCCAAGTTCTCGTTCCTCCATCCGACTAATCGGAAGAACGCGGGGCCATCATAGAACCGGGACGCACGCAAAACTGGCTCGCGGTACAGTCTGTTATCGCGGAGTGCGTACAGTGTAGAGGACATATTATGACTGTTTCGGCGTCCTCTGCTCCAAGGATTCGCCAGTGCGGCCTCGGCCCAGTAACCTGGCTCCTCTTCATCGGCGATCCCGTCGCTTTCTCTTCTGATCCGGGGTCGAGGTCGAGGTGCGTTGGAGTGATCGATATTCATCACTGACTAATTATGAGTTTCTTCCTTGGAGTCTGATAGTCATTACGTACCGTCGGGTTGATGGGGGTAGATATGGATTGCTAGCCTCCGGGGTGTAAGATGGGAGAGGTGTAAGAAGGGGAGTTATCAAACATTTGGTTGAATCAGGCAGATCGCTGTGGCCCTTAAGTCAACACTCGTGAGCCTTCCATCTTCAGCCCTCCGTATATCTCATCTCCTCTCTCCCCTCTCATCCACCTTTTCTTATCTCTTACCACCTTTCCAGCATCATCAAGATGCCTGAGCCAGAAGCGCAAAATCCCACTCCTACCTCCACCGAGGGTGATCCCCAGGGTAGCACTCAGAACTCCCTGGATGAGACTCAGAACCCCCTCCAGCTCTCCGCATGGCAGCTTGCCCGGCAAGCAGCATCCGGCGGCTAGTAAGTCTCTCATATCGGATTGAAGTGAAGCATGAAACTCATATGAACGATAGCTGGCCCCGCGATCCCGACTACACTACGATTGGTGAGCCATTCACCGTCCCGGAGGCCCCGCGGGCGATTCAGACAACCCTCCGGGGGACTGGGCACGGTATATATGGCAGGCCCCTTTCAGAGTTGCTCGTAAGGGGGAGTTCCTTAAGGGCCAGCTCCCTATGCTGCTGAAACAGGATCCGCAGCGGGAGCTTATGGCTCGCGTCCGCTACTTTGCAGGAGGTAGACGCAAAGATGAGCTCCTTGGCAACCATCGGGTCAATGTTGAATCTGCGGCGGTGTTCTGTCTGGGGGAAATCAGAGCCGGTGAACATCAGTGTGTCAGCTGTCAGCAAGGCCTAGACCCCTGGGTATGTTACTCCTTTCAAGCACTTTAATAGTCAGGGGAATTAAATGTAACTAATGCGTAAATAGGCGAAGTGCGTGCAACTCTCGGGGGGCGAAGGGTACCTAAGCGCCTGTGCAAACTGCATTTGGAATGGTCAACACGAGCGATGCAGCTTGCGGCAGCATGCACAGGGCGCCTCGACCACGGGGGGCCAAAGCCGGGGGCACCAACGCAACAAACGGTCGATCAGTAAGAGGACGGCATTTGAGGCATGGGTGGACCACAAGGATAAAACGGATATGGCGGAAGCGCTCACGGCCGAGATCGCAGACGCCCACGCCACTCAGCAGTGGGCAGTGGTAGGCACCCTCGTCAAGCAGCAGCAGCAGCGCTGGTTCGACCGTATGAAGCGCACCCGCGGGATTCTCGACCAATTCCACCAGGCTGAACCTCAACTCGCCGCGGCAACCGGAGGGGACCCAGTGAGGCATGATTGGTGGCGGTGTATGTAACATTTTCATTCGCATATGATTCGGATTTAGCTACCGGATTTCACAAATCAATTTCTTATTACAAGTTAAAATATCTTGAGCAATCATATGCTCACATAGGATAGGTCCAGGAGGACTTATTAGCGAGTTTTGTGTTTGTAGTATGTTGTCGATTCGCGACCATGACAATTCTTGGGGAGATGACATGGCGGTTACGGAGAACAGGATAGTGAAGGGACCGCATATGATTGAGTATAAGTGGATTCATTTTGAGATCATTTGTTAACAGGTCGGCAATGTAAAAGGCTGTGATAGTTCGGGTACATAAGTCTCGATGTCTGCCGTGCTGAAATCTTTAGTTACTCGTCAGGAATCTTAGGCAAATGGGCTCATTCTTATTTCTTGCTCATGCGTGACTTGAATTCATAATAATTGCATGAGTCACTTGCTTTGGGGTGGTTCTCGTTCCTACATCGCAGAACCTAGACTGCAGTGGTTGATCCTGTGAGCAGTGTAGAGTGGAAGTTTGGATACGAAGCCCTTAACACCAGCTCTGCTGAGGCGCAGCTGTACATTGGCGGGTACTGGAGCAACGGGTCGAATATCTGGCCTGACGGGCCAAGAGCAGGCTACAAGGGTACTCTCATCATGGTGGTGGATCTAGCACCTCTAACCCTCCATGGATTGTGTCTCCCTATGCTGCATTTGTCCAACAGGCTCGTGAAGATCTCACCATGCTTTCATGGTATTTCCAAGACCAGGATCCGGGCGTGATGGGTAGCAGCGATGCATGCATTGTCTTTATCAATGAATATGCTTCCGAAGGCTTTGACCGCGGCGGTCTTGCAGATCCATGGTCTGACAAGCTTGTCAACAATGTTGCCAACAAGTGCAACAACACAATGGTTGTCATACACAATGCGGGCATCCGAGTTGTTGACGCCTGGATTGATCATCCTAACATCACAGCCGTGATTCTGGCTCACTTGCCTGGTCAGGAAGCAGGCAATACCTTAGTAGAACTCATATATGGAAAGACATCACCATCCGGAAGACTGCCCTACACCATTCCAAAAAGGGAGTCTGACTTTGGTGATCTTCTATATCCGACTCATGCTGACAGCACCAGTGATTATCACACTCAAGGTAGGTCATCGAAATGTCCTCATTACAATGACAGAAGGGTGAACCCCCATTAACCCAATTCTTTCGTTAGCCAACTTTACCGAGGGTGTCTACATTGACTACAAGCACTTCCTTAAGCATGACTTCACACCACGCTACGAGTTTGGCTACGGGCTCACCTATTCCGAATTCACTTACACGAAATTGAAGACCACTCTCCGTGATGGTGTTCTTCCTTCCTTTGTTGACGCCTATGATGGCACATTGGCTACGGCAGTATCTAGCACGAATCTCACAAGTGATACACAAAATCGAAAGCGCATACCGTGGGGTGGCGCTGCGGTACTTTGGGACAATTTTGCTAACGTCACAATGGAAGTTGAGAACATCAGGAACATGAAGGCCGCCGAAGTCATATAGCTGTATGTCGGCATTCCAGGAGCTCCGGAGAAGCAGCTTCGTGGCTACCAAAAGGTGATGATGGGTGTCGGCCAGAAGGCACAGATTCAATTCCAGCTTACTCGTAGGGATCTCAGTGTTTGGAGCCCGGAGAGGCAAGGTTGGGTTCTCCAGAAGGGAGTCTACAAGATTTATGTAGGGAACAGTGTTGAATATTCCTCTGGAGGGTCGTCTAGAGCTGGCTTAGAGGACACAGACTTTGAATATTGTTCCAGACATTGTCATCTTGACATATCTTTACAGAGATGTTATTTAGGTATCACGTAGCTTTAGTACCAATAAGTTATTCGCCGATTGTAACTGCTCTAGCTATTGCGGCAGTACAGCACATTGGTTTAAATGTTATGTCTAGGACGACATGTTAAGACTGTCTCAATTCGAGCTCTTTCAAGCTTGAGCTACCATTCTTGTTTCAGTAAATCGAGGCCTGGGGCTCGCAGTTGAGGTGGACTCTGGCGTAGTCCGCTTTCTGATCGGCCACTCGAGGGGCGTATGAATATTCAGCTAGTTACGGAATTACTACTAATTTAGGTCTCAGTTGTGGAATTCTGGAATCGAAAACTTTGGATATTGTTCGTGGTATCATTTCAAGAAATAGTGATCTTTCTCAGAAGCGTGAGGTGATAGTAATGGCTTGCTTGCAGTCGAATTTCATGACGTCGGCATACCGATCGGCGGCTCATTACGCGGGCCAGGTCTACATTTTTACCACACTTTGTCTTGCGGAAAAATGGCCGGTTGAGATTCATGGATGTTCAACTGGAAACCCCGTGAACCGATGACCACAACTCCACAACAACACGCCGGATAAAAAGGTGTCGGATAAAAAGGCACCTGAGACGTGTCGTGGATACTTCGCCTCAGCCAGTAGGACTGGCTTTGATACCCACATCTCTTGGGGTAAACCCGTTTTCGGCTTCGGTTAAAAAGAACCCACAGCACCTCCTGGGCCGAACCGATTCATGAAATCTGCCGACTGGCTCTTTCATCTCTCCCATTCCCACTGCTCTTCCCAATGACGCAGCATAACTTCCCCGACCTTGCAACCCCGGGACCCGCCTCTATGCTGCCTCCGCACTCCCGAGGGCGATCCTTTCCGCAGGGGGCGCAAAGCCGGGGGCTCAGGAGTTTGGCTATTCATCCGCGCTAGGCTATGTTCTCTCATAGCTCAAGCCCAAGTGCAAGCCACCCGGAATTGGGCGCAGTGACCCGTTGTAACGGATTATCTTGAATCGTCAACTTATAAAAAGCCTGCGCAGACCGTAAGGAAACAATTAGGAGTGTCAAACTTGCCGACGTTGCCTGCTATCATGTATCGAATCTCGAACATCTACGGTGTGCTTCCTTGAGGACGATTGACCTAAGTCCAGACTCGTACTGATGCTGGAACAGTTCTCGCCGCGTTGGGCACCATCGGTGGTGCTCTCTTCGGCTTCGATGTGAGGTAAGAGATCGTTTTTAATTTTCATTCATTAATGCACAATATCAAGAATACTCACCTTCTCGAATAGCTCAATGAGTGCTTGGATAGGTGTCGATACCTATACCGAGTTCTTTAACAACCCGGACTCCAACCTTCAAGGAGGTGTATGGTTATATACCCGGCTCCTTAAATAAAAAGTACATCGACTGATATTGAGACTCCGTCTTCGAAATATAGATTACTGCTTCCATGTCTGCCGGTTCCTTCGCCGGGTCTATCGCAGCAGGCTGGCTCTCCGATATCCTCGGCCGTCGCGGTGCCCTGATGATCGCATCTTTAGTCTGGATTGTGGGAGCAATGGTTCAGTGCAGCGCTCAAAACGTTACACATCTGGTCGCGGGTCGTGTTGTCAGCGGCCTTGCTGTGGGTGTAACCTCGTCACAAACCTGCGTCTATCTTTCGGAATTGGCACCAGCTCGAATTCGCGGTCGGGTCGTGGGTATTCAACAGTGGGCTATAGAATGGGGTATTCTAATAATGTACCTGATTGCATATGGCTGTGCCGTTGGCGTGTCGGGACCCGCTGCGTTCCGAATCTGTTGGGGTATTCAAGCTGTGCCTGGCCTCATCCTGTTCGTTGTGCTATTCTTCTTTCCAGAGTCTCCTCGTTGGCTGGCCGGAAAAGAGCGGTGGGAAGAGGCTCTGGAAACTCTGGCTCTGATCCACGGCAATGGTAACCGGAATGACCCTATTGTGCAAGTTGAGTTTGAAGAGGTGCAGGAGGCAGCTCGCGTAGCTCATCAGGCCAAGGATGTCTCGTTTTTCGCTTTGTTTGGCCCTCGAGTCTGGAAACGAACTATGTGTGGAATGAGTGTCCAGATGTGGCAACAGCTACTTGGCGGTAACGTTGCCATGTATTATGTGGTATACATCTTTGAGATGGCTGGCATGGTAAGGGTCCCTCTTTAATGTTCTGCTCCAATCTTTCTTACTGACAAATGCAGACGGGAAACACTACCCTTTGGTCATCAGCCATTCAATACGTGCTTTTTCTCGTGACGACAGGTGTTATGCTTCCGTACATCGATCGCGTAGGCCGCCGCAAATTACTCCTTATCGGCTCTGTTACGTGCATGGTGATCCATTTCGTTATCGCTGGTGTAATGGCCAGCAAAGGACACGCCGTTTCCAATGTCAATGGCAACTCCAACCTCACCTGGTCGATCAAAGGATCATCTGGCATGGCGGTGATTGCATTCTCATACATCTTCACCTCGGTATACGGATTAACCTGGGTATGATCTCACAAATGGCTCCACATACTTTTTCATGAAATTGTCTAACACAGATACACTAACCATAGGCTCCCACCGCATGGGTCTACGCCTCAGAGGTCTTCCCTCTTAAATACCGAGCCAAGGGCGTTGGGGTCTCTGCATCCGCCAACTGGATCTTCAACTTCGCTCTAGCCTACTTTGTCGCCCCTGCATTCCATAACATCCAGTGGAAGACGTACATTATCTTTGGAGTCTTCTGCTTTGCGATGACTTTCCATGTCTTCTTTACGTACCCAGAAACTGCAGGTCGGTCTCTGGAGGAGATTGACATGGTGTTTGATACGGATGTCAAGCCATGGCGGACGAAAACGATTCACGATAAATTTGGAGAGGAAATTGGCAAGCATAAAGAGACTGGTGCTGTGAAGGAGGGAAGCGAAGCTACCCATGCAGAGGTTGTTTAGGCTGATTACAGATTCAAATGACATGACTGGGGCAGCAGCTAGGACTTGTTCTTGTAGATTGATGGTGGCATTAACGACACGACAGAAATGTTCATGGCACGACAAGGCTAGCCCCCCTCCCTTGAATACAGAATGCTACATTCGGAATTTACAAAATCCCTGTCAAGTCATTATGTATATATACTTCTACATTAACCTTTCTCGCTGATATAGGAAATTCAGCAGTTATCGTTATGATAACTACACATTAGATCCAAAGAATGGCCGTCCCTTAAAATTGTTGAGACTCGAAGGGGTGGTTCCAAAGCTAGGCAACTTTGATGTGACTTTATTTCTCTATGTTACGCAGACGTCTACTTCACACTATAGGCAGGAGGAGAGTATATTTGGTGAAGATCACCAAGGGCAGTATATTAAGCATATCACATGAAGCAAAACATCAGTCTAACGTGGGTATTGGACAGTTTTCAAACCACAAGAATTCCAACATGAATAGAGTCATTACAGAAAATTGTTTCCTAGCACACGCGTAATCGTCACGGAATGACCATATATGGAACCGACGATTTTACTATACTGGAGCGTGCAAAAGCTAGCGACGGGCTTACTTCTCGTCACTCGAGTTTCCGGAGCTATCTTTTTCACCAATGTGTTCATGGTGGTTGTTGGTAGCACGTTTGGAGGGGTTGCTGAGAACACTTGCACGGCGGACAGCCTCATCTTCGATATCGTCAAGAGTGCGAAGCAGTTCACCGTTGGGACCGTACATATGCGGCTCGCTGCGGGCGACCGCGACACAGTCGAAGATGTTGGTTGTCTTGTGGAAGATACGATCCATCTCTTCCAGGGAGCGCATGGTCGTCTCAGGAAAGAAGAAGTAGACCACGGGAACGATGAAGGCGTTACTAAGGGATTAGGTTAGCGATGAGCTCCGCGTGATTGAAATTGGCAGGGAAACTCACATAACGGCAAAGATAATGTAAGTCTTATAGCCTATGTTGGTGAATGCAACGGGGGTGATCATGACGACCATGAAGTTCCAGATCCAGTTCGAAGAAGTGGACAGGGCGTTAGCCGGGGCACGAATCTTCAGAGGCACAATCTCGGCCGGGTAGAGCCAAGTCATACCGAGCCAGCCGATTGCGAAGAAAGTGTTGAAAACGAAGAGGAACACCGTCTGGGCAATACCCGCGCGAGTACCCAGAGCAGTCTTTGGGTTAGCGGCGGAAATGCTATCAGTCACGGCCAACACAACCATAGACAGAGACATGCCGACGGCGCCGAAGATCATCAGAGTGCGACGACCAAACTTCTCAACCGTGAAGACAGCCACCCACGAGGCAGCAAAGTACTCGGTACCGTTGATGGCTGAGATGAGGCGCGACAGAGTTGGGGTCAGGCCGACCTGGCCTTCGAGCAGAGTGGGGATATAATAGGTGATCAAGTTGATACCGGAGATCTGCTGGAACATCTGGTTGACATAGGCCAACATAGTACGGTGGAAGTGGCGGTCTTCGCCCATGGTGAACATGTCGCGGAAAGATCCCTTAGCCATTTCCAAAACGGTCGCCTTGATAGCAGTGAACTCAGTATCGAGGAAGACCTCGTCGGTATCGTCGCCCATCAAGCACGCCAGAACATCGCGGGCCTCCTCCTCGCGACCCTTCAAAATGAGCCAACGGGGCGACTCAGGGAGGAACATAACGAAGGCCAGGATGATAGCAGCGAAGAAGATCTGGAACGCCAACGGGAAACGCCAGGCGACTTCGTTGGGATCGGCGAACATCAACCCAAAATCGATCCAATAGCTAATGGTAATACCGCAGGTAATCATAGCACCTTCAATCATGACCATTTGACCACGACGATGCGACTTGCAGCATTCAGATTGCCAGGTTGGAACGGTCGAAGTGTTGATGCCATTGCCAAAGCCGGTGACAAGACGACCGACGATCAGCTGAGCCAGATCGTACGAGGTACACTGCAGCAGGGCCCCGATAACCATGATAAAAGAGCCGATGAAGATAGCCTTGCGGCGACCGAGCATGTTACCAATCCAGATGGTGGGGATAGAGCCTGCAAAACAACCCAAATTGTACGCGGCGACGGTGATACCTTGGCGGGTCGATTGGGCACTCTTCTCGGCGGCTGACCAGCCTGCCGTGTGGGCGTCGGTAGTGTCGATGGAGGGGAAGTACTTGCGGAATGAGTCCAGCGTCAATAGACCACCGGTGACACCCTGGTCGTATCCGAAAAGTAGGAAATCCATGCCGGCCAAGACGCCGATGGCGATCTGGAGTCTGGTGCCATTGAGGCCCAAAAATTTCTTTGCCATTTTGGGCGGAGTAGTTTACGCGGCGGTTTGATCTGTAAAGTATATATATACTATACCAAGTACGCTGCACTAGATGTTGTTGTAGTCTTCTCCCTACCAGCCTATAGATTGGGTCTGCAGACTTCTGCTTCCATGTGAATGAGCAGAGAACGATAGAGGAAGCCGGGGATCGAAGGAAGAGGGAATAGGAATAATAATCCAGAGAAGTAGAAAAGGAGCCTCGACTCCGATTGCGACGGGGAGGCGGCCAGATTTAAATCTGAAAACGACTTCGGTCATTCGGGGGCCGTGACCTCTTGATTTGGTGTTCAAAGGAGAAAAATAATTATATTCAAGTTTCAACACGCTCAGGACTTCCTCTTCTCAGCGTAGCCGAGCCGCGACTTGACCTTCCCTCTACAGAAAAACTCGTCGGTGATTCGAGAATGCGCCTGTACCTTGGATCCACCGAGTTTCTTTTCTTTGTCCGGAGTCTTCTCCATCTCCAAGTTAGCAGTTCCCCACCTCCACCATCCAGGCCTAGTATCGCTCAATGTCTCTCTTTCTCTAGTTAGCACAGACACTGAATCTTCCATCAACGGCCCTTTTCCTTCCAGTTATGAACAGATTGTCCCATGACTCAAATGACCAATTGCCAAAGCGAACTGATTCTCCTCATCGACTAAATCTCTCAGCACTTTCACAGCCCGTTACGGCCCTCATGGCTTCCACGCAGGGCATCCAAGACTGGTTCTTGGGGCCACGCGAATCCAGCACAGCCCAATAAGATATCAACCTCCAGAAAGGTCAATCGACGTCAGGCTCGGCTTCGCCAGATGGAGTTAGCCCCTACGACGCATCCATCCCCCCAGGTTCGCCCGGTTCGGCAGCCTATCCGCCGATCACTGATCCTGTCCGGATGTGTGGTTGCCCAGGCCAAGTGGGGATCGACCTAAGCCTCTCAGCCTCTTAGCGGGCTGGGCAAAAGCTTTGGTACGCAATCCTCTCTGAGACCGGTTTCTTCCCAGTTCAGGCACGCGTCAACTGGGTCCAATGCTGCCTGCGATCTGGGGATTTTGTGTTTGAAGGCGAAAAAGTGCCTCGACTCTCCACGATTCGCCCCGTTGACTGGATATCGCTTCATGGCATCTTTATTTGGCTACAATCTCAACACAGTAAATCGTATTGTGTACTCCGTACATACATGGTGGAAAGTTAGATCATTATTATTTGCTGCACGGACTCCGCGCAGCCGCAGCCGGGTGCCAGGAAGATCATCATCTTCTTCCGGAAGTACAAAACAACCAGGGTCTTGATAAAAAGACTGGTACGACACTCGCGTAACCCAACAGGTCCAACCAACCCAGCCAAAAGTCCACTTCCCTTCTAAGTCGCGCAATCAACGTGACTAACGACGAATCAGAGAACCAGATACCATGATGCCTGGAATTCTACCATAGCCCAGGACTCTTTTCCCCCGATCATCCGAAATACCGGGAAAGAATCGCAAAACCGATATTAATAAAACCCGCGTCGGCCGCTTGGCGCCCAGCCGCCGGATGCAAGTTCACTGGATAAGCCACTGACCGGGCTGGTAGCCTTGCAGGATTTCCTGTCCTTCTCTTGGGATTTTTCCAGAAGCGCTTTGAGGAACTCTTAGGATTGCTTATGGAGTCTTGGAATTGCTTGAGTATATCTTGATAATTGCTTGGCTAGACGTCCCATGATTCTTGTGTGTGTTTACTTTTGAGTGGTCGGCGAATGTCTGCTTTACTCGCATCAGTCCATGGGATACAACTCGTCATGCAGGATAATGCAGAAACCCGCTTCAAAGGCTCCCCGATCACGGTACTAGGAAATGCACTTCTCATTCACGGCAACATCGATAGAGTGGTTACCATCAACGATAGATTCGAGGGTGGCGGACACAATTAGCCATTTTCCCAGTCTTGATGCGCCTCCATTGTCCTGCTATCGAAAGAATATGGCGATCGTCGATAAGCATCACACCGTGTAGGATCAGCCATGACTGATTTGCTTACTTATACAAGCCTCTCACGAATGACTGATCTTAGAAAGGGATGACTGGAATCACTTTCAATGTCAGTACCGACCGCAATCATCACACTCGTGAAAGGGCCGCGATAGCAACCCCCTCGGCCCACTTGATCCGGACGGCCCAACGACGGCCGATTCTGCCCGCGGACAATAGGCGACTGGCCAATAATCTTTCCGCAGAAGTCCCACAACAGTCCAACAGCCAGTGCAACCCATTCTCTTCTCCGTCTTTCGATCCACCCCATATGTCATGTCACTGCCCCTCTGCTACAAGTCGGTCTCCCCGCGAATGCGACCGAATCCTGGGGGACAGACAGTGCGACCTACCCAAAAAGGCAGTTCCGAGCTGGCACCATCGTCGATTTGGGCCATGCCGGCGCGAAAGAAATGAAAATGACACTCGAGAACGGACGCTTTTCGTACTCGTCTCCCAGTGCTCGCATGGCCTGATGATGCACACCATAGAATGCATCGATAGGTTGTACCCAAGCTAACACCGCCCTCAAATGAGTCTTCCACACCCAGATCCTGTCAAACTTAATCGAAGTACCCAGAGTCTCTAAACCGCCCTCGCACCATGTCCTCCCCTGGTACCCATGCCCTTGAATGCGAATTTAGAACTAGTTTCTCTTGGCCCAGGGCCCGGGAGGCCCTGCACCGTGGTGGGCAGCGGCGCCACGAGGGGCCTCCCGCGCGCCACTGAGGTCATCCAACATGACTCGCCAAACGCTGTCCCGCTCAAGGTTTGATCAGGGCAAGCGGGCAAGCCATGGCGTGCGGATCACAGCAAACTGGCCGCTCGGGATTGGACTTCAGTCCGTAGTGCTAATCCGGCATACGGCCAAATAAACCGGTTCTATATAGAATTATCACTGTAGGGCCGCCAAGGCGAGGAAAATTCCCGGAAAAGGATTGCGCGTGGCTATCTCCGTCGCGTTCAGCCTTTTCTAGCTGATCTAGAATAAGTCTTAGTCCAGCGCTCCATGTGCAAACTGTGTTGATTCTTCAACCCCTGAATCGTAAAACTACAATACATATGGATATACTCAGTGAGGCTGTCCTCGTTGCTTTTGGCGGCTTTGATGGCCGTAAATGTGGCTTACTGATGATCCGTGAGTCCGTATCCCAAAGTCAGGGGCCACACGGCTGTCCAGGCGCCTGGTTCCAGGACGACGTATATGGTAACCTCGTATGCCGCATACGCTGGTAGATCAAGGTGTACCCTTCTGCGATGCGGCATCCCTTAAGAAGTAACCTATCACAAAGTTTGTTTTATTCGAGGTGACTGGCATCGCAGGGGATGCCCCTTTAAGCTGCTTTATATAGTTGCGCCCGGCCATACCGATCTGCAAGCCATCAATGAGATCCTCCCTTGCTTCATCCTTGACGCCTACTGGGCGCCTTGTATGAATTGATAACCAACAACAAGATTGGGTTTCTGTTTTGGATCATGATGGCAAGTGGATTGACGACAGGGCAGTGTCGATGAATCCCAGAAACTTTGTCGTACATGCAGGCCCCCACCAACTGTATGTTTCAAGATTGGAAATAATTCTGCAGCGCTTCTAGAATCATGAACCTCATAATCCCATCACTATGAAGCAGGGATGGCCTTGACCGACTTCTCGAATTTTCGAAATCAAGAACTAATGCATATGTAAATCCAACGAGGGTCACAGCTCATTTCTTGCAGTGTTGAGTCACCTTTCATGAGGCGAAGATGGGTCAACTACCCTCCATAAGGAGTAGCCCTCAGATATATATCACAGACCTTATGTGGCGGTATCCTCAACGACCCCATTCAACTTGTACGTGGGCCAGACTCTCTCATTGAACATTCTCTACCGACTCATTTGCCCAAATCTAAATAGAAAATGGCTAACTCCTTTTGCCACTCCCTCATTTCAGTAAGCGCTTTCCTGGGCTTGAGTCCCCCCGCTCTCAGCAATGATGTCAGAAAGATCAAGCGCGAGATCAGAGCTCATGATCCGGGAAATTCCCTAAGTCACATTCCTCGGTAATCTTCCTCGGTAATCTTGAATCCAGACTTCTGGAACCCCTTTATGATCCAATATTTGCTCTCTAGATACATTCTGTACTTATGGCTTGCGGGCTCCACGCCCTGTGACCTGCTTGATTTTTGTGCGCGCACCCTAATGTTCAGATCTGAAGTTGTTTCTCTGTCTTTTGATTTAATATCGTAGGGGTCGGACCCGCTACTTTGTACATTTACATCCTACGGTGAAAGTCGATTATTCAAATCAATTTTCTCCACTTTCTGATATGCCTCTTTAGCATTGAGATCTATTACTAGTCTCGGCAACTAACCGCCTCCCGTCATGTGGTACTAGAGACAGCATAAAAGTCGTGTTGGTAGTACGAAGGTGATACATTTAGTTTCTGTGTAGAATCACCATCTTTAGAGTTGGCAGATACTTTAAAGTCAGGCTAACGAGAAGAATTAGGATCTGAATATTTTCCACAGTCGTGCAAGAGCAAAGACAGTCAAAGTAAGTGTATTCAAGAGGACGGCCATTGCCCCCATCGCGTGAGGTGAAGTTAGGTCTTTTAACTTCCACACTTCGCTATGTATCTTCAATTTCCATGATAAATGATGCAATCATTGGCCGTTTAAATTTTTCTTCAAATCCGAAGCCGCATTAGATAAATCCCCGTCTGTGACGTGAATAGACGCTAATCCCATGAATTTTCGTGGAGCAAAGAGTGTACTCTGTGGAATGTAGGGAGACGCGTACATTATACCTACTAAGGCCCCCAAATTCGCCGTGTCGCTACATCACCCAAGATTGTCTATTAGCTTTCCGTGTTACAAAATTGCTGAACTAGATGGTATTTCTTGAAAGCCAAAATTCTCTGTCAAATTTCGCGAGTTTTTCAAATGTGTCTATAGTGGGGGTCACGTTGCGATGAGAATCAGTGCATACCGAAGAAGCGCGAAGGAATGTATGGCATCAAGGTCGGACATTTGCACGTACAATGACCAATAATACTAACCCCTTGCTTGACATAATGGGGTTACAGCTAGTTTTAATGTTGCAATTGTACAAAACCAGCTCTGAAGCTCTCCTAACCTGTCAAAGCTCTCCCTCACTGAAACCTCGCTTGTTCCGAATGGTCCCAAGTACTTGACATCCAGAGATTTTCAAGGTCAATGAACGGACTGAGATAGAATTCTGTCAAGTTGATGGCAGAAGGCTCAGTAATGCGAGCCAGTCAGGATGACGAATTCATTGACAGTCGAGACGATATCCCTCTCAAAAAATCCCCGAATGATGGTGACTTTGGCGAGGAGAGTCAAGAATATCCCTCAAAACTACAACTGATACCGATACTGGTTGGCCTATGTCTTCAGTCCATTTGTATTGCATTAGTACGTAATCCGATCTTTCAGTCCTATACCATTCCCATGCTAACTACCGCGGCTGACTGAAGGACAACACAATCCTATCGACCGCAGTTCCAAAAATCACAGAGCAGTTCAACTCCCTGGAAGACATTTCCTGGTATGCAAGCGCATATCTTCTCACAACATGCACAGTCACTCTCCCTTTCGGCAGAATATACACCTTCTATTCCACGAAATGGACATACATGATTGCTCTAGCATTATTTGAGATCGGATCTCTGATATGTGCGGTGACACCAACTTCAAAGGGCTTAATACTGGGCAGGGCAATCGCTGGAATTGGATCTGGAGGAATGTCACCGGGTGCCTTGCTCGTGTTGGCCAATAGTGTCCCACTACATCGTCGCGCACTGCATTTTGGGATCATAGGAAGCGCTAGCGGGATCGCAACTATCACTGGGCCGATGTAAGGTTGACTCGGAGTACGGAGTTATAGGATAGAAAGCTGATGAGAATAGGCTAGGCGGACTATTGACTGATCGGGCCAGCTGGCGATGGTGCTTTTGGCTCAACCTACCCCTCGGTGCGATTACCGCACTCTTCATCACAATCTTCTTCAAAGACTCAAGACAACGTCCAAAGGCCGAGCCCGGACGCCTCAACAAGATCAAACAGATGGATCCTCTTGGAATCGCTGCCTTCATTCCGGCTATAATCTCGCTGCTACTGACGCTTCAATGGGGAGGCACCAAATACGACTGGACAAATCCGCGCATAATTGCGCTCTTCATTCTATTTGCAGTATTCGGAACGTCATGGTGCGCTATACAACTCTGGAAGCAAGACGAAGCCACAGTTCCACCTCGTCTACTCAAGGATCGTAATGTGCTAGGCGCCGTAATACATGCCATGTTTCTGGGAGGCTCTTTCTTCGTCTTTGGTTACTACGTAAGTAATGCAGTCTTGTTTGCGACACAGACCCATCCGACTAACACCATATGACAGCTCCCAATATGGTTCCAAGCCATTAAGCAAGTTTCAGCTGCAGAGTCTGGACTCAACAATCTTCCTATGGTTGTAACGATGATCGTGTGCTCTGCATTTGGAGGAATTCTCGTCAATCTTCTCGGTTACTACACACCATTAATGTTCCTTGGGAGCGCTCTTCTCACAGTTGGCTGTGGACTTTGTACAACGTTCCAAGTGCATACGGATCACAGCCTTTGGATTGGATATGAGGTTATCATTGGAGTAGGAGCCGGAGTCGGCTTCCAACAGTGCTACAATGCCCTTCAGACTGTCCTTCCGCTAAAAGACATTCCTATTGGCATCGCTATCATCACATTCTCGCAAAGCTTGAGCGGGGCCCTGTTCATTTCGATTGCACAAAATGTTTTTCAGAACCGCCTGATCCAGAACTTGAACAACTACGCTCCGAGAGTTGACCCCGGACTCATCATCCAAGGAGGTGCAGCAAATCTGGTGGACCGAATTCCATCAAAGCTTCTCCCATCTGTACTTTTCGCATATAATATCGCTGTCACCCAGACCTTTTATGTGTCTGTTGGTACTGCTGCGCTTTCCTTCCTCGGGGCCGGTCTTGTGGAATGGAAATCCATGCGGAAGCCACAAAAATGTGAGAAGATGAAGGATTTATCATGAGATCAAATATTTGTCAGAGGCCTTTGACTCGGCGTTAAGCGATATCTACTGTCAATAGTACTTGTGTAATTATCATATATAGTTGCGTCGAATTGCACATGTGAATGTAGCGGCCGTCAAAGATATACAACTTACCATCGGAACGATAGATCAGATTTGTCGATGCAAAAGTCAATCTCATTGTGTCACAACGAGTCTGAGTTTCTGTGAAGCCCAGCATCTAATGATGTCTTATTTCCGAAGATCCACTGGGTGCATTGTACAACCTAATTCGGAAGGAGGCCAAACGATCGCTGCGAGGGCGCTGTGCGCAGAAAAGCTTATGGCTATATAGAATAACATGGTCACTACGAGGATTTTACTCTCAGGCTCATAGTTACACATTAAATCACTCACCAAAAGCAACCAGCGAATATACTGAAGCTTTACCAAATCTACTTGAACATCTTAGCATTGATGCCACACAATGTTAAAACTCGCTGATTCCAAATATCCAAAGGACGTTTCATTATCTTCGTGATTCATATTCAGACTGCCGATTTCGTCATTGGTCGTCGCAGCACGCTGAGAAGGTTCTTACCGCCGGTGGCCTTATGTTTGAAAGCTTCCTCAATTTCGCCCAGAGATCGGCCTTTCGTCTCGTGCATAAACACTGCACCCACAAGTGAAGTTAAGAGAGAGCAGCCACCGAAGAGGAAATATGCACCAAAGCTACTCTTGGCCAACAAGATAGGGGTCGTCAAAGCAACCAAGAAGTTGAAGAGCCAGTTACTAGAGTGTGCCAAGGTGGTGGCAGACGCCCGGGTTCTTTGTGGCTGGATCTCAGCGCTGTATACCTTGACTGCGACTGCCCAAGTTAAGCTGTAGATGATGGCGAAAATGTAGATGCAAACAATAACGACCCAGCGACCAACGCCGAAGTTTCCGTGGACAGTGTTACCCGCGTAGAGCCCACCAATGAGGAACATTACAGCTCCAAGACCCATGCCTCCGTAAATGATACTATGCCTTCGCCCCCAGCCATCGGCATAAATCAAGCCGGGGATAGTGGCTGCAAAAATCACGAGTGCTGAAATGCCAGATGCGAAAAAGCTCGCCTTCGAGGAAGCAAGTCCAGCTTGTTGAAACAACAACGGAGCATACTAGAATCATCGTTAGTTGATCCAGTTGTAACAGAGTAATCAAAGCAAGTGGAGAAGATTGTCACATACGTATAGCACACCGTCAATTCCACTTAACTGCTGCATACCCATCAAAAAGACAGCAAGGGCTGTACGGGTACGAACATCCCTGGAAAATATGTCGAGAAGTTTATGACCGGTCTTGCCTTTCACAGTTGCAACAGGTGGCACAACTTCTGTCGTCTCTGACTGTAGCTCAACCTTTTCACGCTCAGCTTGGCTCACTTCTAACTTATCCCAAGTCTCAGCGGCCTCTCTATGGCGACCATGTAGTGTCAACCACCGAGGGGACTCAGGTAGAAAAAAGAACGTGCTTGCACAAAGAATCATAGAAAGCGAGGAGAGAAGAATGAATGGGGTTCTCCAGGATAGCGATGACTGGATGTTGGAGGATCCGTAGCAAGTGAAGAAGCCAACAACCAAGCCGAGGGTAATCAGTAGCTGCGGTCCGGTTGTTAAAGGCCCTCTGGTACTTGTTGGAGAGATTTCACAAATCAAAACCACCAGATTACCCAAGAATAGGCCTTCCCCTAGGCCTTCGACCACCCTGCCGGCAATGAACATTCCAAGGCTGACAGCACCGGCTTCGATCGCAGCTCCAACGCCAAAAATAAAGACACCAATACTGATGCCTTTCGGCCGCCCAAGACTATCGGCAAGATAGCCAGCAAAGAAGGACGAAAGCGCCGCAGGGATGAGAATGGACGAAACGATAAGACCATGAATGGTAGCATTCTGACTACCTCCGAAAGACGCCTTGAAGAATTTCATATCGGTAACAGGGCCAATAATTCCAGTATCCATACCAAAAAGAAGTCCATTCATCGAGCACAAAACAGAAGCCCAAATGTATCGTGGCGGCTTCTTCATATGTTCCGGAAGTAGACCCATTGTTGAGAACATGACCCCGGGGCCAAGACTTCAATCCGAAAGCGTCTACTGGAGTAAGAATTGCCTTGAAAATACTTCAAGAAGGCTTTCGAGAATGAATATTGAAAAGATTGATGATATAAACAAGAAATCTGGCACATTGAAAGAAAGACAATCCTCTCCGTGAATGAATAAATTTGTTCACTATTTCGCGAAATTCCCCGTGTTCCCCACGTGCCACCCAAACACTCCCACTGCTCCACCAGATAACGTGAAGCTTTCTCAGTGGCCGTTTGACTGTGGGTATGAAAGAATTTTCATGGCTCAGGTGCGTTCAAGAGCTTTTTTCCCCGCCTTCATCCCGAGACTACACCGCACACCAGGGCGAAAAAATGTCAAAGCCGAGAAAATGGGTCCAAGTTTGGTCCAACCATTCGGGTAAACTCCGCGATCAACTAAATCAGCCTGGAATGCTAGCCGAGTACCCTGTATATTGTATTGTACCAGATTAGCAAAAAGTACAAATAATCGTCCTCACACCTCAGTCGTTGTGGAACTGATTTAAGGCATGACAAGTCTGCAATAGCCCGCTCCTCATTTATTCTCTGGCTTGGATGTGTGTTTGAAAACGGCATGACAACTCCGTGGTTAAACTTCGGGTAAATTCAATGAAAGTGGCGGCGCTTATAACTACCATTTATAGCGCCGTAGAACCCTCACACTTTTACCGTATACGAGCAACAGTAACATATGATCTCTATCTTATCTTCAATAGAAAAGCAAAATCCGCGAGCAGAATTCTTAAATAGAGCCTTGATAATTATCGCCGTATAGCTTTATGTCGTATCCGATCCAGAGCATATACTGTAGCAGAGTTGACATCCAGGAAAAGACAGAGATCAAACAGCACCCTTAAATAACCGGACCATCTCTTAATATAAGTACATATATGTCCATAAATAAGGTGCGAGAGGTATTCACGGAAAAGCTGAAACAGTGAAAGGCGCGACCCAATAGAAGCTCTGCTACTAGACACTCCACCCAGTGGAACCAATCGCCTCGACCCGGATCCCCAATGACTCCATCTTGGGGACATCAATAACGCATCGCCCATCAAACAGCCATTTGGGAGACTGCATTTCAGATGAAATTCGCTTCCAATCCAGCTGCTGTTTCGGGGAGATATCGGTGGTATCAGCACTGGAATCTCCATACCCAGTGCCCGATTGGCAGTCCGGGCAGTTGGCAGCACAGTCCGGCTCGTCGTTGAAATGCGGCTTGGTCGACTCATTGATCTCGGAGTCAGCCGACTTTGTTTCCACGAGCGATTTGACACGGGTGAATGCACCACTTGAGGGGATAGGGAAGTTCATGAATTCGTCGAATTCGGTGACGAGGAGAATGGCATTTGAGCCAGCGCAAGCCGCGTATGCATCGGAGTACACCTTGATGGATCCACCGTCATCGCTCAGTAGAGGAGGTCCATAATCTTGCAACGAACGAATCTCATTTTCGATCACCACTGGGTTACAGCAGGGATCAAAGATTGCAATTTCACGGGGATTTTCATCCAGCAAAGTCTTAATTATCTCGAGCGCCGGTGCTTCCCGTGTGTCTGAGGTGTTTTTCTTAAAGGCGTATCCCAATACGCAAATCTTTTTCGTAACAAGAGTACTGTTCAAGCGCTTGATGACTCGTGACGTGAATCGGTTTCGCTGATACTCGTTCATCTCGACAACCTGGCGCCAGTATTCGCCAACTTCCTGCAGACCGAGGGACTCGGCAAGATATACCAGGCTGAGAACATCCTTCTTAAAGCACGAGCCACCGAACCCGATACCGGCACGGAGGAACTTGGATCCCAGACGGGTATCAGCGCCGATTGCAGCCGACACTTCATTGATTTCAGCGCCTGTCACCTCACAAAGTGCCGAGATACTGTTGATACTGCTCAGGCGCTGAGCAAGCATAGAGTTGGCGACCAGTTTAGCCAGCTCTGAGGACCATACATTGGTTGTGATGATTTTTGAACGTTCAATCCACGATGCGTATACCTTTGCAAGGGCTTCTGCGGCAGAGAGCCCTTCAGGTGTGGTCGCAGACCCGATGATAATTCGGTCTGGACGTAGAAGATCCTGAACGGCAGTTCCAGCAGCCAAAAATTCGGGGTTCGAAAGGATCTCAAAATGAGCACCTGGTCTTTGAATACGAATCTGTGTAAATTGACATATTAATGCAAGTTCGAGAAGATCGGTGGACAGAATAGAACAGAAACGAAGACAAGGTCTTGTTTTGAGATGGATCAATGGATCATACCATTTCTTGGATCATCTGCGCCGTTCTGCAGGGAACTGTGCTCTTCTCAACAATGATGGTGCCATCCCTTGCATGACGCACAACCTCTCCAGCCACAGCCTCGAACGATGTCATGTCGGTAGCACAACCTTTACCAGTACCACGCATCTTTGTGGGTGTATTGACAGCAATCAAGACGGCATCTGCTTCACTGATACACCGAGACACATCGGTTGAGAAGAAAAGATTGGGCTCTCGAACATCCTCCATCGTACTCATGTGTTGTAGCTGGGAGGCATCCCCCAACCCGTCTCGTGCGGTGCGTACAACCTCAGCAAGACCCGGCTCATAGATTGGAAGATGTCTCGAGTTCCATCTCCGGATACGACGGTCATCGCGATCAACCACGGTCACCTTTATCAATGGATTCTTGAGCGCCAGGACGGCAGCCGTTGGACCGCCGACATATCCAGCTCCTACACAGCAAATGCTGCGGATAGACTTCGGTTGGACTTTGCTCTCCGTATCGCTGTCGGCTTCTGAGGTGGTCTTAGTTCCGTTGGATGCGCCATCATGCTCGTCTGTGCTGTCTTCTAGTGCAGGACTACACGATGCACTTCGATCAGGCGTTGTCGGTAACGTCGAGGCATCCGCCGAAGCATATGTCTCAGAACCGAATGCTGACTCTGCTTTGGAGAGCATAGCTGTGAGAGCAAAGTAGAGCTCGGCAACAAGCCTTCGTAATACTGTGAGAATAAAAACAGTGGAAGAGAAATATGGGCCTTCAGGGAAATTGGCAAGAATCCAGTTTCACCCGGGGAAAGAAAAAACTAGCCTTCCTGTTCTAGATACGTTGCGGAGGGCAAGAAAGACCTGCTTACCAGCAAAGTTCGGCTGGATCGCCTTGGAAAAGCACGTAAAAGCACCTGGCCAGTGGGGACCGAGATGCTATCAATCATAGCATTGATCATAGCAACCAAGCCACGGAGGGCAATTTGTCCAATAGGGATGCTATAGTACCTGATAGTGCACCGGAGGCATGAATATGTATGTTATTACTCGTGTGTACTGTATACAATCTTCAGTAGATACCACTAAATACCAATACGACACTGTATTTTGAATGCAAAGAAACAATACATATCGCTCTCGCAACAAGCGAACCGAGTAATCATCGTGAACGCTCGGCTCTAGTCCATCTCAACCATGATAAGGACCTATTAACCCTAGCCAGAGGACATGATTTATTGAGGTGCAGTGCTTGCAGAAAGGCATACGCGTCCTTCTTTTGACAGTTGAATCTTAGCGTAAAGCAACAGAGCGCCATCCATGTCAGCTATTCCGTGACCACTTCTGTAAAGCCATGCGTTGCAGCCGCTTTGCTGCACGCTGTGGACACAAACCCAATGTAGAACCAGTGACAACCCGAAGGAGTAGCGATCATCCCAAGAACCTTCTTTCGTACACGTATTGTTACAGTACCATCGATACGTACGGATTACTGTTCTCGACAAATGGGTTTTGTTGAGGGATTCTTGTTTTCGGGTCTTGTTTCTGTGTACTCTGTACTTTAATTTAATTTTCAGCCCGGATCCTAGCCGGTGTTGATCTGTTTACTTGGTTCTCCGAGTTGTAGATCGCGTTCATGAACGAGAACCCTGTATCATGGATCAACACAATCATTTGCCCCCTCTCTTATACTACCATGAATCAACTGAGCCTTCACATCAACAGCACACCTTTCTCTAATTTGGTCCATATTAGACGTGAATTGTCTCAAAAGCTAGGTGCCTCAAAAACCAGGGCCCGCGGCCAGCGCAGTGACCCATCTTAGTACCAACTTCATGGGGGCCAATCGGTCTGTCAAGCTTGGCGTCATGGAAAGTGGAGTGCTGATTGACCTAGCCCCCTCTAGCCAAGAGCTGATGCAATATTCCATGCAGTATCCGTACGACCCAGACAAGCAACGGAGAAAGCCAGAAAAAAGCGACGTTTACGGGGACAGGGCTGAATACGGGCGGCGCTGATGCGAGGGCGGGATGCACGACAGCACAGTTAAGTGGACAAGTTCCGCTGCTTGGCCTCTTGGAAGGCCTGATACGCCATCGCCCACGATGTGATAATCGTGAAAATTATTGGCGGAGACTCAAAGTTCAAGAGATCTACTGTACCGAGTCTTCCGTGGACTGCGTACTTTTGTACCCAATTTTAGCTGGCTTAACGAGGAAAGTGGGCATCTCGGTCGGTCCTTGGAAGGTAATTCGATCAGCCCTACCCCATAAACCAATTCCCGTTATTTGTATGACGACTTTATGTGAGTGGAATGAGGGGCTGTGTCACACTTCGGAACAGGTTCCCTGGTCCGATTATGCCGCACTAGCCCATTATGGACCAAGTGTTCATAAAGTAAGAGATAAATACGGAGCACAAGATTTGGCCACTACATCATGACTTTAGGACCCTGAGGTGGATCTATAATTACTCCACTTCCTCAGTGACCCGATTCACCCGACATTACTCCGTACTATCTGCCGGAAACCATAACGGACAAACACGCAAAGATACTGTAGATGTTGGGTTGCATCCTGTCATAGATTTAATTTTCGCTTGGTCCTCTGTATAGCGAAAGAAAATAGGGCTTCTACTTTATTTTCTCTCACAAATCTCAGGAGTGTCTCAGCCACCAGGGTCTACCAGAAAGGGTCCGAGTGCAGCGTGACTCGCGTGGTTCAAAGGGCTATTTGCCAAGAATAGCATTATGATGAAGGGGTCCTGGCCAGCCTCTTAGCAGCAGACTTGACTGTACTCAATATCGGTTCATGTCCGCTCGTTTGCTCGCCTAGATAAGGAGTGGGCTGTGCTCCGGCAGGGTCGGAAGCCCTCCTCTCCACCCAACACGCTGTCTAAATGTAGCAGCCTAACAGTGATCTTGGCATCGTATACTAAAACGAGTGAAGCGCTGTTGGAATTCTGAGACGGCCAAGGAAGCAATCTACGGTACATATGTAGGTTTTCAGGTGTGTTTATTGTTACAGTAATACGAGATACAACGCGAAGTGTTTCAGCGGGCGGCGGACATTTGGGCTACAAGGGTATTATTTTACTGGTCGGATTTGTTGGGCTTACATCCGAATTGATTGTAACGTTTTTAGTGACCAGTACAGTGAGCCTGAACTTATCTTAGCCAGAGGAAAGCCGAACAAATGAAAGAAGGAAATTAGGAGATTTTATTTATGTTCTATATGCATTTATCTGTCCTTCATGACGATGAAGCCGCGCGTCTCTTCGAATCTAGCTCAACCTTGCTAAAGAATGCACACCCAGCAAGAACAAGGGAAATGCCTATCCCGTTAAGCAGATTAATAGCGAAATCCCCAAATGCAATGATTCCCAGTGCGAGCGTGATGGCCTGTTTCAGGTTTCCAGCCACCGTAATCGTAAGCGCTCCAGCGATCTTGTTCGTTTGGAATGAAGCGATGTTCAGCACGAGAGCAAGCAGCCCATTTCCGAGAATAAACACAACGGTGCACATGGTACCGAGGAATGATCCATTGGCCGTGCGCTCAGACATGGCTTGCGAAAGAACAGGCAATTCGCCTGCCACGACACCAAATATAAGTGATTGGACTGCAGCGAGAGGTGCCATTCGGAACAGAAGCTCCATCGAGGGGAGTGCTAGGGAGCCAGTCAGGAGGCGATTTGTGGTTACCGTCTTGAGGAGAACAAGAAACCCCAGCGTCAGTAAACAGTGGAAATTAGAGGGACGGGTGTACAAAATACCTTTACCGCTGCCAAAACCACACCCGAGATCGTGACGATCAAACCAAGTAAGGAGTAATGATAATCTCCCGCAGTGCACATTCCAGCGCCCACCACGATCGGGATCAACGATAAGTATGTGCCGGTGGCATATGTTCGCGAGAACCACAATCGATAGAGCAAAACGGTAAATAGAGGAACGGTATTGCGAATGATCTGGAAGAAGGCCAGCGAAACAAGAGACCTACCATGAAAGGTAGCTATTAGTACAGAACGTGGTGAAGGTTTGGAGTAGTGAAGTTTTCAAATAGGCACTTACAATGACAAGTTTGACATGGCGATGTTGGTCGTGAATAAAACGGAGAATGCTACCAGTATCAAATGCTCCTTGCGACCCAACTTGGACAATTTGAAGTATCCCATCTTCAACATAACGAATGTGCCGATAGCGCTAAAAGATGTGTGAAGGCACGTCAGGAGCCATGGTGCTTTGAACTATTGAGTATGATAGTTAGTCGTTGCGACGGTGCCCCCCCCATTCATGATAGCCCTTACCGATCCAAGAATTAACTTGTTGTATATCGTCAGCGCCATGCTGAAGCCGAAGTAACAGGTCAGCCATATAAATTTGACCGTTGTCGGCGTTTGATATTCTGGTGCTGCGTTGGGGTTGGTGATCTGTTCGTCTTTTCGGTTGGCTTCAAGGTCGTCGAGATCGGTGTTGGAGGCAGAATCGTCCTCGCTAGAAAGCAAAGCCAGCTCTGCCTCCTGTTGTTCTTCGCTTTTTTGGAACATCTTGAATAATACGAAGATGTTCCGTTGGAGAGAACTCTAGATGTTGGTATAATGGCCAGCCAATTTCACTACTTCCAAGGACTGGTGGCACGCGGGCAAAAAGATTGTCGTGTGGGAGGAAACCAGATAAGCAAAAGGAAGATTGTCAACGCAGTTTCACAGACCGCCACCAAAGCCTGATCTAATCCCATTTGCACGGGGGACGATCCATGCAGAGTGTGCATTTATGCATTGCTGCTGTGATGAGAAACTTGATTCACGGCTAAACGAGTCCTCGAAATACTGTACATATTACATCGGCGGGGCGTTTTTCGTCGTATCTATACCGAGTATCTCGCCGTACAAGGTATCTCGTTTTCGCATACAACGCCTAGTCCGACTTGACCCACTATTAAATACCCAAATGTAAGACACGGCCGTAAGGCGAGCCCAATCGACGTGGCTGCGCATTGAGTGTCAGCAGTGGAATATCTAATGCCAAGCACGCCATCATCCACATTATTGGACAGACCCACGAGAGACCCTTAACAGAGGCGGCTCGTTCCATGCCACGGGACCCCGTGGCGCCTGGGGGTGTGAGGTCTAGCTCACTTTATTTGTCCATCCCCGTTCACGAAAGAGGGCAGCGTTGGACAGCTTCGAAGGCATACGTAGACAATCCGCCACAGAGCGCCATCATCTGTACAGCGGCATCTCCCGCTTAATAGTTTGATAACCGGAAGGCTGCGGTCCAAGCGATTGATAGCATGAATCACCAGCCCGGTGGATCTGGGCTAATGGGACTAATAGGCTTGGCCCGAGGGTCCGATTACCGACCACTCCTTGGCTTTTCCTGATTGAAGATGCATGAGCTCAAACCTGAATTACACAAGCCTTTAACTCTCTTCACAAATCTAGCCATACTCGGAACCCGATCATAACTGGTGCTGCCTTCTCACCCTCCTGGCTCTCAGCCCTTCTCGGGGCTCTTTCGTGGGGTAGAAAACGACATCATGCAATTATCGAATTTGTCCAATCGCTTGAGTCGTTGGCAATGGGCGGGCTTAGGCAGCTTGTTCGTAGTCGCATTCATCACACTCATTCAATACCCAGCATCAACGTCTGGCAACGACCCGATTTCAGTATCGAAGAATGCCGACTCATCAAAAACATCGGGGCCTGTCTCTAAATTCCATCTACTGCTCCCAGCTAGCGGCTATCACTTTCGACTATGTCGCGCTCTCGCCTCTGCGACAGCTTTAGGATACCCAGTTTCCGTGTTGAATGGCTGGATGAAAGAAGGCGATTTGGACGCGTCCAAGACACATTTGGCTAAAGTTCGCACTGTCATGCAATACCTGGACAGTTTGCCCCCTTCTTCCGACGATGATCTCGTTCTTATGATCGACGGCTACGACGTCGTATTCCAAATACCGCCCGATACTCTCATCGAGCGTTATTTCGATATTACCAAAGCCGCCAGTGCCAGGCTTGCCTTGCGAGCTAGAGCTAACTCTACGGAACCACTCACAGGAGACAATGCGCCTCGACAAACGATCTTGTTCGGGCCCGAAAAGGTATGTTACCCTGTTGACTGGAGTCGTGTTGGTTGCTGGGCGATCCCGCAGGACATTGGTATTCCTCGGGGAGCTTTTGGACCGGACGATGGGCAACTACACCACAATTTGCCTCGATGGCTCAACTCGGGAACCATCATGGGTCCAGCGAGAGACATGCGACTGATGTTCGCCGCCACTCTCGACCGAATCGCCCAGCACTATGACCCCAACCACGAGTTCAGTGACTCTGACCAGATGTACATGAGCGATGTCTGGGGTGTCCAAGAGTATGCCCGCTCTATGAATGAACTTCGAGAGTATTTCCACGGCGATGTCGACCTGAACGTCGCATTCCCGACATACGACGTGGAAAGAGTCCTACCCAACGTGACAGCGGATCAAAAAACCGAATATCATATTGGCGTCGACTACCAATCGGGGCTCTTCCAAACCCGAGCCGGGTCCGATCATGTTCTTGAAATGCTCACGTACAACGAGAAAACGGAAGTAAACGGGACCACAAATTTTGCGACCGTCATCCAGAATATTCCCGAGACTCCCAATTTCACCCCCTACAAGATATACCTCCCATCCAACCTCGCATCCTCGATCACTCGCATTCTCCGATTGGTTGAACCCGCCGTCGGCGCTATACCGAACGTCACGGAGCTCCGTCTCGAAACAAACGTCGTGACTAAGAACATCTACGGACTCTTCCACTCCACCGGAGGCAAGGACTATATTGACAAATTGTGGACTCAGTTATGGTTCTTTCCTTATGTCCGGCCTCTTTTCGAAGCGATGGTTCCCGCGCTACAGGCTGGGCGGGTCATTACGGTCGCAGATGGCCGCACATGGGTCCCATCTCATGCTCTGCCCACGAATTCCTCAGTAACCGAGGGCGTCAACGCTACTGGGGCTTGGGCCGACATCGATGGTGGGTGGCTGAGCTGGCAGGAGCTTTGTGGGGCATTTGAAGCGGAGGTGTTCGATGGATATACACCACCAATGGACGATTGACCAAATACTTTGTCTAAGTCCCCATTGCATATCTTCCTCGTCGATTCATATGTATATTATTGGTCTGGGAGCGTCATAAAAGACAATACCATACTACACAACAACTCGCATGGCTTTGTGTTGGTGATATCAGCACCGCTCGGCAAGGACAACCATCACAGGCTCTGTTTTTTTCCAAGATGTAGAGCTTCACAAGCCTTCCAACGAAATTTTTTCGGGACCCGATCAACTTGTTTTCCCGGCTTATCACGCTGCGTCATGGGTCTGTTGGAGATTCTAGATCACATGAATATTGCATCTCGGTGAGTCAAATTATACAGAAGCCTATATCCTGCGTGCCGGTCCGGTATATCCCCTTGGCCTCGGAGAGAATCGGAGAAGAACTAAGCTCAACAAGGCACTTAGTTATGATAATTAAGCTTCAGCGTTGTTGTTTTGGGAAGGTTTGTTGAGGTGGTTATCGCGCTTACAGTGTATAATCCAGAACAACGGGAAGGATCCCGATGCGATCCTCAACATAACATAATAGCATCGCCTGCAGTCTAGGTTCTGCGATGTAGGAACGAGAACCACCCCGAAGCGAGTGACTCATGGAATTATTATGAATTCAAGTCAAGCATGAGCAAGAAATAAGAATGAGCCTATTTGCCTAGGATTCTTGACCAGAAACTATAGATTTCAGCACGGCAGACATCGACTTGTTTACCCGAACAATCACAGCCTTTTACATTGCCGGCCTGTGAACAAATAATCTCAAGATGAATCCACTTATATTCAATCATATGCGGTCCCTTCACTATGCTGTTCTCCGTAACCGCCATGTCATCTCCCCAAAAATTGTCATGGTCGCGAATCGACAACATACTACAAACACAAAACCCGCTAACAAGTCCTCCTGGACCCATCCTGTGTGAGCATATGATTGCTCAAGATATTTTAACTTATGCATCGACCTCGCTGACATTCGTTTTCGCATTGCTCTAGATATACCCGAGAAGAGATCCTCGCTGTCCGAACAGCCCATCACAAAGCACACACCTGGCAAGATAAAGTAGCACTTGGCTCCGTTCGGTTCCTTCGATGGGGCATGGACCTTGTCACGGGCTATAAACCACAGTCTTTGGTAGGTTCAAGCGTGCAGGGATACGCCATGTCGGAGGAGAAGTGGATCACACGATTCATCTTTCTAGAAAGTGTAGCCGGTGTCCCTGGAATGGCAGCTGGCATGCTCCGTCACCTCAAAAGCCTACGACAGATGAAGAGAGATCACGGATGGTGAGTGCCACCGTTTGGACTTCAATATCACCTTTACTAACACACTTGGATCAGGATTGAAACCCTTCTTGAGGAAGCCTACAACGAGCGCATGCACCTTCTCACATTCCTCAAACTCGCAGAGCCAGGCCCTCTAATGCGACTCATGGTCCTCGGTGCACAATGCGTTTTCTTCAGTGGCTTCTCTGCTGCCTACATGATCTCCCCACAAATCTGCCATCGATTCGTCGGATACCTCGAAGAGGAAGCTGTGATAACCTACTCAAAAGCAATCACCGATCTTGACAACGGCCACCTCCCACGATGGGAGAATCTGCAAGCTCCACAGATGGCAATCAAGTACTGGCAAATGCCCGAGGGTCAGCGCTGTATTCAATCGCTGCTGTTGTATGTACGCGCGGATGAAGCAAAACATCGAGAGGTCAATCATACACTTGGGAATCTGAATCAGACGGATCCTAATCCGTTCTCGGCCAAGTTCAAGGTCCAGGATGCGCTGTCTCAGCTGCAAGTTGGCGGTACAAAGAAGGAGGCCTAGATGAGCATGACTTGTTTGAACGCATTGCTCTTCTTGTTCCTGTGCTTTTCTAGAATTATAATGATGGGAAATTTTCCCCCGACATTTAGATTGAATAATGATGCAAGGCATAGTTCATGAACCAGGCGGCTTTGACTTCTAATATTTCTATTCGGCACCACAATTGAATTTCACTAGCCATCAGTAATATAGATGCACTATGTGTAATTAATCGGTCTGGTGACAGGTATCTTCTGGGTCTAATGGAAATGTTACTTTCGAATGAATACCGGTCGCTCGACCAATGGAAATTAGTTTCAAGACCAATAGAAAAGCTCTTCAAAATTCCAACAATCAAAGTTCTATTAACCTAATACAGCCTAACTGATGGCGTATTGGCCATGTAGTTGCCTCGACGGAAGCAAAAGTCAAGCTCCGCCCATGTAGAATGTAATGCACAAAGAAAATTCGACCTGTATAGGCCGTACATAAGATGGTGGAAATCAGTCTGTGCTTCAAACGTGACAAAGCAGACCGCTGTTCAGATCATAATTCCACATATCGCTGCCCACACCACCCCAAACAAAGAGACTACCAGTGGGGTCGAACTTGTGTTTGATATCTAGAAGGCGTTCATAGTTGGCGCCATAAAAGTCTTGCTTCCAGGTGCTACTGAAAACATTCCCCTCGTTCATGTAACTGCCACTCTCAGGCGCCCAGTTTCTCCAAACAGGCTCCTTGTTGTTTTCAACCCAATTCACCTGCTCTGCAAGTGCTCTCCCCGGGTCTTCTGTTATATTGAACGATGCTCCATAAGACATGAGGTGCACGTATGCACTGCGCCAAGCTGGCAACACACTCCCACGCATGTTTTCTGGGGTACTAGCGGGCCCACGGCCAGCTTGCAGACCGAATAGGAGCATTGAGCCTGTGGATTCTGACACTGATGTCTGCTGTAGATAGTCCATTAAGTCTGTTTTCGGGAGGTCCGAGAGCTCTTTTCGTCCCAGCAGTCGGCTGGTAGTCAAACTGCTCACTCCGCAGGAACTGCTGGCCAAGAAATTGGGTTTGATGTATGACCAGTAGCCAGATGTGGATGGGTCTGTGGTGATAAATTGAAGACCCTCACTTTGTGACGTGTTCGCAATCACAGACTTCAGTCGACTGACCGTGGCGTTCATCACTCCAGTAGTTGTGTTATATGCGACAAGGTTGATTGATACTGCAACGCCAGCCTCGAGCGTACCCCCGGTAACAATTGAAGCAGAACTCCCAGTGCCGGCAATCACGGTTCCCAGGTACCCAGAGTCCATCACATCAGGGATCAGGCTTACAGCTTCGGCAAACGCTTTCCAAGATCCATCTGTTGTATTGGAGTCCCCGCCAGGATAAAAGGACAAGCCCCCAGTCACCACATTCCTCGGGGCAGGGTATGTTTTCAAGACAAATTCGGTGACAACACCAAATTGGCCTCCACCAGCGCCACAAATCGCCCAGAAAATATCCGAATTCTGGACACTGTTGGCTACAAGACGTTTTCCATCGACGGTGATCACGGTAACTTGGTAAACCTGATCTGAAGCAAGACCGTAATGGCTCGAGAGAAGACCATGGCCACCATTTTGAATCAGACCCCCAAGCCCGACTGTTGCGTCCTCGCCACCAACAACAGTCCGATTGAATTGGTGCATGTGGTTGTAAACAGTTCCCCAATTATTGCCACTGCCGCAAATTGCCACGCTGTCGGTCCCACTGCCATCGGGTAATTTCCATGCAGGTCGATACTCGAAATGGTCGAAATTGTGAGTCCAGATCGAAAGTGAAAAAGCACCCGTAGATCTAGATGACAAGAATTAGCGACAGAATCAATGAATGGACTGTTTTGCGTTCATTACCTGCCACTCAGGTCATGTCCAGTTCCCTTGATCACAATTCGAATGTTTCTGTCCGTAGCCCATTTCATTGCCGTGGCCACTTGAGGCTCGGTGGTCGCATTCACAATATACTGCGGGAGGGCGCCAATACTGCATCCCCTTCCTTTCATATAGCCAGAAACTCCAGGGGGCAAACAGGAATTGTTAGTCCAGACCGAGTAGTCCACACTCTCTGGCCATTCCGCATGGTGAGCAGCATAGGACCAATGCTGGGTCACATCGGAACAATTTGTGTGAGCGTTGAAAGGGTTTCCAGCGTAGCACGATGAGGCGGCAGGGGAAGTCCTAATCAAGCCTCCGTTTATCGATTGGTTGAGGGCCTTCCACTCTGAAGAAGCGGGCCAGTTAAAATCTTGAGGTGTAGACTTGCAGCTATTTTGGGCTGACACGCTACTAAAAAAACCAAGCAGGAATAAGAACGAATGAAGTAGCCGCATGATTATGAGCGTTTCGAGGTCACTAGGGAAGAAAGATATTTGATGAGAAGATCGAATTTGTTCCTGTCTTTATAAACCAAGTTTTCGCAAGTCGGACAATGAAGTCTTATAATCCACCGACGAAAGCCAGTTCCAAGTTTCAGGTCTTGACAATAGGGCTGCTCGTCACTTCCCATATCAACGGGCCTATCAAGTACTTTGAATGATACAGCTCCCCTGAGTCGAGATCTAGGCAGAAAAGATCTTCATGGCTCCCGACTATATCTGGCCCCAAAAAATGCCGATCTGGCTGCATAGTAAACTCGTACTTTTTAATTTTAACGAGATACATAAGAGATCCATCGGAGGTGGAGATGCGGTATAATTAGTATTAACTGAATGCTCCACATCTAGGACTAATCGGGCAATTCTGGCGTATTCGTTCAAAGGACCATATCCGGCCTGCCGCGTTCTTGGCTGCGAAACCTAAAGGGTCGAAAAGTGGAGGCAGCAATATTAAGAATCTTGAAATCATAGAAATCACTTCTTACTTTTCTGAAAAAAAATCTTCGACATCATTGACTTTGTATCTCAATGTCGCTCACAATATGTCTTGACAACCAGCCACCCCAGTATTCCGGCAATGAAACTCTTCGTGGCCAGGTGACGCTTCAATGTTTCAAACCAATCGAAATTAATGAGATCAGGTTGACCTTCTCAGGGGTCTCAGAAGCTAAGGTTCAGAAAGTCAAAGGATCGGTAGCACCTGCGGGGAGTTATCGCAGTAAATGCGTTCTTTTCGAAAAGGATCGGGTCTTGGCTCATCCAGACGGCCAATTTTTCAATACCGGAACATATTCTTGGCCATTTGAGCTGCAGTTCCCATCACACGCTGAGTCTCAAACCAAGGCTTCGAATTGGTCAGAAGCGACTTCATTCCGAAGTGACGAAAACCATCCACTCCCACCCACATTTGCTGCCAAATGCGAGGATGCTCTTCGGAAGCTTGACTGTACCATTGCATATCGAATCCATGCACAGGCTTTTAAACCAGCAGGGTTTATGGGGAAAAGATCACCATATGCATCGGAAGTTCTGCCACTGCAATTCATGCCTCCGTTAGGTAAAGCAGATGTGCTCGATGTCGAGAACCCCGAACGAACATCGCGCCATCAGAAAGAACAGATCTTCCAGCTTCGGAGCATGCTTTTGCTTCAAGAGTATCGAGGTAGAACCCTTGGAATCCAAAAAAGACTTCGCTCTTGGTTTTCACCGGGTCAGTTGCCTCGGTTCAGCTTTAGAGTGTCTTTCTCTTGCCCAACCCGCATGGCTCAATCAACGCCACTCTCTTGCCTTTTGGAAATTACTCCCCTCATGGAAGGTTCTTCCGTGTCCTTGCCTCCAGTCATTCTTATGCAGTCACTACACATCACTTTGGTGAGTAGAACCTCTGCACGAAGTGGACCTTCCTTGATGGGATCGCTGTTTGGCGAGGTGGATGAGCGCATAGAAATTCTATCTAGAGCGTCACTCGATATGGCGGTCTCTGGAATGATTGATTTGACTGAAAAATTTGGATCTCTTATATTCCGACCTACCGATGTGTCTTTTGGTACATTCAACGTTGCCAGGACCTATCGGTTATGCGTTGTAGGTCAGTTCGAATGTGTTGGCAAGGTATTTGATTTCCAAGTCCCTGATTTGCCGGTGAATATTACCCCTGGGAATAATGGTGCAAGAATTCAAGATTCGGAACGTATTTTGAATGATGAGATTCTTCCATCATACACAGCCTTCACACCGGGATCAGAATCCATTGCATACCCAGAGGATACGAAGGGACACAACCAGACCCAAGGATAGCGAAAGCGCCTCTCATATAGAGTGAATACATGTCGCTTAGACTGCTTTCTGAGCGAAAAGAGCGCTCTCTCACGAGATATACTTCCAATTGCCCGGTACATGACTTCAGCGCCGCCTGGGTTCTCTCCTCCCAATTTTCGATCTTCGATGTACATAAAACGTTTTTGATTTTATGTTAGAACAGCATTGTACTTTATCTATAATTATGCACTGTATTTGATACTGACGTAAGACATCATCTCTATCTTTCATTTTGAAGATTGCGAATCATAGTATGAGAAAAAATGAAACAAATTCTCATCGGCCTTTCAGAGCTTATATAGGGGTTGGTGTTGGGTCTCTAAGGGGATTCATTCGGCCCATGGTATTAATTCTAGGAGGTTTCGGCAAAGTGCATCGAATTGGTAAGTACGGCGGCCAATAACTAGAAGCAAGTTGCTCAAAACCCTATTTCAGTAAGATTGTCAACCGCCTTGTTAACCGCCTTTGCCCTAAGGCCTTATTCCTAAGGCCTATATAGCTATCCTAATCAGGCAATATAGGCCGATTCGAAACAACTACATAAATCAAAAGATCTCGCCCCTAGTAATCTCTCTGATAATCTCTCTGCACCTATTACCGGCGTAGGCCTTCGCTCCTATAAGATAAGACCTCGAATCCCTCTCGATTCATATAAGGAGGAGACTATAACCCTAGCGCTTAAGGGGAAATCGGTCTAGGTAATTTATGCCTTTCTCGAAGAGACGTAAGGGGTCCCTAGATAGTTTCCTAGATAGCTTCCTTAACGGTCTCCTATATAGTCTCCTATATAGTCTCCTATATAGTCTTCTAGATGGTCTTCTAGATGGTTTTCTAGACGGTTTCCCAGACGGTTTCCCAGACGGTCCACGTTACCAGGCCTACGCTTGACAGACGTATAGAAAAAACCAGATCTACAGTGGTTGGCCTTAGCTAAATATTCTGCCCGTCTTTCTGCCTAATAGAATGGGTTTTGAGCTACTTGCTTCTATCGTCCGCCGAAGGTAGGGGCGTGGTGAGGATGGTTCCTGCGGCCCGTTTGAGAGATTTACTCACCCAACCACTGCCCACCTCTTGCATCAGATGGCACCGCACATAGCTGGTCAATTGCTGGAAGGAAATTGTATAGGTGGCATTTTGAGATCGTGGTCGCGGAGGATCTTGGGGCTTAGTCGGCGTGGCCCCTGTCACCAGCCACAGTCGGTGCCATTCAATGCTTCTTGTGGAAGACGATCTGACTCGTACAAACATAATTATGCCTCGGTTTGATTGAAGTGATTTGGGAATCGCATCCTAACTATTCCGATGGTTATCACAATTAATCAGCATTCCATGATTCTCTCAGATCTTTTTCCATCAAGGTAGAGCCTGATCTATGGCTCAAGAATCTCGGTCTTGGTAAGGCCTCCAGGCTCTGGAAGGCCCATTTTAGCCAATTTACTCTTCTCGAACATCTCATTTCGGCTTTCGCAGCCACGACCATCGTTAGGCTGTGAGGCCTGGTTATGGGGCGGATTTCTCGGCACACAGAATCTGGGTTTTCAGCAGGGAGCATAGCGCAACTTGGACGTCTATCTGGAGTTGTCTATGCAGTCCGGAGTGTCAGCTTCGGCTCTGTGGTTCGGGAAAATATCATGTTGCGCCGTGCCTTGAGCAGCGAGGACAATAGAACAAGATCGTTTTCGATTTGGAAACTTGGAGCGACTGAGCCAAGATTGTCGGGATCAACGATGCCTGATGGTAGGATGTCTCTGCAGATAATCTCAATCATAGTCTGGTTGATGCATTGCCTAGGAGGCGAGAAATTCTGTACATACCCGGCACTGGAATAGGAGAATTTATTGTCACAGGAGCCTCTTGGAAAATTCGTGTCAGCGGAACGAGTTCTTCTGCGGAGGGACTGTATGATGACAAATCAATCGCGAGATCTAGAGGATAGAAGTCACGCTCATTGTTGCAGCGCTGGTCCGCGGATTTTGAATGGCAATTATGCCGGTGAATTTTAAGCACCACGAAGCTCGCAACATGTGGCTGGAAACTTCCAGCGAGGCCTTAGATACACGTCTCGAATGTCCAGGGAATTGATCCAATTGGCAGCAAACGACGCCAAATGGAACTGTCCGTGAAGCCTCGCACATAAATACAGCCATAGCTTCCTTTCACCCAACTCCTCAACCACTCCTTCTTCTCCTGAAATAAAAAGAAAATTCATGACCCGCATGCAGACGTCTCCCGAGGCAGCCCCAAGGGCTCAGCCTGCACTTAGAGTGAGTTGATGAGCATCGTCCAGCTTGAAGCCACAAACTGACCGTATAGTAGATCACGGTAGATCACTCTGTTACCCACTTCCCCGAGACCAGCGAAAATCGCAACTTTGAAGAAATAGGAACAGTAATGTCTGAGGCAGCGGAGGTGAGATTTTCCCTCCAGGTGGAAACCCAAAGCCTACATTGACAGTGCAGTAGCGACAGCTCGCTCGTGGCCAAGGCAGAGGCAACCAACTTCTCAGAGCTACCGCGATGACCTGTGTCGCTGCCATTAATCAGGTTGGCAAAATGAGGTCGGCTGAGATACAGTCCAGTAAGGGATCCATCCCTTGTGTTGCATAAGGTCTAGTTAATGCTAACTTGTGCAGCTCTGGACCGTGCTGCGGCACAGCAGGGCGCCTTCGCTGCCATGTCCTTGGAGGAGTGCCTGGATTTTATGATCCTTCTAGCCAGGATCATTAAGGAGAAGGAGACTGAGGCTGACTCCCAGCAGCATGGGCAGGCGGGTTAGCTTTCGCCCAAACATCTTTAGGGCACTTCATCGTTTGGTTACCCCTCCAAGAGCTTTCTCGCAAGTCTACCACAAATGAACATCAACTCTTAATACTCGTCATGTCTAAGGTATATGTAGCCTGTTTATAGTAGTGCTGTATAATGCTATTCGACAAACATCAATGAAATTATAATGGATTGCTGTCGGCACGTCTCGGCTTAATGACTTTTACGTCACAATTCTGTGAGGCTTTGCATAAACCCGGTTGTGACTTAAAAGCTTTGTATCTCAAATTTCTAAACTTCTCCCACCAAATTCCGCCTCACTTGTGACCTATTTTAAGTACAGCCCCCAGACAATATTGATAACGGCAGGCTTTTCACGTGGTCGGATATAGCAAAGGACCCTAATTCCTCACCACCGCTTCTCACTCCCACTCTGGAGCGACGTTCCAAAGCGACCTCAAAGAATATGATATGCAAATAACCATCCTCGTTCGGAGTACCACTTCTACCGAAATTTACCCATAGGCAGCACTTTACCATTATTTATCATAGATTTTGCTTCACTTACTCGCTGGACCTATAGAGTTTATACCCCTATTTGTAGATCACTAATTTAATACTGATCTTGATCTCTCGACTCCTTTCTATCTATTTCAGCGTTTCAGGACAAAACAGCGCCACATAGATAATCGATGTCACCACCCGGACTTTCATCGTTTCTGGTACCATATACCAAGAACAATTGATGCTAAGAAAACTTGAGGCCAAGAAACACTATTTGAATGTAGCAAAGTCCGACCCACCGATTTCTACTCCCGGAAGAACTAGCCTTGGCATCCCCCATCAAAAATTCAGCTTTACCCAATTGCGGCCGAATTCTGCCAGGTGGTGAATTAGTCCCATGCGATGGCTCTTACCAATTGTCTTTCTTGTTCTCTACAATGGCTATACACAATCTCTAACTAACTAGTTGGCGATCATTTTAACATCTAATCAAGTGATTATTTCCTCTTTTCCTCTTCAAGTAGCTTATGGCCCTAATTTAGTGGCCCTGGTATGTGTTCCGATACCATCCTACTTAGGGGTAAGACCATTCCGCCCGATTATCCTAGATTTTAGAGTTGTTTCTGATACCCTGCCAGCTCCAGACTTCGGATAAAAAGATCTTAAAGATCCGATCACAAAACCTTGATATTTCGGGTACTTTAGGGCGGTGGGTATCGTATTTGACTCAATTACCTACCCCCTCGCGCCAATCACACTTTGCGGATGTCCCGCCCCCTAAACTGGGCCGGAGTACAGTCGGGAGGATCGCGTCCGCCAAAGTCAAGAGTAATTGGGTGAGGAAGCTCGAGTGGTGTGGCAATGGAGGGGGATGTCTAAGTGGAAGTTTCTTTGATACCATATTTGAGGTCTTGGTCATGGTCTCGGGGATACATTGGCATTGCCACTTGACTCATGGAACGCCAGCAACTGGATGCCAAGTGAGGCAGTGCATGAAGTTAGAATGAAAGTATGCGATTATGTCGTCACAGATAATATCACAGCTTGGCTAGCCAACAGGGGATAGCTGCTCGTCTTCTCGGCATATTCATTGTCGTCCAATATGCTGTCATTATAGCCTTAGGTTGTCTATGGTTGGTAACCCAAAATTGTGGGATATAACACAGCCACCATCCATCCTTACGTAGAAGGGCTGTAGATTCATGATAATCAAGTATATAGCTCATATCCTCGCTATGTGAAAGGCAGTTCAACAAAAATGACCATAAAAACTTCATGCAGGAAAATTGTACATCGTGACAATTGATGTCAGCCGAAAGCGAAAACAAACCCTGGTCTGACAGGCTCCCTCGGGGGCCCGACTTTGACACAGACTTTCGCATCCCTGATAATAAGTTTGCCTTCTCACCGACCGAACTAAATAAATTGTTCAACCCGAAGTCCCTTGATGCATTCTACGCCCTGGGTGGGCTACGTGGTCTAGAATATGGACTCCAGACGGATCTCACAGATGGATTATCGGTGGATGAAACGATCCTAGCCCGGTATACAACCATCGAAGAAGCGAAAGAGGTGGCATACTCACAAACGAAGGCGACCTGTTCGCGCTCAGCACAGTTTTCAATCCTACCGGCGGGAAGGACTAAGGCTGCGACGCAGTTCGAGGACCGATATCGGGTCTTTGGGACGAATGCTCTTCCCGATGCCCCGAAGAAGACGTTCTTTGGACTTCTTTGGGACGCGTACAACGATAAGATAATCATCTTGCTTACCATTGCCGCGATTGTGTCGTTGTCCCTGGGTATATATGAAGCAGCATCCGGGCAGTCGAAAGTGGACTGGGTCGAGGGGGTGGCAGTCTGTGTTGCTATAGTGATTGTGGTTGCTGTAACAGCAGGGAACGACTGGCAGAAACAGAAGCAGTTTGGGGAGTTGAATAAGCGCGTGCGTGTTCCCATCGTACCCCGATGTAGATTCGAGTAACATTGTCTTCTAGAAACATGACCGCGAGGTTAGAGCTATCCGCTCTGGGAAGACGATCCAGATGCGCATCAGTGATCTCACTGTTGGCGATATTGTGTGCCTGGAGCCTGGGGACACAGCTCCTGCAGACGGAATTGTCTTGGCGAACTACGAGATCAAATGTGATGAATCCCTTGCCACGGGCGAGTCCGATCAGGTCGAGAAGTGTAGTGGGTTCAAAGCGTGGAATAATCGTGCAATCAGCGGAACAGTACAAGATATAGATCCCTTCATCATATCTGGGAGCAAGGTCCTTGAGGGATTAGGGACGTATCTGGTCACGAGTGTTGGGCCACATTCAACATATGGCCGAATTATGGTCTCGCTAGGGACCGAGACAGATCCAACGCCATTGCAGGTAAAGCTTGCACGACTAGCAACTTGGATTGGATGGTTTGGATTCGGGTATCAGCTCCTCTTCCTTTGTCTACGTGAAAGTAATGGCAGTACTGACATTTCTGACGATATAGGTCCGCCCTGTTGTTATTTTTTGTCCTCTTTGTCCGTTTTCTAGTACAGATATCGACGAATGAAGAGACCCCGGCTGTTAAGGGACAACACTTCATGGATATCTTAATTGTTACTGTCACAGTAATTGTAGTGGCAATTCCTGGTAAGTACCTTCTGATATTCGCATGCTTGTGGCTTCTGTTATTGATCTATGACAAGAGGGTCTGCCACTTGCGGTGACGCTCGCACTGGCTTTTGCGACTGGCCAGATGTTGAAAGAGAATAACCTTGTTCGGCTATTAAAAGCCTGTGAGACAATGGGCAATGCGACAGTGATTTGCTCTGATAAAACAGGGACATTGACGCAGAATAAAATGTCTGTCGTTGCAGGATTTCTCGGCCCCGGCAAGCCATTCGGTAAATCACCTTTGACTACAACTGGATTATCCGTCTCGATATTAGAAACCTTGAAGAAGTTCTCGTCGTCATTGGAAGAGTTACTGCTTCACAGTCTCGCACTCAATACAACCGCTTTCGAAGAACAGCAAAGTGAGTGCAAGGAGTTTATTGGAAACAAGACTGAAGTCGGCCTTCTCCAATTCGCCTATCAGAGTCTTGGATTGAATTTGTCCGAAGTGCGCACAAACAACCACATCGAGCACGTGTATCCATTTGACTCGGCACGCAAGGCAATGGCCGTGGTATATCTCAGATCGACAGGATCGGGATACCGATTCCTTGTCAAGGGCGCACCGGAAACTCTTCTGACTGCTTCCTCTTATATGGTCGTACCGGGGCCGGAGGGGGAAAGTTTATCTACATCTTTGATCTCCGAAGACGATCGCCAGCTGATAATAGGGACGGTCGACGACTACGCCCAAGCCTCGCTCCGAACAATCGGTCTAACCTATAAAGATTTCCCAGCCTGGCCATGGGCGTTTCAAGACCATCAACCCAGGTTCGAGGAGATATTCCATGATATGATATGGATCGGAGCATTTGGCATTCAGGACCCATTAAGACCCGAGGTTATCGGGGCAATTCAGACCTGTCGTGCTGCAGGAGTCCAAGTCAAAATGGTTACAGGTTTAGTTTCTAGCCCTTGAATAATATGAAAGTACCCATATTGACAAGCACAGGCGACAACATACGCACAGCGCTCTCAATCGCCGAAGCCTGCGGGATCAAGACGAACGACGGGATCGCGATGGAGGGGCCTGAACTGCGGACGCTGAGGGAGGATGATCTGGCCACTGTCATTCCTAATTTGCAAGTTCTTGGGCGGTCCTCGCCGAATGACAAGGAGTTTCTGGTAAAACAGCTTAAGCGCCTTGGGGAAATTGTCGCTGTGACTGGGGACGGAACAAATGATGGCCCGGCGCTAAAAGCTGCGGACATAGGGTTCTCAATGGGACTCAGTGGGACTGAGGTTGCTAGGGAGGCGAGCTCGATCATTCTCCTAGATGATAACTTCAGGTCTATTGTTACAGCGATTGCGTGGGGAAGGGCTGTGAATGATGCAGTGGCGAAGTTTTTACAGGTGAGGCCCCTAGGTATACTCTGCCATCTAAAATGGAAACTAAATAGATAGTTCCAAATCACGGTCAACATTACCGCCGTCATTCTCACGGTTGTGACGGCAATCTACAGTAGCAAGAATGAGAGCGTGTTCAAAGCCGTTCAGCTGCTCTGGCTGAATCTTATCATGGATACGTTTGCTGCACTGGCTCTGTACGCAGCTATACATCTTCATCGAGATGGTACAGAACTGACTAAGAAAGGGCAACCGATCCTCCGACATCCGACATGCTCAAACGAGCCCCAACTCCCCGCAGTGCGCCCCTCTTCAGTGTGATAATGTGGAAGATGATCCTCGGCCAGTCAATTTACAAACTTGCCACCTGTTTTATGCTCTACTTCGCCGGTCACTCTCTCTTCAACTTTAATACATCGGACGAAGTAGAGATGCTCGAGCTGAACACCATTATCTTCAACACCTTTGTTTGGATGCAAATCTTCAACGAGCTCAACTGTCGACGACTGGACAACAAATTCAACGTATTCGAGGGCATACAAAAGAACAAATGGTTCTTTGTGATCAATTTTCTCATGGTTGGTGGCCAGATACTGATTATTTTTGTCGGCGGCAAGGCATTTGGTGTGACTAGGCTTTCTGGCTGGCAGTGGGGGGTTTGTCTTGGGTTTGCGGTGTTTTGTATTCCTTGGACGGCGGTATTGAAGCTCGCCCCGGATGCTTCTGTGGAGTGGTTGTTGAAAATGTGTGCCAAAGCGTTTGAATTTGTATTCTCATCGGTCGCCAAGGCGTATGAATGGGTTGTAGCGGGGATAGCAAGGTGTTTTAATGCAGCTGGGGTGTTGTCAAGAATGGGGCGGAGAGTTGCAGATGAAGAGTCGGGATATCCTTGCTCGTAACTGCTAGGAAGAAGCTTGAACCTGTACAATAGAGGAGTCAATCCCGCCAATTATGCCTCCCACCTGATCTCGCACAGAGGCAATGTCACTGCTTTTAGCTTGAGAGGGCGCTTCTGAATGTATACTAATGAATAACTCCCAATATGGAGGTATACTGCTGGATCTACCTGAGATAGAGGAAGTATAGAACACGCTCGACATTGATAGCTTTTCAGCGGATTCCCAAAAAAAAACCAGCTTCCGAAAGCTTTGCTCATATTTTTTTTTTTTTTTTTTTTTTGAATTATACCTTGAAGCCATCACACATTGTGCTATGGAGATAGCTTGACTGAGCGCAAACAATAGTCCGGCCAACTCTAAGGCAATCCCTTGACAAAGAATCTCCATGTCAGAAAATTGACCTCGTAGAAGTAAGTCAAGCATTGCATCCAAGTATAGACATTGTCAACATGGATTGTTCGGCTTCTGTTCACATTTGATCTAGTATAGGAAGCAGTAGTAGTGGGGAGGGGGTAGAACTATGTATACATAAGGGCATGGCTGGAATTACGAAGTATTCAAATGTTACCTTTTGCTGGGGTTTTTAATTAGGCTTTGGGTGTAGTGCGACGGTCGTTTTTGTCGTGCGGTTAACTAAATCCTATTTCTATACCTTTCTAAACACGATTTGGCGTGCCTTATTTCTAAGAAAGAGAGTAGATATAAGGCCTTTTCTTGGAAATACTATATAACCGTTAAGAATTCGCCAGTAAATCATATAACCCAACGTCACACAGCGGCCATTTATAGCTGCCATGATGTAACTCTATGTGACTCTATATTTCAAGAGTGGCAGGGCGACATCACCGGACTTCTAATATAGAGTTAAAAGCTTCACGTACGGTCGATATGATTGAAACAAAAGATTTAGGCTTCCTCGTAACTAGTTCGTAGCCATTCTCTCGCCTCTGTTCGAAATGTTACGGGCGAATTGTAGGAAAAATGCAACTCATTGCTTACTGACGGAAATATCGGAACTATGGAGAAATAGAAGGAACAATCTAGGATTATAGTGGATGATTCATCCGGTGCGCTCACGAATCACCCTCGTGGCAAAGATTGATTACATTCCTCACGATTACCGCCACAATTAAGAATTCCTGAGAAGCACAAGACACTGTTCCAGATGTCCATGGGCCACGCCGCGGATCAAGGGGTTCAACCCATTACAGCATCCAGGGATAGCTTTTCTCCACGTACCGATCGAACATCTTCGATCCTACATACCTCAGTCAGAGTCGGTGATATCCGAGAGCGCCGGCAGGATATTCTTCCCCAGGGCGCCTGGTAGAGAATCATCATTTGAATGCTGCATGATAATAATGCACTCATGTCAGGCGTTCTTTGCTCTTAAGTCTAATGTTTCTGGCTATTGCGTGTTCTCAAGGTCTATTTCATGAACCCTGGACTCGCCTGCCGAGCCAGGTTTTTGTGGTATGACTGCGCAAGTAATGAACCCTAGTTAAAGAAACCCCTCGCTAGGCGTGATATGATGTGCTTCATTTGTGATTACTAAATCGATTTATCTTCTCACAGAGTCAAGTTCTGGGGTTAGAGCACAATTCGGGCGATATCTTATAAAGATGTGACTGGTTGTCGGAACCTACTGTGCAAGCTTCCGAATGAATATATATTGCTGGCTCGTAGGTATACGGACCGCCTTCAATTTTCAAGTACAGCACTTTCGTAGATTGAAATTACTACAATTCAATATTGCATCATTGCAAATTCTCATACTGACCATCCATTATGTGCGCTCAAAAAACTACTCCGTTGTACAAATCGTCCCCGAAGCGCCAGATCGTGCTGTACAGTGACCAAAGGCATCATATCACCCCCAAATCCCTGGGGCCATGTCATGAGTAAAATCCACAAAGGTTAATTGTTTAATTCTGCTCCATCAATAGGCGATCTCATAGACGATGGTTTCCTCGGTTGCATCGCAGTATATTTTGAGCATGTGTATGCAATTTTGATATCCCGCACTGTGAATAGACCCTTTCGCGATCCACTTGCCAAGTGCAGGTCGGTCATGGCTCGAACATGAGCAACAGATTGTCTAGAGTGAACATTAAGGTTGACATGCACGCCGCTGATGGAGAAAAGCATGGCCAATGCGTTGATGCTGCCAACTGCGTCTTATTGTTAGCGCGCTGCCAGGCGATCTCGTTAGCATCAAGTCCGCGGGGCATTGTCAGAACTTGGCGGTGGACAAAGCTAGATGACGGTGATCAGAATCTCCCCTGTTGAAAATGCAGATCATCAGCTTAATCCAAGTGCGCGGGTGGCCGGCCGTCCACCGGCTTCACGATGAAGAAAATGACGTACATTTGTGGATGGTCAAGCTAGACGGTCCGACCGGTCGCGAGTCACACTGTAGCTAATGACTTTACATTCACCAAGAGCGTGGCCTTGAATACGATTCAATCCGGCTTCGCTGACGTGACATGATCAGTCGCGTCCGTGCGACCCAAAGAAAAAAAAAAGAAACCAAAATAATTTCAATACTAACAACGCTTCATATCTACATTTCTAGATTTTTAGATCAAGAAACAAAGCAATGTGTGCTCGATGTGCATAGTATTGATTACACAAAGAAGCAAATCGAGTGTGGTACCTGCGGGATGCATCGGCAAGGCAAACCCAACTGCATCCCCATCCTCCTGCCGTGATAGCCTTGCATACGCCACCAATTATGCCATCACAAGGAATGCACGATATCCGCACCCGATGATTTAAAAGCCTCGATATCAGTGTCAACAGATCTCGCTACTAATTTTTATCAATGCCTATATATTTATGTCTCAGATTGAAACACCCGTTTGGGCGCAGCAGATAGCTTTCATGCTGATCGTTTATACTACAAGGGTAGGTAGAATCGGGTGGGTCTACGATGGAGGGCGTTGGGGGCGCATTCTTGGGATCGGCTGAGTGGAGGATTTTTCCGTTTAGTTCATGGTCGCTTATACAAGAAGGAAATTGGTTTGTCTTGTTAGTCCCCAGATCATCCTCCTGACAGTCTCCCCCTGACTAATTTCCGGTTTCTTGTTGCAATACAGACACTCTTGCTGGATGTAGATCGCTTTAGAGTAATTCCCATAATTGTCTCCAATTTGAGGCCCCAAATTCATGATGAGTAGAAGAACCATCACAGCCGCAATAGTCAGTGGCGCCTGCGGGTTTGTATGGGTGGTGCTTGGGCCAAACGCACGAGCAGAAAATTCCCTGGTGGCGTTTTTTTCGTCTATTCAGATTGGCTCTTCTTTGGTCTTCTTGGAAGCCTCCCCTTTTCTCCCCCTCGCTGAGTAACGGAAGCCCCCTTTTCTTTTGGAGTTGTCTGGACTCTGAACTTGCATCCTTTCCAGATTTAGCTAGCAAACTACGAGTCGTAAAATGTTATACATATAGATCTCTCCCCCATGACGCCATCCATGGGCCATGGAAGCGAAACGAAATAAGGATGAGCAGAGTCCACCTGGTTGGACATCACGAGCAGCTTCTCGGGGAATAGACGAGCCAATGAAGGAAGGGGAAAGGGACGGAGAACGGCGAAGAAAAGCATCCTATGTCTTACTTTTTACACCTACGCTAGCGCGCCACGGACGGAGTCGAAAGGTCAACGTTAGCCGATCAATTGAGCTTTCCGGGGAAGTCGATGCAGAAATTCATGTGGGAGGAGATGACGCATGGATCATGGGGAGGGGGGAAAATGGGAAAATAGAGACAGCTTGCTGGGCAAGTCACGATAGTCTACGCCTGGGTCACGACTTTGTTCCTGGCTTGGAAAAAACAACGCTCGGGGTTGGCTCGCGCGACTGCCATCCCCGGTCCGCAGGACTCAACAGAGCTAAGATCGGCGCAGAGTCGCATAGGTCCAAAGGTAGGAACCTCCACCACGTATTCCCTATACCCAATCGTCATCCTCGGACCGCCACCAGAGCCCCGCAGGCTAGCCCGAGGGTCGGGCTGTCCGGGGAAGAATCACTGCCGTTTTGGGGGTCTGGCCGAACCCCCTCATTTCCAAGTCTGCCAAAGCCTGCCTAAGCCTGCCCGGTTTGTTCACAAATGGCTGGCCTCGCGCAGCCGATGTGGAGTCCATCCCGCCTCGTTAGGGATTAGGGCCTTGACTAGTGCCTAAAAGCCCGCAGACTCGGTGGATTGCCGCAACCCCATGGGCAACAAGAGTTCCCTCCCGTAAATTGGAAATTTAATTAAATGGGCCCTCAATATTAAGAACATGTGAAGAGGTTCGCGCCCGTTCCCCTGATCTAAGTGGATAGAGCTTTCCAAGGGCCCTGCATCGTGCCGAGGAAGGCCCTGCGCAGTCGCGACGAGAATGCAAGATATCGTCAATTTTGGCCGCTCTCGAGCCCCAGGGACAACCCACCCCGTCATGGCCATGAGAGAAAGACCGCTTCTCTGCCAATGCAAATCTCAGTCAAGAGAGCACTAACGGGTCCTAGCGATCATAATCCCGGAACTAACTCACCCTTTCTCCTCCCATCACATGGGGTGACCCATCTCGGTCCCCATACCTCGGTGTCGATCCACCCACCGGTACGTGCCATAGTCCGAGGAAAGCTCCCCTTAGTGCGATGGTGGGCCGAGTGGAGGATTATGTCCTAAAAGGATACCCCGGATGGTCGATCACCACATCACCAAAATAAAGGCCTGGCGCGACCCCGGGGTAAAATCGAGCTTTCGTTCGTTTCCCCAGGCGCTCTCCTCCTTTAAGTCTCTCGCGGCTCTTCTCCATTTCAGTCCTCTGAAAGCCGTAAAGAAAAAAAGAAGAGAGACGAAGCCCAATTCCGACCAGTGGGGGAACTAATAAAGCGCAATCAACGACAAACCCCCCTATATAGCCGACAAGATGCGTTTCGTTCCAGTCCTTGCGACTGCATTGCTCGCCGCGTCTAATATCGTGGGAGCTTCTCCTGCAGTCGCCTCGTCCAGTGCTGCTGCTGCTGCTGCCGCCGCCGCTGATACCACTGTCGCTGCCGCTGCCGCTGCCGACACGGCATCCAGCGGCGCTACTACGGCCAATGTCAATGCAGCCAATGAAGCCGCTGGTACTTCGCAGGCTGCCGCTACTGCAGCGGCCAATACCGCAGCTGCTAGCAATAACGAGCAGACCAACAATGCTGCTTCCGCTAACACTGCCACTGCCGATACCATTGCCAACATCGTGAACACGATCGTTGGTAACACGGCCGCCTCCAACACTGCCACTGCCGCTGGCACGACCGCCTCTGCCGCAGAGACTGCTGCTTCCGCTTCTTCGACCGCCAAATCCGGCTCTAGCTCCTCTTCTTCGAGCTCTTCCTCCACCCTCGAGACCGAGATCAACAGTCTCTTGGGTAGCTTGACCGGCAGCGGGAGCTCTACCAGTCTGACCAGCATTTTCGGCGAGCTTGGCGATCTCCTCAAGGGTATCACTGGTCTTCTCAACCCCAGCCTGCTCTCCGAGATTGAGGATACCTTCAAGTATCTGTCTACCTCGCTGGCTCCTCCTGTCGACACCAACATTCGTGTCCTCCTTTCCAACGACAACACCCAGGCCATCGCAAATCTGCTAACAAATGCTAATACTCTGTTGAGTAAGAAGAATACCGATACTTTGAGCAATATCTTGTCAAAGGCCGATACTCTCCTAAGTGACAACAACCTCAACAACCTCGGGAAGCTGCTCAACAACATCGACAAGGTCAACGATCTCGTTGAGAACGCCGATGCGCTTCTGTCCAAGAACAACGTCAATGCCATTGAGAATTTGGTATCGAACGGCAACAGTTTGTTGACCAAGGACTTCGTTACCAAGACGAACTCCCTGATCGATGGCGCTTCTAACCTGTTGACCACGGATGTCACCAATGCGCTCAAGAAGCTGCTGAATGCCGTCGTGCCGCTTCTCCCAGAGTTGCAGAGCTTCCTTACCAAGGACACCTTTACTGCTCTGACCAATCTATTGACCAATGGAAACGCACTTTTGACCAAGGCCTTCATTACCAAGACCAATAGCTTGATCGATGCCGCCTCCAACTTGTTGACCACCGATGTCTCCAACGCCCTGAAGGAGCTTCTCAACGCCGTGGTGCCTCTCCTCCCTGAGCTTAAAGGCTTCCTCACCAAGGATACCTTTAATTCCCTCACGAATCTGCTCAACAACGGAAACTCCCTCCTCACGAAGGACTTTGTTACCGAGACCCAGGGTCTTGTCAAGGGAGCTTCTGCTCTTCTCACCACGGAAGTCTCGAACGCACTCAAGACTCTGCTCAACGCTGTCGTTCCTCTCCTTCCTGAGCTCAAGGGCTTCCTCACCAAGGAGACCTTTGCTTCCCTCACGAATCTGCTCAATAACGGAAACTCCCTCCTCACGAAGGACTTTGTTACCGAGACCCAAGGTCTTGTCAAGGGAGCCTCTGCCCTCCTCACCGCGGAAGTCTCGAACGCACTCAAGACGTTGCTTAACGCTATCGTTCCTCTCCTCCCTGAGCTCAAGAGCTTCCTCACTAAGGATACCTTTGATGCTCTTACCAACCTTCTTACGGAGGGTAACGCGCTCCTCACCAAGGACTTCGTTACCGAGACTCAGGGACTTGTCAAGGGCGCGTCCGCTCTTCTCACCACGGATGTCACCAATGCTCTCAAGACATTGCTCAATGCCGTGGTCCCGATTCTTCCCCAGCTGAAGGGCTTCCTGACCGCACAGACTTTCAATGAGCTGAACAACTTGCTCCAGAGCGGATCTGATTTGTTGACTCCTGAATTCGCCAACTCGACCAAATCTTTGGTGGAGAACGCTAACGACCTCTTGACTCCTGATCTTGTCAGCGGTCTCAAGGGCATTCTCAACGAAGTCACTCCTCTGCTTCCGTCGATCAAGTCGCTGCTCACCAAGTCTACCATTGAGGCTATCGGCTCTTTGTTGTCGAATGCCAACGCTCTTCTCACTCCCGCCAGCGTCAAGGAGATCAACGGTCTCCTGAGCAGTGCTAGCGACCTTTTGACCCCGGCATTCATCAACAGCACGGATGAATTGGTGACTGGGGCCCATGATCTGCTCTCGCCGTACGTCCTGGGCGGTCTGTCCGAACTCCTGAATGCCCTTGTGCCAGTTGTGCCCGACATCAACAAGGACTTCCTGAACAAGACGACTCTGAACAACTTGACATACCTCCTTGGAAACGGCACGACCTTGTTGACCCCCAAGTTCGTCGAGGGCACCAGCGACTTGATCACCGAGGCTGGCGAACTTCTCACTCCTGAAATGGTCACCTCCCTGAAGGATCTGCTGAAGGGTGTCGATGATAGCCTGCCTGAGATCAAGACCCTCATCACGCCCGACTCAGTCAAGAAGATCTCTGGCCTGCTCACGAACGCAGAAGATCTACTGAGCGAAAAGTTCGTGAACCAGACGAGCACACTGATCAATGACGTGTCGAGTCTCTTCCCGCTTCTCGAGGGCATTCTCAATTCGCTGTAAGCCAGTCTTGATTGACTGACTCTAGGCGTTTGGGTTTTATATGACTTTCATGTGTAAATTCAATGATCGAAGGATATACGACCTGAGATATGAATTAATGCGTTTAATGATATCACTTTATTTATTTATTACTTATTCCATCCGATTCAAGTTCATTTTCTCCGTATATGACTTTTAGATTAGGGCAAGTAAACTTCAAAATGATTCAAATGGGTTTCCTCTGCACGTTGCTACGTCGTGCAATGTCGTGGGTTCAGATTTAGGGTTCTGTGGCCACGTGCACCGGGACCCGACAGCAGGACAACCCCAGAAATTAACCATCGTCAACCTCGGAGTACATTTAGGGTGGTGCTAGAGCTACAACAGCGTAACCTAGTTCGGATTAGCATATATTCAAGTACGGCCCGAGAAACAAAGTCAGTGGGTCCAATGGTAACGCGCGCTGTCGCACGCTTCGGCCCTGAAACAAAATAATTATGAAAGGTGAATTATAAACTGGTGTGATAACTATGGGCTAGATAGTTCCTGCAGTGGAATAGCAGGTTGTTGATTAGGATTAGCGTATTTCTATACGCTATTAGCCAGTGCATAGTCTTCTATAGCAGTAATCTAGGGGATCCAGTATGTGTGGCATTTCAATAGGTAATTAAGCCAGGTAGCTCGAAGATCGGTTAAATCCATCATTTATGAGAAGGAAGTGAGTCATAAATAGGACGAAAGTAAGCTTTAGCAAAAGGCTGTAGCGATCAGGCTCATGAAGTTCGAACTTCAGACAGTGGTCATAACTCCTGGGGTCGCACGTAGTATTCGTGCACGGTAGGGTATTCTTATCATAAGATCGTAAGGATCATATCTATCTAAAGACCTACGATTGTGGAAGAATGACCAAGATACGATAGAGGAGGGTTGGCAGTATTAGACAGAACGGTTGAACAGTGGCGGGTTAAAACAGTTATGGTCAGGTAGGCCTTGAACTGTACTCGTGAATGAAAGAAATTTCCAACTTGTTTAATTTAGCCAGGGAAACAGGCAGTATTTATAACGTGGGGTATATGGCAGAATGTCACAGGACAAGTCTGATAGAAATCCGAAATAACAATGGGGGCATACGAGAGTGTTAGGAAGCTCGTTGCTCTTCCTGTCTGATGTGATAGTTGATGATCATCATCGTGGATTATATAGCGGTGTTTCGTATATATTTTGCATGCATTGGTACGCACACGCTAAGTGCGGGGTATTGCACTCACACATGTTGATAGCTAGTTCATCACGTAAATGCTTTGCGAAGAAAGAAGCCTGTTAAGACGAAGCTCGTGAGAGAGATGCAAAGGTACTGTCATAGCAAGCTAATACAGTATGGGGCTAATCTACTAAGGGGAACCAATCCAGAAAGATATAATGAATTCAGTGGGAAAAGAGTAGAAAAGAGCGGATGCAGCGAGGACCTATTGACTTGGGTGTCCTTGCTTGCCTGATAAAACCACCGATTCTCGGAGTGTGAAGAATTACCGATAAATATTGAAATCGCGACACAAATGGAACTAAACTATTCTAGGCGTATTTTACGACCCCACTATTCTCGTCAGGTACTAAAAGAAATATCCAGAGCTCCTCGAAGCAAAGTGTTTGTTTCTGAGTGCTTACAGTGGTGTTCAATAAGTATTTTTTACTATGGTACGGATCCCGTACCATAGTACTCTGCTCCCACTGCCTGCCTATAATATCTAATATCCATTATCCACGTATATGGTACGAAACTTCTCTTTCCAGCCTGGATAGCAGTCAGTCACTAACTCATTATGGGTACTCTGCTTTCCTGCATCGTCAAGCAATACGGGAATATGTTAGTAGTGATTATATCGTCTGGGTTATTTGATTTTTATCTTATTTTGTTTGCCTACTTTGTTTGCACTCTCGTCATTCCAAGCTTCATACTGAACTTGATGATCAGGAGTTCAATTAGCAGAAAATATATGATTTTCGGGGCATCTGAAGTGCTACAGTAAAAATGCTTATGGAATATAACTGTAGTACGCAGTATTGCGTTCTCCAAGCTTATACATGCCGGTGGCCGTGTGGCAGCATTCCTGGAAGACTGTTGATGTATTACTAGCGACGAACCTCAGAATCTCTGATTACCTAGGCATTCTCGCCTACGCGGCGACTTCTGTGAGGTAGCATTTCATTTGACTGCCTTTATACAGTACTCGAATTACCAGAGTTCTGGAAACGTCTTTCGCAGAATCAGGGACTAGGCTCTTTGGAATCATGCGGGCCATTCCAAGTTCAAATCAAAAGGCTTTGAGGCTCGCAATTTCAAACTGTCAAATACCTATGTCCAGTCAGCCTTCTGGAGACCCACCAGTCCCCTACTATGGAAGTGGTCGGTTTGCTTTCCAAAGGCTGTGAATGTCATCTATAGATTCCGTTTGCTAACGCAATTAGTTTCTCTTTATGTTGCTTGAAGCCTCGCTAGCGATCTAGGCATATTTTGCTATCAGGCTATTGTGGCTGGACTGAAATGTGACACCCCGCAGCCTGACAAGCGGTCAGTAGAGCCCAACTCGTACAGTGGTGAGACATGGAGATCTCCGAAGCTAACATACCTTGATTGGCGAAATGATCAGCAAAATCGATCGACCCACTTGGCGATCAAAGAGCTAGCGAACCTAAAGTCAGCAAACTTACATGGCCACTTATTGCACACAAGGGTCAGCTCGCCTCATTCAGCCACAAGAGGGAAATGACCTCATTCCAGGTATCTCCCCTAAAGCTAAGATCTCGACCCGTACAGAGAATGATTCGTTGGATTGCGCTGCAAGAATATTGAGATCTGACCGCTTTCTTGACCCACCGAGCAATTTAAATACCCCCTTCTCCCGTCGCTGCGTAGCCGCAGTAATACTTGTTCGTAAGCTCTCTGCCACTCCCTGAGCTTCTACTCCTTATAGATCCCTTACTATGAAGATACGTGTGTCTCTCCTACTTCTAGCATTCATTTCTGGCGTAGTTGCAGACCAATGTCCGGTGAGATCAACCCTCCTAGTTTAGTAGTTTCTTGCTAATACTGGTCTATAGCAGCCGTGTGGCGGTGGATGCATGACTAGTGCCCAGTGCTCCTCTTATGCAGGTGGTTGCGGTGCATGCAAATGCTCTTGGGTAAGCTAAGCTCGCCCTCTTTTACTGTTGCTTCTTCTGACCTAAAGTATAGTTTACATGCACCCAATTATAAGTGCCTAACTCCAAAGCAAAGAACAACCCAGCGTGCTTGGTGCAAAGATACTGCAAGTACCACTGACGAAAAGGAAGAGCGGCACATAGGTGGTGTATGCACGGTAGCTTAGCATAGATTCTATTTATTGAATACCTTGCCTAAATGTTGCGTTTCTGTAACTCTATTCCCTATTGTCAATACCAATACCAATTGTTAGATATCTGGTTGGCCAACGGTGCGTGGTGCGACTGAGCAACCTGCTTCACCCCTTGAAAATTCTCAAAACCTCTCCCGAATAGATGTATCTGTCCAAAGATTATATATAAGATGACTGATGCGAAGGAAGCTCTCTGAGATTTAGGCAGCAAACGAGGGGCCCTAGTAAGCGCCAATGGATTAAGAATATATCTCTGAAAGGAGGATCGCTTCTACGTCAGAGTTGCAAGATTTAAGACTAGATAGACATATTAAACGCGGTGACGCCGTCAGGGATTTCTGGCCCCGATTTTTTGTTTGCAAAAAATGCAGAATAGTACTACGAGAGGGTGATAATTCACTTTGTCCGCTATAACATTCGAGGTTATCTCGATCCGTATTCTGTCTCATCATATATCCGATTCGACTTCTCGACTTCTCGAAGGATATCGCATTGGTACGTAACTTCCAATGAACCCAGCGCGCTCGACCGACGCAATCATACTAACTCAATATCTAGCACGTGGGTATTCTTAATCGTGTGTTATGGCTTTGGGAAATCTTTTTTGCGGTCATATTTACCCTCTGCGTGGATGGTGCCTGAAAAAGAGATGAAAAAAGAATTCTACCACTCCAGTGCCAGTACGAGCACCCGTCGCAGCAGCTCTCATCGTCGCCACATATCACAGACCAGACCGCTGAGTTGGACTCGCCTGGAACAGTTTAGCATTAGAGGTGTCTCATTTCTCGCAGCAGCTCCTCGTGTATTTATTGCCATCTAATTATGGTCATGTACTGGTAGATGGGTGTTTTTAGATCGGTATCGCCAACAGCCACGGCGCCGATAAGGCCACCGCCTATCACCGCCTAGAATTGAGATCTCCATTCTCCGCACCGTTGCTCTTCAACGTCCAATTCTAAAACCATTTGCGCTACGAGACCATACCTTGACTCCGGTCCAATTTAAGCTGAATCAAGCTCCGAAGCCATGTGAGTATCGTCCCTGATCTGTCAAAGGCCATCTTGATCCAGGCACGAGACCAAAGCTAACAACACCCAGCCCATCTCTTCCTCGACACTACCCAACAAGACCAATCCTGTCTTCTCTAGCACAACGCTACCGCAAGAAGACAAGATTTCCCCTCAATCCACGACACGAACCCTCCTCTGTTCAATCAAGCTCTCCGCAACTATCACACGCTCTACAAGTCACCGCGCCCGCAAATCCACCCAAAAATGTCCACGACACCACCCACAACGGGCACCCTCCCAATCCGCACCCAACACTGCCGCTTCTGCAATCACCTGCTGCTAGCAACAACGCGCGACCTGTCAACTCTCCCGCGACGCTCGTCGCCCGCCGCAGACGCAAGCATCATCCTGCCCCTCGAAAAGCTGCGCTCGGACGGCGAGCAGGAGCGCGAAACGAGCACGCACACACCCTCCACCAAACACGTCACACTCCTCCTCTCGACGACGATACCAGATCGACGGGCAACGCTGATTCGACGCGAAGACGGGATTGAGAAGAGGATTCTACTGCGGTGTGGACGGTGTAGGGTTGTTGTGGGGTACTATCTTGACCGGGTTCATTGGGGGGAAACTGGTAAGAGTCAGGGTGCTAGTCAGACGGGAGAAGGGGAGGGGGAGGAAGGTCGGGGTGGAGAGGCGGAGGAGAGGCCGCCGGCGATGTATGTGTTACCTGGTGCTTTGGTGGAGACGGAGAAGATGGGTGGGGAGGGAGTTGGGGAGAAAGAGTGGAGGGTTTGGGCGGGGGATGCTTAAGGCAAATACCTGAATGGATATAAAAGGATCTACAGAAAGATAATGTACGCTGTCTGTACCAGTGCATCATCTACCAGCAAAATCATGGGACGGTCGGGATCTATACGCCCACGACATTAATACATTCCAGAGAGTTGATAATTGATCAAATACAAGCGTGAATACAGGAAGCTCCTCGCGCCGAATAAAGTTGAAGTAGCCGTGCCAGTTGTATCCCGATCAGGGGTGCGTTCCTCGCAATAACAGAAAAAAAAAGAAGAGAATAACCATGTCCATAACGTAAATTCATCAATCACAACGAAGCCACCAAGGCAGAAGATGGAGAGAAAGAGGATTTCGAGTTGCAAGCTGCAGGGGTATCAGTTGGCCAAGATGGTGCGGACCAGATCGGTGTAGTTGATCTCGCCGGAGCTGGTATCGACGGCCTTGAGGAGCTCATCAACTTCGTCATCGGACATTTTCTCGCCGAGGTTGGTAAGGACTGTAACGGAAAAGAGGGAGTTAGTTCGCGTTCCATATACCCCCGGTTGAAGCCGTGATAAAAGGGTGTGGATCCGGTCCAAACATACTGTAGCGCAACTGTCCCACGCCAATAAACCCCGTCATATCCTTATCAAACACCTGGAAACCACGGCAATACTCCTCGGGCTCACCGGGATCCCGGAAACCACCAGGGCGGTTGAGGACCTTCAAAAAGGAATCGAAATCGACTGCGCAAGAACCGGTATTAGCGCACTGTCGTCACCACAAGCACCACCCCCGCTAAACGAGTCGGGCGGATAGAACACGTCGCAATACGTACAATCACTCCCGACAGTCTTCTCAAGATCGCCAATCTCCGCGAGCGTGGGATTCTGACCACAGGCGCGCAGCAGATCACCCAACAAATCACCGGCAACCCGGCCGGTACCGCGGCGATCGAACAGGGAGAAAGCTTCCTTGTAGTTTGTCGAAGCCTGATGATCGTGCTTGTTAGCCATGATGAAGGGTGGAAAAGAGCGTGGATATCGCGAGGGTTCAGATGCGTAGGAGCGTGGATGCGTGGATGAAAGTGTAGAAGGCAAAGATAACGAAGGGGGCGTGGTGCGGAGGGTGAATCCAGGGATGGGGGCGGAAGCCAAAAGCGAATCACGACCCAAGTTGGTAATTCGTCAACAGGGGAAGACCGCAAGTCGGACAAGAATTGGGATGTGCCTGGACGAAGTTTGGGCAGGTGTGAAGGTGTAATGGAGATCTTACCATGATGGGATTCTTTTTTTCTTCGGATTAAGGAAGGGAGCGAATTGTTGAAGTTGTTGTAAGGGATGTGGTGGTGGTGATCGTTGGAGTGAGAGGAATGGGGGGAAGTTGGAAAGGGAGTTGGCCGGAGACGAGGATCATCCCCGTTGGTCGGGCAACCACATCAACAATATCATAGTGGGGGGGGGGAATTGACAAGAAAGTATAAGATTTGACGGAAATGATCTCTAATCGTAGAACTTGTAGATTTGTAGGTAGCTTATTCACAAAGAATACTCTCCTATTCATCATCATGGATCACATTGAGATCTGATGCTCTCCGCCATAATTACACGCCTCCGTACGAGCATCCTGTACATCCATCTTTCTTATTACATCTCTCCTCCTACGACTGCAACTTCGCAATGCAACTGTCCAGCAGCCGCGCCGCCTCGCCCAACAACTCCCACCTTGGATTCGCAAAGGAATCCCTCAAAATCATCAACATCCCCAAACACCCATTCCGCCCCTTCATCCCCTCCAAACCATTCGGTTCACTGACTCCCCCAACCCTCTGCAAGAAAGCCTGCATATCCCGGCGACGATCAGCATGCGTCGCCAACGTGGGCGGCGGTCGCAAGGGTCCATCCAGCGCAAACCCATAACACCATACCACCAGCGCGGCAAAGTACATCGCCCACGGCCGATTAAGCAAGTAATCATCGCGCGCGACATACCCAGACTCCACGGCCGGGTCCGAGAAACACGTTTTCAAAAACTTGAGAGCGTAAAAGGTGGCGTCCCGTGCAGATGCCTTGGTCGCCCAGCGACCGGTCTTTTCCCGCGCGGCACTATAATCCCGCGCCGTAATCGATCGTCCCATTAATCGGCCTGCGCCAGCAAATATCTGGAGATCCGCGATGTCCACGTGCGAGGCCATATGTGCGAGACCGTGTAGGACGTCGCGAGATTCCGATTCGGGGGTTTTGACTGCGCCCAGGGCTTCGTCAAAGTCGCGTCGCCAGTTATCGTACGCGCGGAGCAGTGCTGTTCGCCATTTATCGCGGCCGCCGAGGGTTTGGCCCACGCCGAGAGAGCTCACTTGGAGGTCTCGCTGATTCAAATGCCAGCTAACACTTAGGAGTCCGGCCATCAGGATGATCCGACCAAAGGTATTCGTTCGGACGGGTTGGCCATTGAGCGTGCGCTTGAGTCCGTCCAGGAACATGATCGGTCGGACACCGTGTGACTGCAGACTGGATTGGACTCGGGCAACCTCGGCGGCACTCGTCGCAGCCCACAGCGCCTCGTCGCAGGGTAGCGGTAATCGTAATTCATGAGCGACCATCTTGGCCGAGTGCCCAAACATAGTCGCATGCGTCGAGTCGAGGACGAACGCCGCAAAAGCCACACGGCGCGTCGCTTCCGCTTTGATCCAGTGCGTCCACGACTCATCCTCTTCCTTGGACTCGGGGGTATCAAAAGACGACCGCCCGATGAGCGAACTCCCACGACGCATGAGTGTAAGTGTCGTGTCGTGGTGAATGTGAGCCCGTTCATGCAACGCCCTCGTAGAAAACGATTTCTCATACACCTCCAACAAGAGTAAAGCCTGGAATATCCATAGCCGCGCGGGAGGCCGGAAATCTGCATCCATAAAGATCTCCCAACGCAGATGCCATGCTATGAAACTGGCCAATTCCGCGGCAGTCTCCGTGGCAGCCTGGCCGTGCGCCTTGTCCAGTGTAGCAGCACCGATAGCCATCACCGCGAGAAGCAACAGATTGGGCGTACGATCCGCAGCAAAGGTAGGCTGGTGCAGGATCGGCAGTTGCGGATGAAAGTGAAACCAATAAGATCCAATATAAGCCTGCATCATCCTCAGACTCAAGACATGTCGATCACTATCCAAATCCCCATCCATAAGCGCATCCTTGCGCTTCCCTTCCGCTGAGTAGGCCGCCTCGTTAAATCTGGTTGCCATGAGATGCAACAACTCCTGCCGTTTCTCCTCCGAAATGATTGCCGGCAACGAGGTCGAGTCTAGGATACTAGTCACGCTCATTGGATGCTGCGGAATCACCGCACAAAAATTATTATACGAGGGCTCGTTCATGTAGAACTGATTCTGGACAAACGGCATCATCCCGTACCCCAACGGCGCGAGCGGTTCACTGAACAGCCACGCCGCAAAGTCATCTGCCATTGCAAAGGGGGAGCGATTATACGTCTCGCCGCCGAAAATCGGGTACGCATTGGACATGGAGTCGAATTCTAGCATCGGGTCCGGTTGGCTGATTACACCGGAGAAATCGGTGTAGCCGGATACGGGGACGCCGGCGGTATCGATGGTGGTGGTAGTAGTAGTAGTAGGCAGGGAGAAATTGTTCGTCGTGTTCGAAGGGGATTTGGAGCTTGTAGCAGGCGCATCCGTCATGAATGGGTACTCGGCGGTTGTCATCGAGGGCGAGGACGGCGAGGAAACCGGGATGAGAGATTTGTGCGGGGATTCATCGAGGCTGTCGTGGGCGAAGCTATCGCGCTTCTGCAGCTGTGAGCCACGGGTGGTATGTCGTTCGCGATGGCGAATGCACAAGTCCTGGCGGACGAAGGAGCGATAGCAATTAGGAAAATCGCATCGGAAGATTTGTTTCGGGGTATCTGGTAAAGCGAGGGGGAGATGGTTAGCTTGGGTGTGTCGGCAGGATCCTGCAGGATCGATCGCATACGGTTCAACTGATGCCGGTACAAATGCTCGGCGCGCGAATAACTCTTGCCGCATCCCTCATGTGTACATTCGAATTTGCGATCGGAGGGAGCGCGCCGACTGCGTCGGCGCCGCTTGGACGGTTGTTCGTCCGCCTCGACCATGATGTCTGATTTAAGCGCGGGGAGCACCATCGGGTGCCATGAGCACGAGGGGCGCGCTGCGGTGATCGCTGCAGGTGGAGATGCCGAGAAGCATGAGCCACACAGGGTGGTTACTATGTGCCAAGTGGGAGAAGAGCTGCAAGACGAGAGAGAGAAAGAGGGTAAAGAAGAAGAGTGAAAGTGAGGGAGAAGCACCAAAGTCAAAAGTCGTCCCAAAGTCAAATGGCTTGGGTCTCCCCGGAGGTGCGGAGATGCCGTGGCATGCAGTGGGGTCGAGCTAAAGTTGGCGGAGCTCGGTGAATATTGCCTGCGAGATGGATGCGACTGTACCTGGGCCTGGTCTATGACACTCTTCTTATATTAAAAGCCACCTGAGACAATCGGTTGAGTTAGATAGGTTATTTCAGCGTGCGTGTGCTCTGTGCTCATTGCTATAAAGGCGCAAGCGTCTCATTGCTGCGAACGGCTTCAGAAATATCACAAATCTATGCACACCATTTTTTAATGATTTTACAATTACCTTCAAGACATTCAAGTTTGATTGTGCTGGCGAGAATTGCGGGGTTGCGAGCCTTGAGTCTAGCAGTATCGGCTGGAATTGCCACGGAATATATATCAACCTTGGCTTGGCATGATCTAGCACACTACTTGCAAAAGATAGAGCATCGCTAGAATACGCCATCCAGAGTCCCGTTCCATATGTCAGTCATACTACCAGTTGGAGATCTCCAGTCAAGAATAAAATCTATGGATTCATTCGTCCAGACTATGCCTAAGCCTCTACCCCCACACAAAACGATACCGGGATTCTAATACCTGCCATGCCATCCCTACAAATGCAAACGCAATCACAAACATGAAGACTGACGAAACCTGTCTACCTGGAATTCTCTCCCTATCCATCACGACCTATGCGTGAAAGAAGTGTCATGTATGGCCCTGAGGTGTTCCTTGTCGAAGCCAGACGGCCAGACTCGAACTGAAAGAACCCTACCTGGCCATCTCGCCCTATAGGCCAGCTGAATCATAAATCATCACAAGACGTCCTCACATTCGAGCCATCATACCAAAAAGGCGCGTGAAGTGAGGAACGGGCCTGACACCTGATGTGCAAATGCTTCCGGGGAGACTCCGCGCGGACCACTAGAAAGTGAGGATCCAGAGAAAGGGAGAATTATGTACACGGGAGCGAAGAAGAGGGTATATTTTTTTTTAAAGTTATGTTGCTTTTCAACCGCTGAAACGGAATCGGGTGGCTTCCAACCGGCCCAAACCATCACGGGGGGCCACATTGCGGCGGCGGTACGAGTTGGTGAAATCTAGAACAATAGGTTAGAACGGCACATAGAACGCCTCTCAATGCGTTGACTTACCCTGCAGCAAAACACGGATCTTCCGGATTTCACCAGACTGCACCTTCTCGGCAATACTCTTCAACAACCGCTCGGCCTCGACCGGCTTCATTGAACCCGCTGGCAGCATCTGCAAAGTGTTCTGGAGCCAAGCACCCGTCTCATGAGGGAGCAACTCGAACATGGTCATCATGATTGCCGAAGCATCCGGGAAGCAGTCGCCCGGGAAAGTGAAGATCATGCCGGCCAGCACTCGCTGGGACAGGAGCTGACCTTGGGAGGCGATCAAGTTCTTGACAGCCTCGCGCACCTCAGGCGGGTTGATATAAGGCTCGTCATCCGGACTAGTGAACTCTGAAACCAAGGGCTTTTCAAAAGCAAAGCTGAACAGGTCGCGGTAGTAGTGAAGGGTAGCGATGAGAGGATCGACTTGTTGCAAGGTGAGGGCACTAAGAGCTGCGGAGAAGATGGGAACTGCCAATTCGGAAGAAATGCACTTCTTGGGGTAGTACCGAACGGCATCGGAGGATAGACGGAAGAAATCCTCGATCACTAAAAAGGAGTTAGATCTGTGATAAAAGGAGGGTTGATTCTCCACTTACCATCGGGCAGGTTTTCCGGAGGGAGGTCATTCATGATTCGGAGGAACGCCGTGGCTTGTTGTTCATAGAAATGGAAAACGGCGTTACTGGTAGCCTCATCAACGTATTCCGCGCCATGAGAGAACTCCCGAACCACCGCATCAGTGGCCCATAAGAAGCCACCCTCGCGAGAGGCTTGGAAACCATTAGCAATGCTTTCGGCCAAGGTAGGCAGCAGAGGAATCATGGCGGTTCGGTATGAGATGATCATGTTTCGCCAGCAACGGCAAACACGCTCAAGAATAGGGGTGGAAGAGGTAAAGTTCATAACGATCGTAGTCATGATAGGCAGGATTTCACCGCAGTACTTTACAGCGGGGTTTTCCTCTCCGGGAGCAACGATGGGGGTCACCACCTGGACAAAGATAGAGATCAGTCCGAGGTGATCGGCCACTGCTCGCTGTCCCTCTTCGTCTTGGGCATTATTGGCAAGGGTCATGATCCGTTGCATGATCGGATCACAGAACATCTTCATCGAGTCGTAAATCTTCTCCAAGGGCTGCACCGACACCACGGCCGCAACACCCTCGGTAATTTCTTCCTGGCTGGTCGGCTTCAGCTTGTCCAGCACAGACTCAAAGAAGGAATGCAGCTGGTTAATATGACCACCCAGCAGCTTCTGGCAATCAGTTCCCAGGAATTTGAAGGCCAGGGCCGCCGCCTGCACAACCTCTGGAGATGGATGCTGGAAGCCAGAGATGACGTAGTTAAGTTGGGCCTCAAGAGTCTCTGGGTGCATCGACGTCCACTCCGTGTAACGGGCGAGAGCCATGATGGCTTGGAATCGGATTTTCTCCTGTTCGGGAATCTGCACAATCAAAGGAATCAGCTGGCCTAACACGGTGTCCTCCACAGGGTCAACCATGCGACCCATAGCTCGAAGACCAAAGAGAGGTGCCTCCAGCTCTTGCCAATGGGGAACGTGCTCGTTGGTCGCCTGTGAGGCGTATTTGCCCACCCACTGCTGAATCAATTGATAGATCTTGCCAAGGCATTCGGTCACACCAATGACAGAGCAACAATCCTTGAGGACGTCACCCATGGCATGACGGAACTGGCGGAACTTTTCTTCTTGCTCACGGTCACCACCAAATAGATCAGTCTCGCCTTCCTCGGGGGAGGGGAATTCGAGATGTTTGACCATAATATCCATCAGCTGGGACCAGATGTCTTGATAGTTGAGGCGCGCATCATTGTATCGTTCAATGGTAATCGACTGCTTCAATTCGTACCAGAAAATGAAGGTGATCGAAACAGCCTCACGCTCCCAATCCCGCGCACAGCACTCGAGAATGGCGTCGACCAGACCGCGGAACTCAACGGGCATGCGCGCAATGAGAACAACCCAGGCTTCACCGGCTTCGGCGAACATCCGTGTAATGCCCTTGAACGCTTCCAAATCTTCAGCTTCGGCGGTTTCGGCAATCTTGGGTCGGAGAGCCATTAGGCGGGGGTAGAGGGCTTGAATGATGGGGAGGGACTCGTGAACATCCTTGGTGTCGCGGTAGAGAGTACACATGCAGTCGACACCGGCATCGAAGGAGACATCATTATCCAATGCCTTGAGAATCACGTCCATCAGTGGTGAATTGATGACCTGAGCGGCCGGGATTTCGCGAAGCCATGAGGTAATGCAATCGAGGAGGCGAGGGTTGGTCGCGGCGGTTGCTATAAAGATTGTCAGCAGAAATATATGTTGACAGATAAAGCGCGAGACTTACGCGATGATTGAGAGTACTGAATCATCAGCTGCATAACCTGATCGGCATTGTCCTCCAATAGCTCCTTTGTCCGTTCGATTAACTCGTCTTCCTGTTGGGGATATCAGTAATTGACACCTCTGAACACACTTGCCAAGAAATGAACATACCCCGAGGTTAATCTTACGACCCTCTGTCACCTCCTCGGGCAAAATCTTCAAAAATTCCAGCACACAATCCCCCGCAGTACTACCCAAAACTGACCCCACCGTGGCCAAAACATCCTTCCAACTCAGCATCTGGATCGCCAAACTGGCCAAACATACACATAGCTGGGTCTGAATAGGTCGCGGGCCTGAGGCAAAGGCAACGAGTAGATTGAGGACGGAATCGCGAAGCGCCACTATAGAGTCTGGAGGCAATTGGTCCAAATCAAAGATGATCTGTAACTATCAGCACCTTACCTCCACTTTCGCGATACGCGAAGAAAACCTCCGATTCATACCTTTCCCTTCAATGTAGTCGCCGCAAACAATTTTGCTTCCACTGGAACCTCGGAAGACTGTAATAGAGCGTGCGTAGTTGTCCAGGCCTCGACCTAATTTTGGGAGAAGCAGAAACACGTCAGAAAAGCCTCGACCTCAAAAGCAAAACCTCCCACCATAAAACAAAACATACCGACTTCTGGAACTTCTCAAGGAATTCATGTGCCTGAGCCTTTTCGGACCTAGGCACATTCCCTTGCATGGTTGCGACGGCCGCTAGGACCGGGGCAAATGCCTGCCCACCATCCTTGCTGGCCATGTTGGGAGGAGGGTGAGCGGTTTGGAAAGAAGAAAGAGATTTCAGGTCCAGAAACTCAAATGCACATCAAAGATAAAATCCAAAAAAATGAGCGAAACGCAGGCAATAGCGTGGTGGTCGACGTGGTGGGATCGCAAAAGATGGCGGAGGATGGAGTGGAAGGTGGGATGTTAAAGCCCGTGACCGTGGCTGGGTAATGGTATTACCATACAACAAATCACGGGACGCAGAGCTTTCGGTCCTTCTCAGTTCCCTCCTTCGCCGCAAACCCGCGATCCCGCCCTTCTCGACCACGTCCCACCTCCTCAATTCCTTACTCCATCATCATGGCTGGACGCAAGACTTTGTTGGCGCCGATCCACTTTATTTTCAGCCTGCTACAGAAGCGCAGCACGGTTTCGATCTGGTTGTACGAGCAGCTCGCCTTCCGTATTGAGGGCAAGATCAGGGTAAGCTTTGCGGTCTGCTTGAGGAGCTCGCGATTCGGTCTCTCTTTCTGAATTCAATTGACTGATGCGATTCCCTCTAGGGCTTTGATGAGTTCATGAACCTCGTTGTCGATGACGCGGTGGAAGTGCGCCTAGCTACCAAGACTGAGGAGGAAAAGCGCCGGCCTCTCGGTATGGATCCTGGATCTTGTGATATCTGTGAAACATATGAAGAAGCATACAAGTTTGGAATACTAATATGTCCGCTTATTTCCAGGCCAAATTTTGCTCAAGGGCGACAACGTCTCCCTCATCCAGGCCGTTTGAAGCTAGAATACATCTCATGTCACGACGCCTCGCATCGATCTCGTTTCCTTTATACCTTTCTGTCAATTGTTCGACCTACGACCTGCGGTCCAGGTACCGCCCATCACCCACCACGATGGCATCGATCAGCCAGTCATGTTCCATGACGGGAATATCCGCGGCGAGCAGCTGCTCCTGGAGAGACATGGCCACTAGAGTAACGGAGTTTTAGCTTTTTTTTTCTTCTTTTTGGGACAACGGGAAAAGAACATCTGGGAAATTTTATTTTGGCTTTCTTCATCGTTCTTGGCCGAGGGAGTTTCCTTACCTAGGAATGGCATCTTGCTGCTCCATTGAGAATACCGCGTGAGAAAATGGTCATAATATCCTTTTCCATGTCCAAGCCGTCGAAAGCCCGAGTCGAATGCCATACCCGGCATGACAATTAGATCCAGACCTTTGCCGGAGAAGCAGTCCCGCCGACCGAGAACCTGCGTAGGCTGTAAAGAGGGGATACCCCATTTATCGGGCTGTAAAGACTCAAATTCGGTGATAGATTCGAGGGCTAGCATGTCCATGACGGACACCTTGTCGACCGTATAAATGTATGGGATGTAGACGTCTTTCCCCCGCTGGAAAGCATCCTGCACGATACTGCGGGTTGATAGCTCCCCGCTGGGCATGGACAGGTAGACGGCAATACTCTTTGCATTCTGATACTCGGATAGCGAGAGCAATTTACTCGTGGCGACGTTAGCTACACAAGTAAGGGCGCGACGTTAGCTTGGAGCAATCATAGAAGAGACACAAGACCGGATTGAATGTAATGCGCTCGCATTGCCCAAGGGAAACCAACATTGCTGTACAATTGAAGAATTCGACAGTGCCGACAAAGTCTCGCGCATTCGCTTGCGCAGGTCGCGCTTTGCGGTTTGAAGAGCCATCGTGAGCAGAAATGAACCCCGCGGGAAAGTTGAGCGGAGGGATGGCGAAGAGGAGGATCATTCCAGACGATAAACCCTCCTCGATAAGAGTGGACCGGCATTGCTGAGGTCCTTGTTTGGTTCCCCACTTGAATGTAGGGATTGAATCAAGCTGGCCTGTTAACTCCTGTTTTTCTTTTGATTCTCGTTATATTCAATGATTAAGGACTGTCGGTCTCTTTGAAATTATCATTGACTCGGTCGACCATCACTATGCTTTGGATTTGGACTTTGCTGGTTACGACGGCGGCGGCGGCCAGTGTGGACGAGCTGGTCGGGACCTGGACCACCAAGTCTCGCAACGTTTTCACTGGACCAGTACGTGTCGTGATTGAACGAGAGAAGAACCGGACTAACATGAGTGATAGGGCTTCTACGATCCACTTCAAGACCGATTCCTCGAGCCTAACCTAACGGGCATCTCATACTCTTTCTCCGCGGATGGATACTATGAAGAGGCGTTGTACCGGGCCCTAGCCAATCGTGAGTCTCCGCGCATCTATACAGGTGCCTCCATCCCCCAGAGCAAGAGCCTGAAGAAGCACAAACTTACCAACCATGTCTACTCGATTTAGCCGCCGACCCGTCATGTCCGTCCGGAATTATGCAGTGGCAGCATGGTTCATACGAACTGTTCTCCGATGGCTCCCTCATCTTGACACCGATTGCCATCGATGGGCGCCAGTTGCTCTCGGAACCATGCAGACAGGGCATCAGCAGCTATACACGATACAACAACACGGAGCAATTCAAGGTACGCAGATGGTCCTTACAGAACGTGGACCTATCAAGCTTGATACTGATACCTGGATCAGGGATACTCCGTTCAAGTCGATGATTTCCATGGCATTCAACGCCTCGATTTAACTCAAGCAGATGGCAAGATCATGCAACCCATGTATCTCGCCTACCTACCGCCCAAGATGCTCCCTACCTCAACTTTGAACCCGATGCCTAGGGGTTCTCGCAAGAAGCGTGACTTGTCCGGGTCTGGCTTTCGTCTGGTCATTAAAGAGGAGCTCATCAACCCGGATCGATGGTGGTGGTTTGGTGTATTAATGACTTCTCTCGGAGGATTGGCGTTTTTCTGCTCGTAAAAGAGGATGTTTCCTGTTGCAGGTCTCCTGGCGTTTGTTTTTGGCGTTCGGGTCCCCTTTATTCCCCGTGTAGCTTTTGAATAATAAAGTCTCGCTTCTTCCCTTCGCTCTCTTTTGTACTTCGATGTCGTCGAATGAACGGGGATATCCAAAATATTGTAACAAAACTATTATACATGTGGTGCATTTTGTTTGCACCAATACGGCTCATCTGCTCTCTGCACTTTTTTTTTCTCTCTCTCTCTCTCAAGCAGAAACGGCCTTCTTGACCAGCCCAGCAACCTCTTTCCGGTCTGCGGGCTTGCCATCAAGAGCACCACCGGGGGCAAACAGAGCTTTCAAGACTTGTCCGACCTCCAGCTTTTTACCGGCTTCCTTGATAGCGGCAATCTCCTTTGAAATCACAGCTTCGACCTCCTCTACCGTCAAGGTCTTGACGTGACCGGCATACTCCTCCAAAATCGCAATCTGGGCATCTTCTTTCTCTTTCAAATCCGGTCGGTCGGCTTCGGCGAATTGTTGGGCAGACTCTTTAGCAGCAGAAGCTCGTTTCCGAATCAGAGAGAGCAGCTGGATATCGGTCTGAATGGGGGAGGCAGTTTTGGCGGCGTTGTTGGTTTCGGAGATCAAGGCACGGAGAACATTAAGGCTGCAATAGTAAGTCAAAAGGCACATCTGAAGCGCTGCTGCCTAAGCATCACGCGAGGAATGAGATTCATTCGATGTTCTACCTACCGAGAGGTATCCTTTGCTCTCATTGCCGTCTTAAGATCATTGCGCAGAGTGGCCATCAACGGCGGCAGTGTCGGACCAGCCGTCGAGTTCCAGCGCACCGAGCGCAGAGGGACTCGAACGGAAAGGCGCATGGACTGGAACATTGTGAAGATGAAAAGTATTTCTGCCTAGAGTAAGACAAAGAAAAGCTTGTCAATGGCAGAATAAAATCTGAAGGCAGACGAAGATTAGGTAGGAAGCTCTCCAGCCTGCAAAAAGGCGGACGATCATCCAAAAGTGGTCCGTGCGCCTTCCAATTGTTGACTCTCGCTTTTCGCAAAAGAAACTTGAGAACGAACCCAACCCAGCCCTCCTCTCTACTTATTCTACCATCGCCCTCCTTCCCACTCCACGCAAACTCCCCTTTGAATAAAGCGTTTCTTTCCATTGATTGATCCTGCAGCTTCTTGTGTGCTTTTTCGCTCGGCCGGGGAGTCGTGCCCTCTCTCCTCCCATCTCCTCCCCAGCTGTGCACCCACGAATCCATCGTCATGTCGTACCCAACATTGCCCACCAACTTCGCGCCTCCGACGCCTCAGAGGCCACTTCCTGGGGCATATTTGCAGACCCCTGCTGTCGCTCGTAATGCATCGTTCCAATCGCCTCCTCAACAGCGACAGCCGCTGCAACTGCAACTGCAGCAGCAGCAGCCGCAGCAGCCGCAACCGCAACCACAACAGCCACTGCCCCAAGGCATCGCGTCACAATCTTCGCTTTTGCCTAGAATGCCCCCGGCGGCTTCGCAAACTCAAACCCAGACCTTGACCACCGAGGAACGTGGCGCGCGCACCATCAATGAGACTCTTTTGAAAGAATCACGGTATCCCGACCTTGACAGCTATCTGTCTCGTGAGTTTCCTTTCCCCTCTTCCTTCGCGGAGTCCAAAGCTAATATGACGCGCGCGTAGAGGGCTTCTCCTCCGAATATGACATCCCCGTATCCCAATCATGGGCTCCATTCCAAAAAGTCAAAATGTACAATATCCCCGATCAAATCTTCGATCAGTACAATCGTGCCCAAGTATCGACGAGCATGGGTCTCTTCGCCGAGTTGAACCACGCATGGGTGGCAATTGATAATGCGTTGTACCTTTGGGATTTCACACATCCGAGTCCGCAATTGGTAGGCTTCGAGGATCAGCCAAACAGTATCAACGCGGTCAAGCTATTGAAGCCGCGCGCGGGAGTGTTCTTGCCCGCAATCACTCACTTGCTCGTGGTGGCTACGACTGCGGAGGTGATCTTGCTCGGCATGGGTGTGGAATCAACACCCAATGGATCCAAGCAGGTCACTCTTTACCAGACTGGAATGTCGGTGTCGGTTCGTGGACTCGATATCAACGTGTTTGCTTCGTCCGACGCTACCGGCCGTATTTTCTTCGGAGGATTGTCCGACAATGATGTTTATGAACTTACATACCAACAAGAGGAAGGATGGTTCCAGAATCGCTGCCGCAAGATCAACCACACCAGCTCCAGACTATCCGCCTTTGCGCCGTCTCTGAGCTTTTCTAACCTCGCCGCCTTGTCTCAGAAAACCTCGGAGTATGTGGAGCAAATGGTGATTGACGACAGCCGAAGACTTCTCTACACTTTATCATCCACCTCGACTATCCGAGTCTTCCATATGAAGGAGGACGGCGCCATCTCTCTTGCAATTACCAAAGCGGCATTGGATATCTACTCCAATATTGGACATATCATCGCATCTAATGAGACTTTGAATCCTAAGGTGAAGATCGTCTCTATCAGTCCTGTCCCCGCTGCGGAGGCATCTCGATATCATCTGGTGGCTACCACCGCCACTGGTTACCGAATCTATCTGAGTGCCACAAACGCTTATAGCTGGGCCCCCGCGGCCACCGGCAGCAATGCACCTACCAGCATGCAGGCCCAGCATGTCAAAACCCCCCCTGTCGATAACACCGCCGCCTTTGCCGCCGTCTCGGCCCCAACCGAGTATGGAGTGTCTCGACTCAACGCGGCCGTCACCAAATTCCCGATCCAGTCTTTGTCCCCTACGCGGATGGCTACACGATTCCCACCCGGATTTTTCTTTTGCTTTACTTGCAAGGACCCCGCTCAGAAAATGGACACATTGTTCATCTCCTCGCCCGATCCCGGACGTCTCAACTACCAGCCGGAGAGTGTGAACATTGCCAAGACCGCCGAGTCGGCCGTTTGGTTGAATCTGGGTGGACGCGCAGAGGACATTGGCCTGTGTTCCAGTGGGTCTACCGGAATCTCGGGAGGTGGCTTTGGCAATGAGCTGGCTGTTCAGTTTGACCAGGGAGCGGCTGAAATTGCAATTCTGACCAACAGCGGTATTCATGTCATTCGTCGGCGACGTCTGGTCGATGTCTTTGCTGCGTTGGCGCGCAGTCGTGGTACTGCTGATGGCGAGGCCGGCCTCGAGCAGGAAGTTGTCAACTTCATCAAATCCTATGGCCGCAATGAGACGGTGGCTACTGCCCTTGCAGTGGCTTGTGGTCAAGGCGTGGAAGTTTCTCCAGATCAGCGACTTACCCAGATTAACGACCCGCACGTTTTGGACTTCGCTCGCAGGGTCTTCATCGAGCAAGGTGGTCGACCAGTCCCGGATGAGAATTCCGTACAGGACAACATCACTCCGGCCATCGATACCATCCACCTTTCTCCCCGCCATGACGGCATTGCCCTGTACATTTCGCGCCTGCTGCGGTCCATCTGGAAGAAGAGCATCACTCAGGTGGGCAAGGGACCAAACGGTGCCATGTCCGTGTCTGCTTCGGTCAGCGCCGCCAAGCTGCGGAACATTCAGCACGATTTGTCCTCCCTTCAAGAGTTCTTCAAGGTCAACAAGAGCTTCATCGAGGGTTTGACCGGGCCTGAGGAGCTGGCTCGAGTGTCCAACAAGCAGCAGGAGACGGCACTGCAAGCCGAGCACCGTGCTCTTCATTCGCTCGTTCAACTCGTGTCTCACACAATTGAAGGCATTTCCTTCGTGCTGGTCCTCTTCGACGAGCGAGTCGACGAGATCGTGGCTACCTTACCTGAAGAGTCAAAGGAGCGATTCCTCAAGTTGACTTTCGAAGAGCTCTTCAGCACCAACAAGGGCCACGATATTGCCAAGGAGTTGGTCAAGGGTATTGTCAACCGTAACATTGCCAAGGGATCCAACGTTGAGACCGTTGCGGATGCTCTTCGCCGCCGATGTGGTAGCTTCTGCAGCGCCGAAGATGTGGTTATTTTCAAGGCGCAAGAACAGCTCAAGCGTGCGACGGAAGCTGGTGCTAACTCGGAACTGGGTCGCAACTTGTTGAACGAGAGTTTGCTTCTGTTCCAACAAGTGGCCGAGAATCTCCCAATGGATTACTTGGTTTCGGCTGTGGATAACTATATCGCTAATCAGTTTTTTGCTGGTATGTCTTCTCCCATCGCGCCACCATATCTCTCGCTTCTCTACTAACGCCCGCTAGGCGCCATCTCACTCGCCCTTCACGTTGCTCAACGCTCCGACAAGGCCAACATGGCTCTTTCATGGATCATGGACGGCCGCCCCGAACAGGTGACCTTTCCCTCCCAAAATGGCTTCCCCTGGCCTAGCCATCAGCCCTCGCTCATATTTCGTCAGGATCCCCGCAAGCAATACTTCCTCTTCCGCAAGCAATGCTATGATCTTGTTTTTAAAGTCATTGTTGCCGTGGATACCCAGGCCGCTTCTGATCCCAAGGTCATTGATGGTCAATTGACTATTATTGCCAAGCGACAAAACGAGGCATACGGCGTCATTACCGACTCCTCTGACGAGGTATTCTTGACCAGTCTGTACGATTGGTACTTGGAGCAAGGCTGGAGCGACCGACTCCTCCAGAACCAGTCGGCATTCGTCGTCAGCTATCTGCAACGCAAGTCCAATGACGACATCTCTCACGCCGATCTGTTGTGGCAATACTACGCCCAATCCCAGCGATTTTTCGAGGCCGCCGAGGTCCAGTTCCAATTGGCTCAGAGCTCGTTTGCGCTACCGCTCAGTCGGCGTATCGAGTACCTGGGTCGTGCTCGTGCTAACTGCTCCACATTAACCCGCGATGTCGGCCGTCAGGAACGCCAGCGCCTGCTCCAGGAAATTTCCAATCTCATCGACGTGGCCAACATTCAGGATGACCTCCTGCAGCGCCTCAAGGATGACGATCGTATTGCTCCTGAACGCAAGACCGAAGTTCTCCGGGATGTAGATGGCCCTGTCCTCGATATCAGCACTGTATGTTCAAACCATCTTTCCTTACTAACCCTGCATGGTTCTCATTCTGATACTTGCTGCAGCTTTACAACCAATACGCGGACCCGGCGAGCTACAACGATATCTGCCTACAGATCTTCTTCATCGGCGATTACCGGAATGCGGCAGACATCAAGGCCACCTGGCAGAAGCTGATCCAGGAAGTGCATCAACGGACAGTGGATCGCGGCACGCCGCAGCCGTTTGAAGCGGTGGTCGAAAAGGTGCGCAGTCTTGGCAGCCGACTACGGATGTCGGAGACGGTCTTCCCCGTCCGCGAGCTCCTCCCCATGCTCGAACGATATTCGCTAGAGTTCCAACGCCAAGTGGGCGCGACCTACTGGGTGGTCGATCTGTTCCTGGATCTGGGTGTTGCCCACGACGCGCTTTTCACCGTTTTGGAGGCGATGTTCTATACCGACGAGGCGCCCTTCCACGGACAGAACCGCCGGTTCATTGCCAAGGATTTGCTGTATCTGTTGGAAGGATGGTTCCGGGAAAGTGCCCGGCTGGGTGGCATGGTCTTCGGAGGAGACAGCCAGGCCGAGCGAGTTTCGGAGATATTGTTGATGATTATGCAGGCCGGAACTGCGACGACACCAGAAATTACGGAGCGGTGCCAGGAATTGCGGCAGCGCATTGAGGATTTGCTACGGTGATTTAGTTTTGGAAGTTTATGGTGAATAGGTCATGGTATACAGGGCCATCTTTTTATTTGCTTGTTTATTCGGATCTTTTTTCAAGGACTCATGGTTTCGTTCATGCTTTTCCCCCCCTTCTTGCTCTCATCTGGACCGTGTCGTCCTTGATTTCTGTAACTGTACTACAATTCTCGAGGGCGTTGTGTATCTTGGGGGTTGAGGGTGTGGTAATTAAACGACATTTTCGTTCTGCAATATAAGGAGATCTAGATCTACATGGACACTTGCTTTTTCTTTTCCAAGTATTGACTCAAGAGTAAGCCATCATTCATCGTAAGTGGTTTTGGTCATGAAATTGCCATTAAGCGGTCGTAGTTTTCAACCATCCCGAAACGAAGAACAGAGTAGATATTTTCCCAGAAAAAAAAGCACGCGGTCTAAACCAAAACACCGGAACACTTGAAAGACCGTCTATCAGATGAAAAAAAAAAAAAACAAGGAAAGGAGACCCGAATCGCTAGCATAAACAGAGACATGGCGGTGGTCTTTTTACTCGAACTCGTCGTACACGGGAATTGGCTTCTCGCCCAGGGCACACAGCCGGAAGATATGCCGTGCCTTCGCGCCGTATTCTTCATCGAGATAGTCCACGATCGCAGAATCTACCTCGGTCAGTATCTTTGCATGAAAACCGGCGGGATCAAAACTCACGAGTAGTGGACCGATTGTCAAACATGACGACAGTCCGCGGCTGCCAACGAACTCTCGCCTGGAAATCATGACCGGCAATAATATGATTCATCAAGAAATCCAACATCCACTTGACCTCGGGCTCCTTCATTCCCTGAATCTTGGTAATGAACTCGGCATTCAGGAACAAACACTTCTCCCCAGTAACGGGGTGGACACGAATCAACGGGTGCACCGTATCAACGGGGTCCTTGCGCACCAAACCGCCCGTCAACCGCGTATGCGCAATCATCTTCGCCGACGAATGCACGCACTTCAACGTATCCAAGAACGAGCGCAACGTCGGCGACAACCGCTTATACGCCATATCCGTCGCCGCGAAGACGGTATCCCCGCCCACCTCGGGCCCCTGCAACAGACCCAACATGACATAGCCGGGGGGCTGGATTTCATAACTGACATCCTGGTGCCAGAGGGTCGTCGTCGTGCGGGCGTCCAAAAACCGGGCAATCTCGTCACGGTTGCCATCGCGATGAATAACGTGGAAAGCCGGGTGGTTGCGCACGGTGCCCGAAACGGGCTGGTAATTGGGTTTGCCAAAGTACCGCATAAACGACTCCTGCGCCTCGGGCCCGTCATCGATCAGATCCTGGTCCGGGAAGGCGAGGACTTTGCGCTGGGAGATGAGGAGGGCGAGTTCGTCTTTGGCGGCGTCGGAGAGACAGTTTAGCTGGACGCCTTCGACGACGGAGCCGATGCTGGGCTGGATGTGTTTGACGGTTACGTCCGGGGTGAGGAGGTTGCGCATGGCGGGGTCTTTGACGCGCAGGGCTGGATCGAGGTATTCGAAGGGTGTGAGGGGGTCGAACCAGATTGGATCCCAGGTTGGGAGGTATTGGGGGTATGGGGTGTTGATCTGGGAGATTTTGTCGACGTCGACATAGGGGATGTTGATGTCGTAGCTAATGGGGATCTCGGCTTTATGGCCGTTGTGGCCGTGATGGCCATTGGCCTTTGCGCGGATGAGGGGTGCGGAGGAGGGCATTGTATAGGTGATGAAGAAGGTAGGATTGAAAAAAAAAGGAAACAATAGAGGAAGAAACTATCGCAGACTGGAAGGGCAGTCTTTGTGTATAGAGTTGATAGGGATGGTATGGATAGACCCGCCAAGTTCCACTGGGAAAAAGAAAATATTATCAGATCAACCGGAAACCCGCTCGTCTACTCTTTTATATATACCCACATTACCCAGTACGTACATCTACCGTGTATACTCAACGCCGATATACAACCGACCAGCGACTCGGTCCCGCACGGGGGGCCGACCCAATGGCAAAGTGGGTTCACGCATGATAGTGGGAGTCGAATTATCATAGAGGCTTGGGATAAAGGTAAAAAAGGGAAAATCCAAAAAAATAAAATGCAAGCAAATGTGCATCGTGGCCCCTCCCCGGCTTGCATGATAGCTTCAAACGCTAGTCCTTTTCATCTCCGAGTGGGATAAGGAACCGAAAGAAGAACAAGAAAACCGGCACACGGAATTTGGGAACGTACATATCTCACAAGAGTTTAGGGTCGGTAACGGATACGTTTGAGGGGCGCCGATGGAGCTACGGGTTTCTGGAACTAACTAACAGTAGTAGCGGAGCTAACAGAGGCTAATAGGGGGTATGGCTATGTGGAAGTGGGAAGAATGGGAAAAAAATGAAACAGAAAAAAAAAAAGGGAATTAAAGCCAAAAAGGAGTGGTCTGTGTGCATCGGTTCGCTTGCTAAGAGAAGCGGTCAGCGCAAAGCTAGGAAATCAGCTCAAATGTTTAAGAAAAGACGAGTGGAAGACCACCTCGCTCCCGGAGGGTTCCGGCCTGTTAGAGAAAGGAAGAGAAAAGAATGGGGAACATTTGGGACAAGGGATATGGGGAAAGGGAAGGGAAGGAGGTGGGGGGGG